TATTTATGGAATCAAGAGTTAGGGAATAAAACTGAAATTTTGTAAAGTTCAGAAATTTTTTGGGCGTTTTCCTGATAATTGTGTACCTATATATTTGTAGCACCCGTTAATTCATCCTTCTTCTTCTTCGTCCTTGTAGCATGTAACACGTTAATTCAATGATATTTATACCTATATATTAGCAAATATTTTCAGTCAGTTTTATTTACTTAATTTTGATTGGTATAAACATCATTCGATTTGCAACAAAATAATTTATCCTTCGAGATTTCGGTTTCCAGGCCCATAAACATTGAATGAATTGTAAAGTCTTAAAGTGAAAACCCTTAAATTTCCCTCTGGCTTTTTGTTTTGTGCAGTCGAAGTTTGATCAACCGGTCTATAGTTTCCATGCCGACAAAAGAATCGACACCAAATCCGACACTTCCCGATGATTTGCTATTGAGCTGCATCGCACGCGTCTCAAGATTGTACTACCCGACTCTTTCCCTTGTCTCCAAGAGCTTTCGATCTTTCATAGCTTCACCGGAGCTTTACAAGACACGATCCCTCCTAGGGCACACCGAGAGTTGTCTCTATGTGTGCTTAGGGTACCCTTTCACTTGAAAGGCGCGATGTTGGAGATGAGACTGAGATGCGGGGAAAGGTTGAGTGGTGTGATGTTGTTCTTAGAGTCCCCAAGTCACATGATGACTCGTTGGTTTGGGATGACTCGTTTGTTGTGGATGTTATTTCTGCTATTGTTTGATGAAAATTGACTTGTCATGATATAATTTTGTTTTGTTTTTTATCTTTTGGTGTTTCTGTCCTTTAGTGACATTGATTAATGATTGTTTTTTTGTTTATAGAGGCATTGTTTCAGTTCTAAAACATATGCAACACCTTTATCAAGATTTGACACAAAATAGATATGATTATCTCTAACTCTAAGCACATGTAGCGTAATTATGGGGTTTTGCTTGGTCTCAATCATTTGTCATGTTGTACTCTCACTGCTAAATGTGAATCCCTAAACGTGTTCAACTACATGCTTAGAGGATCTAATCACTTTAAGGACTGAGACACGTTCAATCTAATCACTTTGTGCTTAAGGATTCATAGTTTTGAAATGGCATCTTGTTATAAAAGGACTTGAGTTTCATCGTGTTAACTAATAACGGAGAGAAAGGCATACAATTAGTTCTTTTTGTTAAAAAAAAAGGCAAGACTCGGAAAAGAAAAATATAACATTAGGAAAAGGAAAAAAGAAAAATAAAAGATCTTCGCACAACTATAAATTGAAGCCTGAGGGTCTCTCACTATCACACCAAAATTCAGAAACCAACTTGATAAATTCACCAAAACAATTATGATGACCAGTGTAGGCCCTCTTCTTAGCTACATGATTGATCACCGTCTCGAGGAACAACCAGACGCGAAAGACTTAACGATCAACGTCGAGACAGAGATAATCCGAGCCGGACAAGAGGGTGATCCGAAAACCAGCTCATTCTCGTTCACGTCGCACGAACTATTCAACGAAGACAAATCTCTAAAATATGAAAAACTTTATTATTTCCTTATCGAAGCTGGAATCGAAGAGGATAATGATGCTGAAGTTATACTCAACGACATGGTTTCGACTGTCTCTGATCTGCCTTTCTTGAAGAATAATAATGGGTTAAGAGGAGTTTTGACAGTAATTTTGAATATATGGTACCCTTCGAATGATCCAGTTCCATCTGAAGAACAAGTAGATCACTAATACGTATGGAGAGAAACTGTTACTTGGGCACGAAGGAAAGAGATTATTAGGGTTTTCTGTTTATCTCTGCCTTTTGTTTATAATGCTTTTTCTCTCTTTGTGATTACTTCTTGTTGGGTTAAAGAGACAAAAATGATTGTGTAAGCAAACTAAAACGTTAGAAGAAACCACAATTATTTAAAAAATTATATATACTATCAAATTTAATTGTCTACCGAAACGTAATAGTTATTTATTTATTTTTTGTTCTTTGCTCAATTAGTTATTTATATATAATTATTTAAAAATTATATATACTATCAAATTTAATTGTCTACCGAAACGTAATAGTTATTTATTTATTTTTTGTTCTTTGCACGAAGTAGAGAAGAAGATAAGGTAATATGGCTTCTACACAAAACGAAGAAGACCAATAAATAAGTGAATTAGATGGGCCTCGTGGGTAAGGAGATATAGGCCCAACTACGGAACATCTCAAACTGAAAGCAAACAGCTTCGATCCGAAATCGTAGAAACATTTCTTCTTCGTCAATTACTCGCCGGCTCGATCGATCGAGAGATTTGCAGAAGAGAGAAAAGATGTCTTTCATGAGAGGAGAGGCTTTAGTCTCGAAGCTTGCTGCGTTCGCCAAATACGCCGTTCTTCCGGGAACCATGGTCGCCGCTCTCATCTACTCGCCGCCGGACTTTTCATCTTCCTCCAAACAATCTAAATCTTCCAATTAGGTCAGATTCGTATGTCCTTCCGGTTTTGATTCAATTCGTTGCTGTTAGTGGTTTGGAATCTGTGATTTCTTCGCGATCTCTTTTGTTTAAATATCGAATTCAGTTATCTCATTTGCGATTCGTGAGAATTGAAAGTTTTCGCTCATCATAGAAGAAATATTAGAGAAGCATCGTGAAATCAAAACGGAATGGCTTAGGCTTATGGTACTGGATCCAAATTCGTGCTTCGATGAGTTTTAGTATATTCATCGTCTTGGGTCAAGTTGGAGATAAAATCGACAATTAATAATACTAGTCTCATTTTTAAGTTTATAAATTTTGTAGTGTTACTGAAGTTTTGAAGGCTCTTTTTTTTGTAGACCAAATCATTTTACAGCGAATAGGGTTAAGTCTATGGAGTATGGACAGTGACGTTTGTTTATGAATAGGAAGTAACAAATACATTTGCCTCTTTATTTAGACAATGGATTCACTAAAATCGATATGACACAATCTTGAAAATCTTTCTTTCTTAATGCAGGTTTACAAATTTCGCAACTATGTGGCTTATGGATTCCTTCTCTCTTTTACAAATGTTGTTTTGTGATTGACTCTTACAAATTCAAATAATGTTTCAGGGAAACCTTCTCCGTTGAATATATGGTTTTATTATGTCTTCACTATGTCAAAAGTTAATTTCTTGAATAACAATTTCACTTCGTCGTTTTGTTATGTTTAACTTTAACTAACTAGCATGAACTCGTTATACTTAAGGAGCCACGAGTAAAACAAACACATGAAGACGAAGGAACATAGCTTTTACTTCTTGATTACCTACTTAACGCTAGAATGCAAGGCAATGCAAAAGAAGACTAATTAAGATGCATATATACAACACCAGTGTGATGCAAAATGATCCCAAATCTATATAAAACAAGAGCTAAAAATGCACAAAGACCATATATGTTTTTAGATAATTGGCTACACATTCTTCAACGGCAACACCCTTAGTAAAGACTAAAAAGAGAGTCTCGGCTACACATTCTTTAACAGCTTTCAGTCAATAAAAGGGAGTGCTCTATATATATATGTTCACCTTAGCTACAAACGATTTCTGATGTTTGATCGAAATGGATTTCTGACGAACGATTCTTACATAGTAATTTGGTCGGAAATTGGTGGGTAAATGTTGGTTTTCACTAATTTCCACCGAACAAGCCATGAGAATCGGGTGTTTTCTTGTAGTGTTTGCAGAAAGTATTTATGCCTATAAGCTACAGAAAATTATCATAATGTTGTATAACAAAAAGTGACCGTATTTAAAATACTAGCATCAGTTCAACTAATTGCCATTGTAGCCAAAGATACTGTTGCTTGTCACAAATTATTTTTGGAACAAATACTGTTATAAGAAGTGATAATTTATATCGTAACAAATGAATTATCTATATTTTTGTTTTGAAGCTAATTGTAGCAAAAATGCAATGTTCGATCAGTGTTTTCAAGTAATTCAATTGTTTTGAAATCTGTTTTGTTACAAATTATAGGTAGCAATTGGAGAAAGTAGTACATCAAGATAGGATATCATATCTTGTCAAAGTATTGTCCAATTGAATTATTATTTGAGATTTGCCACATTTGTTTTTTTTTTTTTACTTCTCTAAATCTGTAGCATATCCGACGACAATGATATAGCATATGACTTCTCAATTCGACTTTAATGCTTCCATATTATTTAGGGTGTGGATGGATGCTTATATTAAAGTAAAAAAGAAAGTGGAAAACATTTTTTACTCTCACTTACTCTATTGTTAACCAATCAAGTGGAAAATGGAAGGATATTCCTGCATATGATTATTACTCTATCTTTTCTTAGAGTAAAACATTTTATTTCTTTTTTTCACTCTTTTACATGTAATTGTCAATTGTATTTACATCCAAAATGATAATTATTTCGAGACGGATGAAGTATATGTTTGAAGTGTCACATCTTCTACCTTTATACACATATAATGCAACCATAATTACTAACATGTGTACATATACATAATTTCCAACAGGTTATGTATAGCAAACGAGTTCTTGTACTCAGAAGAATAGGCAGTTTTCTATGTCGGCCATAAAAAAGATATATTTGTTTGTTATAATGGGGATGATCATAGGCTTACTTGGACGGAGTGTATGTATTTAAGTCACATCTTCTCTCTTTATACACATATAACGCAGCGATAATTAATAACATGTGTACAACGTGTGTAGATATATAGCAAACGATTTCCTGTACTCATAAGAAAAATCATTTTTCTTTGTCGCCCATAGAAAAAGACCTTTGTTTGTATCAACCAATACAATTACACTGGTGAGACCACAGCAATAAATTATTGTTTCCAAAGACATGGACTTGAATGGTATCAAAATCAGTGATTGAGCTAATACCATATACTCATACTCCGACCTGTTATAGTGTTATATATAGCAAACGAGTTCTTGTACTCATAAGAAAAATCATTTTTCTTTGTCGGCCATAAGAACAGACCTTTTGTTTATTATAATGGGGATGATCATAGGCTTACTTGAAATCTTCATAACCCTCATTTTTGTCCTTGTCTTACACTGTTTCTTGCTCCACAAGAAGACTAAAAAGCCTTTGCTCACGAACTGGCCGGTCCTCGGGATGCTTCCGGGTCTGATCCTCCAAATCCATCGTATCTACGACGGGACCACCGAGGTTCTTGAGGCGGCCAATATGACGTTTTGTTTTAAAGGGCCATGGCTTACTGGAACGGACATATTGGCGACGGTTGATCCGGCGAATATCCACTACATTATGAATTCAAATTTCGACAATTACCCCAAAGGGAAGGAGTTTAAGAAGATCTTTGAAGTCTTGGGAGATGGGATTTTCAACGTTGACTCGGGTTTGTGGGAGGATATGAGGAAATCGTCTCATGCCATTTTCAACCATCAAGATTTCCAAAGGTTTGCGGTGAGTACAAGCGTGAGCAAACTAAGGCAAGGGCTTGTTCCTATTCTTGAAAACGCTGTTGAGAAAAACAGCCTCGTCGACTTGCAAGATTTGTTCCAGAGATTCTTGTTCGACACATCTTCCATTTTGATGACCGGGCATGATCCAAAATGTCTCTCCGTCGAAATGCCTAAGGTTGACTTCGGTGACGCGGTGGACGGTATCACAGACGCGATTTTCTATAGACATGCCAAGCCGATGTTCTTGTGGAAGCTCCAATATTGGATTGGTGTAGGAGTAGAGAAGAAGATGAGAAGAGCTCTCGCGGTTTTCGATCAGGAGCTAGGGAAGCTCATATCGGCTAAAAGAGAGGAGATCAAAAGTCATGGGACTCTCCATGGCTCAAAAGGAGAGTTCATGGACGTTTTAACATATTACATGACCGTGGACACGACCAAATACAAGCACTTGAAACCGAGCAGCGATAAATTTATCAGAGACGCTACGTTGGGATTCTTGATAGCGGGAAGGGACACAACAAGCTCAGCTCTCACTTGGTTCTTCTGGCTTCTCTCCAAGAACCCTGAAGCAGTGAACAAGATCCGACAAGAGATTGATGAGAAGATGCCAAAGTATGATCCCAAAGATTTAGACAAGCTCGTGTATCTACAAGGTGCCATGTGTGAGGCGCTAAGGCTGTACCCACCAGTCCCATTTAACCACAAGTCACCAGAAAAACCAGACGTGCTTCCAAGTGGGCATAGAGTCGATGAGAACTGGAAGATAGTCATCCCTACTTATGCATTGGGAAGGATGAGATCTGTCTGGGGAGATGATGCAGAAAGTTTTAGACCGGACCGATGGATTTCCGACAGTGGAAGGTTAAGACATGAGCCTTCGAATAAGTTCTTCGCATTTGGCTCTGGTCCAAGAACTTGCTTGGGAATGCATTTAGCTTTCTTGCAGATGAAGATAGTGGCTGTGGAAATCATACAAAACTATGACATCAAGGTCGTGGAAGGGCACAAAACCGATCCAGTTCCGTCTGTTCTTCTTCGCATGCAACATGGTCTCAAAGTTAGTGTTACTAAGATCTAGTCATACTTTGTCTGGATCCCATGAAGAAGAAAAAAAAAGGAAGCTGTTTGTGTATCATTACCTCATGTAGTTTCAATTTGTATGCAATGTATGTCTTTTGAGTTTTTTAGGGATCCTGTGAATGTCTTTTGAGTTAATAATAATAAGATTTAAGATGGCAGAAAGATTATTAGGAAGATATTATCCAAAATCATGAGAAAACCGCACATAGACTGTTATTTTATCAAGATTGGACAGACAGCGAAAATACAAAACCGAGAGAGAGAGACTACTAGACACAAACATCTACGACTCAAATGCGCATCAAAAAAAGAAGCAGCAGTTAAAAAGGATTGAGAGTAAAAAAGAGGCATCATCAAGCCACAAGGATTACGATTTGGTGTTTCATCCTCGGCCTTGAACCTTTGCATCTCCGACTATTCTCGGTATAAGATACTTTGCTACTACTCTCTAGCCCTCTTAGAACCAGCTTTTCTGGTTGTTCGTCGGCTGCTTCCGTTAACGGGAAGCAACTCTTTGTTGTTTGGGGCTGATGAGGGAATTGGCAAATGATATTTCCCAGGTGCCAAAGCAGGGAACCCAACAGCAGGGATTCCAACAAGAGCACAGCAGACTCCTGCCTTGACACCATGGGAGCATTTCCACTTCCCTTTTGCAAACAGAGACGTAGAGAATGGTTCTCCGCAGCGAAACACTCGAGCATACGACCCAGTCTCATGCATTCTCTCTCAAGATACTTGCTTTTCTTCTCCAGATCTGTCACATATTCTTTCTTCCTCTCCCTTGATCTCACCGCAGCATCTCTGTTTCTTACTTGCCTGTGAACAATCACATCACATCACTCTCGTTATTAATCAAACTCTTCAATCTCAAAACATATCTATCTACTTCAACATTTTCTCTCAAGGTTGTTTCAAGATATAGCTTTTAACAACAAAAATACAAACTGTAAATCAATCTAACTGCCAAAAAAATATCACATAATTCATTCATTATCAACTCTTCAATCTCACATAAAACCTTATCTGCTATAAACTACATTAACATGTGTTCACAAAGATAATACAATTTTAACATTAAGCAAACAAAATGCAAACTTCAAATTTATATCTACAGTCACACCAATCATTATAAGCTATTCAATCTCACACATACGTATTTACTACTTCAACATTTGTTCTCAAGGCATGAACAATCTATAAGCAACCATAATCAATATCTGACCATATCACTAAAGCCCAATTCTCAATTCCTTTTAAATTAAAATGTATTCAGATATACCTTCTTCTCTTCCTGGCTGTAGCATCATCGTCTCCATCGATCTCACTCTCCGCCTTAGCTCCATCCTGATTCTCACTACCAGAATCAGTCAACGCATCCGACTTCTTCTCAACCAAGGAATCAGCCTTCTCCTTCCCGGAATCATCAGAGCTTTCGGGCTCCTTCCCGGTGACGGATCCGTCGGAATTAGAACCGGTGGTGGGAGATTCGACGGTTGGTACATATAAAACTTCAGCGGCGGCGATATCAAAAGGACCAGAATCGTTTACGGGATAATCAACGAATAGATCCGCTAAAAACTCAGAAACCGATTGCTCATCTAACAGCTCCGGAAACTTCTGCTGCTCTTGATTGACGTCATCGTTCATCAATTGGCTCTCAATTTCTCCGATCCACGAATTTGCAGAATCCGGTGAGGACTGGATAAAATCCTCCGCAAGAGGAGGTTCACTCACAATTGACGGATCGAAATCGAAGAAGAGATCGTCATCTAAGAGTATATCAAAGCAACCAAGCTCCTCCGCCATGGCAAATCCGAAAACCAAAAAAGAAATTTATACAAATCGAAACAAAAAGGTGAAGAGAGGAAGAGAGATTTCTACTGCGGAATTTTCTAACTAAGCGAATTTTCCATGGAAACGAAACTAATTAATTAATAAAATAAATAAAATTGAGGAGAGATCAATATATAGGGGTAGTGTCGACTGTCGAGTAAATAAGTCAAATTCCTTTGTGGCCAAGGAAACGTGTGCACAAAAGGAAACAGCAGGACACGTGTTGCTTGTTGGACGCGTTGTTCAGAATTCTAGCCAATAGAGTCAAAGATTATACTGTCTTACAATGTTCTTGCGTGCACAGGATTATAATTCATGGTGTACCGTCACCCAACCAATGAGAAGGCGTCTAGAGGGAAGAAATCGAGGACCGAACACGTGTACCATGATGTGATTTGATTTTTTTTTCTGTTTTGGTAACAAATCTAATTAACTAGGACTTTCACCCGCACACGTGCGGGTCTGTATATTAAATCGATTTAAAATTTATTTTTATTTTTTATTTTTAACTGGAAAAATCAAAAAATTAAAATTTATCAATATTTCAATACCAAAATTCTCTGTAAAACAAAAGTTTAGATATATCAATATCGTGTTGAGATCAAATCTTGACATACAAAAATATATATTGTTTAGATCATATCCCGGTAACAAAAATGTTTGTGTATGTCTAATGACCAAAACTTACTTGAAGATATTCAAATCATTATAATAGGACAAACTTACTTTATCACTAAACTTACTTGTAAAATGTAATGTTAATTTATGAACTACAGTAAAACCTCTATAAAGTAGGGACTTGAAAATTTATTATCTTAGAGAGATATTACTTTATGAATAAACTCAATATTTATTAATTTAGAAACATATTTTTTTAATTCATAATCTTCGAAATTTATTATCCATATGATTCATACACTAAGAATTTAAAATAATATATTTGTTAATATGACATAAATAAATTTAAAATTATGATCAAATCTTTTGGATATCGTAATAGAACATATATTATTAGCTAATATAAATATTTATATAAACTTTTATACATGATAAAAAATTTAATTATTTAGAAAAAAATATAGCTGAAGTTGAAAATAATATGTTTAGAACATATTTAACAATTTTACATGTATAGAAAAATTACATCATAAGTTTTTTATATAATAAAAAGTTAGAGATAAATATAAATTCATAATTTAATAATTTTCTTAGGCATATGAAATGTATAATTTTATATAATTATTACTTTAACTTATCTTTGGGACCATATTTTTACATAGGAGTTTCAAAAATATTATTATCTTATCATCTTATCGCATTTTACTTATTTTTACACTGGCCCGAATTGGGACGAGAGAAATTTATTATCTTATAGTGATTATTACTTTATCGAGTATTACTTTATGAACTATTGTGACGTGTTAGTCATTTTCTAAACAGAAATATATTTTTAAATATGTTTAGTGAAATTCTTAAAATTAGATGTCAACAATATTTGTATGTAACATGATGTTTATTTAAAATAACTTCAGTTGGTTATGTTAGAACTTAAAATGCTATAAATAACAATATTTGTATGTAATAAATTTAAGCTAGATGATAAACTAATATTTTGGTAAGTTTTCAATGGTTATAAAACCTAAAACCTAAATGAAGAGAAGCTAGTCGACACACATAATTGTTCTTCATTTTCTTCTTCGTTGTTGTTTTAAAGTTTTTTTTAATTTTCTTTGATTCATTCTTTTTCAGTATCTTATGTTTTGTTTTCTTCTTTGTCTTTGGTCTTATTTGATTTCTTCTTCATTTTCACTCATCTTCGCGTTTGCTCTTCTTCGCTCTTCTTTTTTTTTCTCTTTTTTGTTTTGTTTTGATTTGGTTTCTTCTCCTTTGTTCTTATTTTATTTCCTCTTTAGATTGGTCTTCGCAAGTTTTTTTGTTGTTGTTAGGTTTCTTCTCCTTCGTTCTTGTTCGAATTCCTCTTCAAATTGTTCTTCACAAGTTTTTAATATGGTTTTTCCTTATTCATCTTTGTCTTCTTTGGTCTCTATTTTGTATTCGCAATTCAATATCTTTGTTTTCGCTATTCTTCGGTTTTATCTTGGTACTCTTCTTCTTTGTGTCTACTTTTTTCTTTTTTTTTTCTCTTATTTCTGTAGGTTATTCTCGACCCTTAAAATTCTGCATGGTTCCATTCCTCTTGTAAAATTCTGCATGGCTCTATTCCTCTTAAATTTAGAATAAATTATAATTAAATAAAACACAATTTCGTTACCTGAAAAACTGAAAATAAAATCAAGCTAGAATGACTTATTGAACAAAATATATTCAAAACAGGCCCTTTGAATGTCATATGTAAATACTAAAATGAGAAGGAATTTATCTTATTCTGTTTTTCATAAATTTACTTTTGTTTATATTCCTTCTCTTTCAAGTGGCATCTTTTAAAAGTACTACTTATAAACACATGAATATGTAAATATTACAAAACATTGAAAAAACAAAAAAAAAATAGAAAAGGAACAAAAGTGTGTTAGGGTTATATATAAGAAACTAAATAGATGGCAAAAGTGTGTTAGGGTTTTTAATTTTTATTAGCTAAAGGAAAATTTTCTTATTTGTTTCCTTATTTAATTTCCAATAGTATTATTATTTGTTTTCTTTTTTTTCTTAAAGGAAAATCTCCTTTTTTACAATTCTGCTATAAATAATTTTAGATGTTGTATATAATGATATTGTTGGTATAATTTTCTTATTTATTATATATCTCTACTAATATTACACTTAAAAATTCTGGAAACTTTTCTATTGCTTACCTTTGAATTATGAAACTTTCTTAAAATATATAAACATAAAAAGGAATTTAACTAATTGAACAAGTAGCTAATTTTATGTGATATGTGGACCAATCAAATCTATGAAATACTTATGTGAACCAATCAAATCGCGTTTTGTAATCCTATGTGAACGCTCTCAGAGGCTTATAGCCTCAACTTTTATATAGTATAGATTATCTTGACCAAAAAAAATCTAATTAATTACTAATTAATTCGAACTATTTGACGATTTCATGAGTGTTTACTGGAGATTAGTTTAGCTTTCGGTTTTACAATTACAACCATTCTATTTTTATTTTCATGAGGACATTTAAGCAGCAATGACAAGACAAAGAACAAAAATACTTGAGCACAAATATAAACAAATCATAAGACAAGCCCATCATTCAAAGTGATCAAGAGAAGAACATTTTGGGCTATCTACAATTTTAAGATGGATGGATCGACTAAAGAGATTCAAGTATGGATCGAGCCTCAAGAATCAAGATCAAACAAATGGCCTAAACTTTCTGCCCTCTATTGACACGCCAAGCCCAAATGGCCAAATCCATACTGACATCATTTCGTGTGAAGATCAAAAAGATTAGACTCAAGTGTTTCGGTCGAGATCAGACCAAGACAAGCTTTCCTTTCCTTGCATCCACGACCAAGGTAAAGGAGGTAAGGCATTTGAATAATTTTCAGTTTCATATTATCTTGACTAATCCCACATTTTCTTTCTTTGATTAATCATTTAGACACAAATTTTACGTTTTCATCTAGTTTATTTATGAAGCGGGTGAAGAACCATTATATAAAGTTCATTTGCAGTGTTGTAGATTTTTCACCTTTAATATTCATAATTTCTGAAGTTTTGACTGCACTCTCAAAAACTAATTATTTTTTTGATATTATATAAAATTAACAATTTAGATAATGATTTTAAGTATCTCACCGTTATCACTTATCATACATGTTAGTTGTATTATCCAATCAATTTTTTAAAGTATATTTTAGATAAATGCTCTGAATGCCTTTACGGTTTTACCCACCCTTTATCCCCTAATGTTATTAACTGATTCTTAATTATCCCTAATCAACATTTCTATTTTCTATATGTCAAATGTTTTGTTTTCTGATATATCTAGGAATATTAAGACTAATTAAACAATAGATGACCAAAATGTAAAAGTATTGTAACAATAAGGAAGGAAATGTAAATATGAGTAATATAGAGAAGAACCGCCTCAGAGACAGTAGCAAAAAAAGCCCACCTTTTCGTTTCCATGTCATATATAAATTTCTTCACCGTCTTCTTCCTCATTCATTCTCTCTGTAAACCCCACCAGACTTGTGGCGGCTTTCCTCCATCTTCTCTGTGAGCATTTTTTTCTCTATCCATTTCTATCTCTTTCTCCGATTTCGCTTCTCTGCTAACAAATGTCTTCTCTCTGTATTTGCTTTTCAGTTCCGGCTGCTTTCTGATTCAATTTCCGGTCTCGGGCTTATCAAAATCTAACAATGGTTGCTCCTCTGCTTCCTATTCTCAGATTTCCCCGTCGATTTTAATGGGTTTTTCTTAAAATCGATTTCTGGGTCTGTGGCGATTTTTCAGGTGAGTGCTTTAGTAGCAATGGAGAGCGATGACGAAACGAATCCGCCATGGCTGTTACCGATGCTTCGAGCTAACTACTTCGCGGCTTGCTCCTTTCACGAAGAGTCTTCTAAGAGCGAATGCAATCTCTTCTGCTTGGACTGTTCGGGAAATGCCTTTTGCTCTTACTGTTCGATTCATCACAGAGACCATCGTGTCGTCCAGGTTCGTCGTTTTCGTCTTCCTCTTTCTCTTTGGGGGATTTCGTCGAACACCTTTGATCAATAAACAAACAAACCCATTTGATGTTTTTGTTTTGCAGATTAGACGGTCTTCGTACCATAACGTAGTGAAAGTGAGTGAGATTCAGAAACACATTGATATCTCCTGTGTTCAGACTTACGTCATCAACAGTGCTAAGATCCTCTTCTTGAACGAGAGGCCTCAGGTTCGTGGTGGAGCTGCGAAAGGCGTCACTAAAACTTGCCAGATCTGTTTCCGTAGCCTCCTCGACTTTTTCCGGTTCTGTTCTCTCGCTTGCAAGGTATAATAAAACTCGTCTCTGCTCTTGTCTTGTGTTTCTTTTGGTGAATCATTTCGTGTTCGGATTATACAAATTAGTTATGGTTTTTGATTGTTTTCTTATTTGTTGTAAAAGCTTGAAGGCATTAGGCATGGAGATGACTCAAATTTGACATTCTCTTTGAGAGGGAAGAGTGGTAGAGATGTGTTCTGTCTCGGTGAGCCTGCAAAGATCCGAAAAACCGGGATTATTGGAGTCGATGTTCACAGCGAAACGGCGGGTGTGGAGTCTCCGGGGACACCTCCGATTGATTGCCACCGGAATTACCCAAAACAGAGGCGAAGAAAGGGTATACCTCGCCGAGCTCCTTTCTGAAAGATTTACTAAAATATATTGAGGGAAAAGAAGAAAAAAGAAGAAAGATTGTTGGTAAATGGAATCTTTTATATAAATAGTACTAGCAAGTTTAGAACAAGTGTGATTTTTTATCATATAAATTTTGGGATCTACATATATGATTAATCAGCCTTATTTTACAGCATTTATCACTTGTAAATGAACAAAAGTTTGTTACATTTATGGTTCCTGCTTTTTGCTTTCATTATTATGATTCTGGGAAAAATGAATTTAATAAACGTCACATCACATCTCAAAACGTGGAGATGTAACAATACATATTTGGGTGTGTGTGTATATAGGAGATTCCTTCATGTTCTTTTTGAGTGTTCCTTTTAGCTTTAAAAGTGAGATAGTGAGTTGGCATTATGGAGCTGATATGTTAAAAGTATTGTATAAAATCACACTTTGCTATCAACATGGTTTTGGGGTTTGGTGAGAGTATCTTGAGATTTTGGGGCAAAGATATATTTTATTTTTTTGGCTTCAATGTACATTTGCGGAAGGTAATTCCCGTTTTGCTTGCATTTCTACCTTTAGAGAAAAACCATTTTGATTTTCAACTTTGTTTATCTATGATGACATCTTACTTTTTTGTTTTGAGATTTCGTGGTGATGTTAGTTATTTTTTATTGTTTTCCAAATTTTACTTTTGGCTATCATTGTAACTAGTGGAGTTTAATATATTTGGTTCTTTTGCTCTACAATTTCTTTTGGAGTTTGGGACAAAACCATATAATATACTATAGTCCCAAACTGGAATAAGGTCTCTCCTAGCTGAAGGTGCTTCCAATAAGTCAATGGAGCTTATGCAAATTTTTAAAAGTATTGTTAATTAGTCGAGTGAGTTGTTGCATCGAATGTGTCCAAGTCTTTTTCATGCTTATATTCAATTAACATAAAGCAGCAAAAAATAATTACTTTTATTTTTACTGTAAAAATAATATTTCAATACTAGTATTTTCTCTTAATTTTAGTCATTTTTCTCCACCTAAAAAATCCTTCAGGAACCAACAAAAAAATATAAAATCACAGAAACCCTAAAAGTCTTATCCATATCGTCAGAGATGATTAGCAGGACGCAGATTCTTCAACAACAGGCGAGGCGAATTCTCGCTACTAGTAGCAGAAGCTGTTTGTTTCCTCGCTCCTACAAAACCCTATCGGCTGTGAAGACAGATTTAGAGCTGTGGCAGAAACAAGGGCATCAAGTGAAGCCGTCTTATGTCAGAGGTCTCATCAAGAATCTCCGTGACACCAATGAGTTTTCCAAAGCACTTGAGGTTTTCAAAATTTTGATCTAAAATCTCTGTATTTTGGAATGAATATTAATACTAATCTTTTGATATGCTAATGTGTAAATATGTTAGGCATCGGAGTGGATGTGTGAACAAAGGGTCTTTAATATTTTCTCGGAAGATTATGCAGCTCGGCTTCATCTAGTTGAGACTGTCCTTGGCTTGGAAGAAGCTGAAAACTTCTTTAAGACCATCCCCGAAAATATGAGGGACTCTTCTGTCTACGACACTCTCTTGAGATCTTACACTAAATCCGAGAAAACACTAGATAAAGCTGAGTCAACGTTTGAGAAGATGAGAGAACTCGGTTTCCTCTTGAAACCTTCTCCGTTCCACTCGATGATTTCTCTCTACGGTCAGCTCAACAAACAAGATATGGTCAAGAAGTATCAATGTGAGCTGAAGGAGAACAATGTGGAGACCGACAATCTCAAGGCGTTGGAGAAGTCTAAAACGTTGGTAGATGAGAAAGGAACAAACCTTGAGAGAGACAGGATCGCTGCAAAGGAAGAAGCTGACCTTAGAGCCGAAACATTAATAATAAAGGAAATAGAGATGTATGGGGATGTGCCAGGGAGTAAAAGACAAGTGTACCGTCTTTGGGATGAGTACAAGAAGCAAGATAATAGGAATAAGGACGATGGATATCGTTGTGTAATTAGCTCTTTGTTGAAGCATGACGATGTACAAGGAGCAGAGAAGATATACGGAGAGTGGGAACCGTATGAATTCGGACCGGAGATGGATATGAGCATACCGGATTTGTTGATTTCTCGGTATCGTGCAGAAGGAAACGAATCAAAGGTTGATGAAGTGGTTAAGTCGATAAGAAAGAAGAAGATTATGGTGAGTTTAAAGATAGCTACAGGTTTGGTTTTGATAGGGCTGATTATTTATGGCTTCTATGTAGGCTTCGTGATGATGTCGTCTCTCCGAGAGGATTTTCCCCTTTTATTGTATTTATTTTTTTGTTATATCCTCACTCATCACCCCATTCTATTTGTTTCGTTTTTCGTTTTTGCGTTTGCCAAAATCAAATTGAATGGGGGTGATGATCTATCCACTGAGTAAGTGATATCCGACGCATTGCGTAGGCTGTTACACTTGTTTCTTAGTTTTTTTTCAGTTTGATTTTTGTGTTGGTTTTTGCTTTTACTTCCATAAAAAATATATATATGTCTACTATATATATGTTGGGGTTTTCATATCATCAACGTATACTATAATCAGAAGATGCTTCACATCAAACTGCTTTAGGAACAAAGTATGACAACAAATATTTTATTAGTTTATTTGACTGATGTTGTTGACGATAAAATATTCAACAAATAAATGGTTTATAAGGTTATATAATTAACTTTTTTTTTCTTTCAAAATTCAGACATATTCAGTTGGTTATCATTTGAAAGAATTCATTCCTCTACATTTTGCAAGAAATCACCAAAAATTAGTCAGATTCTACCCCTCTACTAGATTTAACCGGATTAAATTGTTACCATTTAGACCAAGCCCTATATATTTTTTAACAGTATGGTTAATTAGTCAATGAAGCTTATGCTGTGAAGGTGCTTCCAAAAATTAGTCAGATTCTCTCCCAGGTGAAGGTGCTTCCAATAAGTCAATGGAGCTTATGCTGTTTTTTTAACAATATGGTTAATTAGTCGAGTGAGTTGTTGCATGTCCAAGTCTTTTTCATGCTTATATTCAATTAACATATCGCAGTAAGAAAAAGTTACTTTTATTTTGTCATGTAAAAATAATATTTCAATAGTATTTTGTATTAATTTTAGTCATTTTTCTCCACCTAAAAATCCTTCAGGAACCAACAAAAAATATAAAATCACAGAAACCCTAAAAGTCTTGTCCATATCGTCAGAAATGATTAGCAGGTTTCTTCAACAACAGGCGAGGCGAATTCTCTCTAGTAGTAGCAGAAGTTGTTTGTTTCGTCGCTCCTACAAAACCCTATCGGCTGTGAAGACATATTTAGAGCAATGGCTGAAACAAGGGCATCAAGTGAAACCGTCTTATGTCAGAGGCCTCATCAAGAATCTCCGTGACACCAATGAGTTTTCCAAAGCACTTGAGGTTTTCAAAATTTTCGATCTTTTAACTCTGTATTTTGGAATTAATATTGATATTTTGATATGCTAATATGTAAATGACTTAGGCATCGGAGTGGATGTGTGAACAAAGGGTCTTTAATATTTTCCCGGAAGATTATGCAGCTCGGTTTCATCTAGTTGAGACTGTCCTTGGCTTGGAAGAAGCTGAGAAGTTCTTCAAGACCATCCCCGAGAATATGAGGGACTATTCTGTCTACGACACTCTCTTGAGATCCTACACTAAATCTGAGAAAACACTAGATAAAGCTGAGTCAACGTTTGAGAAGATGAGAGATCTCGGTTTTCTCTTGAAACCTTCTCCGTTCCACTCGATGATTTCTCTCTACGGTAATATCAAGAAGCAAGATATGGTCGAGAAGCTTCTATGTGAGCTGAAGGAGAACAATATGGAGGCCGACTATCTCACGGAGAATTATTTTTCTAGTTTAGTGAAGACATATAAGGCGATTGAGAAGTCTAAAACGTTGGTAGATGAGAATGGAACGAACCTTGAGAGTGACATGATCGCTGAAAAGGAAGAAGCTTGCCGTAGAGCCGGTAAAATAGAAAAGGCAATAGAGATGTATGGGGACGTGCCAGGGAGTGAAAGAGAAGTGTACCGTCTTTGGGATGAGTACAAGAAGCAAGATAATATGTATAAGAACGATGGATATCGAAGTGTGATTAGCTCTTTGTTGAAACAGGACGATGAACAAGGAGCAGAGAAGATATATGGAGAGTGGGACCCGTTTGAATATGGACCGGAGATGGAGAGCATACAGGATTTGTTGATTTCTCGGTATCGTGCAGAAGGAAACGAATCCAAGGTTAAGGAAGTGGTTAAGTCGATAAGAAAGAAGAAGATTATGTTGGCTTTAAAGTTTGCTACAGGTTTGATATTTTTAGGGCTGATTCTTGGCATGGCTGCAATTCATGGCTTCGGTATAGGCCTCCTGATGTTGTGGCTCCTAGATAATTGTCCCTTTTTATTTTTCGTATTTTTGTGCTATATCATAAGAATAAAACATTACCCCATTCTGTTTGCTTCGCTTTGTTGTTTTACAATGGGTTTATCAGATAGAGTGGGGTGATGTTTCTATCTAGTGAGTAAGTGATATCCGACGCATTGCGTAGGCTGTTACACTTGTTTCTTATTTTTATTTTAGTTTTTCATTTGATTTTTGTGTTGGTTTTTGTTACATTTTTAACTAACCATTTTGCTTTTACTTCCATATATATATATATTTTTTTTTATGTTGTGGTTTGCATGTGTCAAAGAATCAAAGGTAACCTCTTTGTGACGCTGACTTTTGTCGATATGATCTCAGTTTATAACCTGTCTAAACTGTGTCATCTGTTGGACCAAAGTTTGTAACAGCCATTGTTTCAGGCTAATGTACTCCTCCTTAGATGGCATGTGTGTTCATGGAGTTGTAGCAACATTTCCTCTGGTTGATTGAAATCCCATTCACCGAGTCGTGCAATTTAAGGTCTGATATCTCAACTTGAAATGAAAACTCAATTGTGTCTCCAATTCAATATAACACAGTCACCATCGATACAGGATATTATGATATCATCAACGTATACTAGAATCAGAAGGTGTTTCACATCAAACTGCTTTAGGAACAAAGTATGACAACAAATATTTTATTAGTTTATTTGTCTGATGTTGTTGAGGAAAAAGTATTCAACAAATAAAGTGTTCATAAGGCTATTTAATTAATTAATTTGTTTCACAAAATTCAGACATATTCAGTTGGTTATCATTTGAAAAAGTTCCAAGTCATTCCTCTACATTTTGCAAGAAATCACCAAAAGTTTGTCAGATTCTACACTTAAACTTGACTCAACCGCATTAATATTGTTGCCATTTAGACCTATATTTTTGTTTGAGTATGTTTATCGATAGAGGAAGTGGCACTGGATTTGCTTATAATATCATTGGGAGGAGTGGGTCATCTTCCTCTCTACTTGTGAACAAGTGGAAAGTGGAAATTTTTTTTTTTTTTTGTGAAAAATATTTATAGGATTGGGTTTTGATTTGGTATAACGTATAAGACATGTTTTCACTTGATCTATTATTATAAAAAAAAAATTGTCTGGCCACTGATTTATTATTATTAAAAATTGTAGAAACATCAGAACAGCTTTGGTTAGATTTCGTCAGTGGTTCTGTTAGATTCTTTTACCCGAGTGGTGGCTTAGTTCGGATACCAAACCCAATCACTGTCCTTTTCACCTTCCCATCTCTCATAATTCCTCCTTTTATTAGCTTCTTCTCTCCTCCATACTAGTCACCAGTCACCACCATCTTCACTATTATTATCCAATTCAAGAAGATTGCTGGAGTTTGAGCTAAAATCCTTAATAATGCCATCAAGGAATGACCGATTCTCTTCCTATTCATCTTCTTCTTTTTCTTCTTCATCATCTTCTTCTCAGCTTAACACTCCAAGGTATGCTTTAATAAGGTTAACCAAGTCTAAATGATTGTTATTGATTTTTTTTATTATTTAATTAATCAAGATTTTATTCATTCAATCTACAGAGCATTTCAAAATGCCTTTTCAGGAGCCATTTCTGTAAGTTCTTATTCATACTATTCATCTACTTGATTTCTTGATGGATAATTTAATTTATTAATATTAACCTTGGTTTTGCTTGTATCCAAAGAAATCTCCTCTCTGGGATGTTGAGAAGACCAAGGGCAGCTTTGGTTACTCAATGCCTAAGGTCAACTATACATTTTCATTCTTTTATGTGCACTTTTTAACGAGTTATGATTGAATTTTTGGGAACATTTACCAAAATAAGAATTGGCTATGGATTTTTGGGAACATTTATGTCATTCACACTAGCCTTTTGCTATGGATTTTTCAGTCTAATGAAGAATTAAAGGGGGAGATCGCAGAGCTAGAGACAGAGATCTTACAGTTAGAGGGATATCTTCTCTCCCTCTATCGAACATCTTTTAGAGATCATTTTCCTGCATTTTTATTACCTGATGATTCTTCGCTCACGACCAAGTTTGACAATGAAGCGGTGAATGATCCTAATTCGAAGGTCGCACATATATTGATGTCGTTGCAGTTTCTTTTTTCATTAATATTAGTTTGTAACTGTGAAACGTTTTCAGGAAAAGATAAAAAGATCGGACTCAACACACCCGAGTTTGGCTGATCTACTTGGTCTTAACACTCCTACGGATCCCAATAAACTCTCTGAAGAGATAGTGAAACTTATTTGTGTGATACATTTCAATCTCTCCGGAAAGGGACAGAGCAAAGTGGTCAAGAACTCAAAGAATGAAGAGTATGGAGAAGAACTTGGAGTTGTTATCCATAATCTTTGCCTAGACGAAGACAATTTGAAGTCCGTAGATAGTTTACTTCAGAACTTCAGGTCAGCATTGCACGGTACATAAGTGTTTCTTTGCATCACATAGATTTTAAGGTGGCTTACTCTTATTTAGAACTGATTGAAACGCAGATCACTGATTGAAAAGCTTGAGAAAGTTGATCTGGCAAGGATGGCCCGGGAAGAGAAGCTAGCGTTCTGGATCAACATTCATAATGCTCTTGTGATGCATGTAAGCAAATTAGCAAATCCATATTTTACATAATCTTTTGTTGTCATTTATGTTCTTAAAATTGGTGTGCTCTTACAGGCGCATATATTATATGGTATTGGTGTACATACAACAAGCACAATGATCTTGAAGGTATGAAAGATATATCATTTTCCTCTATAGACTGTATTCATTAGTTATCTGCGATATCAAGCGATTAATTATATGTTTAATCTGTCAGGCACCATTTAGCATAGGTGGAGAGTGGGTAAATGCGTACGATGTCCAGAGTTCGATACTTGGCATTCGTGCATGCCATTCATCATCAGTAAGTTGATTTTTACTTCAATTGATTGTCTATGTTTTGAATAAGTTTGTCTCAAGTAAAACCATAGTATTTAGTACTTAACTTAAAAGTCCTTTGCTAATTGTAAATGCACATGGCCAACTGAAACTATTTAGAAATAATCAAGGCATTTCTTTACTTACAAGTTACAACCATCTTTATATATCTCCTCGTCTCAAGTATAAAGTCTAACGTGTAAAACACGTTTTGTATTTGGTCATGATAGCGTTTACGGACGCTGTTTTCACCGGCTAGGAGTTCAAAGACAAGTAGCAGCGGTCACATATATGCGTTGGAGTATGCTGAACCACTTCTACATTTTGCCCTTTCTACCGGAGCATCAACCGATCCAATGGTATTATACTGACTCTAATCTTGTCCTTTTCTGATCTACTTATAAACCGAGTTAGCCATTTCAAAAGTGTAATGGTTTCACCAGGTCCGAGTTTATACAGCGGAAGGAATCTTTCAAGAACTTAGGCAAGCAAGAGACGGTTTCATCAAGACAAGCGTTGGATTTGAAATGGATAAAAGGGTTCTATTGCCAAAGATCGTTTACAACTACGCAAAGGATACTTCTCTCGACATGGCCGAACTATTGAATACCATATCGGAGTGCCTCACAGATACACAAAGAACGAAAATGAGAAGAGTGGTGAAGAAAAGGCAAGATAGATGCATTTACTGGATGAAGCATGACTCCAGTTTCCGTTATATCATCCATTGGGAAATCGTGAGAGAGAGTGTTGGAATTTGACCACAACTTTTTTCACCTTGTCGTTCAATAGTTCGTTTGTATGTGTTTTTTTTTGTGTGTGCCAACATCTTGATGAATATTGTAAGTATAGAGGATATGAAACAGTCTTGACCGTATCACATTTAGACGAATATTCATCATGTCAAGATTGAAACAGTATCAAGCCTCTTAAGGCCTTATGTTTAAACAGACGAATGTTCACATTTCGTTTGCAAAATAGAAAAGGACACCCAAAAATAACAACCAAGAGTGTTAACTCATACAACACAGTAATTTGTTAGGCATTATAGCGTATACTTTATGTGTATATTTATATAATATTTAATATATAACATTAACTAAAACACCAAAAGAACATAACCCAAAAGCTTAATTTTGTTCTGGCAAGAAACAAAACCAACAACAAAAGCAAAACTAAACTCTACAGATCAGTAAAAAAAAAGATTCTAGTCATGCCACGCAAAATCTCCTCTGCCTTCTCTGAAGCTTCGTCCACTTCTTCTGTAATCGACTTCCGCATCCGAACTACACACACCGGTCTTGTACCTTCTGCTCGTCTTTGCTTGGCCTGGCGTGCTTGATCTCCGCATGTGATCTGCTTTCACATAAACACATTCATCACCAAGAGTAACGAAACAGAGAAGCTCTTGTAAACATATTAGTATTACCATTGTACAACTCGAGCGGCTCTTGTAAGTCCAAGCTAGCAGCTGCCTCTGAGTGATACGATTTTAGCTCTTCACCTTCTGATGCATCCAAGGCACTACGAGGTCTCAACGAGTCATCGTTAACATGTGTGATCTCCACGTACTGGCTCGTAGTAACGACTTCATCAGCACTGAAACCAAACGAAGCTCTGTACGCTTCAAGCTCTTCCATATCTTGCTTGGAAATACGCTGACCACTTCCACTATTCGGATAAACATCCGAGTCCTTGGAAACACTGAGTCTCCCTCCAGTATGAGAGAACGGAGCGTCGTGGTCAATATAGTACCGAGCAAACGTGGCAGGACAGAAGAAATTCGAACCTTCAGAGGCTTTTGGAGTAGTGTTCGTCTCAGGTGTCTGCGCATAGCTAGAGTCACTCCTCGAACACGCCAACGGATCCCAGTTCGGTGAGAACTCACGCTCGGGGAACGACGAAGATCTTCCATCCCCTGAGATCCTCGAGAGTGGTGATCTCAGACTGCTCGCAGGACTTCCGGGATACAACGCGTACGTTGCGTGAAGATCGTTTGCAGAAACGTTCTTGATATCAGCGGAAGATGTCAAGAACCGAGCGTAAGGCACATCCGGTGAAGAAGGAGTGGTGAGATGAGCTAACTCAGGAGGAGGAGTGAGCGGAGCAGTGGACGGCTCTGTGGTGTAAGTTGAGAAAACCGGTGGTGACACAAGCTGAGTCTCGTGAGCGTAAGGACCGGTTGCGAACATTGCGGAGGAAGGACCTCCGGGAGAGTTAGCGGATAACCGGAGATGGTTGTTCGGGGATTGAGTTATGGAAGGAGCTGGAGATTGTGAGAAAGAAGCTGGAGACGAAGGTGGAGCAAGCATTGACATTGTAGCTCTGTTGCTTAGTCCTGTTGCTTGAGATTGATTTGATTGATGATGATGACCAGTTGATACGTTGCCTTCAGGTAATCTTGAAGCTGGCACTATACGGCTCTCTCCTTTGTTCGAACTGAAACATGACATTGCTTTGAAACAACCAACCCACATCTTCCTCTGTTTCAACACACACAAACATTACGAAATTGTGTGAAACATACTCTTGAGCCTAATCAAGAAATGAATCAAGATTCAAGATTCTTGAAGCAGTGAGTTTGGTAAAGTTTCTATAACAAGAATAAATAAAAGACTTGACTTTTCACTCAAAGAAGAGTACAAAAAACAATTGTCTACATCAAAACCAAAATCGGTCCACACATAAGAATATTAATTCCGAAATTAAGCATAGATCGTGAAACTAAAACCTCAAATCAAAGCCTAAAATAGATTACGAAAGTTCCATTTCATCGATCTAAGCCAAAATCATCCCAAAAGTACGATAATTTTCAAGGTATTTAAAGACAGACCCGTTCTCGAAGAGGAAGCCGGTTATGGTGATTAGAAGTCGACATTACCATCGAACTCTCGATCACTGCTTCTTCTTGGTGGCGAATTTGAGGAGAAGGAAATCATTAGATCCAAAGCGGCAGAAATGTTTTGCTCATATAAACATTTGCTTTATAAGTGAAGAGCAGTGGCACGCATTTCAGTGAGAAATTTAAGGGATTGGAATCGAAATTTTGGGAAAGAAGTGATCGGAAAAAGGAAGATTGAGCCGCAATTTAGGGTTTTGTGATTAACTGGGAGATTCGAGGAGCAGCTGAATCTAGAAGAACAAAGTAGAGGGCTGACACCATGTAGATTTTGATGCTGAAAGTGTGAGGCAAGACAAAAGCGATTTTTGGAAAGCAAAAGCCATTCTTGGGTATTATTTATTAGTCAAATATATTTCAATTCTAAGATTAACTCAAAACATAATGGGAGGAATTATGTTTCCATAAACAGACAAGAAGAAAAATAGAACATGAAAACAAAAAATGTTGACTCAGAATATTATTTTTATTTCTAATCTCGAGTTAATAATTTTTGTTTTCATGTTCAGTTTTTTTTTCTTTCAAATATTCAGTAACATTGGAAACAAAATAAAATATGTAGGATTTTATCCAAGAATACTTTTTTTTTAACGACAAACGGTTTTTCTATTATCCAAAAATATTTAAAATGGCTCAAAAGGTTGGGAAATTATTTACTCGTCCTAAAATGTTTATATAAAATGTTTTTGGAGCAACCTTGTTAGTTTTATACTAAACCTACACATATATAGCTCAGATAATCAGAGATGTATATTACTCATAATATGCCGTTTAATCCTACAACTTGTTTAATTATGGCTTTTACTAACACTATCTACATGATTGAATATAATTTTCTGTCAATCAATTTGATTAAGCTAATATCACTCCTATAAATGCCGTATCTAGTGTATATGGTATGTATGATTGTAATTACTCATATAAATTGAAGGAATTCTCTCCGCTCTTTAGGATCATCAAGTAGTAACTAATCCTGCTCGAATAAGATTTGATATGACAGTCGTGATCCTAGAATCAAACAAAAAATAATAATTTTGTTGGAGTGTGGAGAGATTTCTCATGGAGTTAGATAATTTTGTTGTCTAATGACTCTTCAATACTCTAATCAGTATTGTTTTTTACCATGGAATTTGGTTAAACATGTGTCAAGTAATTCATCTTGTTTTTTATCATATATTATATATTATATTACACCATGCATGCTTGTTCCTTTTTTTTTTGGATAAAATGCTTAATTCATGCTTGTTACATTAAACTTTCAGGTTCTTTCTCGTCCGTATGTGATACATTTTTACTATAATTTCCTAAGCATACCTTAAGGTCCGTTTTACCAAGTGGATGAAATTATCGACAAGGCTGAACCATGCTTGACGGGGAGGAGATTCGAAACACAGTAGGACAAGAAATCCTGTACATACAATCACATAGGTCATTGTAAGGCTCCAGTAGAAGCCTACCATATCCAATCCAGTGTCTTCGTCTTCAACATCACTACAGCTCCGGTTGGAGGTTAGTCCGCACTGACCTATACATAGAACCATTTCCATCATTCAAAATGACAGCTTCAAGCCTTCAACAAGATTATTCCAAAGAAAACGGAAATATCATCACGCAGGTAAAAGCATGCATTAACCTTAATGGCTAAATCCATAATTAATCTAACTTCTTACCGTATACTAGTAGTGATAGATCTAAATCCTGTTACTATAATACTACCATTCATATCCTGAAGTTAAGGGTTACAATTTCAAGAAAAGGCTTAAGAGTAACTAACCTTTCCGGCAAGAACTAATAAAACCATCTCCTTCGTAACTCTCTGGACATGAGCACCGGTGCCCTGAACTTCCATCGGGAGTGACAACTTGACTACACACGGCGTTTTTTTCCGAGCAATTTTCCTCTCTGCAATCTCCCTTCAGCCACCAACCTAGCCGAACTCGCTCGAACTCTACAGCCACGCCGGCATTTAAGGCAACCGACTCAAACGTTAATGACGAGAAGAGTAAACGACACGAGCTCTGCCTCAAATCCTCCATAGTGAAGAACTTGGTTGTATTCTTATCTAGAGAAAAACATCTTATGTTTCCTTTGGTTTCGCAGCTTTTCATTTGTAGTTGAGACTCCAAGAACGTCGGCTTGATCGAGCAGCCATCGGTTGGGCGGCGCGTGCAGTTCTCCATAAGGAAAGCGTTCTCCAATGACGGCGCGTAGAGCTCTCCGAATAGAGGTTTCATGTCTTCAATTGTCCGGTTGCAGTTGTGCGTTAGGGCGACGAATATACTATCTACCGTCAGGTTTTTGACGGAAAAGTCCCCGATCATAGGTAGACCCGACATGGAGCAGTTCAACCGGATCGGACAACCGTCTGAGAACCCGAATGGGTACGGCAGGGTCAACCGATCGCATGTCCCTTTACAACGGGCGTTGACTATGTTAGTAGATCCTACGATCGCGATCATGACCAGAATCAGAAATAACCCATGAGAAACCATCGTCTCGGACGTTGATGGAATCGATCTTAAAGTTGATCGAGCAGGATAGCATCACCATGATCCATACTACCTCCATTTGATCAATCTTTGTTGATCTTGTTTTAAAGTTGACTTCTTCTTTGAGATCTTGTTTCAAAGTTGACTTTTTCTTTGACATTTTGATTGCTTTCTAGCTTTGCTTTAAGAGCATCCATATTAAGGTTCCTCAAAAATATAAAATACAACACCATTTGTTTTCTTTTTAGGTGCAAATTTTGCTTCAACAAGTTCAAAAGTCTAAAATTCAACACCATTTTTAAAGTGGTGGATGGGAACCGAACATAACCGAGCCGAACCAAACTAAAATTCACCAAGTCATAATGGGTTGGTATATATCTGCCATTGAAATTTTTTTTTATATGAATGAATGAAGAACACACTTCTGTTTGAATGATTGAATTAAGCAGAAAAAAAAAAAAAAAAAATTGGTGTTCCCACAACGAGAAATCAAATTTGGTCCATATTAAGAACCCCCAAATGTTGACAAGACAAGAGTCTTTTCTATTTAAAAAAAGATAAGAAGATAAAGGTTAATGGATTATATCATGAGATTAAGTGGAAGAGAAGAATGATGACAACATGAAGTGGATCTATGAGTTAGGTGACACGACACCAAATGGTTTAGGTGAAGAAGTTTCATGAGAAAGAAAGAATAGTTGGCTCTAATCCTCAACACACTTTATACTAAAGTGGTTTTAGTTACTAATACAACATCTCATTGACTAAAATCAAAACACATTTTGAAAAAACTATAAATAAAGACAACCACGTAAGAGAGAAACAAACAAATGTCACAAATGGAACAAAAAGAAACAGAGCAACCTCGAAAACAATTAAGACAGCCTCCTTCAGTTCCTTTCGTTTGGGAAGAACGGCCTGGCTTCCCCAAGAAGAACTGGCAACCTTCACTAGCCACCTTCGTGCCGTCTCCTCCTCCGCTTCCACCACCTATCCCGGTCCCGGTTAAGCTGGTTACATCGGTTCCTTTCCGTTGGGAAGAGACACCCGGAAAACCACTCCCTTCCTCCTCAAACGACCCACCTAAGCTTCCAAATCCACCACTGGAAACCACCACACCTCCTCCATTACCACCTCCGGTTCAAGTCCCGGTTAAGCAAGTTACATCGGTTCCATTCGACTGGGAACAAACTCCTGGACAGCCATACCCTTGCTTTATTGATGAAACAAACCCATTTTATCAACCGCTGCCACCGCCTCCCATGTACGGTGAGGTTGAAACCAGCAGCGATACTTTTGACGACGCAAGCAGTGATTCCTTCAGCTCTGTGCCGTCTCTACTAACAGCAAACCGCTCGGTTACGATACACGATGCTCTGGTTCCGGATGAATTTGATGAAATCATGAATAGAGAGACAAGCTCGATACCAACATCGCCAGCTTATGAATCTGATGATAGTACAAGCAGTTACATGACCGGAGCTTCAAGCCTTGTGGGAGCTTCGTTCTTGGAGAAGCTCTTTCCACGTCTTCTTCCACAGGAAAAAGCCGAAACCGCTGATTCCAAAGATGTTCAGGTTTCTTCTACTCATCCGTTGCACCAAGAAGTGAAGCTTACAACAGATTCTGACAACATGAACATCAGCTTTCCTGTGAGAGCGCCGCAGACACTTGGAGAGCTGATAATGATGAGTAGAAGGAGAAGTTACATGAGAAGAGCTGTTGAAATGAGAAAGAAAAATCCTTCCATGGTAAAACTTCTCAGACTTTCTTCCAAAGCCATATATACAACCATAACTGTATATCATCCTCAGAGCTAAACACAATCACGATTCTGAAATGTTGACACTTGCAGGAACTTACAAAATATGGAGCTGAGAGTTGCTGCCTCTTTGTGCCAGGCATCAAGATGATAGAAGGACTTGAGTGGAGAAAATACCAAGCGAGGCTGAAGCTTATTTAGAAGAAAGATCTCACAATATCCATCCAAAAAACCGATTTTTTTTTTCGGAAATTGTTCTCCCTTCGTTAATGAAGAAACTTGTATTGTACAAATAGAGCGCGTGATTGATTGCATGCCAAGCTCTTTCAGATGCAAAACGATGAAGTCTACATCTTCTAATTCTATCCTATCTTCCAAAACATCTCACAACTTACCAAAAGGAATGTCTATTGGATAAATAAAAATGACCCATTAACCACAAAACTGGTTTGACCTCAAGAACAACAACCAAACTTTATCCAACATAACCAGATAACATTTATAGGAAGCATTCAATGATTCAGAACAGTATAATGAGCATTTTTAACCATTAAATTTATCAATCAAATGAAAGGTTCCATATCGATATAAAAAGGTGATAAAACTTCCTTTTGAAAAACCTCAGAAACATATCAGATGGGTTTAAACGCCACCGGTGCTGCTGTGCCAACCTTTAGTGCACGGAGGTATCTCCATGAACTCGTCGAACTCCTTGACGTGAACATCGCAGCATTTCCAGCCTCTCAGTCTATCGTGGAAGACCGCAGGACCTGGATGATGGCTGCATGCAGTCTCGTGATTGTCTCTCTCTTTGAACGTTTTGCCACATCCTTTGTTTTTGCAGACTTGGGGTTGATTAATGTCTATAACCACCTTTTGAACTGGAGGTGGTGGTGCTAAGGATTCAACCACTTCTTCTTGCGCTTGTACCGGTGTGTTCAAAGTCTGCTTGGTCTGTTCTTTGGGTTGGGAACCTGTGTGGTAAGGACACATCGTTAGATCAAGATTGAGTTGCATAAAGAGAAGAGAGAGAGAGAGTGAAGCTACTAAGTACTAACCATGGTCTGAGCAGAAGAAGCCTTGCCGGCACCTAGAGCAAGAGTCTTTTGTTGATGTATTGGCGGCTGGAGACGAAGTAGGAACCGTGATGGGTTGTCTTGGAGCCGGTTTCGCCAGGACTGGTTTCTCAGTTGTGTGTTTACCTGTTTTACATCTTCATTGCAAAAGAAAGATCAACCAAGAAAGAGTATCAGTGTCTGCAATCAACCACAACACGAATACACGTGTGATTCGATGAGAGGGAGGTGCATATGAAAGATATTAGTACCCAGGAATTTCCAAGAACAAAGTGAAATCATGACTTCTTTGCTTGCAGCAGCTCCACTCTTTCATTCCATCGTGAAAAAATGGCTGCAAGTATGAAAATTTTCTAGCTTTAATTCTCTGAGTAGATGAGTGTGAAACAAAAAACATAATATTAAATAGTATTTGAAGAGCAAATTTGACTTACTCCCTGATTGGTTGAAAAAAAACAGTAGTCAGTGACAAGCCAAGCCCAGCGAGACACCGGAAAAGAAAAGGTGAATGATGTAAACATACAATGAGGGCCAAAAGCAAAAGAATAAGAGACAGTTAAGCTACTCAAGAAGCCATAAACGGTGCCAAAAGATGAATTTTATAGTTGTTTTCTTGTATTGATTATGCTATTTAAGTCTGTGTTCAAAGGCTACACCTATATGATATATCATCAGCTCAAGACTAAACCTAAAATCAACAAGGTTCACCACATATTCTTAAGCTAGCTCCCAAAACAATCCGAATTCGACTAATTTAAGGTTTAATGTTCGTCAATCATTCAATTCGAAGTTTTACAGGAACTTGAGAAAACGCATGAAAGAATCAATTTGAAAGAGGATGGAGAAAGAAGACGTACCGAAGCATGAAACTGACAAGAACCTTCAGGATTGTCGTCTTCAGTGAACATGGCGTTGCAGCCAATTCGTTGGCACTGAAGCTTCGTTGCAGATTTTACTTCCATTATCTCTCGGCGAGCTTTCGTCGGTGCTACTACGATTCCAACTTTCTTGTCTGTTTCGATTACTTAACTTCCTCTTCCTTGATGATTGCTCTTCTTCCTAAGTGAGAGGGAACTCGAGAATCTGAGCAGCACGGTAACTGATTCTACAGAATTCGGCTTCAGATCGTCTGACCCTAAGAAGATTTGAGACGGGATTGAAGAACCAAGAGTAGCGAAAGAGACGATTCGATATATTATGGGCCAGGAATTGGGCTGAAGGTTTTGTATCTTTTTCCTTTTTCTGAGGACAGATTTAAGTTTTTTTTTTTTTTTTTTTTTTTTTGTAACATCTGATATTTTTTAAGGTTTTGTTGTATCCTTTATAACGCACTTAACATTATTAATCTTTTTTTTTTTTAACATCCGTTGAGGAAATCGGATCCAAAAGTTGGTACCACAACATTACAACAAATACATACATTAACTAATTTTTAAGATAGACTATGAAGAAGTGAACTTAGACATGATATCATTGAAATTTTTTTTTCCGTGTCTAAATATGTTGTGTCTAAGCGGAAGAAGTATAATATCAACCCAAGCGACATACAGTACATCAAATTTGTATAAAGCTAACGATAAAGGAAGTGTAACCAGGATATTCCAAATGTAAAATCAGTAGTCATCCTTAACTGTTTGTTGTCAGATACTATGTAATAAGTACTTCAAAATTACAAAAAAAAAAAAAACGGAATGAGCTTAACTCACAAAAGTATCTTTACAAGGAAGAGAGACAATGATATATCTAATCATCAAACTCTATTGAGAGGAATCCTAAGATTGTGTTTGTGAGGAGTTCTGTCCACATGAGATATCACTTGCGGCATCGTCATCCCTACCGATACTATGATCTCTGCATCAAAACAACACAACATAAATGTGACTAGACCCTCTTCATTCCGGGTAAACTATCGGGTAACAGCGGATAAAGATAGGGTAAGAGTAAGATCAAGACTGACCTATTCCTTCTCGGATGGATAAATTAGGCCGTATGATTTCTTCACTGCTCACCAAAAACACATCTCCTATGTACAGATGATTCGTTGGCACATACACACTACACAACTCTTCCTCTCCATGGTCCGTCTGTTACCGGAAAACAAAAAAAACATCAGCGCTGATTTACTTTCCTCAAGCAATTTGCTGTATAACTCTTCTTCCTCACTCACCTGAAGTGTCACCGACGATGTGATAAATCCAAATGCGTATTCACCAACACGAGGATGACGGATAATTGCCACCTCTTTAAATGCGGTTGTGTTTTGGTCTGACAAAAAAAAAAAAAAAAAAAAACAAAAATGTCACAAAACAAAAGAGAGACTACATTGCAGCATAAATGACATGTATCTTCAAATAATTGTGTTGGAAACTACATGAATATGTGATATTTCGCTTTCGCTCTTATAACAGAAACCGCATACAGATGTTTAAACCATATATAATAGCCTTACCGGGGGAAATAGCAGTGCTGATTTGTTTAGAAGCTGAATAAAGATGCCTCACAAAGGGCATTTTCCTTATAAACTGCTCACCGAGCCAGAAAACCGTAGAACCGAGCCACGACGATGCAAATACTCCGATAAAGAAAGTGAAGAGTACAGATGTAACAAACCCAAGTCCTGTGCAACATACAAAAACGAATCAAAACATAGATTTTTATCATCTGATATGCAAAAACATAGATATTGGACTCAACAAATCAAGCAAAGAAATTTAGTTTAAATGCACAAGTAGCTTTAAGCTACAAAACATAACACTAGTAATACCAAAATCCTGAATCTTTAAACTAAAGCACATAACATTACCATAAAACTCAGATAGAGGTGAAGTTGAATATTATGATTTAAGATTGTAGTCTTTATACCAAATATGTCAACACCAAGGCTCTCGTATATCGGACTGAAGAAACCATCAACGAACTGGATAAACCACCAAGTGATGAGGAATGTGACAGCAACAGGAAACAGGACGACACTAACACACACACACGCACCAAATACAAAACACACAGTTAGACCCAAAGAAACACAAAATCAAATCATGAGTTACGGAAATGGAAACTGTGGTAAGAATGATATTACAATCCAGTCATAAACTTCTTGGACACCCAACTCTGTAGAACAGCATAGCAAGCCTGCAAATCAGACAAATTCCTCAATATAAATTGAATCAAACACAGATTGTGTTAATGTGTTTACAATTTCAGATTTTCAAAATTCCAAGTTGTCTTTAACACATCAGAACCCCAAAAATTTCTCCTAGAAGCCAAAATTCTCTTTACAATCATAATTGTTTTTCCAGGAAATGTCAATTTAACAGCGAGAATCAGTTCTTGATTTTCAAATGCCGGAGCAGAAACTATTATAGCTCACAGAAACATTCGATCGATCAAATCTGTCACAGGTTTTCGGATTTTGAAGCTTACTTTGCGAGTAGAAGAGTTTGGAGAGTTGGGAGGAGACTTGGGAGCATCTTCGGGGTCTTGAGGAGTGAGTCCTTGACTGAGTGAGCTCGTCGTAGCTTCCTTGTCTTCCGCCATGTCTCCACCGGAGGCGGTCGAAGTTGGTCCCGTCTGGTTTTGAGCGGCTAAGTGAAGATCCTGAAGGACGACGAATCCGGGTTTTGGAGTCGGACCAGATCTACGAATTTGCTTCTCTTTTTTTTTTTGGTCTTACGTTAAGATAGATGACGTGTTACGATGTAAACCGTTGGATCATGACCAAAGAACTCGCGCAAAGGTGGGTGGACTAGTATAGTAGACCCAAAATAGGTAACACATCAAAAATCAACACTTTTTTTCACTATTGGAGCATTATATTTTTTTTTTTTTGTTACTCAATCATACAGTTTTAAATTTTGAGGACATCACATAAGGTGTAAAATACCAAGCAAGAATACAAAATTACGACAAGCACCACCCAAGATCCCACAATACAAGGTCTTCTCTACAATCACGTACAAACACAAACCCATCAGAATAAAGAGGCAAAAGGAACAAAAACCAACCGATCACATAACAGTCAAACCCAAAGTCAGACAAAGGGCATAACTCTCTCACCCTCAAAGAGATCATACACTCAACAAAAAAAGGAAAGCCTCTAGCAACATAAGATTGTCTATGGTTAAAGTGCAATGTGGGTTGTGTTTGGTCCAAGAAAACAAAAACGATTAAAGAGTATGTTGGAAAAGTTTGTTTGCATAGTTGGAGAGCTTTTGCCAGTGTTGACAGTAGACTGGATTGTAACATTCAAAGGTTGTTGTGGGCTCTGGATAGCTCAGGGACTAAAGCTCTGCGTGTGGGAGTTGTTTGCAACATTTTTTCTTTTGGTTGTTTTTTTGTTTGATATTTGAAAAAAAACAAACTTTTAGTTGAGGAGTATTTTTTAGTTGAAATATCATGTATATTTTGTAAAATAATGAGTTTTTATTTATTTTGGAGATGGTGTAAACGTAAACTCGGTCTACTCTGAATACCTGGTTGATTCGCTTTCTTAATCCAGGTAACTCACATGTAAGATTAATTAACCGTCGCACACTCCAATCTGGTGCCACGGTCCAAATCACTCAAAGGTTATCAAAACAAAGATTGAATTGTCAACATTTATGTATTAACACCGACCAAATTCATTTTTTTTTAAGGGCTGGAGGTTGTTGCCAAGTCTTAATTATTAGAGTTGTCTTTTTTTTTTTTTGTCAACTAAAATTGAAAAGAATTAATAGATCTTTTGTTTTCTGTTTACTTCTTGTGTATAAAGAACTAGAACAAAAGTGGTGTGTTACCACTACTTTTTTTTCTCCATTTGATTGTTATTCTGTCTTCTCATTCCAAAGAAGATAACAAGACTTAGACACGTGTGCAAATTCTTTCATAAATTAATATCCCATCTCGTCACTTTAGACCATATTTAAATCTCCAAGCAAAAAATATGAATTGTATGCCAAAATTAACGACTGACTTAGACAGCCCAAATAGCTTATATCTCAAAATCATTTGGATTGATTACTCTTCCTGCTTAATAGAACTGTTAACTAATTAAGTTCCATAGTGCAACGAATATGTAAATTATCAAGAAGTGTGAAGTCATGTAATTTTGGAATATTAAATTCATATTGAGTTAGATATATGGATAAGAAACTACTGTAGTAAATGATGTCGGCAGTTACAAGTGTAGTTAGATATGCAACAACTCAAATCGGACATGACCACATTAAACTTATCTATAGAGATCACCGACGAATCCTTTTGGGTCTTCCACAAAGTTTACTTCGATTTCTAATTTACTCGGTCCAAGACCTTTCGTGTGAACACAGGTTCTTGGATATTCAACACGTGTTTCATACTTTCGTTAATCTGCATTTGACACGAAATAATATATAATTTAAATTTTACTAAAACAAAAACCGTTTAAAAATAAATTTGTAATAACACACATTACTAAAGTTGATTAGTATATTTTAGATTCAGTGATCAATTTACGACCATTTGTAGCTCTTAGCCGTTTCTTTAGATTGAATGAATGATCAAATATTTTTTTTGAATAAAACATTGCAAAAGACAAAAAGTAGATTCATGGATCAAACAATAAATCAATACGTAAGCTGATTGCTAAATCAATCGACGTGTCATGAACGTCATGTTCTAGTTGGTACGGAGAACCTTTTGATACTTCTGCCCAATTCCCCCACGTGTCACTATTTGAATGACGGCTAGAGAACACATGGTGGAGTTGTCCGAAAACTACAAACTATATATAAGCCTCTCTCTCTATCCACTGACTCAATAGTTATATCTTATCACCATTTACCCCAAAAAGAAAGGAAAACACAATTTTGATTAAGTGAGCACATCACAACACAAACGTGGCGAACCACCGTGAGTCAAACGAGGAAACTGGCCGCAATGGTCAATATTCCTACAACGCCGAAGAAATAACTAGAATCATGAACGAGCCGGAGTATTATCCCCCTGGGTACAACTTGTCTGCCACCGCCGTTTCCGCCATGGTGTCCATGCTGGCGCATGTTGTCTCCGGCGAGACCGAACCCTCCAGTATCGTCGAAGAGTCTACGAGCTGCCACAAGAGAGAAAGAGAAGAGTTGCCTTTGTGTCCTCAACGTTCAACTGGTATGTGTTAGATTTAGTCAAGTCTAAGACAAATTGTATAAAGTATGTGACGTTAATTTGATTATCTTTTCTTGTGGAATTTTTTTTATATACAATTTAAACATGCGCTTTCTTTTATATATTTTTTTAGAAGTTATCGTAATTCTTGATGTTTGAAAGATTAAGATTTCTTAAAACGTTATAATATATCATAACCAATGAAACAGTGACAGAAGAATATAAAAACACAACATCTTTGGAGAAGCCAAGGAGATACAGAGGAGTGAGGCAACGACCATGGGGGAAATGGGCGGCGGAGATTCGAGACCCACACAAGGCAATGCGTGTCTGGCTCGGCACTTTTGAAACCGCCGAGGCCGCTGCAAGAGCTTACGATGCGGCGGCGCTACGGTTTAGGGGAAGCAAAGCAAAACTTAATTTCCCTGAAAATGTTGGAACTCATGCGGTTCAAGGAGATTCCCACTACTTGCGAAACTCGTTTCAACCTCCTCCGACATATTTCGATCAATGTCCAAGTTTATCGTCCTCCTATGGATACATTGAGCAACAACAACCATTAGAGGGCATTTTGCAGCCAACCCAAGAGGAAAGACATAGTTTCACAGATTATGATCAGTACCATTATCACTCTTCCGGTTAATAAACAGTGTTTGTTTCTATTCAGTCAACAATTTCGTAATACAACTTGCACTATCTGTTTTATGATATGTGTTATAATGTTGTATAAATACATGTTACCACCAATATAGAGTTTGGTGATCAACATAATATCGTAATTAGCGTGGGATTCTACATTACTCAAGAGTCAAGACGAAAAGGATCCACGTGTTTCCTAAATTCATACTTATTCCCTTTGGAAACGTCATTGTTGAGTTTTCTCTTCTTAAACTAATTTTCGTAACCAGAACTATTGTTTTGCCATTTAGCGATTATTTCTTTTAGGCCGTACATATGTCTAATTGGTTAGGAAAACCCTGATATGATTGTTTGTGTAATTGGTTAGGAAAATTATCTATTGGTTAATTTTGCTATGTTGTCAAGAGGATAATGCCATCAGAAAATTGGACTTAAACCAGGAGATAGGAGATATGTACAATGCCCAAAGGCACATTTGTGATTTGTCTATCCGGGTCATTACTACAAAGGTTTCACGGTAATGCAATCGTTAATTCATTCACACTGTTTTTTTCTATTATTAGAATGTGATTCATCTTCACAATGAACTAGCTAAGAGCCAGCTACTGAACCACAAATTATATCTTTGCATTTTTTCTTATATTTTGCTTGTGCTTTGCTTATATTTTACTCATATGTTTCTTATATTTTACTTATTTTTTGTTTATATCAAATATTTGTTATGTGCATACATTTAGTTCACAATCAATTATTAATATATAAAGAATCGTGTAACGAAACAATAATATTGTATATAAAAATGTATTTTTAAAAACTTGTTTGTGGGTTTCTCAAGAATAAGAATAAGGTGATCGAATTTACTGGAAAGTTTTGTGTCAGCCAAAGCTATTACAGTATTGTTTACAATTTCACCCCAATGTATGTTGCCAACATAATGAGTGAGGCGGGTGAAGATCTTTGTAGGCCAATAACCAACCGGCTCAAAAATGGTACCGTTGCTGAAACCGACTCCTAGCCAAAATTTAGTTTGGACTTAAGATTTTATATTTATTATTCTTATATATATATTTCCGTCCTCCTTTATAATATAAGCATTTTGTTTTTCTCAATACACTTTATACTTTATGGAATATTGTGTTGTCTAATTATCTTTTACCGTTTTTATTCATATTTGGTTAGCTTTTATTTAATTAATATAATAAACGATATTTTATTAAAGAAAAACAGTTTCCTTAATTTTTCACTTTTTGCTAAAACAGCTTATAAATTGGGACAAATGGAGTATATATATATTAGAAATTATTTATATAAAAACAAATTAAACGAAAACTAACTAGTTTCCATGAAAACTAACTAATTTTCCATATTAGGATAGTTAGTTCGGTTTGGTATTTAAGATTGCGCCATATTGACAGTACAACTAGTTTGCATAAAATCAGTGCAACAGAGATTGTAATATCTTGCTAGAGTGTATGTATCAGTCTGTGCAAATAATTAAATCTATCATTGGTATTGTGGATTAATATATTTATTTTCTAACTTTTTTGATCGATATTTTCTTAGTGACTGAGCTTTGCTGTCTGCCATTGCCTTGCTTCGTTTCGCTTCATCCAACAACCAAAAGACTATGAAAAAAGAAAAATAAAACATACATTATCTTAATTAAAAGATAACACAATTCAATCGGATATGGAGAAAAAAAAATCAAATGTGTATGCCTCATCCTTAGCCTTATCGCGTCTTCATTAATCTAATAAGATACGAAAGAGAATAAACTAAACAACACCAAATGTGTTTCTTATCGACCGTCAGCATTCTTATTGTCTTCATCATTCAAGTACCGGATTGAAGATCAAATCAAAACAACCATTGGAAATCAAAGCAAAATGTATTATGTGTATTTTTTAAATAGTTGTTACAAAACAGTTTTATCATAATCCATATCCAATTCATCCTTAGGAAACTATATCATATCCCAAATCTGATGAGATATGATAAATTATGTGGGTTTAATTACAAAAAAAAATTTAAACAAAATATGACTAATCCTTCAAAATTGAAATGAGAGAAAATTTGTTGATTAACAGAAAGGAGTAAAGTAAAAGAAAATAAATAATTGAAAAGTTATAATGTCTAATTTTAGACGATCTTAGAGAGGAATAGTGTAGCCTAGACTACTTTTATGATCCTTTTATTTATCTCTTCCAGTTTAATCTTGAAGAAACTTCTGTTGGGCTTTTGGCCCAATATCGAAACTCGGGCCACACCTGAAAATTTCATAAGACTTCTGAGCTCTGAGGGTTAACTCCAGTCCTTTATAAGATGAAACTAGGGTTTCTGGTTTCATTTCTCTCTTTGTAGTCAGCTTAGCAGCCGGAGGCACAAGGTTCGTATTTGTCTCCTCCTTCTTCATTTCAATCGTATGTTTCCTTAGCTTATATTTGCTAGAAAATGGGATGTGTCTACTGATTATCCAATTTATCGACTCTTATCTGTAGTTGAAATTAAGATTGGTACTGTTTAGCTCTGTAAACATTCTAGAATCCCTATGTTTTGAGTGTGAATTTAGAGCCTTTCTAATTAGTTTTTTTTTTTACATTTGATATTGAGGTTAGAAGGAGAAGAATGTCTCACAGGAAGTTTGAGCACCCAAGACACGGTTCTCTTGGATTCCTTCCCAGGAAGAGAGCTAACCGTCACAGAGGAAAAGGTTTGTCATTTTGATTCATCAAAGTTTATCTCTTTATGGATTTTGATTTGTGGGGTTTGTGCTTTTACTTACAAGCAAATCGTTGTTTCTGTGAATCAGTGAAGGCGTTCCCTAAGGATGACCAATCCAAGCCTTGCAAGTTCACTGCTTTCATGGGTTACAAGGCTGGTATGACTCACATTGTTCGTGAGGTCGAGAAACCTGGATCCAGTAAGTAAACTTTATCACTCTTGATTCAGATCTGTCATTTGTGTATCTTCCTCATTTCAAAGTCTTTAACTTTGTGTGTTTTTATTCTTGTGTAGAGCTTCACAAGAAGGAGACATGTGAGGCTGTTACCATCATTGAGACGCCTGCTATGGTTGTTGTTGGTGTTGTGGCCTACGTCAAGACTCCACGTGGTCTGCGTTCGTTGAACACTGTCTGGGCTCAGCACTTGAGTGAGGAGGTCAGGAGAAGGTTCTACAAGAACTGGGCCAAGTCTAAGAAGAAGGCTTTCACTGGGTACGCCAAGCAGTACGAAAGCGAGGATGGCAAGAAGAGCATCCAGGCTCAGCTTGAGAAGATGAAGAAATACGGAACTGTCATCCGTGTTTTGGCCCACACTCAGGTACTTTTGCTTGCTTATCAAATGTTTGATTTTCTTTGAATGTGTATATGGAATCTTTTGTTGTAGTCTCTCTGACAGTTATATGATTCTTTGATTGTTTATCAAATGTTAACCTTAATCTTATGCTTTGTGTTTCTTGGTTATTGACTGTTTGCATTGATGGTTTGTTTGCCTCTTGCAGATCAGGAAGATGAAGGGATTGAAGCAGAAGAAGGCTCACATGATGGAGGTCCAGATCAATGGTGGTACCATTGCCCAGAAGGTCGACTTTGCTTACAGTTTCTTCGAGAAGCAGATCCCAATTGAAGCTGTTTTCCAGAAGGATGAGATGATTGACGTCATTGGTGTCACAAGGGGTAAAGGTTACGAAGGTGTTGTTACCCGTTGGGGTGTGACAAGGCTTCCCCGTAAGACTCACAGAGGTCTGCGTAAGGTTGCTTGTATCGGAGCTTGGCATCCTGCTAGAGTGTCCTACACTGTTGCTAGGGCTGGTCAGAACGGTTACCATCACCGTACCGAGCTGAACAAGAAGATCTACAGGCTCGGAAAGGTTGGCACTGAGACTCACTCAGCTATGACTGAATACGACAGGTCAGTAATATTCTCATTCCTGGTCTGGTTGTGTGTAGTGACTATTTTCTTTACTGATGTTGTTTTGTGGTTTGTTCATAGGACTGAGAAGGATGTGACTCCAATGGGAGGATTCGCTCACTACGGAGTGGTGAACAGTGACTACTTGATGATTAAGGGATGCTGCATGGGACCAAAGAAGAGGGTTGTGACTCTGCGCCAGTCGCTGCTTACGCAGACATCTCGTCTTGCCTTGGAGGAGATCAAGCTCAAGTTCATTGACACTTCCTCCAAGTTTGGACATGGTAAGTACCAAACCGCAGCGGAGAAGCTCAAGTTCTTTGGCCGTGCCAATGCCAAGGCTTAAGTGTTGCTTTTTTCTTGTTGTGTTGTCACAATTCTTGTTAGAAATTTTTATCTTTGGTATCTGTTGCTCTACTTGTTTCCGAGAGATGTTATCCTTAAAACAATTCAGTGAGTTTTGTTTGGTTAAAGTACTTTACTGTTTTTGAGTTGGTGGTTTAATCTTTTTTAACTTTCTTTTGCAAAAGAATTTTGAGAATTTGATTTTTCAATTACTTCAAATATTTGGATGCTAATCTAAATTGATTATAATGTGAGTTTAGGAAACTAGATATATTGTGTGATCGTTTAGAGAAGAAAACAGTAGACGATGTTGTGAAAGAATTGAATAGCACAATGAAATAATGAGATTCTTTGCAAGTGAAATCTTTTATCAATATGAACATGGCATACTTTCCTTATAATTTAAACAATTATTTATTGTGATAAACTTGGATACAGTCGTTACACTGATATTACATCACATACATAACCAACATAGTTATGTAGATCGTTCTTAAAATGATGAAAACAACATACTTGTAAACAGTAAAACATAGTGTAGATAATTCGTAGTCTGGTAAATTAGTTTATTCAAAGGTTTCATTTTATAGGAGGACAACGAGCCTCGCACACGGTTTTTTCATTAAAACAACGATTATCATGAAAACAACACCAACAGTCTCTTTTAAAAAAGGATTCTGAGCATTGGTTATGGATACATGGACTAATAGTGATCTTGCTCGAGCTGTGATCGATTTCTCTAGCATCCACGTGCATACCTGCATATTTGAAACCACACATCATTAACCAAACATTGACAATGACCACCAAAAAAATGAGACTTGTGATACATAGACGAAGAGGAAGAGCCCCTATACATACACTGATTTAGAACAAAGAGGGAGAGCACGAAAATGCAGATTAGAGCTGTCTGTGATTTCATCTTTTGTTTGTCTTTAACGATTTTGTGATGTGTTTCACTTCTACAGTATGTGATTCCTAGAATCCTAGTCATATATATAGTGTGTCTTGAAATGAAAACTCTTCTATGCAACGTACATTTTGTAAGCTTAGTCAAATGCCTTAAATTGTTTAATTTTAAAACTACCAAAATGGTGTCTATTTTTGTATTTCCTACCTAAACTGATATCCAAAATAGAAAGGGAGAATCTGAGAAATACCATATTTAGGTGATTGTTTTTTAAAACTACTCATTGTTCTATGTGTTTCAATTTTTAAAACTACCATTCTTCCACATTACTATTTATAAAAATACCCAAAATCTGTTTTTTTTTTTCTTTTTGTGAAATGTTATCATAACTTAGATGATAGTTAGTTACATGTGTGTACAGTACTATCATATGATCGGGTGAGAGTGTCTTGAGTAATTACTTTCGAAGAGTTTAGCAGTCCCGGTTTGTTTACCAAATTAAACAAAACCGGGTATGTCGAACCAACAACATTAAGGGCCTGTTAATGGATTGGGTATTTAAGTGGATTTTGAAGGGGAGTGAAAACATGCGTTATTGATTTGTATATTTGAGAAAACACGTTAAAAACAGGTGTTATTGGATTGGGTATTTGTTTGTGTAAATTGAAATACAGTAGAAAAACCTGTTATTCAACTTGAGCTTGATTTCAAAGGATTCTAGTTTTATCTGATTTTGAAGTATTATTTTGCCTAAAACATGACCAAACGAAATACTAGGTTTTCTATTAGGATTTGAGAATACAAAGAGTTTTCAAACAGCAAAAGCAATCCTTCGTCTTTCATCCCAATCAGTTTTCTTCTATACATCAAATTCGCCTCAATCCTCCTCTTCTTTTATCGTCATCTTCTTCTCCATCATCGTCGATACTATTTTCCGACACAATCAGGTCAGAACCATAACTTCTTTTGACAAGACTACTCGAAAAATCTCTGATGATAATCTCATCTGATTGAATTTGTGAGAGGAAGCTCTTTGATTTAGCTCTGGGTGTAACTCCTCTTTACCCGTAATATCATCACCTCTCATCTCCAAAACCTTCTTCGTCAATCCCATAAAAAAACCTGAATAATTCTGTAAGAAACCCAGTAGCAATCCCAACTCTCTTTCCTCCATATTCGAGACACACTTTAATGATTTTGACGAATTTTTGGTTACTTCTATAAGGTTATGTACAATGGAGCTTGATACTAGTGAATTGGAGATGCTTGATGGGTAATATTCTGTCTGTCGTTTGATCTTCCCCGTACAACAGATGTGAGTATTTAGTTTCAAAAGTTCAATTTTTTGTAAGGATGTTTGTCTTGCGAATTTACTTTTGCTTGATGCTTGTGTTGTGCCAAGCTAGGTGAGACCACGATGCCTTTAAAATGGTGGAGAATTCTGAAACGAGCAGGATTCTCTCTTGACTTGGTGACTATAACATGTTCATTGGATTGTTTTGTGATAAGAATAAGACAGATGAAGTCTATGAGATATTAACCAATATGGAGGGAGCATGTATGAAGTTTGATTCAATCACTTACAACACCTCCTTCTTCTTACCTTAAGCTGCTGTAACATTAAAGTTATCTCAACCAGATGATGAAGAGCCAAAAGTAAGGGCTTTAGCTGCAGCTACTTTTGAGGAGAATGCAGGCTTCTATCTTATTTCTTAGTGTTCTCTCGTTCTGCTTTATTGCCTGCTTCAATTTCAATGCAGATGCAGCCATTCATCTGTAACGGCTTGGTGAAGAGTGGCTTATTTGGGCTTCTGCACTGAAGACTTTGTTTTAAGCAGGAACCAGTATCCAGACCCGGTGGAGCGAGCTTGAGTCATAGGCTCGTTAGTCACTGTCTTCACATAGTTGGGAAACTAGTGGCAGTGAGGCTTTGACTTACTTACGTAGCACTTAAACAAAGCAAGCAGTGGTTACATTGAGGTATATTCACTCATGGAATGAAATAGTGGTCCCAAGTCTCTCTCCATTTCATACAAGCCATTAGGCTGTCCTATTGTCCTATCTCTGAAAGATATTATCAATACTTTGGCTTTATTTTCTTTTCTGTCCTTTTGAGTTTATTCTAAGAACATAAAATGTTGTTATGTTACTCTTTAGCGAAGCAAGCTTTGTACGTTTGTTCATTTGTTTGCTTGTTGTGATTAGAAATTTGGTGAAGTTATATATATTTATTTATATGCATAAACACAGACAAGATCATGGAGCTACTCTTTCTTCTTGTCTTCCTCATCAAGCTTTATCAATATCCAGTGTAACAATTGAGTCACTTCTTGATTATTGACTTGCTTCTGTTACGGGACTCTCTTGTATTGACTTGCCTCCATCTCCACCGCTTTTTCTCCATCCGTAACATAGCCATGGCTTCTTCAGCAGCTGATTCAGCGGCTTTTCTCTCCTTCTCCAGCTTCGTCTTCATACAATCTCCACGTTTCCTCTCTCTCTTCACCATATTTCTCAGAGTAATAACGACGAACATCTGGTCTTCATCGCTCAGAGACCGTGACTCTTCCTCCTGGTTTTCCTCCTCGAGCTCTGTCTCCGAGTCTGTGTTCTTTCTCCCATCACGTAGAAGAAGATGATCACAGTTCTAGAGATCTTGTTCGTCTTCTTTCTCGAATTCAGTCCATCAGCAGAATCAGAACTCCAGTGTAAAACGATGGGTTTCTCTAATCCATTTTGAAACGAACCCGTTGTCGCATTTCGTATGGTCTCGACCGAAGGAATTGCAACGGTCAAGCTTGAGAGTTTATCTTGCGTTTTGTGTTTTAATATTTTGCGTTTTGTGTTTTAACAAATCCTTTAGTTTTGGAAACCGTTTTGTAAATCCATTGAAATCAATCAAAACACATTTTCAGAATCCATTAAAAACCATCGCTGATTGTGTGAAATCATTAAAATCCCAACAAAACACATCCAAATCCAAATACATTAAAATCCCTTGAAATACCCAATCCAATAACAGGCCCTAACACTCTGCCTCCGTCATCGCCGTCTTCATTTCAAAATCCCTCATTTCCTTCATCCCTTCCTCTTAAAATTGAATTTCCATGTCTCTCTCCAAGTGAAAGCCTCAGACTTTTCCCTCTACCTTCCGTTGGGTATATTCGTTTTTCCATATCATCGCTTTTAGTGCCATATATTCACCAATCTCTTCTCATTGGACACATTCACTGAAACCCTAAATCTAGGTGTTCGTAACGAGGTAATTGCTGACGTTTACTCATCTCCTATCCTTCTATTTTAGATGTTTTTATTCAAAGTTTTGTTTTTAAGGGTTGCTGGATTACAATTTGGTGGTTAACTGTGTTTTTCGCTGTTTCCATTTGTCTCTTCTCTCCTCTTTTAGGGACAAGTTGTGAATTTTTTGATGTTTTGAAACTGTTTTTAGGACTGTTTTGGCTTGGTGTTTGTGATGGATCGTGTCAGCAATCTACCAGACGAGCTTCTTTATCAGATATTGTCCTTCCTTCCCACAAAGGATGCTGCTGTGACTTCGGTTCTCTCAAAGAGATGGCTCAATCTGTGGAAATTTAATCCTAATCTTGACATTGATGACACTCTCTTTCTCCATCCTGAAGATGGTAAGGGAGAAAGGGCAGAGATTAGACAGAGCTTCGTCGACTTCGTGGACAGTGTAATTGCTAGGCAGGGTGATTCTCCTATCAAGAAATTCTCCCTAAAGTGTATCACTGGTGTCCATCCAGACATTGTGAATCGTTGGATATGCAATGTGCTGAAGCGTGGTGTTTCTGACCTTGACCTCTTCACTGATTTTTCCAACGAGGATAATTATAGTCTGCCTAAGAGTTGTTCTTCAGCAGTACACTCGTTAAGCTAAAGTTAAGAAGTGAACTCTGTGTTGATTGGTGGCACCGGAGCCTAATGAGGGGCTATTCCTTTTCCTTACCAATGCTTAAGTCTTGATATCGACTCGGATTATATTTTTTGTGATGAGATTGAGAAGTTTATTCCTTCTTTCCCTGTGCTTGAGGATTACGAATGGCTAACATCGAGTGGAGGGAAATGTATGTAACCGTGTCAAGTGCAAGCCTCAGAAAGCTAAATCTCCACGGCATCGGTTGTGAGAGATGTGAATCCGAGAGCGTTTCTTTTGACTTGCCAAATCTGCTTTTCTTAACTACTTTGATATGGTTGCGGAAGACTATCCATTAGTTAATATGAAGAAATTAGTTGAAGCTTCAATCAATCTTCTAGTAATTGATGATCACGTCAAGCGACTAAGAGAGCCAGATTTGTTTGAGGACTATGAGGATGATACGGTGTTGATGCTCTCAAATTTGGCAATGTGGTGAAGCTCATGAATGGCATACAAAATGTTCAGAAACTTGACTTGAATACTGATACACTCGAGGTCAGTTTTTTTCTATTGTGTTCTTCTCTAGTCTTAGTATTTGTGAAACATTAATCTCTTACTTCTTGTTTTTCAGGTGCTTGCTCTATGCTGTGAATCGATGCCTGTGTTCAACAACGTCAAATTCTTAGGTGTTTCGGGTAAGAAGGTCGAGGTTGGCAAGCAATGCCAGCTCTTCTAAGGAACTGTCCACGTTTAGAAACTATCATCATGTTCGGGTAAGAATTGTTGACCATTAAAGTTACATGTTGTTAGAGATTTCTTTTGTAAACCTTATATGTCTGTCTTTATATGCATTCAGGGATTAATACACGATGTGACTGATAAATGTGGGGATGCTTGTCCCTGCATTTCTCGGGAAGACAGAGGACTTTCACTCAAGTCTTGTCCAGTGAATAGGTTAGAGATTCAAGGGTTTCGAGGAACAATGAAAGAGATGGACATTATAAAGCATTTCTTGGACTTTTTGCCGAGTTTGAAGAGGTTTGACGTCTTCGTTGAAGATGAACCTACACAGTCAGAACACAGCTCAGAAACACTGTATTGTCTAACTGTGTCACGGAGATGTTCGCACTCTACGACAAGTTGTTTCCGAGTAGCAATGTCCAGCTCCTGTTAGTGATTTCTTGGAGAAGAAGTGAAAGAACAAGGACATATCTGAAGAAAAAACTTACACATAGTTTTTGCCTTGGAATGCAAAACCTGAATCTGTTTCTATTGTTTTTGCCTTATTTCGTTTAGTTTTGTTCAGTTGGCATGTAAATCTTCTCAGTTCAAACCATCGGTTAACCTGAATCTGTGTGTTTCCATTGTTATATATCATCGGTTATCTATTATTCATCGTCTTTGCTTTTGATCTTGCCATCTTACTGTTATGCATTGTTTGGACGAAAATAGCGGAAGTCATTTTCTTGATACAATAGAAACTCTATAAATTAATAATTTTGGAACTTTAATATTTTATTAAATAGAATTATTAATTTAACGATTTTGATTAAAAAGTTATCAAAAATAAATAAATTAAATGATAATAATCTTATAAGTTTTCATTTATATTATATAAGAAATTTGCATTTAAAGGTATATTTTCTTAGCTGTTTTTCTTTGATATTTATGTATTTAATTTACATTTTCGTATTTTCTATATTGTTCTAGTTCCGTTAGATGTGGTTATGCGTAAAAAGAAAACTATCACATCTAAAAGATAGTACTAAGAATTTTTAATGTATTAAGAAAAATTGGAGACGGGATTGAGAAGAATTAAACTTTAAGGAAACTATGTGTTCGTACTCGTTTTGTGAGACAACCGTTACAAATATTTGATAAACATAACAAAATCTAGAAAGGAGTTGAATGATGAAATCAGAAACTGAAGTTCTTCTAAATTGAAAGAGATACAAAATTTATTTTTATCGATAATCTCAATACCTAAAATGGTTCAGATATCTAGGTTAGTGATACATTTTTCGCACTTTTTACGAGACTGTCTATCTTTATATTTTGAGTTGGAGTAATGTATGAAAAGAAAATAAATATAAATCTTAACATAATTAAAAATGTCTTGGTTTGTAATTTTATAGATGAAATTAATATGTGTGTTTGCACGGGTATTCACCTAAAGTAAATAGCGTAAAATAAAAAGTTCTTTAAAAAAACAAAATGAAAGAAACTAATAAGAGAAACCTTCTCATAGCTTTAGAAGGGTAATGTGAAGTTGAATAATTGGGTCCTACAGCAAGACAACAAAAAGGGCTCGCCCTATATATAAGATAATCAGATAGAGTTCATGCATTGACGACGAGACACTCTCAAGCCCTTCTTCGATCCACCTACCCTTCTTCTTCTCTCAGATTCTCTCTCTCTCGCTCTCTTGTCTCTCACAGGCAAGGCAAGTTCTCTCTCTCTCTCTCTCTTAGCGACTTCCCAGCGATTTGGAGATGTAATTGCCTCGGTTTCGGTAGACGAACTTTGATTTGATTGTTATCATCTATTTCTCTCCAATGTTATCTTTTTTTTTCTGAGAGTGGAGACGTATCGCTATCAAAGATAAATCCCTCATTTCCTCATCTCTTCCTCTTAAAACTGAAAGCTTCAGACTTTTCCCTCTACCTTCCGTTGGGTGTAATTGGTTTTCAACATCTTCGTTTGTAGTGCCATATATTCACCAGTCTCTTCTCATTGGACACAATCACTGAAAACCCTAAATCTAGGTGACTGCAACGAGGTAATTGCTGAAGTTTCTCATCTCCTATGCTTCTATGTTATGGTTTTATTCAAAGTTTTTGTTTTTAAGTTGGTGGATTACAGTTTGCGTAGTTAACTGTGTTTTTCTTGTTTTCATTCGTCTCTTCTCTCCTCTTTTAGGGACAAGTTGTTACATTTGGGGATTTTTTGAAGCAGCGACTGTTTACTTTTAGCTTATAGGACTGGTTTTTGGTTGCGTTTGTGATGGATCGTGTCAGCAATTTACCAGACGAGCTTCTTCATCAGATCTTGTCCTTCCTTCCCACAAAGGATGCTGCTGTGACTTCGGTTCTCTCAGAGAGATGGCTCAATCTGTGGAAACTTAATCCTAACCTTGACATTGATGACACTGACTTTCTCCGTCCTGAAGATGGTAAAGGAGAAAGGGCAGAGATTAGACAGAGCTTCGTCGATTTCGTGGACAGTGTACTTGCTAGGCAGGGTGATTCTCCTATCAAGAAATTCTCCCTAAGTGTATCACTGAGGTCCATCCAGATATTGTGAATCGTTGGATATGCAATGTCCTGAAGCGTGGTGTTTCTGAGCTTGACCTCTTCACTGTTTTCCGACGAGGATACCGGAAATGATGGTTATCGTCTGCCTAGAGAGTTGTTCCACAGTAGTACACTCGTTAAGCTAAAGTTAAGAAGTGAACAGTATCTTGATTGGTGGTGCCCTGGCGGGACGACGAGGATTCATTTTCCTTACCAATGCTTAAGAGTCTTGATCTCGACTCGGACTCGCAGCTGGTGTTTTCTGAGGAGTTTATTCCTTCTTTCCCTGTCTTGAGGAATTGCGAATTGGTAACATGGAGTGGAATGAAATGATGTAACCGTGTCAAGTGCAAGCCTCATAAAGCTAGATGTCCAAGCTGGATTGAAGGTTCTGTGAATCCGATAGCGTTTCTTTTGATACTCCAAATCTGCTTTTCTTGACTACTTGATTTGGTTGCGGAAGACTATCCATTAGTTAATATGAGAATTAGTTGAAGCTTCTCGATCTTATATAAAGGATGATCACGTCAAGCGACTAAGAGAGCCAGATAATGATTTGTTAGAGGAGGATGATGCTGTTGATGTTCTCCAATTTTGGCAATGTGGTGAAGCTCATGAATGGCATACAAAATGTTCAGACTTGACTTAAGTGCTGATACTATAGAGGTCAGCTTTTCTATTAATGTGTAATCTCTTCTGGTCTAATTCTTGTGAAACATTAATGTCTACTTCTTGTTTTTCAGGTGCTTGCTCTATGCTGTGAATCGATGCCTGTGTTCAACAACGTCAGAATTCTTAGGTGTCTCTGGTCAAGAAGGTCGAGGATGGCAAGCAATGCCAGCTCTTCTAAGGAACTGTCCGCGTTTAGAAACTATCATCGTTCAGGTAAGAATTGTAGACCATGAATGTAACATGTGTTAGAGATTATGTAAACCTTATATGTTTCCTTTCTATGTTTTCAGGGACTAATACACGATGTAACTGATAAATGTGGGGATGCTTGTCCCTGCATTTCTCGGGAAGACAGAGGACTTTCACTCAAGTCTTGTCCAGTGAATAGGTTAGAGATTCATAATTTTCAAGGAACAATGAAAGAGATGGCCATGATAAAGCATTTCTTGGACTTTTTCCGAGTTTGAAGAGGTTTGACGTCTTCGTTGAAGATGATGAACCTACACAGCTCAGAAACACTGAATTGTTTAACTGTGTCGTGGAGATGTTCAAATCTACAACAAGTTGTCGCCGAGCTGCAATCTCCAGCTCCTGGTTTAGTGATTTCTTGGAGAAGAAGTGGAAAGCACAAGGACATATCTGAAGAACAAAACTTGCTCCATAGTTTTTGCCTTGGTATGCAAAACCTGAATCTGTTCCTATTGTTTCTGCCTTATTTGACTTCGTCGTTTAGTTGGCATGTAAACCTTCTCAGTTCAAACCAATCGGTTAACTTGAATCTGTGTTTTCAATTGTTATATCATCTGTCTGTTTTTATTTATTTTTATTATTCATTGTCTTCGCTTCTGATCTTAACCATCTTCGAATGCATTGACTGTTGTTTGGACGAAAACAGTGGAAGTCATTTTATTGTTATATGAAAACATAGATTGGTTTTTATCACGATTCATACAAATTGAGATTTGATTTGAGCTATATACACAAATTTCAGTTCGAGTTTGAGATCGGTCAGGGGTCCATAAGCCCCTTCCAGTATAATACTTTTTCGTTTTTTTAAGATAATTTTTTTAGTTATTTTACACATATTAACGAAAAGTAAAGTTGATTTTTAATCATTAATGTATAAATTTTTTCAATAAAAATTTAACAAATACAATAAATGTTTATTAAAAACTGAAAAAGTGCATCGAAAAATTAAAAAAAAATTATACAACAATAAATAATGTCTAGAAAATTCATCGTTAAGGGACGGAAGAAGTATATATTACTTGAGAAACGCCAAGAAGATTAGTTTCAGGTGGCTAATCAAGAGGAACCTAAAAGTTTACATGGATAAAAGAAGGGTAAACTACTTGTTCGTGCTCGTTTTGAGAAACAATCATCACAAACTTATCAAATGTAACAAAAACTAAAAGAAAGGAGTTGAAAGATGAAATCTCTTATAATATTGAGACATATAAATTTTATTTTTATCGATAATCACAATTTCTAAAAAAAGTTCAAATATCTATGTTAGTGATACTTTACGGGACTGTCAATCTTTATATTATGAGTTTGTGTAATGTATAAAATGGAAAAAAAATATAAATCTTAACGTATTAAAACAAAGTAGAAATTTCTTGGTTTGTAAATTTGTATACGAAAATAATATGTGTGTTTGCGCGGGTATTCGTCTAAAGTAAATAGCGTAAAATAAAAGTTATTTCAAAAAAAAAATGAAAAGGTAATAAGAAACCTTCTTATAGCATTAGAAGGTCTATTGTGAAGTTGAAAAATTGGGTTAGCCTTAAAGCGAAGAAGAAAGCTCTCTCAATCTACGATAATCAGATAGGGTTAAAGCATTGAGAACTCCTCCCTCTCAACCCCTTCTTCGATCCACACTTCTTCTTCTCTCAGATTCTCTGTCTCTCTCTCTCAATCCCTGCCCTCTTCGTCTCTCTCGCTCTCTTTTTCTCTCAAAGGCAAGGCAAGTTCTCTCTCTCTCTCTTTCTCTCTCTCTCTCTCTCTATCTCTGAGCCATTTCCCAGCGACTTGTAGATACAATTGCCTCGGTTTCTGTAGACGAACTTTGATTTGATTGTTATCATCGATTTCTCTCCAATGTTATTTTTTTTCTTTCTTAGAGTGGAGATCTCCGCATAAATCCCTCATTTCCTCATCTTTCCTCTTAAAATTGAATATCCCATGTCTCTCTCCAATTGAAAGCTTCAGACTTCTCCAATTGATCCTTTGTGAGATCTACGCAACGAGGTAACTCCTGAAGTTTACTCATCTCCTATGCTTTTATCTTAGATGTTTTCATTCAAAGTTTTGGTTTTTGAGTTGGTGGATTACAATTTGCCTAGTTAATTGTGTTTCCATTTGTCTCTTCTCTCCTCTTTTAGGGACAAGTTGTTAAATTTTGATGTTTTTAGGACTGTGTTTGGCTAGGTGTTTGTGATGGATCGTGTCAGCAATTTACCAGACGAGCTTCTCTATCAAATCTTATCCTTCCTTCCCACAAAGGATGCTGCTGTGACTTCGGTTCTCTCAGAGAGATGGCTCAATCTGTGGAAACTCAATCCTAACCTTGACATTGATGACACTGACTTTCTCCATCCTGAAGCTCGTAAAGGAAAGGGCAGAGATTAGACAGAGCTTCGTCGATTTCGTGGACAGTGTACTTGCTAGGCAGGGTGATTCTCCTATCAAGAAATTCTCCCTACGGTGTCTAACTGGTGTCCATCCAGATATTGTGAATCGTTGGATATGCAATGTCCTGAAGCGTGGTGTTTCTGAGCTTGACCTCTTCACTAATTTTCCGACGAGGATACCGGAAATGATGGTTATCGTCTGCCTAGAGAGTTGTTCTTCAGTAGTACACTCATTAAGCTAAAGTTAAGAAGTGAACAGTATCTTGATGGTGGTGCCCTGGCGGGACGACGAGGGATTCATTTTCCTTACCAATGCTTAAGAGTCTTGATCTCGACTCGGACTCGCAGCTGGTGTTTTCTGAGAAGTTTATTCCTTCTTTCCCTGCTCTTGAGGAATTGCGAATTGATAACATGGAGTGGAATGAAATGAATGTAACCGTGTCAAGTGCAAGCCTCATAAAGATAGATGTCCAAGCTGGTTATGAAGGTTCTGTGAATCCGATAAGCGTTTCTTTTGATACTCCAAATCTGCTTTTTTTGAGCTACACTGATTTGGTTGCGGAAGACTATCCAGTTGTTAATATGAATAAATAGTTGAGGCTTCAATCGATCTTATTATAAAGGATGATCACGTCAAGCGACTAAGAGAGCCAGATAATGATTTGTTAGAGGAGGATGATGGCCATGTTGATGTTCTCAAATTTGGCAATGCGGTGAAGCTCATGAATGGCATACAAAATGTTCAGAAACTTGACTTAAGTGCTGATACTATAGAGGTCAGCTTTTCTATTAATGTGTAATCTTTTGGGTCTCGTTCTTGTGAAACATTAATGTCTACTTCTTGTTTTTCAGGTGCTTGCTCTATGCTGTGAATCGATGCCTGTGTTCAACAACGTCAGAATCTTAGGTGTTGTTGGTGAAGAAGATCGAGGATGGCAAGCAATGCCAGCTCTTCTAAGGAACTGTCCGCGTTTAGAAACTATCACCGTTCAGGTAAGAATTGTAGACCATGAATGTAACATGTGTTAGAGATTATGTAAACCTTATATTGTTTCCTTTCTATGTTTTCAGGGACTAATACACGATGTAACTGATAAATGTGGGGATGCTTGTCCCTGCATTTCTCGGGAAGACAGAGGACTTTCACTCAAGTCTTGTCCAGTGAATAGGTTAGAGATTCATAATTTTCAAGGAACAATGAAAGAGATGGCCATGATAAAGCATTTCTTGGAATATTTTCCGAGTTTGAAGAGGTTTGACGTCTTCGTTGAAGATGATGAACCTACACAGCTCAGAAACACTGAATTGTTTAACTGTGTCGTGGAGATGTTCAAAATCTACAACAAGTTGTCGCCGAGCTGCAATCTCCGGCTCCGGGTTTAGTGATTTCTTGGAGAAGAAGTGGAAAGCACAAGAACATATCTGAAGAACAAAACTTGCTCCATAGTTTTTTGCCTTGAATTTGACTTTGCATTTCAGTTCTGTTTAATTTGCTTATAAGCCGTCTCAATCCAAACTAATCGCTAAAGCTGAATCTGTTTCCATTGTTTTATCTTTTGTCAGTTTGATGGTCACATAACGATGTTTGTTGGTGGACATGTAAATCCATTTCTTAATGACAGTACAATGTTTGAATTGGAATGTGTTAGTGGACTATACTTGGTGTAGCTACCAAACATAAAAGTATAAGGGTCAATTAGCTGAATAATAGTATTGAGAGTCATAATAGAGGATATAACCATAACGAATTGGAAATTAGAAATGTGGCAAAAGGGTCCTGTGAATTTACTTGAAAGGGCTTAATGAATTGAGAAGAAATTACTGAAACCGGCTGCAAAGGGAAATGAGATGATGTGGCCAAATAGTGATGTCACCAGTTGGATACACAGGACACAAAACTTCCTCCTCCATGAACCACTTTATCACCATTTTTTGGACCCCAAAAATTTACCAAAGCATATAGCTGTCACTCTATAACAAAAATATTAAGAGCTTGATTAATTTAATAATTTATTAGGATAATTCCAATATTTGGGTAATATCTTATTCCCTTAACCAAACAAACAAATATTCTACACCCTAAACCCCAAACCAAACCTTAAACCTTAACCATAATCTGAACCAACAAACACTGAACCCAACTAACTAAACCGTAAACTAAAACCTAAAGATCCTAAACTCTAAACTCCATCAATCTAAACCTTAAACCCACACAAATCAACCCCAACCAACTAAACATTGAATCCAAAACTCTACCCTAGACCCTAAACCAATAAACCTTAAACCCCAAATAAATAAATAAACTAAACCCTAAACTCTTAACCCTAAACCAATAAACTCTAAACCCCAAACCGATAAACCCTAAACCCAAGACAAAAAAACTAAACCAATAAATCCTATATTTTATTTTGTCGTTTATGATATGGAATGAATTAGTGATATCTCTCATTATATATGATTGGTTTTAAATTCAAGTAATCTTTAGTAATGAAGTTGAGTGCATTTGTTAAGTAGAGCAATGTGGAACAATTTATACACGTTTAGATCTTTAAATTTAACTACACCATTTACCCTCAATGTTACAGCCGTACTATACTACTTAACTAAAATCCATTTCCATTCCATAAAGGTTCATAAAGGAGAATATAGAAATAAACATGTTGTTATGTCGTTTTCTGGTGCATTTGAAAGTGTTTTTCTCTTTCCTCGAAACTGGCAACCCATTAAGCCCTTAACCACACATCTAACAAAAGGGCCATTTCTCTCTCTTATGGAAAGGACACTTTTGACATTATTATGGAATATATGCAAAATATTCTAGCCATAAAAAATAATGGTTATTCTCTCAATTCAGTCTTCCAATATGATTATCTAGTGTAGTTTCCCAAAGTATAAAACATGTGTGAATAATCTAGAGTCTCTAACGTGTGGCTTTGATGTGGCACTCACTTGGACGAAACAGAAAGTCGACAAAGCCTCTTTAGATCCTCTGTGGCTTTCAGTAACATGGCATCATCATCTTCAACTGTTTCAACTCTTGAGCAGTTCCTCATAACCAAGAACACACAAAATCCCTAGAGAAATATCTATCAACCAAAACTAATGTGAAGAGTAATCTCGAATTAATTTAATCATTAACGTATTCTAGAAAATGAAATTGATCATTTAACCTTATTAAGTTTGTACCAGTCCCGGTTTGTTTACCAAATTAAACATAAACCGGATTCTGCATCCATCGCCGTCTTTCAAAATCCCTCATTTCCTCATCGCCTTCCTCTTAAAATTGAATTATCTCCTCCAAGTGAAAGCCTCAGACTTTTCCCTCTAACTTCCGTTGGGTGTAATTGGTTTTCCATATCTTTTGTGCTGCATTATATCTCAATCTCTTCTCATTGGATGCATTCACTGAAAACCCTAAATTTAGGTGATTGTAACGAGGTAATTGCTGAAGTTTACTCATCTCCTATGCTTCTATTTTAGATGTTTTATTCAAAGTTTTGTTTTTGGGTTGCTGGATTACAATTCGTTTAACTGTGTTTTTTTTGTTTCCATTTGTCTCTTCTCTCCTCTTTTAGGGACAAGTTGTTATTTGGATGTTTTGAAGCAGCGACTGTTTTTATATAGGACTGTTTTTGGCTTGGCGTTTGTGATGGATCGTGTTAGCAATCTACCAGACGAGCTTCTTTATCAGATCTTATCCTTCCTTCCCACAAAGGATGCTGCTGTGACTTCGGTTCTCTCAAAGAGATGGCTCAATCTGTGGAAATTTAACCCTAACCTTGACATTGATGACACTCTCTTTCTCCATCCTGAAGATGGTAAAGGGAAAGGGCAGAGATTAGACAGAGCTTCGTCGACTTCGTGGACAGTGTAATTGCTAGGCAGGGTGATTCTCCTATCAAGAAATTCTCCCTAAAGTGTATCACTGGTGTCCATCCAGACATTGTGAATCGTTGGATATGCAATGTGCTGAAGCGTGGTGTTTCTGACTTGACCTCTTCACTGATTTTTCGAGGATACGGAGGATAATTATCGTCTGCCTGAAGAGTTGTTCCACAGTCGTACACTCGTTAAGCTAAAGTTAAGAAGTGAACTCTGTGTTGATTGGTGGTGCCATGGCGGGACGGGCTATTCCTTTTCCTTACCAATGCTTAGGAGTCTTGATATGACTCGGACTATATTTTGTACTAGATTGAGGAAGTTTATTCCTTCTTTCCCTGTCTTGAGGACTTACGAATGGCTAACATTCCGTGGCATGAAAGCATGTAACCGTGACAAGTGCAAGCCTCAGAAAGCTAAACCTCCACGGCATCGGTTGTTTAGATGATGTGAATCCGAGTAGCGTTTCCTTTGATTTGCCAAATCTGCTTTTCTTAATCTACTTTGATATGGTTGCGGAAGACTATCCATGTTAATATGAAGAATCTAGTTGATGCTTCGATCAATCTTCAAGTAGATGATGATGTCAAGCGACTAAGAGAGCCAAATAATGATTTGTTAGAGGAGGATGATGTCCCTGATGTTTCTTCTCCACTTTGGCAATGTGGTGAAGCTCATGAATGGCATACAACATGTTCAGAGACTTTCTTTTAATACTGATACACTCGAGGTCAGTTTTTTCTACTGTATGTATCTTCTTCTGGTCTAGTATTTGTGAAACATTAATTGCAAAAATGTCTGGTTCTTGTTTTTCAGGTGCTTGCTCTAATCTGTGACTCGATGCCAGTGTTCAACAACGTCAAATTCTTAGGTGTTTCGGGTGAAGAAGGTCGAGGTGGCAAGCAATGCCAGCTCTTCTAAGGAACTGTCCACATTTAGAAACTATCATCGTAGGTAAGAATTGTTGACCATTAAAGTTACATGTTGTTAGAGATTTCTTTTTAACTTATATATTGTCTTCTTTATATGCATTCAGGGTCTAATACACGATGTAACAGATAAATGTGGGGATGCTTGTCCCTGCATTTCTAGTGAAGACAGAGGACTTTCACTCAAGTCTTGTCCAGTGAATAGGTTAGAGATTCAAGGGTTTCGAGGAACAATGAAAGAGATGACCATTATAAAGCATTTCTTGGACTTTTTGCCGAGTTTGAAGAGGTTTGACGTCTTCGTTGAAGATGATGAACCTACACAGCTCAGAAACGCTGAATTGTCTAACTGTGTCACGGAGATGTTCGCACTCTACGACAAGTTGTTTCCGAGTAGCAATGTCCAGCTCCTGGTTAGTGATTACTTGGAGAAGAAGTGGAAAGAACAAGGACATATCTGAAGAACAAAACTTACCAATAGTTTTTGCCTTAGAATTTGACTTTGCGTTTCAGCTCTGTTTAATTTGCTTGTTAGCTGTCTCAAACCAAACCAAACCAAACCAATCGCCAAACCTAAATATGTTCCATTGTTATATCTTTTGTCAATTTGATGGTTATGGTGTTGGTCACATAACTATGTTTGTTGGCGCACATGTAAATCCATTTCTTAGTGTAGCTACCAATCATTTTTCCAAATGTATAACATAAAACATGTGTGAATAAACTAGAGTCTAGTACGAGTGGCTTTGATGTGGCACTTGGACGAAACAGAAGCTCCACAAAGCCTCTCTAGATCCTCGGTGGCTTTCAGTAACATGCCATCATCATCTTCCGTAACATCCACTTGAAGCAGCTCAAGGCATTCAAAATTCCACAGAAAACTCTTCAACTGTTTAAACTCTTGAGCAGTTCCTCGATAACCAAGAACACTCAAGACCTTGACGTTGTTCAAAGGCATGCAGATGACGCTTGTGTAACCATCCAGATCCTGAAGAAGCATCAAACAAGAATATTTTACGTAATTTGATAGTCAACTTATACATTGCTTCATATGTTTTGGTTATGGAACGTACCTCGATGACTAGAGTTTCAAGCTTTGGAGAGTGCTTAAGCAGATACACGAGCAATTTCCAACATTTCCTGTTCTTGCTCCCAAGAGATAAGTTAACAAGATTGTCAAACAAAGGCAGAAGCTTCACGAATGGATAAATCACCTGTAAACCAATAAAACACACTTCAAAGAATGTCCTCCACGGATTCTAAAAAACAAAAGAACGAAAAAAGGCAGAGGAACTTGCATCAGCAGAGAAGCACGACAGATGAAGAATCTCAGCATTTCTTATCCCCACAATGAGACTCTTTAAGTTCGGGTTATCAACCATATTTGTCATTTGAAGATCCAGCTTAGCTTCGACTAAAGAATCCAAAGTAACTATTGGATAGTCACCCAATGCGAAACCAGTGTAGTCGAGGTAAGCAAGATTTGGCAGGTCAAATGATAAAACGTGAGATTTATCATCGAAACATATAGGAGAACCGTAATCAACTGATAGTCTCTTGAGAGATGGACTCGTTATGTTGTTAGGCATTTCTGAAAAGTTACTGTAACGTAGTGATAACTCCTCGAGGGCAGGGCAACCAGCAAGAAGCACACAAGACAAACCTTCTTCACCACATTCAAAGAAAACCATATCGAGGAAGAGACTCTTAAGAGATGGAAGTGACACACATGAAGGAAGCTTTTCAAGATAGAGATGTTTTCCTAGTGAGAGCTTAGTCAGCGATTTGCTTGCGAAGAGCTTTGGAGGAAGAAAGCCATGCACACTTGGAGATTTACCCAAAGAAAAAAGACATTGAAATCTAGGAAGTTTTATCATTAGGTCTAGTTCCAAAACACCACGTTCTACGACATTAGATATCCATCGGCCTACACAAGTCTTGTTGCAGTCATTGTTCTTGGCAGCTTTGATCTTTAGAGATAATCTCTTGATGGGATACCCGCATTGCAAAGACAGTGTTCGGTCCACAAAATTCTTGAAGCTCTCTGGAAACACATAGCTTGATTCTTTGTCATCAAGATCAATCTCGAGGAGGTCAGCCAAAAAACTAAACATAGACCTTGATTTTTTATCTTTATCATCAAAATCGAGATTATCCACCAGTCTAAACAAATACCTCCACTCTTTCGAGAGAATAGATGTTGAAGCAGCCTGTTTTGTGGGAAGGAAGGACAAGATTTTGCCCAGAACCTCGTCAGGGAGACGGCTGATTGCTTCTCTTGAGACAGTGTCCATCATTTTGGTATACATGGAGACAAGACTCACAATCTCTTCCCCTAAGCAAGGTTGATTCAACCAGTAAAAACCCTAAAACTTCTTACTCAAGTTATAACGAGCTAAGCTTTTAGCCCGAACAACACAAGGCCCATTTACTGTTCCACTTAAGCTGATTCTTCTTTTGATTTTACTTTCTTGATTATTTCAGTGCAAGTATGAAACCCATGTTCTTCTTTCTACGTGTGGATGTGGTTTGTCCTGAGATGCATTATCAAACAAACAGAGAACAAATAAGACTACACTTGTCTCTAACATTGCCTTTCTCATGTCTTTATTACTCCACCATTAAATGTGAGCTCATGAAATCAACACAAACAATTAAAACAGAGTAACAAAGAAGTTGATTAAAAGTAAAAAAAGGTAAAAAGAGAAGCTGAGTCTGAACAAAGGAGCAGAAAAGTTTTGAGTGAAATACATTCATTTATCCTCACCAAACCCTAATGTTATCAGAGAAGAGAGAGAGATAGAGAAGAAAGAGAGAGAGATGAGTTTTGACGACTTTATATCGCTTGAAGCTGGGAGAAGGAGATTCTGATAATTGATCCGCCAAGAGAAGTCGCGTGCTTGCACACAAGTGCTTCCGCAGCTTCCTCCTCGTTCTCAAACTGCACCAGAGCTTGCTTCTTCCCGTTCATCTCAAACACTTTGGTGTTCACTATCGCCCCATGTTCTTGCACATGGCTCACAACTTCTTCCTCTGTCACGTCTTGCGGAAGAGTCGACAAGTGAATCATCTTTGTAGGGGAGCAGCAGTAGCGGTAGTTCTTTGCAGCATTGCGGTTGAAGCGGTTCAGGTTCGAGTTCACATAGTCATGCGAGTCTGTGCCTGGTGTTATGTTAGGATGCTTTGAGAAGTTTACTTCCAGCCTCTTACCAAACAGCATCGCTCCCTGCAAGCAACACAACAAACACAATTCCGTTTTCACATCATCCATAGCAAATACATTTATATATACAACACTAAACAGGGACATGGACAAACCTTGAGGAAATGAACAGCAAGCTCAGCTTGGAAACCATCTCCCATTTGGATAAGGGCATGGTCAGGTTTGTTCCGGAGAAGCTTTATCCTTACAATGTTCCCGTAAAGAGAGAAAAGATTGAATAGCTTATCCTCATCAATACTCTGCAAACAATGAATCTGGTAAGCTCGAATAACATTGTGTGAAAACGTAAATTGTCAAAAGCAAAACGGAAATGACAAAACTTACATCTGCATTCAGATTAGAGGCAAGGACTGTAACCCTCTCATTTGTGCCGGTTATACCCGGAGGCAAACCTCCTCCAAAAGCAGCGGCAATCGCAGCTGTGTTTGCCATCTAGTAACAGCAAATGTATGAGATATGTTATGCAGTAATCGAAACTTATAACGAGTATAAATAAATCAAGAATGTAGTAGAGGTCTCAATTAATATAAAGAACATATTGGAGAAGTAATGGCGATAAAGTTCCTAAAACCGAGTATCGTGTGCCTAGGATTACACACCTGAGGATATGGCACTGGAAAAGCAAAAAGAATACATGAAAGTTAGCAAAAGAACACAGTGTAGAAGAACATCACTTAGAGATACAACCGTGTAAGACAACATACCTCCTACATCACCATAGCCAGGCTGAAAGAGAAGAGAAAGTAGAGCATTAAGATCGCATAAAATAATACAAAAGCATATGTAAATTAATAAGTAGAGCTGGTCATACATGCGATGAACGGCCTTTTTGCTCTGATGGCAGGTTTGGATTGGTGTAATCCCTATTCAAAGGCAATATTAATCAGTTAAATAAACATCAAATACATCAAATTGTTTAACTGGAAAGAAGGCACATGATCCATACCTAGATCGATCATTGTTATAATTTACTTGCAGCTCGTCAAGGCTGAAAATGAAAGACAGGGTCAATAGTCGAAACACTAGGGGAAAAAAGAAGGAAGTAGAAGCTAACAAGTAACAATATATGCCTTCAACAAGATATGTAAGCAAACAGTGACATACTTTGAGAACTGGATATCCAACTGACAACAGCCGTCATAAATGTTACGACCCTGCCACAAAGAAGGTGACATATATTAATTTCGGTGATAAAAAGGGTAAAGCAGATCTAAGTTTTGTTTTGGTAAAACTCAAGTCTTATAGAAAAGCACCTGAAGAGCAGTTCTAGCAGAGGCAGCACACTGTTGAATCTGATACTGTATAAGAGCTTGGAAACCTAAACAAACCACAAACACGCTTAAAGTTAAAGATAATCAAACAGTACGAAGTTTTCACAGCAATGGTATATAAAAGAGGCCAATAACATGAAACAAACAAACTGCAAAGAAAGGTTCTCTACTAGAAACGCAATCGAATACAAGAGCTAAACAGAATAGAAGAGGGAGAAAAGAACACGGAGAAGCTGACCAGCAGACTTCTGGAAGGTGACGAGCTTCTCCACAAATCCATAGGGAGAAAACACTTGATGCAGGACATCAACAGTGATTGGATACAGCATGTGGTGGATTGTGACTAAGAGAATACGATTCGGCTGTACATCCACCACCATCCCCACGCAGAGACCACCAAGACGGAAAGAAGAGAGAAAGATAAGAAAAGTGAATATAGAGCGAGATAGATAGAAGTGACGGTTAAGAACCACAAGAGAAATGTAAAGTCTCCTCATTTCACATAAATCATATAACTAGACAATAGCACAAACATTATGACATATAAAATATTAGATTTTACATAAACGGGTTAAAAAACACAAACCTCATCTTCTCGTCCATGAATATTCTGCTCTATTGTTGTCAATTCTTGGTGAGAAGAGAACTGGATATACACATTCCTACCTCTGTAGTTGAAAATGTCCAAAATAAATTAGAGGTTATAGTTGGTTGCAAACAGAAGGAAGCAAAGGAAGCAAATAAAAGGAATGTGATGGTCACAAACCTTATGGTTGGTTGCACATTTGTGAAAAACTGAAGAGCACTAACAGCTGAAGAAACATCTTGCATTTGGAGAAGAGCCTTTGAAAGTATAAAAAAAAAGAGAAAACTCACGTAAGCACATGTACGTTCTCCAAAAGAAGAAGATAAAGAGAGCATTTTTAAAGACCTGATTCTTTGCCCTGAGCATCACAAGCTTAGTGATGACACCAAATGGTTGGAAAAGCTGAAGCAGATCATTCTGTTGAACAAAAAATCAAAGTCAAAACTTGATTGTCACCAAATAAAGATGCTCAATTTCTAATCAAGATAAAGAAGAAAGATGGGATTTTTACTTCGGAAATCTCATGTCCAACATTGCGAACATGAATGACTTTGGAAGATTCCGCCATGAAAACCCTGAAACCATAAGAAAAAAACCCAACAAACTCAATTCGACGGTTTCTCAATTCGAATAGATTCAGAGAGATGTCTCGCTTCTGCTCCAATGGAAAATACACACATCGATCAGAAAGAAATATATAACATTGGAGAGAAATCGATGATAACAATCGAATCAAAGTTCGTCTACAGAAACCGAGGCAATTATATCTCCAAATCGCTGGGAAGCGCCTAAAAGAGAGACAGATAGAAAGAAAGAGAGAGAGAACTTGCCTTGCCTGTGGCTGTGAGAGACAAGTGAGCGAGAGAGAGGGAAAGGACACGGAGAGAGAGAGAGAGAGAGAGAGAGAGAGAGAGAGAGAGAGAGAGAATCTGAGAGAAGAAGAAGTGTAGATCGAAGAAGGGCTTGAGAGGGTCTCGTCGTCGATGCTTTAACCCTATCTGATTATCTTTATATTGAGAGAGAGCTTTCTTCTTCGCTTTAAGTCGAACCCTTTTTCTTTGTCTTGCTTTGCTGTAGGACCCAATTTTTCAACTTCACGATAACCTTCTAACGCTATCAGAAGGTTTCCTTATTAGCTTTTCTTCATTTTGATTTTTTGGAATACCCACATAAACACGCATATTATTTTCCTATACAAAGTTATAAATCAATAATTTTTTTATTTTTTTTTAATTTGTTAAATTTTTGATTTTTTTCCTTTTCATACATTACGTCGATATTAGATATTTGAACCGTTTTAGATATTGAGATTATCGATAAAAATAAAATTTAAATTTCTTTCAATATTAGAAGAACTTCAGTTTCTGATTTCATCTTTTTAACTCTTTTATATTAATTTTTATTACAAAATATATGTGACGATTGTCTCTCAAAATAAACACGAACATGTGGTTTACCTTTTATCCATGTAAACTCTTTGGTTCCACCTTAATTAGCACCAGAAACTAACCTACTCTTTGGTCCTCACTCAATATTTAACTTCACAATAACCTTCTAAAGCTATGAGAAGGTTTCCTTATTAGCTTCTCCATTTTTTTCTTAAATTACTTTTATTTTATGCTATTTATTTAGATAAATACCCGCGAAAACAAGTGTATTATTTTATTTTCGTATACCAAGTATTATGAATAGTTGGGAGAAGATATGGTACAAGTTTTGTCAAATTTTATTCGTAGGATGACACATGGTCAAAAGGAAGATACAAAGTGAAAGGATTCATATAAGCTATCACAGTGTGGGCCCTGCAAGCAACTACTTTTGTTTAGGTAGTACATTTGCGAGTGTATATGAACTTTTATAGATGAAGAAGAAAGCAAACGTAAATGTATATCTCTGGGATCGCAAAATTGAAGAATTGAAGTGGTTCGCAAAATTGAGAAGTCTTTGGGATCACGCAACGATGACATACTTTAGAAAACAAAATGAAATTTATCACATGAAATTCAAAGCTTACAAGATCAAGTAGTCAAAAACGAAAAGTGAAAACAGAGATTACATAGCTCACTGGATGCTCATACATCTTTACAACTTATTAAAAATTCTAAAAATCTTATCCCCACATTTCGTAGAACATGCTATGAGGCAGTCTCTTTTAAATACTTTGCCTTGACACGGATTTTTGCAAGAAGCGCAAATTGGCCGAGAGAGATTACTTTTACCAAGTATATGGACCTCCTTCCCATTTACTTTGAAAATTTGACCAGGTCTCATGTATGGGTCTTCACCAAATAAGCATTCAGTATGAAGTGTAGTGCAACACTCATTGCACCAATAGCACATTTTTGTGCATGTATCTCCTAAATTACGTTCACACACCTCGCACCAATCTTTCTGACATACTTCTCCACCCCATATAATGGTGAGAAAGTGTGTGTCATGCTTATACCTCGCTTTGAATGGCAAGGTAGCGCACTTGATACATACAACGTAATCGCAACTGATGCAATTCAACTTATCCTGACGTTCTGATTTGCATACCTCGCATACTATCTTCTCTTCTGGGTCTAAAGACAGGAACAAGGGATGTTCATGACCTTCATAATCAAACGGCTCGGAAATTGAAGCACATCGTACATCTAGATCAAAGTTGCAGTCTCTTATCGAACACTGGTACACAAAGCCACCGCTAACACGATTGCAAGTATCACATTCGAATGCACCTTCGTCATATCCACTGATAGCCTTCAATGTAAGTGGATGACGATGTAACGGGTTTTGTATTCTACGAGGAGCATTAGCGCATGTTCTATGGAGGATGAAGTTGCACTCCATACAAGAATAGAAACTACTTTCAAAGATAGGCAGAACACATGCTTGACAAAACTTGTTTTCGTCATAAAGTGTAGTACTGACCTCGAGCCGGAGATGATGGTCATGAAGAAAATATTGTATCACTCCTTCAGATATTATATCGAATGGCCCAAGATCTTTTGTTATGTCATCATCTTCTGGTACACCTTCGAGCTCTAGTCCATCGCACACATCTTTCCTTAGAGCACATTTTGGATGAACATCATAGCCATCACACTTGTGACAAGTATATGCACCATACTCATTATCAATACTCTTCCGGCAAACTCCACAAGACCGTTCTCGAAGCCGGAGAGAAGAAGTGTAGAAGATACGATGGTTGTGACGTGATATCTTGATGATTCTCGGAAAATACATACAATCGTTGTGAGCTACAAAGTTGCATCTGGGACAAACGTATGTGGGATAGTTTTTTTCTCAACAAACCACAAACGTTGCAAACTAAGGAAGTTTGTCTGGGGAAAAAGGTAAGGGAATGGTCATGTCTTTTTGGTTGGTCTATAACAAAGGGTACGGACTTCATAGCACATACCGGATGCATGAATATCTCACATATACTACAAGTATATACGAGATATTTTACTTCTCTTCCACAGCATACGCATTCATGATTACGAGCTGGAGATGGATGAAAGTAAAGTTGGAGAGAATGTTGGTGGTGGTAAGGGTGTTTGATTTGAAGTGGAGACTCAACACATTCTTTGTGGTATATTTCAGAACTGTAGTCACAAAAATAATAGTCGGTGCCAAATTTTGACCCGCAGCATATGGTGCACCCACCATCGACATCAAATTCTTTATTGTTGCACCAAAACAACGGAAGAATATGATCTTCATGAACCATTTTGAAATTAACCGACGGCTCAGGCTCGTTTCGCTGAGTTCTTGTTGCAGAGAAGACATATTCGGGGGAATAGCTGAGCAAGAAACTGTGAGAATACTCTTCATGGCCGTGTTTTCTCCATCGGTTATGAGGACATAAGAAAAGAAGGTGGTTCTCGGGGGCTGAGGGGATTGGGATTTCTATTTGTGGTTGGGGACAGTACTTCGGGTGATGGTATGTCAAAGTTAGTGTACCATCCTTTTCAACCTCGTGAAATCCACCGATAGGATCCATGACTGCTGCCAGAAATCTTAACGGTTTTTTTTTTTTTTTTTTTTTTTTTTTTTTTTTTTGTTCTTTTGGTGTGTGTGTGAAAGATTTTCTTAGTTGGGATTATATTCAGTTTCCTTCTTCTTCCACATATATTACACGTTCTCTGCACAACCATCTCAAAAACTTTTGGTCTATTCAGGGTTAGTTTCATAATTAATTATTGACCCACTTGATCAAGTGGCAAATAAAAAAATGGTATTCATTCGCTGTTTATATCTCTCGATGCAGACTTTTTCTTTGTTATTAACTCGATTTGAGTTGAGGTCTTTTTTAATGATTTCTTAAGTCTCTACAGATGGTTTCAACCCTTAACCATTTTAAAAACTTTTGGTCTATTCAGGGTTAGTTTCATAATTGATTATTGACCCACTTGATCAAGTGGCAAATAGAAAAAATGGTATTCATTCGCTGTTTATATCTCTCGATGCAGACTTTTTCTTTGTTATTAACTCGATTTGAGTTGAGGTCTCTTTTAATGATTTCTTGTCTCGTTCGATACTTATATACAATTTGCAGATTTGGGATTTAAGTAATAATCAATATGCATGTTCCGATACATTGTCGTCTTTGTTTGTGTTGTGAATGTAATGCATATAGTTCTGATTTCTCTTACAATTAAACATTTTTAGAATTAGTTGCTGATTTCAGTGATTGGTATTATCATTTCAGTGTAGGATATTCTTAACGCAAAAATAGCCAAATCAGTTTAGTAAAGTGACAGAAAATGCAATTGAAACAGAAGCAAAAGCAAACTCGGAACATGCCAAAAGCTTTCAAATGAGGAATATAGAACATGCAAACTCAGTGTTTGATCAGAGAATGGCGCATCGTTCACTCCTTTTAATTCCTGCTTGAGCTTCCAACTCATATGACCTATATAAACTACCAATATCATGCCTTGCCAATTTTTCATGGGGGATCTCCTCCTGCGGTCTTCGCATATAACTTACTCCTGGGGCTTCAAAGAGCCCCTTATGCGCCTCAGCAGCTATTTTAATTTTATACTCCAACTGAGAAAAAGAAATAGATCTTCTTAATGTCCTGTCCTGTCCCCCTTTAATGAATGTTTTTGTTTGACAATGTGTAATATATATTCACAAACACGAGGAGTTTAATTTATACCATATTTGCCACTGCCTTGAGGTTCTTTTCATGCACCAACTGTAACTCCTTCCTCATTGCTTCAAGTTGTTCTCCTGAATGCCCTTTTGATTCAGTCTCCTCTTGTTCTTTCTTGTATCTATCAGTCTCTTCCTGATGAACGATACATACCATTTAGTTTTTGGGAATTAAAACACGCTAGAGACTAATGCAGATGGAATTAAAAAAAGATAAAATTTATATTTAACCTTTATCTTATGGTACATCTCATCAGTATACGGTATATTGTTGTTCTGCTTTCTGACAAGGTCGATAAGGTTGAGAAGCTCATGGGCTTGCTTTGTCCTTTTAGCCTCGTCCTTGGTTCTGTTATCGAACAGGATCATTCGTTGGCCACACAGTTTGAGAACTCTCTGAAAACACATACATATGCAATTGATAATTAAGTCCTCAGTTTTCCCAAATAGTTCATAAATGTATGTGACAAAGCACCGACCTTTATGAAGTCGGGGCAATCACCCAAGTAATTGTCCAGTGTCTCACCATCCTCTTCTAACATATCCCCCGCCGAGAAAACAACGATAACATAATCAACAATTTGACTCCCGAAAAGTACCTGCAAGGTACTAAGTTCCTTCTCTAACTCTTTCGAGAATCTACTTTTGGCCGATACAACTAAGAGTACAGCATGTAGCCCTCCTTCCGCTAGGGTTAAGCATCTGACAATTTCTTTACTTATAAAATCAGCTGAGTCAGACAAATCATACAGACCTGCCACTCCACCCCAGTCCACATTAGTTAAGCATTTACATAAAATTGAAGCCATACAATACAACTATATATATATATATATATATGCATTAACACAAGGTACCTGGAGTGTCAATGAGATTGAGTACTGGCCCTTGTGGTGTCACAGCTCTATACTTCTCGCATTCCTTTTCCTTACATGTGACATCGACTTGAACACCATTTGTCCAGCAATGCTATTCCCGGTGGCGCTTTTTCCGTTCCCTCTTAATCCAACCAGCACTATGTTTTCTATCGGATGTGAATCGTCGGCCATTTGAGGAAATTCGCAGCACCTCTTTTTTTTACATATATAGTCAAATATTTAGCTAGTTGATCCAACCTAACAACACAAGTAATTATCTACAAAGTTTACTGTGATTTAGCTAGTTGATCCAACCTAATAACACAATTTTTTTTTTAAACAAAATTAAGGATTTAATTTAGACCAAAGTTTACTGTGATTTCTACAAACAAGTTTCATTTGATAAATGCATAAAATGAAAGGAGAAGAAAAGGACGAACTTGAGTTTTAACACGGAGACGTCTTTCGGATGTTCCTAAGCTTTACAGATGATAGACAGAGTAGTAAATCTATGAAGCAATTAAGACAAGTTTTCTAAATATATAAACTATAATTTCCATCCAACACATAAATTGGTCTTTGTTATTTTATTTTCCGACAGAAGAAGACTTTACTGAAGCTTGAATTATGCAAAGTCTTTTATTTAATCAGCCAATTAGCCAAACGAAAGATCTTTTAACAAAAAAAATTAGCCAAATGAATCTTTTTCAAGTTGCATCTCTTATTTTTAAAGCTACGAGAAGAGTCTTAGTTTCTGACTTTTGGATTTATATATTCTTTACAAACTACAATTAGCTTAAAGAATGAGCAACTAGAACAGCACTTGTTAATTATTAATATTCCTAAACGGACCAGTGGTAGGAAAAGTTAAAATGTTGATTAAGAAGGTACATAATTTTGAAGGAGTTGTGATCACATTAGAAAAGGGTTGACGAGCATGTGAATTTGAGATTAAAGAAAAATTCTCGAAATGGTGACTCGTAGGCCGTAGCTTTGAAGTAGTTCACAATTGTGAGGAGATACATGAGAAAACATGGTTGTTTTGTGGTAATCTTTTTTAGTCTGTTGTTTTAAGCACCGTAAGTAGGATATTACGTTGAGTTTAATGATAACTGAATGTTGTAAGGTGGTTTGGAGAAAATTATATTTAAAGGCACTTTGACAAAGTTTTATTACAAATAAAGTATTTTCCACTCCAAGTGACTTTGCCCATTTTGAACCACTTTTGAAGGAATGAAAATTCAAAATTGCCCTTTTATTAAGTTGGATTCATTTTCTTCTTTATGAATTTTACTGCTATCGACGTTTCTGAACTTTTTTTTACCGTTACGGAAGAACTCTTCACCGGCATCGGAGGAAGAAGACCATAACAAGACAAAGAAGAAGAGCTTGCTCTGAGAGGCTATGATGAAGAAGCTGCTGATCTGAGAAAATTTGGGCTGTTGAAAATAACATCCAATTTTGCCTCTTGCCTCTGCAATTTTAACAATTATCTCCTCCAAATCTAAATCTAGCACTAAATTGAGATTTTCAACACCGAAGCAGCGCCGTAACGATAGTTTCAAGTTCTAACAGAAAACGTGTAACTAATAGCATAAGTACATATGTACAAGGAGTAGTGGATATACTTGCATATGGATGTTGCACACTTTTTTTTATGGATACTTTTGCATTTAGTATCATGGATTGATCATCGTGGATAACTAATAATAATTTTGGGTTTGAGATTTAGTGTCATTGATGGACAAAGATATGTACAGGTGATATTGGACACAAACAAACAATGGATGACGCACATTTGGACTTTACTTTTATGGATTAGCCAGATACGCAACAAACTAACAAAATATTATGTAGCAGTTTCATTGTGGGATATTACAGATTATTTTGTCTTCGTGGTAATGATATGGTGGATGCCTGCGTATATGTGGTAATGGGCGGTTTAGATGATAATAATAAATTGTTCCAAAGATTTCAATCTGTTGGGAAAAAGTTTTCCCTATTTTCCTCCAAAGATTTCAATACTTCAAAGACGTAGCTAATAACAAGATTATGCGAGATAAATCGTATATGGGTTTCTTTTCTTGGAGTGAGGAGAAGCTGAATATATCTGATATCAGTTTTGTTGAAGTTTGGAGTAGATAAATCTGAGTTTACTCGCGATCATGTCCACGTCTAGATGTCCACGCAATTGTGTCCAGATATTTTTGAGTCCATCTGGACGTCTTTGTTTGGATAATTGCTTTGGGATATGAATGGATATGGCGAAACTCAAACCTCACCATCGAATTTGTATGTGTAGCAAGTGAAATAAGTTTGTTTCACTAATATAACTTGTGGGAAAGACATACTAACGAAATACTAACGAAGGGTTACTAGGCATACCGTTTCCAAAATCATAAACATAAAAGATACAACCACATGAATACACTTGTATATTGATAGTAGACTGTAAACAGTGAAGAGGTCTAAAATACAATAATATTGCCATAGTTTTAGCATAGAAATATACACAAATGTAATACATTCTCAGATTAAACTAATTCATCATGCTCATATGTAATATCGAGTGTCAAGCATTGAAGCAACTAATATACTGAACACATAGATTGTGACTCGTGGACGGGTTTGTATGGATATGACTTTCAATTGTTTGACTCACATTAATTGATAGTACGTGATACAAGAGAATTTGTTGTTTCCTTCTATCTCTATTGTTAAACATAATGTCGTTGTGCATTCAATAAAACGTTATATATTGATAAAAGAAGATTGTTCCCACATTTTATTGTTCTTGATTGTATATATGGTTTTATGTCCATATGTTCAAGGTTTTTTGCTCTTGATGGTATCCACAGTTTCAACTTTCATATATCCATGATTGCATGTTCTCGCTTTCCTGTTCTTATTTGTATCAACATTTTAATGTCCTTTTGATGGGCTACATCTATGAGTATAAACATTTCTTAAGATCTAAAGGCAAAGAAGGATGAGACGAGCTATATGTTTGAAAAGGTTTTGAAGTTACTTATCGGAAAAGCATATCAAAGGTTTGTTTTAAGAAAATGGCTTTGCATTTCGTTAAGTTTTATAAATTGTCAAACTCTGTATTTTACTATTCTCAAAATATATATCAAACACAAAGATAACAAGGTAGGATTAAATAATCTATACAGGCATAAGGAGGTCTATAAACATCCAATTAAGATGATTAAGAATAAAGATGGCTAAAAGTTTCATTGCAAACTAAATCATCTACACAAAATTTAGAAATATGGTTTAACTTGACATCGTTTCAAAGCATCCACATCAGATCATCCACCCGCGTGGTGTATCGATGATTTCATTCCTCAGAAAACGTTCACAATAATGTATTGACAGGTGGTCGTGGACACAGAAAATGAATGTTGAAAACTTTTTTCCTCGAATGGATAGGTGGTAGTGGACACACATGTATATTTGAACGAGGTGATGGGTCAGTGTACACTGTCATATGCGTACATATTGTGTATTGTTTCTGGATTTATGTTTATGGATATACGTCTGTGGGTATGTAGTCTTCATGCGTATTTATGCTATCATTCCGGAAGAGATGTGCAACAAACGTCTCTGATAACAAGCAAAGGCACTTTGTTACGACCACATGTTATTCTAAGTTGTTGAAGTGCGAGGCCGTTGTTGAACTGCAACTATCCATGTGTTTGTCCTCCATGCACCTGTATCAAAGTGGTTAACTATATCCAACTATCATCTATTTATTCTTTAATAAACGTATATGTCCATACTAGTGCTATCCATGAAACTGCATCCATATGGATAGCCAGCCATCCAAGTTAAATGTATCCGAAAATTCGGAGTAGTTGAATATGAGTTAACTCGCGATCATGTCCACATCTAGATGTACACGCAGCCGTGTCCACTTGTGATCTAGTCCACACCCACCTTTGTGTCCACATCTACGTGTTAGATGAATATACCTAGAAATCATATATCTTTAATCATGTCCAAGATATGTGTTAACTCGCGATCATGTCCACATCTAGATATCCACATCTACCTTTATGTCTACATCTATGTGTTAGATGAATATATCTAGAAATTATATACCTTTGTACTGACCAAGGTATATGTTACCTCGCGAGCATGTCCACATCTACCTTTGATACACGACGGAGTAGATGAATATAGGTTAACTCGCGATCATGTCCATATCTAGATGTACACGCAGTCGTGTACACCTCTGATTTAGTCCACATCTGCCTTTGTGTCCACATCTACGTGTTAGATGAATATACCTACGGGTTAATTTGCGATCAGGTCTACATCTACCCAGTCGTGTCCACTTGTAATCTAGATAAATATGTGTTAACTCGCGATCGTGTCCACAGGTAGATGTACACACAGTCGTGTCCACATATAAATATATTCATCTTCTCCGCACTTCAAGAGAAGAAACCCAGAAAAAGATGAAATTGAATCGTGAAAATTTGAGACGATTGAATGAGGAGACGACATGATTACAAACGGATATAGTGAAGTGAGAGGCAGTGAAGATACAGAGTGTGTGAGGTGGCGTTGTTGATTTTTAAGAACCGACCAGAGTCATGAGATTCAGACGGTGGTGAAAGCGGTGGCGTTAGATGGTGTGATAGGGTTTTACAGTTATTGACTTTTTTGTTTCTCTAGTAAAAAAAGAAGGTGAGATGAAGAAAAAAGTAAAACGGCGGCTTTTGGGTAAAAGGAGAAAAGAGGGTTCAATTTAGAAATAGGCTTTTTTGGTCTTTTTAACATACCAAAGTCACCTAAACGTAGAAGTGCCTTTTTTGTTACTTTTAAAGTCCAAAGTGCCTTTAACTGTAAATCACTCGGTGGTTTGTGGAGATTTAATAGTAACGAAGTTTGTAATTTGAAATAAGTTTCCTTCTAATATAATATTAAATATTGCTATGTAATTGACTTGTAAATTCCCAAATTGATTCCATTTTCATATAAATAGCTGTAAACAAAATGAATTAAAAGAATAATATAAGTAGAATAAACAATTATAGAGGAACAATTTCTAGAGGAAATTGACCATTTTTATTCTAGTTATGTGAATTTCATTAAAATTTAGAGGAATGCAGATTCTACTAAATGGTAGTCCACTCATTTTTGTTCCTCTAGAGTGTTAACCGTTGATAAAATGTGATCTGAGAATTCAATGCGTAAGTCGAAGATGGTAAGATAAAAAGCAATGACATGAATAAAAGAAATCTGACAGGTGATAAATCAAAGGAAACACAGATTCAGGTTGACCGATTGGTTTGAACTGAGAAGGTTTAAATGCCAACTAAACAAAACAAAACGACGAAGTCAAATAAGGCAAAAACAATAGAAACAGATTCAGGTTTTGCATTCCAAGGCAAAACTATGGCGTAAGTTTTGGTCTTCAGATATGTCCTTGTTCTTTCACTTCTTCTCCAAGAAATCACTAAACAGGAGCTGGACTTTGCACTCGGAAACAACTTGCCGTAGAGTGCGAACATCTCCACGACACAGTTAGACAATTCAGCGTTTCTGAGCTGTGTAGGTTCATCATCTTCAACGAAGACGTCAAACCTCTTCAAACTCGGCAAAAAGTCCAAGAAATGCTTTATAATGACCATCTCTTTCATTGTTCCTCGAAACTCTTGAATCTCTAACCTATTCACTGGACAAGACTTGAGTGAAAGTCCTCTGTCTTCCCGAGAAATGCAGGGACAAGCATCCCCACATTTATCAGTCACATCGTGTATTAGTCCCTGAATGCATATAAAGAAGACATATAAGGTTACAAAATCTCTAACACATGTTACTTCATGGTCTACAATTCTTACCCGAATGATGATAGTTTCTAAACGCGGACAGTTCCTTAGAAGAGCTGGCATTGCTTGCCAACCTCGACCTTCTTGACCAGAACACCTAAGAATTTGACGTTGTTGAACACAGGCATCGATTCACAGCATAGAGCAAGCACCTGAAAAACAAGAAGTAGACATTAATGTTTCACAAATACTAGACTAGAGAAGAACACAATAGAAAAAACTGACCTCGATAGTATCAGCATTAAGTCAAGTCTGTGAACATTTTGTATGCCATTCATGAGCTTCACCACATTGCCAAATGGAGAACAACATCACGTCGTCATCATCATCATCATCATCCTCCTCTAACAAATCATTATTTGGCTCTCTTAGTCGCTTGACGTGATCATCTTTATATAAGATTGATGAAGCTTCAACTAATTTCTTCATATTAACTAATGGATAGTCTTCCGCAACCAATCAAAGTAGTTCAAGAAAAGCAGATTTGGAGTATCAAAAGAAACGCTCTCGGATTCACAGAATCTTCACAACCGATGCCGTGGAATTTAGCTTTCTGAGGCTTGCACTTGACACGGTTACATCATTTCATCCACTCCATGTTAGCCATTCGCAATTCCTCAAGCACAGGGAAAGAAGGAATAAACTTCCTCAATCACCACTAACTGAAATATCTCCGAGTCGATATCAAGACTCCTAAGCATTGGTAAGGAAAAGGAATAGCTCATCGTCCCGCCAGGGCACCACCAATCAACACAGAGTTCACTTCTTAACTTTAGCTTAACGAGTGTACGACTGTGGAACAACTCTTCAGGCAGACGATAACCATCATCTCCGTATCCTCGTTGGAAAATCAGTGAAGAGGTCAAGGTCAGAAACACCACGCTTCAGGACATTGCATATCCAACGATTCACAATGTCTGGATGGACCCAGTGATACACTTTAGGGAGAATTTCTTGATAGGAGAATCACCCTGCCTAGCAAGTACACTGTCCACGAAATCGACGAAGCTCTGTCTAATCTCTGCCCTTTCTCCCTTACCATCTTCAGGATGGAGAAAGAGAGTGTCATCAATGTCAAGGTTAGGATTGAATTTCCACAGATTGAGCCATCTCTTTGAGAGAACCGAAGTCACAGCAGCATCCTTTGTGGAAGGAAGGACAAGATCTGATGAAGAAGCTCGTCTGGTAGATTGCTGACACGATCCATCACAAACGCAAGCCAAAAACAGTCCTATAAGCTAAAAGTAAACAGTTGTGCTTCAAAACATCCCCAAATGTAACAACTTGTCCCTAAAAGAGGAGAGAAGAGACGAATGAAACAATAAAAAACACAGTTAACTACGCAAACTGTAATCCAGCAACCCAAAAACAAAAACTTTGAATAAAACCATAACATAGAAGCATAGGAGATGAGTAACTTCAGCAATTACCTCGTTACAGTCACCTAGATTTAGGGTTTTCAGTGATTGTGTCCAATGAGAAGAGACTGGTGAATATATGGCACTACAAGCGAAGATATGGAAAACCAATTACACCCAACGGAAGGTAGAGGGAAAAGTCTGAGGCTTTCACTTGGAGAGAGACATGGAAAATTCAATTTTAAGAGGAAGATGAGGAAATGAGGGATTTTGAATTGAAGACGGCGATGACGGAGGCAGAGTGTTAATGTAGGTTCTATATAACCGGTTTTGTTTAATTTGGTAAACAAACCGGGATTGCTGAACTCTTCGAAAGTAATTATAAGACAGCGGTTTTAATTGTATGGCACTCTTTTTAGTTCTTGTAATTTGAATTCCCCTGTTTTCTCTATTTACTTTCCAATTCTACAAGACTTTTACCACTTTTTCACATTACTCCCCAAAACCTTTAAACCAGTCCAAAATAAATACAACCAAATGACTATATAATATTGTTTTAATTAGTACTCTCACCCGATCATATGATTGTACACACATGTAACTAACTAAAGCCATCATCTAAGTTATGAGAACATTGAGAAGTGTACAATTCTTACCAAAAGAAAAAAAAAATCAGATTTTGGGTATTTTTATAAATAGAGATGTGGAACAATTAATGGATAATTTTAAAAAACAATCACCTAAAAATGGTATTTCTGAAAGTATCCCTTTCTTTTGATATCAATTTAAGTAGGAAATACAGAAATAGACACCATTTCGGTAGTTTAAGGCATTTGACTAAGCCGACAAAGTTTACGTTGGTTAGAAGAGTTTCTATTTCAAGACACACTATTATATGACTAGGAATCACATACTGTATGATATTTTTTTGACCAACAGGTTAACATACTGTATGATATTAAGACAACTAAATAAGAGAAACACATCACAAAATCGTTGAAGACAAACAAAAGATGAAATCACAGACAGCTCTAATATGCATTGGCATGCTCTCCCTCTTTGTGATGAATCAGTGTATGTATAAGTCTCTTCGTCTATGTATCACATGTGTCTCTCTCTCTCTCTCATTTTTTTTGTCATTGTCAATGTTTGGTTAATGATGTGTGGTTTCAAATATGCAGGTATGCACGTGAATGCTAGAGAAATCGACTCGAGCAAGATCAAGATTAGACCACGTATCCATAGCCAATGCTCAGAATCCTTTTTTAAAAAAGATTATTGGTGTTGTTTTCATTGATAATCGTTGTTTTAATAAAAAAACCGTGTGCGAGGCTCGTTGTCCTCCTATAAAATGAAACCTTTAATAAACTAATGCACCACACTATGTTTTACTGTTTACAACTATGTTGTTTTCATCGTTTTAAGAACGATCTGCATAACTGTTTTGGTTATGTATGTTATGTAATATGAGTGTAACGACTGTATCCAAGTTTATTACAGTAAATAAATGTTTAAATGGTAAGATTTCATGTTCATGTTGAAACAGATTTCTATTGCAAAGAATCTCATGTATCGAACACGAAACATATATGTTGACAACATCCTCTATTGTTTTCTTCTCGAAACGATCACACAATATATCTGTAGTTTCCTAAACTCACATTATAATCCATTTGCAATAGGAAGTTAAAAAATTCATAAAACCACCAAACTCCAAAACAGTAAAGTACTTAACAAAACAAAACTCCACTGGATTGTTTTAAAGGATAACATCTCTCGGAAACAAGTAGCAACAGATACCAAAGATAAACTTTAGGGAGATTAGAAACATTAGAAACAGATTCAGGTTTTGCATTCCAAGGCAAAAACTATGGTGTAAGTTTTGTTACTCAGATATGTCCTTGTTCTTTCCACTTCTTCTCCAAGTAATCACTAACCAGGAGCTGGACATTGCTACTCGGAAACAACTTGTCGTAGAGTTTGAACATCTCCGTGACACAGTTAGACAGTTCAGCGTTTCTGAGCTGTGTAGGTTCATCATCTTCAATGAAGACGTCAAACCTCTTCAAACTCGGCAAAAAGTCCAAGAAATGCTTTATAATGGTCATCTCTTTCATTGTTCCTCGAAACCCTTGAATCTCAAACCTATTCACTGGACAAGACTTGAGTGAAAGTCCTCTGTCTTCACTAGAAATGCAGGGACAAGCATCCCCGCATTTATCTGTTACATCGTGTAAAAGACCCTGAATGCATATAAAGAACAAATATAAGTAAAAAGAAATCTCTAACAACATGTAACTTTAATGGTCAACACAATTCTTAGGGCCCCAATTCTTACCTTCATGATGATAGTTTCTAAATGTGGACAGTTCCTTAGAAGAGCTGGCATTGCTTGCCAGCCTCGACCTTCTTCACCCGAAACACCTAAGAATTTGACGTTGTTGAACACTGGCATCGAGTCACAGATTAGAGCAAGCACCTGAAAACCAAGAACCAGACATTTTTGCAATTAATGTTTCACAAATACTAGACCAGAAAAGAAGATAATACAGTAGAAAAAACACTGACCTCGAGTGTATCAGTATTAAAAGAAAGTCTCTGAACATGTTGTATGCCATTTATGAGCTTCACCACATTGCCAAAGTGGAGAAGAACAGCATCAGGGACATCATCCTCCTCTAACAAATCATTATTTGGCTCTCTTAGTCGCTTGACCACACCATCATCTACTTGAAGATTGATCGAAGCATCAACTAGACTCTTCATATTAACCACTGGATAGTCTTCCGCAACCATATCAAAGTAGATTAAGAAGAGCAGATTTGGCAAATCAAAGGAAACGCTACTCGGATTCACATCATCTAAACAACCGATGCCGTGGAGGTTTAGCTTTCTGAGGCTTGCACTTGTCACGGTTACATGCTCTTCATGCCACGGAATGTTAGCCATTCGTAAGTCCTCAAGCAGAGGGAAAGAAGGAATAAATTCCTCAAGATCACTAGTACATACAATATAGTCCGAGTCCATATCAAGACTCCTAAGCATTGGTAAGGAAAAGGAATAGCGCTCCGTCCCGCCATGGCACCACCAATCAACACAGAGTTCACTTCTTAACTTTAGCTTAACGAGTGTACGACTGTGGAACAACTCTTCAGGCAGACGATAATTATCTTCTTCCGTATCCTCGAAGGAAAAGTCAGTGAAGAGGACAAGTTCAGAGACACCACGCTTCAGCACATTGCATATCCAACGATTGACAATGTCTGGATGGACACCAGTGATGCACTTTAGGGAGAATTTCTTGATAGGAGAATCACCCTGCCTAGCAATTACACTGTCCACGAAGTCGACGAAGCTCTGTCTAATCTCTGCCCTTTCTCCTTTACCATCTTCAGGATGGAGAAAGAGAGTGTCATCAATGTCAAGGTTAGGGTTAAATTTCCATAGATTGGGCCATCTCTTTGAGAGAACCGAAGTCACAGCAGCATCCTTCGTGGGAAGGAAGGATAAGATCTGATAAAGAAGCTCGTCTGGTAAACTGCTAACACGATCCATCACACACGCCAAGCCAAAAAAACAGTCCTATAACAAACTAAACTAGTCAAGCTGCTTCAAAACATCCAAATTTGTGCCCTAAAAGAGGAGAGAAGAGACAAATGGAAACAAAGAAAAACACAGTTAACTTGAATTGTAATCCAGCAACCCAAAATCAAAGACTTTGAATAAAATTCCTCTAAAATAGAAGATAGGTAGGAGATGAGTAAACTTCAGCAATTACCTCGTTACAATCACCTAAATTTAGGGTTTTCAGTGAATGCATCCAATGAGAAGAGATTGATGAATATAATGCAGCACAAGCGAAGATATGGAAAACCAATTACACCCAACGGAAGTTAGAGGGAAAAGTCTGAGGCTTTCACTTGGAGAAAGACATGGATAATTCAATTTTAAGAGGAAGCCGGCGATGAGGAAATGATCAAATGAGGGATTTCGAAGTGACGACGGCGATGGATGCAGAATCCGGTTTTGTTTAATTTGGTAAACAAACCGGGACTGCTAACTTTGGGCTCTAAGTAATAAAAAGGCAAGCCCAAGTAGAGATGCCCAGTGGCAAAATGGTAATTCGCTGATTTAAATTTATATGTTTGAAACTTTCGTATAAACACGAATTGAAAACACTGCCAAATGGAAGAATATAGTGTTTAGATGCCCAGTGGAAAAAGAATCGAAAAGGAAGAATATTGTGTTTATTGTTTGTGGAACTTTTACAATTACAATACACTAGTAGCTTAGGTTGCATGAAAAATTCCACTAAAGTGTGTCAAAGTCAAACTGATCAGCATTTCAAAGTGTTTGTTTTACAAAGTATAGACAAAAAAATGGGTATGCTAAAATTCAGTATCTTGTATAGCTGTTTTGTGTTTATGTTTAACTTTAATTATTTCTCTAATTTTCTTTCTTTTACATGCATATATGTTATTCATCTTTTGTGATTACGCGATGTATATCAGAAGAAACTATAAACATTCTGATTTTGGCTCACTTAATTTAACATATTTAATAACAGCATTCTCAATATTAGACCCTAACGCTTTCTTGAACACTGTCAAGTTTAGTTGAAAACATCAAACTTCATGTAAATAAATAAAATAAGATATAATAATAATAATATTTAAATTTGCAGTTAATATTGAAAACAAAAATGTAAAATAAGAAAAAAAAATGAAAAAATAAGAACACAAAGCTATTTGAAAAAAAAAAAAAATAAAAGAAAGAAAAAATAAAAAAAAAAAAAAAAAAAAAAAATAAAAAAAAAAAAGAAAAAAAAAAAAAAAAAAAAAAAAAAAAAAAAAAAAAAAACATCAAACTTCATGTAAATAAATAAAATAAGATATAATAATAATAATATTTAAATTTGCAGTTAATATTGAAAACAAAAATGTAAGGGAAGTTAATGGGAGATGAATTAGTATATATATATATATATAATTTATTGATTTTAAAAATTGAGAAAATTATTATATTTTTTGAAAGACTTTTTTAGATTGGCAAAATGTTTTTGTAATTAGAAAATTTATTCAAATAATTTAGCTATAATGACTTCGAGAATCTAAGATATATATATATATAATATTTTGAAAATTTTGTTTTATGAGTTAACTTTTTAAAAATTTATGTCCCAATAACAAAGATTTTAATAGAATCATGACTCCAGTCATTTTAGTAAAAATGTCAAAATTTACTAATCACTAACAATAAATTTTGAAATTTTTAACAATCATGTAAAATCCATTTCCCATCCACCTCTCCTCTCTTCAATAAACATAGCAAGAATATCAAACTTCATTAAGTAATTAGCTGAACTGTATTTACCAAAAGTTAGTTTAAAGGTAAACACAGAGAGTAGTTAATGTTAGATTAAGAAAGTCAATTATACACATCCCTAATTTATCGAGCGTATCATTGACTTTCCTAATCTAAGGCAATGAATGGAGAGCGTTAATATGGTGGGCGGACTGCCTAAAGCGGAGGAATCACTTTAATTTTCCCATTCAACATATAAACTAATTATATTACTGTGCATAATAAAAAAAAGCATGAACCGCAAGTGGTTTAACTTTACTCTTGTAATAATAGATCCACTAGTAACAGTATTCCAGCTGCAAATTTGCAGTGATACAGCAGTTGGCACACAACTCAACATGAGAGATAACTGTTTTTATTATTATATTTTGTCTTAAAATACATAATTTTTTTTTGAGCCCATATCTCAGTTGCCCTATATAAAGAATTTCATGTTTTCACTTAAAATCACACACACATTCAAAACCAATTCGTACTTGTTTCTCTTGCTACTGAAACCTTTTAAGAGTCTTACATTGCAAACCTTTCAAAAATCAATACTCAAGGTACGTAAAGTTTATAAACAAAATACACGTATGATTACTATGTATAAAAGTATACCTATAATATTTATATTTTATATTACAATCAAATGTATATGAAATTTTTCTTTTAGTTACAAGTAGACTTATACAGAATTTTAATTACTCATATATATATATATATATTCTCAAATTCAACATTTATATCTAAAATAATCTAAAGATGTATATAATTTTTTTTAGCTGATATTTTAACCAAAACCTGTATATTTTATTTTTCTTTCACATTAAATCATAGATTTTATAATTTTATATTAATGTTATTTTTTCAGTAATTCTAAGATGTTATAATCATTTACTAACTGCCTGATTTTTGTAATGACATGCATGCTAGATTATAATTTATATGTGAAATCATTATAATTATAAATATTTATTTGTAAATCGTTATAGAGTTTTAAGAACAAATGAAAAAATGATGTTTGTCACATTTGGATATATATAATAATCAAAATTATAATTATAAAAATAATTAAAAAACGTAAGAAGATGTGAGTAGTTTTAATTTACATTTAAAAGAAAATAGTTCTGTTAAAAAAATAAAATATATAATATTTATAAATCACATGTTTACATATTTTTTTTATCATGCATATGCATAGTTATGTCAGTTTTCAAAAATGAAAACAATTATATTAATATTTTTTTTAAATTGTAGATATGGCATCTAATCGTCAACGAAACTCAAGTTCCTCTGTGCAACCAAATACAAATGTTCCCACCGAAACATCAGCACGGGTAAATAATTCTAATTTTAGTTTTACTTTATTCGGTGTAATTATAGTTTGTATGAAAAAATATTTATTTATTTTTATCAAATTTGTAGAACGGAGCTAATTTTAAATGGACCCCTAGTCGAGAAAGAATACTGCTTGAGTTGTACGATCAAGCAAGTTGCTATGAATAATTACCGTATAAAAGATCCTCTTCCTTTGGGTAAACAATTTATGGTTGAAAAGTTTAACGAGAGGTTCGATCTTGATATAACTTATAAGTTTTTCAAAGAAAAACTTGATAATATGAAAAAAAAATATAAAAAATATACGCATCTTATGGAATCAACTGGCATCTCCGTTGATCCTCTTACCTCTGTAATTGAAGCATCAGAGTCATGGTGGACAGATCGTGAAGTAAGTATACATAATCTTAGTTAAATTAACTAGAATTATTATTGTTTATTAATATTTTAATCTCCTAATAATAGGTGGATAAAATTGTACATGCATTTAAACGACAACCACCAGCACACTGGGATATAATGCAACGCTGTTTCGTATTATATAATGTTCATTCTCAGCCTCAATACTCTGTCAACAAAGAAGAGAAGAGATGTTGAATGAAAATGTTACTAATGAAGATGATTTGTTCCCAGACCCCTTTGATAGTGAGATGCCACACAATCAAGTTCCGGAGACTGAAGGTACTGAAGAAGTGTATCGGGTCAACATTGATGAGGAAACCCATCCTTCGAACGAGTTTACTTACGAACATATCCGGCGTAGTTCTTCAACCGTTGATCCAATCCAAATTCCAACTTCCAGAGTTCAAAACCGAAGTAGAGGAAGACGAGGGAGTACTTTACAAAGATCTGCAGGAACTCACGAGTCTCTCAAGGGAGTGGTCCACGAGGAAGTCGGAAAAAACAATCATTTGAGGCAACATTGACAGATACAATGGCTGGCTTTAGGGAGTTTCAGCGCCAAAGTATTCAACAATTACGCCCAAATGCATTTGACCAAGATGATTATAACGAGTTTGATGTGGCTGTGAAGATTTTCGAATCGATGGAGCTGCCCAATGACACAGACTTTTACTGGGCATGCATTCGAGTATTTAGAGAAGATGCATTCTGGCGTAAGTATTTCATTGATAGAGCTGATAAGCCTTTCGAAGAAAGATACAATTTTTACAAGCTGTAACTGGACTTACACGCAATGATGAACGTGTGGAGAAGCGTTTAAGCTCGGGTAAACATTTTGGGAGTCAAAGTTCCGGTGGTTGTCATTCAGGTAGTCCATCTTCTGGTGGTAATAATTCATGGGGTCAGACTTCAAGTAGTCAATGGGGTCCTGGATTTCAACAATGGGGCACACCACCAAATGCTCAACAATGGGGCACACCACCAAATGCTCAACAATGGGGCACACCACCAAATGCTCAACAATGGGGCACCACCAAATACTTCACAATGGGGAGCACAACAAAATACCCAACAATGGAGTTCACCGCCAATAGCTCCACGATGGGGAACACCTCCAAATAGTCAACAATGGAATTCGCCACCGATTGCTCCACAATGGGGATCATCATCACATCCTCAACAATGGGGTTCGTCGCCAAATTCTTCACAATGGACCTCAAATGAATATTCAACATGGATTCCCAAAGGAAACTCGACATGAAACAACAAGAACTTCACCTGAAAGAGTTTCTGCAGAAGTTTCGATGCCTAATCCAACAAATATGGCAAGAGGAGTATCCCCAGAATTTGGTTTACAAATTATGCTTCAACCGAACAAATATCACGACCACGCAAAGTAGGAGGATTATTCAACATATGGGGAACCAAACGAGGACCTAATTTGAATGAAAGCCATCAAAGCGATTCAAACAATGAAGATTAGATTATTAGCATGTGTGTTTTATTAATAATGATTGTTTCTTATTTTCTATTTTTAAAATGTATTCATGTTGTTCAAAAAAAAAGTATTCTATGTATTATGTGTTATTGATTTCTGTTATCAATTCGATTCTAATCTTCTTCTTTTTTTTTATCAAAATATAGGCTTTTCGTATCTGTCAGCTGCGAGCACAAGGAATTCAATTTCTGAATTATGAAGAGAGAGTTGAGTTGTGGAATTTGGAAAACGAGCAATTTGAAGAGTTAATAATTCAACCAGCATTGAGTTATTACAATCGGTATTTTGCAAGGGGACCAGTTCAGACAGATAATGGTTTGGGGTGGAGAAATATTTGGCGTCGATTACAAGAAGATCATGCTGCTTGTCTTCAGTTACTACGAATGTCGTTGAACTGTTTTAGAACATTGTGTGATAAACTGGAAACAAATTATGGATTACAGCCAACCTTAAATGTAAGCATTGAAGAGAGTGTGGCTATGTTTCTACGGATATGTGGACATAATGAAGTTCAAAGGGATGTTGGATTGCGTTTCGGACGAACTCAAGAAACAGTGAAGAGAAAATTCTTTGAAGTTCTTAACGCGACTGAGTTGCTTGCTTGTGATTATATCAACACTCCAACAAGTGAAGAACTTCTTAGGATTCCTGAACGGCTTATAATGGATCGAAAATATTGGCCATATTTTAGTGGATTTGTTGGAGCAATGGATGGAGTTCATGTATGTGTTAAAGTCAAGCCAGAATTGCAAGGAATGTATTGGAATCGACATGACAGAACTTCATTCAACATCATGGCAATATGCGATTTGAATATGTTATTCACATATGTTTGGAATGGAGCGCCAGGATCATGTCACGATACCGCAGTGCTCAACACGGCACAAGAAAAGGATTCTGAATTTCCTTTGCCTCCGGGAGATAAGTATTACGTGGTTGATTCCGGTTATCCAAATAAACAGGGTTTTCTTGCTCCTTATAGATCTTCAAGAAACACGGTTTTTCGCTATCATTTGTCTCAATTCGAGAATGGTCCCCCTCCACGGAATATGCAAGAACTCTTTAACCGTTGGCATGCATCTCTACGTTCAGTTATTGAGAGGACATTTGGAGTTTGGAAGAAGAAATGGAGGATTCTCTGTGAATTTCCTAGATATAATATGAAGGTACAAAAACAAGTGGTAATGGCTACAATGGGATTACACAATTTTATACGGATTTCAAATTTTACAGATGATGATTTCGGTGAACAAATGGGACACGCAGAAATGGAGAATATAAATTTTGAGGGTGATTTAGGTGACACAGAAACTACAGAAATAGCTGAGGGAGATCTTATGGCGAACATCAGAGATAATATTGCAAAATCGTTATGGGCAAATCGAAATAATCTGTATTAAAAATGTTAAGAATGTGTTGTATTATAATTTTTTTCTACTGTTTGATTTTTTTGTATTTGAAATTATATTTAAAGTTATATTTTTGTTTAAAATATATATATGCAATATTTTTTTATTATATATATGAACAGTGTTTTGAACCGCTAATTATCCACTTTCACCATTCATATATATTTTTTGGAACGCTAGAACCGCTTAAACCGCTAGATCCGCACTTGTACCACTTGATCCGCTAGAACCGCTTTTGATCCGCTTGATCCGCTCGATCCGCAACGCTTGATCCGCTTTCTCCATTAGGAGCCTAACAAACAGTTAACAGTTGAGTAAGTGGCTTCGGACAAACTTGGTCCGCTTAATAAGAAAGACTAGTTAACACTTTCCCCTTTTGCCACTCTTTTATCCGCCAAATCCGGCATGATGCGGCGACTATCGGCTCAGATGTCCGGAGCCGGACTTGGGATCGCCGCGATATCATACGTGGCTGTTGATTACATGAGATACGTGTCACCGGCGTGGCATTCTCGTCTTCAACCAGTTCTCTGGTCGGCCCTGATTCTCGCCGTCCTCACGCGTGTCCCGTTCTACAAGCACTGGTCTAAAGAGCTAAGAGCAGCTTTACCTTTCCTCGCTTCCGTCGTCTTCCTGCTCGGAGCTCTTCTCTTTGAAGCTCTTTGTGTTCGCTCCGTCACCGCCGTTCTTGGCCTGGATTGGCACCGGTAAAGTTAGATCCGTTTCAGATTTAGCTTCGAAAATTGTTTGTTTTTGAGTGTAGTTTTGACTTTGAGCTGAGCTGATTCAGATTCTGCTCTACACTTTTGACCTCGTTGAGTGCTTCTGGATCTGATTTGAGTAGAAGAACATGGTTTGACTTGAAATATCGAACTAATTTCTAAATGTGATTTAGAATCTCGACAAAATGTTGTTTTAGTTGATTATAGTGGCAATTAATAGAAAATTGTGAATATAAACATATCAAACTTCACTTGATTAATAAGTTATAAAAATTGAAATTGTTAATCTGTGATGTTTATCTAATCTTTTTACATGATTACCGTAATGTTTCACTAGGCTATAGTTCATTAAAGATAGTTGATTAATTAAGTAAAATTTGAATATAGCATTAATTGAATATTTATGCATTTATGTAACTATATTATCATTATGAGAAATATTTAGTGAGAATGTTCAAGTTTCTAGTAGCAATCAAGTAAAGCTCATCAACATTACATCAATATTTTCTTGGATGTTTAATGCATTTCTGTAACTATACTATCATTACACTAATCTTTTGTTGAATGTTTTATGCATTTCTGTAACTATATTATCATTCTGAAAAATGATTTTCAATCTTTGATAGGGAAACGTCTCCACTCCCTGACACAGGCCAATGGTTCCTACTCGCACTAAACGAGAGCCTTCCGGAGACAATTGTTTCGATCCTAAGAGCTCACATCATCACACTACACCATTTTCTTATGCTCTTTGTAATGTTGGCCTTCTCGGTAGCATTCGACTCGGTGAAACCTCCCGGTCTAGGATTAGGCGCCCGGTACATCTTCACCATGGGACTAGGCCGTCTTCTAAGAGCCATAACCTTCATATCAACCATATTACCTTCCGCTAGACCGTGGTGCGCTTCAGCCCGGTTCAAAAACGTCCCTTCTCATCCTCATCAATGGGCTCAGAAATATTATACCCCTTATGCTAAAGACCCTTCTGCTATACGCCAGCTCCTCCATTGGGACACAGCTTATGGTAACATCTAGTCTCAGTTCACGTACTATTGATGCCTTTTGGTCGTTTAGAGTTTATGATGAGATTGAGAAGTCTTCTTTTTGTATTAACAGCTGATCAAGGAAACTACATTGGTGACTATAGAGCTGATTGGGGTGCAATGAGCTTCCTAAGTGAGTTCTTGAGACCGAGTTACTCGGAAGGGTCTTCATGGTTTGCTCTGCTAAAGAAAGCTGGAGGTGGTTGTAACGACCTCTTGTACAGTGGACACATGCTTGTAGCGGTCTTGACGGCTATGGCTTGGACGGAGGCTTATGGAGGTTTCTCTTCAGCGATGATATGGTTGCTGGTGGCGCACAGCGCGCAGAGGGAGATACGAGAGCGGCACCACTACACGGTAGACTGCGTTGTGGCGATTTACGTCGGTGTGCTTCTGTGGAAAATGACGGGTTTTGTCTGGTCGGATAAGAGGAAAACGAAGCAGGCGGAGAAGCTAGAGAAGATTCAGAAGAGGCTGGTTCACGCTGCGAAGGATTCGGATATGGAGGCTGTTAGGAGGATTGTGGAGGAGATGGAGGCAAGCCTTGGGGAAGAGAAGCAGAGTGGTGTCGTCTCGAAGAGGACTATGACTGTGTTTGCTTGTGCCACAGTGTTCACAACGCTTGGTATTGTGGTTATAGCTTTGACTTTGACCAGCGACGGTTAAAAATGAGACCTTGAGAGGCTTTAGATCAAAGATAAGATTAATTAGTTGTCTTTTCCACGGTTTCTACGATTTGTTTTTTCTATGTTTGTTGTTTGTAAGTGTCGCTCAAAATTTTGTGTTACTTTTTTGACATTTTTGATTTATAATCAAGAACCACTAATTCATATAGTTTCCTTTTTTTTTTTGAACATCTATTCATATAGTTTCCAATTTAACTGATTATCTAGTAATAATATTTTTCTTATATTTTAAATTTACCTAAAATGAGTACAATTGGATTTTAAAGCAATTTATATGTTTTGTTTATTTATGAATATTTTGGTCATTTTAGACACAAAAAAATTACTTTTTTTTTTATACACATTCTCCATTTGTAAGAATATTTTTGTCTGGTCCTTCTCCTTACAAATTGGATTTGTTTATCCAAAACCAAAATGTCCAGTTTCAGCATAACTCTACCGTTTTCCGGCTTCTTCAATGGCGATTTCTCTCCCAACCACCACCTATGCCTCTCTACATTTCTCCCCGGAATCGTCTAATTCCGTTTCGTCCTCGTCGATGCTATCTTCTCTTTCATCCTTTCGCTTACCGTCTCAGATTCGCCGCTTCGGAATCCGCCACGAGAGGCTTAACTCGCCGTCGTCGCCTCGCTTCGCCCCACTCACTGTAAGCTCTCCTTCCACTTCAATCCCTAAAACATCTTTCTATTCCAGTTTCGTCTCTCGTGGTTCTATTTTGTTCATCATGGTTTAATTTCGTAGATTAATAATCAATTGACTAGCAGCTACATTGTATTTGAATTTTCCATATTATTCCGTGTTTATATCTAAAAGATAGAATCAGTATGTGTAATAAGATAATGTAAACACTGAGATTGATTCGCAATTGAAACAAGAAGGAGAAAGAAATCTCAGAGTGGATAAATGATTTCGAATGCAGGTCAGAGCAAAGAAGCAAACTTTCAACTCTTTTGATGATTTGTTGCAGAATTCTGACAAACCTTTACTAGTAGACTTCTACGCGACATGGTTAGTTATGTTTCAGGTTGATTTGTAATGAAGCAAGCACCAATATGGTTACAGAGTTGTTGTTTCTGTTTCTTCAGGTGTGGTCCATGTCAGCTTATGGTACCTATACTCAATGAAGTGAGTGAAACTCTGAAAGATAAGATCGCGGTTGTGAAAATCGATACTGAGAAGTACCCAAAACTTGCTAACAAATACCAGATTGAGGCCTTGCCTACATTCATCTTGTTCAAAGATGGAAAACTCTGGGACCGTTTTGTAAGTTTACACATCTAATGGCATTGTTTGTTCTCTCTCTTTGTAACACAAAAAGTTCTGAACTTTCTATGACATGACAGGAGGGTGCTTTGCCAGCGAATCAACTCGTTCAACGGATCGAGAATTCTTTGCAAGTAAAGCAATAGATATGGTAAAACCAAGAAGACAAGAAACTTGTCATTTATGAACAAACAATACGTTGTGACAAAAATATCATTGTTGATTGTTTTGCTCGGTACCTATTCTTATTTTGGCATCAGCCATTTTTCTTATTTGAGAGAGAAATGTCAATATGTCTGCTTATTTCGAGTAAAAAGTTGACGAATAAACATTGTTTTTGTCAACACTTTCACGTTTATATAAGATGTTGATATTTATGTAGGAAATTTTGAGGCATAAAATAAAACAAGCATATATCATATGTTAAGTCACCAAAATATTGGACCAGTTTCAGTTTAATCTGATCCTACACAATAGAACTAAGCCGAACTGAACGAGAGAAGACAAAAGAGAAGAAAAAATGAGTTAAACTTTTCAGTTTTCAGTATTCTGAAAATTACATAATTCTCTCACACTTTAATTGTTTTCCACATTTGCTTTCTTTTGTGCTCGCATCAGTTTCATCCTACAAAATAGAAGCAAGAATTTGATTCAACTTTTAAGTTTTAACCATACTAAATCAACCAAATAATTACATTGCTAATAGCCTCTCTATGATGATAATAACTCTTACCTCTTGGCAGAGAGATACTTCTCTATATCTTGTTTCTGCTCAGGCTTAAACTCTGACCATTTTTCAAGTGGTGGTAAATCATCAAACATTCCTAGCCCTGTACATGGAATTAAGGATGATATTAAAATAACTCAAACACACTCTCTTATGGAAAAACAATGAAAAGAGTTTGAGTAAATTTCACACCTTGAAGCAAAAACTTTTCCTCTTCTTGAAAGCAATTTAGTTTCCAGAGAATATGGCCATCATCGTTCAACAGGACTGGATCTGTTCTAACAGCATCACATCTTTGCCTCGCTGCAAGAAAGAAAAAAAAAACATTTCATCAGTGTTAAGCTTCATAAGAACATATGAAAGACAGACTCCATTAATAAAAGGATTTAGAATTTACTACTTGATGTCATGCCCATTGCCTCCAGCATTTCATCATGAGCTTCTTTAGCTTCGGCTTTTATTCGAGACAACATTGCATGATGCTCTTCAACAGACAACGGAGCTCCGTTTTTTGCCATATGGGTCTTGGCAAGATCACTTTGCATCTTCTGCCTCAGTTTTTTCTCCTATAAGAACAAACCAAAAACACAGTTTAGCACAAATTGTTAAAATCATCTTGCAGATTATAGAAACACACCTTCTCTTTTGCAGCTGCAGCCTTTTGTTTAGCTTCTTTATTCTTTGTTTTAGACTCTGTGTATTGCTCCTCCATGAAATTCCTCATTGCCCTGTGAAAAAATTCCACCACAGGTGTGTTTAAAGTCATCACAAAGCACACAAATTACAAGCGCGAATAGAAATACATTACCTTGTGCTAAGTGATTCATCAGATAATAATATGAGAAGCTTGAGCCTTTTTGATCCATCCATCTTCTCATACTCAGAAACACCTGATTTGAAAGTTTCAGATGGGAAACAATCACTCAAAATTCCTGATTGCGACAGAACCTCTCCGACATAACTGAACCAAGTGGTGTCAGTTGCGCTTAAAGACAAAGACCTGTGATGAGAATGAGATCATCCAATTCAAATGCGTCAGAAACAAGAAGCTTAACAAATGAATTTAACTTTTTTCAAAAACAATCTTACATCTCATCTCTATCATCTGATATTAGATTTAACAGCTGGATCATCATCTGGATAACACTGGAGTATTGTTTTCTCTTTATGCTACGCCCAGATGAGAAAAGCTCAGCAACAACAGTTTCAGCTTGTCCTTCCTTCAGATCAAGAACCTATCAGAAAAAAGTCAAAAATGTAAGCAGCTTAGTTATAAAGAGTAAAATAGTTAAGAAACACACAAGGAATGATTGAAAAAAACCCTCAAAATCTAACCTTTCCAAAGGCAGAACAAAACTCAAGAAACTGCAATACATTTCCAGTTTCTTCGGTGGGTATATCAATACCTGACACATTATTCATGCTTACACCTTGAGGAAGTTGAGCCTCAAACTCAATTTCCTCTTTCACTTTGTTATCAGTTTTGGCTTTCTTGATCTTGCCCACCACTCTGTTCTTGTCCTTGTCAACATGTTTGTTATCAGCTTTGGCTTTCTTGATCTTGCCCACCACTTTTTTCTTGTTCTTGACCTTTTCAACATCTGATTCATAAGATGAAAACTATTAGTCTCCTCTTCAAGAGAACTTCAAAGGACAAAAAAAAAAAAATCGTGTATCATCATTTCTTACCAACTAGTTCCACATCTCCATCACTATTGCCAGATCTACCTTTATCCTCCTGCAGAAACAACATAAAAGCTTTAGAAAGCAAAATCCTGAATTAGAGACTGTTTTCACCGTTTGTAAAGATGGATAAATTTACCGGCTTTGGCTTCTTCTGGTAAGCAAAGTTATCAGATCCCTCAACTTCAAGAAGCTCAGAGACAGATGATAGCCCACTTGCTTTAGCTATGTGTGTCAATATTCCTGTAGGGTTTTGGCCTCGACGCTTCCTGTAAAATCCCTCACACCATTAGATGTAAAGCTCTCAAATCTCAAAGGAAGTTGAAACCTTTACCTGCAGAAACTGCAATTGCAAATGCCTCTGCACTTAGGACATAGCCAATCATCTGAAGTTACCACCTCTTCTGCCTTCTCACCATACCTAAAAAAATATATCCGATTTAGAGACACATAATCGCAGAAACATACAGATGAAAAGAAAAAAAAAGAAATACAAACCTGTTGGATAAGCACTTGTGACAATACATAATTTTACATGGCTTGTTCTCATTCATGGCCTTGCACGCTGCAACAAAATCCATCGTCTTCTGTCGACACTGCAACCAAAACAAACAAAAAAAAAAATCTCAAATTCCAAAATCAACGCAACATAGGCACAAACAAAATCCAACAGATCCATATTCCATGATCGATTTAGCTGAAAAAGGGAGAGAATTTTGGAATTTCCGTTCAGTTGGGGGAAATGGATCGCTCACAAGCAAAGGAAATGGATTCAATTGAAAAAAAAAAAAAAAAAGGGTTTTTTCTCAGTTTGGTCATGGTTTCACCTGGTGACAAGTTTTCCCGTTACTAGAATCATAGATTCTTCCTCCGATGACTCGAACGCCTGGGTTCGCTGTGCGCTTCGATGGTTTCTCGTCCCCAACAGCCATAACAGTCAAGGAAGAAGAAGACCCAGAAGGAAAAAAAAATTTGGAATTGGAAAAAGAAAACACTAGAGAGGCTTGAGAAATTGATTCGAAAGAGAGAAGCTTTTTCAATGGGTCTTTTCGACGACTCTCCAGCTCGAACAAGAAGAGGGCAATTTTAAGAGAGGGAAAACGAAATCGAACTCAAAATTTTAAAAGAGGGGGAAAAATGAGCGCTTCCTTGTTTATTTTTTTTTTCATTTTTTATCCACCAAACGACGTCGTAGTGAACACACAGATTTAGGAGAGTGAAGTATCGCCGGAGATGGAGATAATGGCGGTGGATGATATCGGAATCGGAGTAGATTTATTCCCACCGCTCTCTCCTCTCACATTCTCTCTCTACGACTCGTTCCTCACCTCTCACTGCTCGTCCTGCTTCTCTCTCCTTTCCCCAACCTCACCGGCCTCTCTCTACTGCTCCGCCGCTTGCTCCCTTCCCGATCCTCCCACCGTTTCCCAAATCCCTCCTGACAATTCCCCGATTCTCTCCTCCGACATCCGCGCCGCCCTCCGTCTCCTCAATTCCATCTCCTTCTCCGCCGTCGTTGACACTGCCTCATTGCCGCACCGATTAGGTGGTCTTCTCACCAATCACCACCGTATCATGGCTGATCCTTCCTTCTCCATCGCTATCCAACGCGCCGCCTGTTACATCGCCGCCGTTTCGAAGTCTGACCGGGAAAACACCGAGTTGGAGGAAGCGGCTATCTGCTGTGTGCTAACGAACGCCGTGGAGGTGCAAGATAGCACCGGACTTGCTCTAGGTATCGCTCTTTATGATTCGAGATTCTCCTGGATCAACCATAGTTGCTCTCCAACCGCTTGTTACCGTTTCGTGATCTCTCCTCCGAACAGCATCACGACTACTTCGTATCATCATCACTCTCCGAAAATCATTCCTCGAATCATCAACACTGAAAAGGTTACTTCTAAGAGACAAATTATCAGTTTTGGGATTCTTTATTTGTGTTGTGAATCGAAACCAGAAAATAAAAGAGATTGATTTCTGTCTTTATCCATGAGCTTTTTTTGGGTTATGAATTGAAAACTTAGAAATTAGAAATTTTTGCTCCTTGCAGGAACAAATTAGTCTTTGTAGCATCACTTCACTCTTGGAAGGTTGTTTCTTCAATTGGGTATATCTAGTTTTCTCTAAAACGTAATTTAAAATGTTGATATGGTTTCTCCATTTCGTTTTTGCAGGAAAAACAGTTGGATATGGACCAAAGGTAATTACTAGAAGCATCAAGAAGATCCAAAGTGGTGAAGAGATCACTATATCATACATCGACCTACTGCAACCAACGGTTTGTTTTAGTGCATCTCTCTTGGTTTTTTCAAATTCATGTGTTTTAGAGAAATCTCACTTGATGAATTCCTTTTTTTTTATATCATTAGGGATTAAGGCAGTCAGATTTGTGGTCGAAATATCGATTTATGTGTAACTGTAGACGATGTGCAGCATCACCTCTGGCTTATGTGGACTCTGTTTTAGAGGTATCAATCAACAAAATATGCCTCAGAATTTGTAGGAGAATTACTCTTACTTCGAATCTGTTTCGTCATCAAATTGCATGACTGAGTTTTTAGTTCATGTATCCAGGGAGTTCTTGCTTTGGAGCCCGAGAAAACAACCGTTGGTCATCATCACGGAGCCACCAGCAAAGATGATGCAGTGAGAAAGATAACTGATGGCATCGAAGAAGCCATAGATGGTTTTCTATCAGACGACATAAATCCTGAAACATGTTGTGAGAAGATTGAGAATGTGTTGCATCACGGCATCCAGATCAAAGCAGATTCCGAGCCTCCTCATCATCTGCGGTTACATCCGAGTCACCATGTTGCTCTGAACGCCTACATTACTCTAGCTACTGCTTACAGAATCCGTTCCACTGATTCTGAAACTGACACGAGGAAGGCTTTCGACATGAGCAGGATAAGCGCAGCGTACTCTCTGTTCCTTGCAGGTTTGTCTCACCATCTCGTCTCCGCAGAACCTTCTCTTGCTATTTCTGCTGCAAGTTTCTGGAAAAGTGCTGGAGAATCATTGCTAGATCTTGCCCGGAAGTTCTTGACGGAAGAATATGATGTCGAGTGCAGTGAATGTCTTATGCTTGTTGTTGAAACATACAACTCACAGAGAGATGTCAAAGAGAACTTGATGCAGATTGTGAGGTGTGTCACTGACATCTCACAAGTCGCATGGAGTTTCCTCACTCGCGGTTGCTCTTACCTGCAAAAGTTTGAGAGTCCTGGTGATTATAGCTTTACGGTGACCAGTTGCGAGAGAGAAGAATCGAGTGAGGACCAAAGGGGAAGAAACGTTCTCTTGCTCTCTTTTCATTGCTTACTCTATGCAGACCTTCTGACTTGTTTATGTTATGGTCGGAAGTCACATTTGTTAATTTGATCCAACGTAATGTTTACTCATCACTGTAGTTAGCTACAATTAGAGTAAGGTAATATGCATTTGCTAAAATACTTCATTTTTGGTTTGTTTGTTAAAGTCTATATGGTTCATTACAAATGATGTTTCATACTGTAAAAGTCTTATATCATATTGTGTTGTATATCCATTTACTGTGCAAAAGTCTTAAATCATATTCTTGACCATTAAGGCATTAAATGAAATGAATTGAATTGAAACATCTACGGAATTTTGATACTACATCACACTCCACCACATGGAAGACAACACTTTCTGCCAATCTGAATGAAAAACCACTGTAACAGGTCTGGTCGATCATCTACATCCTTTTTCTCAGGCAATGACTCCGTCAATGGCAGCTCCGGGGGCAAATGCCTGTGGAACGCATCAACTGCTGCAGCTACACCGTCCTCGTTCTCCAGTACTTTCGCTAGTTCCATCACTCGTGCTTTCACCTGCAAAGACCATGATTCGTGTCCTATGATACAGTTTCTTTCTAGTATAGATAGAGGTGAGATCTCGCTTGTGAGAGGACATCAAAGTTAGAGAAAGCTTTGGAGGTTTGATTGGATTTTCAACAAAGGGAAAAAAGCTTTCAGGTTTCTTGAACAGCTCAAAGCTCTACGTTTTGGGTTTAGTTTGGTTACTTTGGTTTTGCGATAAAGAGAGTTTGGGTTTGTAACTTTGTATACCTCTGGTTGTAGCATGAATGTGATGGAGTTAGAGAGGTTCTCAACACTGAGCTGAGCTATCGGTATTGGCGCAGGGCCAAGTCCTTTATCATAGATCCTGTCACCCCAGAAGAACTGATCCCCAAAGAAGGGCACAATCGTTGTTGGACACTGAAGACATGGAGTGTGGTTTCATGTGGTCAAGAAAACAGATAAAGATTCCAACAAGATTCAAAAAGTAAAATGTTTTACCCCAGCTCTTAAACCAGTAGCTGTGGTTCCAGCACCACCATGATGAATCTTCATATCCACAACACAAGAAACATCCTCAATTAGAAGATAATGTCTTTGAAGATATTACATTGGGGATCTAAGTTAAAGAGAGCTTACCACAGCTGAACATTGAGGAAACAACCAGTCGTGAGGACAGTCCTCCACTAGGAAAACATTTTCAGGAACTTCAGCAGCAACTGCAAGTTGTTAGAACGTAAAAAATGTAAGTAACAGCAGGAAGAAAACAATTTCAGGACACAGAGAAAAGGCTAAGAAGCTGCTTACGGTTTCCGAGGCCACCCCAACCTCGATCAACTATCCCTCTCTGTTCTGTATCTCGCAGTGTTTCCAGTATAGTGTCCATTGTCTTTTTGGGATCATCAAGAGGCTGTTTTTGTAAAGGAGAAGAAACAACAGATCAACAAATAAATATGATGTCCTTTAAGCTGATGTACTAATACTGAATATTACCAAAGAAAGGAACACATTATCTGACTGTTAAGGGTCTTCGGCTTACCATGCTTCCAAAACCGATATATACGGGAGGTGATCCTTTTTCTATCCAGCGGATAAACTCTTCGCGAGGTTGATACTTGGATCCAAGGTTCAGGAAACAATACCCAACAACATCAACTAAAGGACCCCAGTCTGCAAATTAGTCAAAGAGAAGATGAGTTATGGTCTTGCCAATGCCATTGCCAGAAGAAGAACATGAGCCTTGAGACCGAAATGAAGATACAAAGCAAACCGGAAGCAAGGAAACATATGTTCTGGGGATGCAGCTATGCTCTTACCACTTGGTTTTGGCACAACCTGGGGGCTCCACATGTAACCAGTAGGCAAGTGAGAAATTGAGCCATGGTATGTGCTGAAATATGCGATAGGTGCAAGGTTAAGCTTCCTCTTCCTAAAATCATTTATATATGTCCTTATGCTCCACCATACCATCAGATCAACTACTATGTATGATAGCTGAAAAAATAAAACGTTTATGAAAGATTAAGCTTCATAATCTTGTAAAATCATATCGACACACTTGAAAAAACCAGATGAAGGTTCCATTGAATCATATAACATTACCCAATAGGCAGCACTTTGAGGAACACGCGCCAAAGGGTGGGGAAATTCATGAGTTGGCCTGCCTAAAGGAAGAGGATGTATGAAAAAAGGACAACAACAAAATAACACGTTAAGGCAAAAGCAAAAGAAGTCAACTTACGTCCAAGGCATTGTGAAAAAAATGTGAATTGGTACACCCAGAGCTTCAGCAACATGCACATGTCCTGTAATTAGAACCAAAACCATACCATCAGCTTCATAAGAACAGTGAAAAAAACCTAGTAAACATGCTAAAGAAAAGGTGTTAGAAGTTTGGTGATTGAACTTTACCATATGCAGGAGGATTTGCAATAATTGCTTGAGCTCTGAAAGAGGCACCAGTTTGCATATCAGGCTCTATGCATGCTGGAAGAAGAGACTCTATAATTGCCCTCAACTGTTTTCTCTGCTTTGCTATTTCTCCAGGCCCAGAAGGAATGAGACCTTTATTTCTAGCCATATCTACATTCAAAAGTACCCGTCACTACGATTCAACAAAATACTCACATGTCACATGAAGCTAACTAGAAAATTTCTGACTGATTAGCTGTGTTTCCATCGAGAAACTAAGATTACAAATGAATCTATTTCATGGAGAAATTCTTACATCCAGCTAATTCTCGCGGATCACCACCCAAGGGATAGAACTCTACGCCAGCAGTCCGCACAAAAGAGCAGAAATTTGCATGAGTTGCCAATCTAACACGATGACCAAATTCCTGCAACGGAAGAAAAACAATAAATAACTCCAACCTTTCTCAATGCCAATGACCAATCACTTCAAAATCTATCACCAAAATGTATAGAAGTCAAGAACATATATGAGGTTACAAATTTGTGTCACAATCTTTCTCTCCATAAATTTTAAGTTCATGATATGATACTAGAAACGAGAAGACAATTTCTAAAATTTACCTGAAGGCGCTTTGCCATGGCCAGAAAAGGCTGCACATCACCTCGAGTTCCAACGACAAGAATAACAATTTTCAACTTTGGAATGGATCTGAACGAATCCGCAAACGACTTTTCATAATAGATTGTGGACTGTCCTTTGGTAGGCTGAAACTCCAATAACTCCGGTACCGGAGAACCACTATCTAGATCAACTTCCACTGTCCCGTCGTTTTGTATTCTCACTAGCTCAACAATGAGTTTTTGCTGGAACCACAAGACAAACAAAAACATGAGCGTATAATCATAATTACACGAAGATGAGGCAAATTAGCAAAAGTTGTAATAGCCACAGAGACTTGAGTGTTTAGTTCTCTACCTTTTCTCGTTCCGATAATCTGTCTAATCTTGAATTATGACTCCCAGTAGAGCCTTTCTCTGTCAAGGAGCGAGAGTACTGAATCTCCTTTTCATCAATAAGCATATCTCCCAAGAGACCAACAGGTGCAGTTATGCAGTGGTCTAGTCCTTCAACAACATACAATCTTGATCAGTTACCAAGAACACAACGGAGAGAGTAACAACGCTTGCAAGAAGATAAAAAATAAACGACGAGTTTGAATAGCAGACTAACCCCGACGCCAATCAGAAGAACGACTCGAACCTTCAGGATCAGTCTCTACAGAACCACCAGATGTTTCCAATAAACTCGCTTTTTCGCTATTTGCAACACTCTCTTCATCGTCTGATACTTGTTGCAACGGATGATTAACCACATTACTCGCCATCACAGGAATTCAAAACTAAACAGCTCTCACTTCACCAGTAACCACAATAGTATCAGCTTCTCAAACAGCAAACTCCACAACGAAACATCGAAAATGGCGCGAGTTATACACAATTGCACACTATATCTAAGTAAGACATTGATGCGATCAAAGAGTCCTCTAGAGATGCTAATGGCTCCTAGAAAATCAGAGCTTGAAGCAACCAGTCAAAATCCTGAGAGAAAGTTAGCTGCACTTTAACACAAACCAAAAGGGAGAAGGAAATAATAATTAATTTATTAAAAAGAAATCGAAAAATTGGGTTTTTAATCTTTTGTCTTAAGTCTTAACCGTTTCATATGAAAGCGAGAAAACGCAGGAAATGATTACAAAGCAAAGAGTCTCTCACGTTTAGCGCGAGGACGATGAGATTACCCAGAAAAAAAAAGGATCCATCTTTAACTTAAAGAGCTCAAATTTAAAACGAATTCGAAATGCATAATTGATCAATCAATCGAAAAGTGAGAAAGAAAAGCAAATTAACCAGTAGAATTCAAATGATTGAATCAATTGTTCCCTGACCTGAGTGAAAGCGCAAGAGAAAAAGAGACTGGTGAGAAAGTTTTGGTTTTGAGGAAATTGTCGAGAAGGGATTGTAATGTTAAGCTTCCGAGGGGTTTGGAGACTTTTGTATCAACGAAATGAGGAATGAGGAGGATGACGATAACTTTACAATTGCAGAAATAAATCTACTATCAATCATATCAGACGATGCCACCGAAACAGAAATCAATTTATTGCATAATTTCCATTTCCAAATACAGTTAGATACCGCGACTTTTCTTCTGTTAAAAATGCTACTTGTTGGGCTCCTCTCTCTTCACTAAGCCCATTAAAGCTGTTGCGGTCCAGGCCCATCAACAAAAGACAAGAAAATGTTGATGAATTTTCAACAAAAATTAATTCCACAAAGTTTATTTACAAATCATCAAAGTTTATCAACACATTTTTTTTTTCCACTTATTATTAAAACAACGATCGAAACAGAGTTTTTTTTCTTCAAAACCTCCTATTCTTGATCATTCTGAGCCTTTCCAGGCGAATCAAGAGACTCAGTGCGGCTACGGACGATCCTGTGGAAGACTTCTCTAACTTTCCTTTCAAATGGTTCCAAACATTCTCTCACATCTTCACAAACATGCATCAACTCTTCCACTTTCTCCTTCACCTCTACTCCTTTCTCATCCGCCATTGAGAAGTTATCAGAATCAATCAGCTCACTCAACATCCTCGAGATTCTCTCTATTTGGTTAATCTCTCTAAGCAGTCCACACGCCTTCTTCTTGTCTCTTTTCTTTGACTCTTCAGTGATCTTATCGTGCAACGACATCACCGGTACTGCCCATTGGAAATGCCTAGGGAAATAGAAGTTAACTTGTAACCCACGGTCTTGGCAAGGTATGGCCGCTACAAGAACCCACATTACGAATAGCAATATTGATGTCATCGTGTATACGGTTAGGGCTAAGCCACTAGTGGCTATGACATCGCTGGTTCGAGGCGTTGCCAAGTTGTTTCCTATGCCTTGTAACTGCCTAGCAGCTGACCACGACCTAGACACGCTCCATGAGAGTGACCTAATGTAGCCAATGTTTTTGTTACTATGCTCCTTGTTGCGTGCGAAAGAACGGTTACGTTGTGCCAATGAGTTCGATGACTCTTTCTCGTCTACCATTCCGATGGCCAAATCAATCAAAGCTTTCTTCGCACGGTTGATCTCTCCTTCACCGAGATCTTGTCTCTGGCTTGTGTCCAAAGCTGACGTTACGATCTCAACCACTTTCTGCCACTGTCGGATTTGCTCGATCCCGTCACGGATCGCGTTGCATACGTCAAGAGCCTTGACGCTCCTCTCGAAGTAATCTTCTATCAAACGGTCCATTGGCTGTTTGAGAAGCTGAGACTTGTGGTTAGATATGATAACTCGAAACTCTTCTTGGCAACAGAGAAAGGAATCAAGAAGTTTCGCTATCCATTCGAGTGAGAGGGGCTCTTCGTCATCCGCGGAGGCGTTGAGGTCGATAAACTTCTCAGCAACTTGTCGTTGGAAAGAATCTAACTCAACCTCCATGGTCATAGGCTCGGGGATGGCAGTTGGGTCCATTAAGTTTGCTTGGTCTCGACGCAAACTCAGTAATGACCTTCCAAACGATATATCCGTCTCTGGCATCTTCAAGATAATACTGGACGACAAATGTGGCTTCAGGAGATGAATTTTCCTTGGGTAGAAAGTGGTGATGGAAATAAAGAATTAGGGAGAATTATATTATAAGGAGAAGAGTGGGTAGAGGATTTGTGACATGTTTAATGTTCGTTGGTAAAATAAAGAGTGTTTCTTATTTTCTCCTATTTTTAGTAAGTTCAGTTTCACCTTCCGTTTTTTTTTAACCCTTTTATTGCTGTTTACTGGTTACAATTAAAGAGCTAAATATTCCTAAAGTAAATGGAGGGATGTAAATGTTTTTCCGAAATATTTTTAGACAATAATTTACGATTTGCTAAAATGGTCCATCTTTAGATTTTATAAAGTGGCATTTAGGGTTTTTTGGTTCCATAAAAAACTATTTGCAAGTATTTTACGGTAACATGGTAAGATATTTTTTAAATTGCGTATATAACACAATAGTAGTGTTCAAATTTACTAGCACCACACCAACACCATACTGGAGATAAACAAGACAAATAATCCAAACGTTACTTATGAAGTTATGATGAGATACGATCATTCTATTTTTATTTTTACTCACACGCCAATTTAGTGTCGAAGCTGCTCAAGCAAATCGCAAAGGCTTGAAAGGCAGAGAGAGGATAACGATAGTCCATCGTGAACAAATCCTTACCAACTCTCCCAAACTGCAATATTATCTTCTCATTGTCTGCTTGCCCTGCCTGCGGCTGCGGCTGCGGCTGCTGTGACAATAACGGCCAGGTCAAAGCTTTGGAATCACCACTTGGCAGCTGGGCCGTTTCAGTATCGGGCTGAACCGTCTGAGCCGCTGCAGCTGCCATCAACTGGAAGTTCTTGACCGAAGCAACTGTCACTCTCCCTCTGAAATTGAGACACCAGCATTGCAACTGTGCGTGCCACCTCGGCTGTTTGTTCCTCAGCACCAAAGGTTTCTCCTTTCCTTGGCTCTCTTCTTCCCCTTCTGGTCCAACAATGTCAGAGAACGGAGCGCTGGTGAAGTCTCCCGTGTGTTCTACTGTCTTTGAAGAGCCGATGCTACGGAAAGAGTCATCAAGAGAACGTAGCAGAAGCTCGGGTGGGCCAGGGACAGAGCCGTTGGGTTTAAGAGCCAATGCGGGAATAGAGTGCATAACGCAATGCATCTTGCGAGGTCCACGTCGTCCAAGCACGTTCAGCTTATATGTAACCTCAGCGATGTTGTAACTTCCAGAAGGCACTTTGGGAGAGACTTTCTTGGAGTTGAAGTTACGACTCCGGTTTGGTTGAGAAAATATCTGGCAACTGTTGTACGCAGGAGGCGCAGTATCGTAGATTATGTATTTCGTTCCTAGAAAATTAGACCTGAAAACGTTTGTGAGAACATGAGTCAATCAAGAACTTAATCATTTGTACGTGGAATGATTTCTTGTTTTCTTAATCTTCTTCTTACCTCATTTTGCCGATGTAAGTGGTGCTTGTTCTTGAAATGTTGTCTGCACCCATTGATATCACATACTCTGTGTATGTAGTTCTCCATGTACGTTTCGCCGAGAGAAGAAACTTTCCGCTTTCAACGAGCGAGGCTGTAGAAAAATCAAGAAGTCAATATCAAGTACAAGTGACTAGAAAAATAAGCCACTAGAAAAATCAAGAAGTTAAATAAGCCACTAGAAAAATCAAGAAGTCAATATTAAAATACAAGTGAAATTTTGAATTCTTGTTATTGTCAAGATTTTACCAGGAGTATGAGAAAGGAAAAGATGGTAAGTCATATTAGACTTGTCTCTTTTAATAAAGCACTGTATGATTCCATCTCTAGGGCCAGGCTGCACTATCAAGAACGTTATCAGAATTATTTCCAAGATAAAGATATCGGGAAAAAGTACGTACTAAAGATCGAAACCTCGCACCTGTTTCAAGGAAACCGGGAATGTGAGTTTGCCTGAGAGCTCAGGACTTTTGACAATCACTTTGCAAGTTTCTCTCCATGTTTTGCACACGGAAGCACAAGCAACAACGTGTTTACGAGCAGGCCATGAGCTCTCGCTTTCCTCCAATCTTTTTATCACATCTCTTAGTATCTCAGGTGGCAAATTAGCCCAACGACTGTTCTGAATCACTACTACATGATCTTGAGTATGAGTCTTAAGCAAAGCTTCGTGAGATCTATTCCTGTGATGATGAGTCACACCAGACGATCTCACTTGGAAGGTACGTCTTGATAAGCTTCCTACACTATCTCTAACATCACGAACTATGCTACGGAACGACATCTTCAGATAAAACCTGCAAGCACATGAAAAATACTTCTTTTTCTTAAATTTCTGAGTGAAAAGCTTGAAACTTTCCACAGATTATATTTGATGAGAATCAAAACGACTACACCAAAGCTACCTAAATTAAAAAATGGGAAATGTAATAAATTGAAATGTGAAGACGAAGAAACATTTATAAAAGTTTAGTGGAATTAATTTAAATAACCCACGCTTAATTTAATTATCTTCTTGGCATAATTTTCTGATATTCCAACAATTTTCAAGAAGTCAATATTTTTATGACGACTTTAACCTACATCACTGAATTTCAAGAACTGGAGCTAACAACAAGATTTACAGAAAACAAAAATCAACAAAAACATAGACACACATAGGTCAGATCTTCAGGTAGGTAACAGAACAAAGAGATTTAAGATAACCAATAGCAAAATAAAAAGTTACAGATAAGAAACACAAACATGAGGAGGATTAAGTGAGATCAAGAACACAGATCAAAGAAAAGATACCTAATGTTTGATCTCTCTCTTCAGTTTTCTTCCGTTTGAAAGAGTCTCTGTTTTTCTCTCTCACTCTGTTTGATCTCTCTTGCTGTGTTTCAGCTTACCTTTTCTAGCTTGTTGAGTGTCGCGGATTTCAAGACGTTATAAAATGCAGTACAGTTTTTGGAGCTCTGTAAAAATAAATAAATGCAGTCCAACATCTGTTGCTATTTTACAGATTACCTCATATATTCACCTTTGTACATTCCTAGTAAGCAAATGACTTTACACTATCTCGTATGATTCGATGACCAATTGACAGGACTAACTCTATCTACGGTGTTTTGCTTAGGAGGACGTCTGTAAGATAAAGCCAAAACTGGCTAATTGTAGCCAAAGTGCTGGTGGGGTCCTGATTACGTCTTTTTGATGAAATTTTCCGAATATTTTTTATGTCTGAAGTTTTATAAATGGAAGTTGATTCCACGTAAATAATACAACACTGGAGCTTGGATTTAGGTCTATATAAGAAGTAAGGACAAGTACGTTTAAACCGCGGATTTGTGAGGTTCTAAAACTAATTTGAGATAATAAACCATAGTCATTAAAATGACAACACAAAAGGGAGAAAGTGATTTAAAAAAAAAAAGGGTGTAAATTTTAAGATTTATACCATTTTTCTAGTTTTACATGTTACACAAATGTTATTCATTGTTTGTGGAGAGTTAGATATCTAAATTTGAGGAGAAAGTTATTTGAGGTTTAAGACAGTGAGTGCCATTTTTTTTTAATTCTATAATAAAAATATATGTGTTTTAAATTACTTGAAAATGTGATTTTGGGTTAATATCGTTCTTTGGTAAAGCAAATTTTATTAGCTTTACATGTTATGAGCTTATGAGATTTCTATGGCATGCTTGCTTGGTGATAGATACATGGAATCCATATTAAAGTGGAGAAGAGAAGGTGGTTCACGAAATCCTATATTAGAACTACAGAGAGATATATATAGGTTTCTATGTAAGGCAGTTTCTGAAGCAATATTAATTCTTTAATACACTGTAACTGTCGACGAGCGTAATATTATTTTACTGTCAGACCTATCTAAGCATGCATTCAATATTTGTCATCAAAGCCAAGTCTCCTACCAATGAAAAGCCACACATGTTACCCCATTATTTAATAAATAAAAACATTAAATCTCGGAAGAGAAATCCACATTGATATTTACATTACATGCAACGTGGCCATTATTAATGTGATAGCTGAGACAAAGTGCATAGATGAAGAAAAGGAAAAAAGAAGTGAAATTTGTTTGTAGCCAAATCTTAAAGACGCAATCCTAGACGATGTTCACGTCTTTAATCTCTTGTTGGCTTTGCTTTTCACATATTTTTTGCATTTCCTCTTCTTTAGTTTTACCCCACAGGCCAAGGTATAGTCCACACACCAACAACAATGCCCCACCCACACTGCTCCAATCATATCACCAAGTCCAAACACATATTATTATCAATATCAAATACTAAAGAAGCATATAAAAAGAAGTATTATGTTCTTAATTAAAACAACGAACCTTCCAAGGTAAAGTGTTTCTTTAAAAAGGAAAGATGAGACGATGCAAGTAATGATGAGAGCTAAAGGAGTGTAGAGTGCAGTGAATACTGGTCCTTTCTTCTCTATCGCCCATACTTGTAACCAATATGTGAACCCAGTCACGATAATTCCCTGTTTAATTGTGTTTTGACATTATTTTTTAGTAAGGAAAAAAAAAATGCATATTTAGAGATTAGAGATTAGGTAGGCATACACAATAAGCCATTGAAAGAAGAGGTAAGCCAAATTCGATCTTCCAAACTGATGGACTTCTGTCCACTATGACTGCCCAAACTCCAGTTTGTATGCAACTGAACACGCATTGAAGTGTTACCAATCGCAGCTTTGCTGGGTATTCCTTCATCACCTTGCTCTACCAACACAATCAATAAAAGTTGTTAAAAAATGTATTTCTTTTCCTAAAAGTTTAAAAATCAAAAGATGAAAGCTTTTACGTAAAAGAGTATGTATATAATAATATACATGTAAACTAAGGTTTATTTGGTAGATATATAACCATATGAAGAGTTAAATTTGGCAAATAATGTGGCGGTCATTTTTGTGATTAGAATAAAATAGTGTAACATCATGTAAAATAGCGTTTGATTTACCCTGGTAACAGTGCTTTAAGAAACAAAAAGCATGCTACACAGTGATGTGATAAGTCATAAGTGACCCAATTATATATAACGTTAACAAAGGAGCTATGATTAGTAAACAAGAAAATGCGATAATTGGAGGCACTAATCAAGTGATTTTTTCTTCTTTCTTTGTGCAACAGTCAAGTGATTAGCAAACAGAAATGACATGCAATAAATGAATTAATATATTCAGGATTTTGTCATCCGTCCTTTTTGAAAGATATGACAATTAAGTAATATAACTCCAAAATTAGAAAGTAATTGTGCCGTGGTGTATAGATGTGTATAACATGGTAAACAGTGATGTGATAAGTGATAACCCAAACTATAAAGACGGAATATTAACAAATGATCAATAAACAGAAAATGCGATAACCAAGAGGGCAACTAGTCAAGAGATGAAAGTGACTTAGTGAGTGGCGTACCTGCATTATAATCCACAAACACCAGCAGGTATTGGCAGCGAGCATAGTGATGGAACCTTTTACAGAATCTTTGGTTGATGGAACGGCTTTGTTTGGTATGGTCTTGCTGTTATAATGGTTGACCAAACTTGGCCCTTTCACAAAAGCGAACACTATTGCTCCCAACATTCCAACCATCGAACCAATTACTTTGGCCACTCCGTGTGACTTCTTCAGTGTCACCGTCTCTAGTCTTTTTATTTTTTTTTCAAAATAAAATAAATTAATGGGGTCAATTCAGGTTAGGATCAGTAGGTGGTGCAGCTGCCCCCAATTAGTCAGTTAACATATAAATAAAAAAGTGCTTTCAACTTCAAATAATTTGTGTTATCATATTTGCTTTAAGAATATCAAAAGAAATACTAATATACATTAAAGTGATATTCAGATATTGTTTGATTACGATTCTTTGGCTTTATCATATCATAACTTATATAAATACTAAACTAAAGTACGCCCCTGCCCCCAATTGAAAGGAGAAAAAGAACAAACACTATCTTGGAAGTTGGATCCACCACAAAGGCCACGGCATTTATGAATAGAGTCAGAAGCTCTTGTGTAACGTACCTAAAAATGAGAGCCAGGACAAACGTGATAGAGGGGATGGCGTTGGTGGTGGCTGCTGCGAAGGTAGCCGTGGTGTTTTCGATGGCCACGTAGTAGAGGTTGAGACTTAGCGTGAGTCTGGTTTTGTAACAATAAACATTTTTTTGTTAGACAGGGTAGATAATGTCATAACTCATAACGGCTCCAAGAATCATAATTCCAATTTATATGGAAACACAAGACTTTTTTTTGTTAAAGCAGAAACACAAACTTATATACCCGCATAAGGAGATCATGAATATTTTGAGCAGCAAGACGATGGATAACGGCGAGGACTTGGAGCTGCAAAAAAAATGTTAGGAATATGAGAATATGGCCCTGGTCGTTCATGGATATCGCAGTTTTTTTCTTGTAAATTTAAAAGAGATGAAATGGAGACATAAAAGAGAGGAACCTTTCAAGGAAGAATGCGAAAGGGGACAAGGCAAAAACAGCGAAGGCTTGTCGGTAGAAAACGAATACAAAAGGGTTGGTTCCTTGAGAGATGGCCACTTTTGAGAGTAGTGGCATTCCTGCGTAAAAAATCTGTACTAACACCATTGCCATGTTGGCTTTGTGCTTCATCATCATGGAGTAATAGTGATGTATGTTTTTGTTTTTTCTCTTCTTCTTATTATGTGATGAAGCTCACTTTGCTTCTCTCCCGCTATTTATGCTTTCTGTTTTGGTGGCCACTTTAATGATCTTTTGTCTTCTTTTTGTGGGCACTATAGAAATATGTACACGTGTACTTCCATCGAGATAAAATTCACAGACGTTACAATCAAGACAGCACCCACATATACTCATAGGTTTTATCTCCTCATTAAACTCAAAAATGGCTCTTTTTAGCGGTGGCATACATGTGCTTTAGCTCTATATCTAGAGAAACATAGTGTATGTTGCAACTTGCAAGTAATCCATTAGATTCAACTACACTCTATACTATTACTTGCAAGATAATTATATCTATGGCAAGTATCATGTGAGGGATATACATCATCTATAAAAGTATTTTAGGTATACAAAATGCTTTCGTACTACAAGAGAAAAAGCCAAAGTATTATATACTATGATCAGCAGTATAGAAAAAAATATATTATATGGTAGACACCATCTTTGCTTATCTTTAACCTTCCTACAAGAGAAGGCGAATTTGAAGTTCAGAAAATATGGTAGAGCTCCATCAAAAGTTAATGATTTTGAATTAGAAATAAAATAATAGATGTTAAATTGTATTAAAACGTTTTTCAAACAATAATTCTTTAGTAAAATAATTTTTGGTAGGTACGTACGGAAGACTGTTTTACCGTTGCTTGGTTCCATTAGTAGGTCAAACTCATGCGGTAGTTAATAAAATGTGATAAAGTGTATGATACTTATACTAATGTAGATGTTAATACTAAATGGTCCTCAATAATATTCTAACTAACCTATTAACTGAGTCCAAGTAACAATTAATACACGACTCAAACGGTTTTAACAGTAATGCGCAAAAAGTACGTTAGATTCCTCCATGTTTAGTATACTTTTGGATCTGCTTAATATCATGAAAAGAGTGGATTTTATTCTCGTAAATACGAATTTTTTATTAATTATTAGATAGTTAAGAGACTACCTCTTTCTCGATCGAGCCATCTAAAATAATTACTTCTAACACTCTTACAATATATCCCAGATTTTAACGTATTCAAAGGTGATGCACTCGTGACGACGCACCATGATATTCCTTGTCTCATCATGATATTCCTTCGTCATTATCTTTCGACGTATGTTCTAATGTTCTCAGTTTTTCGACATTTAATGGATACACGTGATAAAAAGAATGTGATGGTTCTAACTAATGCAACAGTCGTTTTATCTTTATCTTCAAGTAGGTGCCTATCAATAGAAAGAGAATCAAAATATATCTCAAGCCCTGTTTCACAAAAACTGTCCCGACAAACTAAAATTGAAAAACGTTGTGTTGATACGTAATGAAGCAAAGAAAGTGGGAACTATTGTTAATGCATCATGTCGTTCCTAATGCTTCAAAGTACAGTATGTGGACGTTTTCGTGACTCTAGTAATTCCAACACGTGTTTTATATATTTTCCAAAAACGTAATCATTTTATTTACATATTTGGCAGTTCCGATTCGAAACTTGAAAAAATTTGTAAAACAAAAATGGAAAAGACATATTTTGTTGATCTCATCGACCGTACGATATTTTGAAAGTGAAATGGGTTAGACAAAATGTAAAATAACCTAACACTTACCAATACCATAAAGTCATAAACCAGTGGATGTATAGCACAAAATCCAATAAATGGTGTAGTAACACAATAATTAAGATGAGCTGCAACAACGACGTATCTAGGTGTTTTGGGCCAAAACGAGGAAAAACATCTAAAGACTGGACTGATTTCTGACAAGTGACAACATATGTTTTGCATGAGATAGAGAAGCTATCGTAACCAGATCTTGCTCACATTTGGTAACGAGATAGCTGAAGATCCGGTTAAATGGTTTTCTATGATCCGGTTAACCATATCTCTCATCGCCAAGTGGTTTAAAGACAATCCAACGATCGGATCAAAAGTTATGGTTAAAAGACTGAACAATGGTTCGTCTGGCATCGAAGCAGAGCAAGCAGAAGGACAAATCGACCGAACATAGCTTTTTACTATATGCAGTCTCATCTTTGTATCTTCATCAAGTTGATTGATCAGATCGAGTGTTACTTGTAAAAACTCGAATTGTGTGCTTGAACTAGTGTAGACAGATTCTATTACTTTACTTATGGTTAGTTGAAATCTTAGTTATGTATTCAGTTTTATTTTTAGTTCATTGTTTTCTTTGTAATTCTTATATTTATTTAAATAAAGATTCAGCTGTTAAACAAAACAAAAACGAATAGTAAATCAACAGCCTCGATTATTGGATGGCTTTATTACTGATTAAATCAAATTGATTCAACAAGTTTAAAATCAGAGAGAGTAGGCTATGGCCTAACAACGGTAAAACCTCCGTCGACTGCCAAATTCTGACCACTAATATAAACCGAATCATCAGAAGCCAAAAACAGAGCCGCTTGTGCCACGTGGTGAGCTTTAAGCACCACACCCTTAAGATTCGCTTTGTCAGCGTAATGATCCTCCAACAGCTTCGCCGCTTCTTCGTCCTTGCTCGTCAACCCCGTCGAAACCGCGTACGGTGCCACGCCGTTCACTCTAATCCCGTATTTCCCCAACCCGCCACACGCCGACCTAACCAGCCCGAGAAGCGCGTGCTTCGACGCCGTGTAACCGGGAAACTCCGGACCGCCGATCTCCGCAGCGATGCTCGTCGTACACACGATGGAGCCACGTGTCCCACTAGCAACCATCTCACGCGCCGCGTGTTTGATAAACGCAGCCGCGCCGCGAACGTTAATAGCCATGGTTCGATCAAGCTCCTCAAGATCTATATCGAGGATTCCTTGCACCGTTTCGAGGACGCCGGCGTTGCTGAACAGAACGTCTAGCTTTCCGTGCTTTTCGACGGTGAACTTGACGGCGTTCTCTACTTCCGTCTCCTTCGTTATATCGCAACGGTAGAAACTGGCTTTGTCTTCCCCGATGGAAACGGCGACGTTTTGGCCGAGCTCTTCTTGCACGTCAACGATGACCACCTTAGCTCCATGGCTCGTGAACAACCTTGCGGCTTCCGCTCCAATCCCGCTTGCTCCGCCTGTTATAATTACGATCTTGCCATCCAATCTGCTATGTCAAGAAAAAATATAGACGAATAATACAAGTCAATAAATTAAGCATGAACATATGTATGTGTTTATGGAGAATCCAATTGCTAGAGATTAAGCACTTGCCTTAGTCCTGTCGACATTTTATTTGTAAGTGTCTCTGGCTCTGTTAAACACAGCTCTGAAAATATATTCACTGATGATGAGCAACTCTTAATATTTATATATAAACTTAATGATCAATTATCATCAAGATGATTTCATATTAGTTGGTTTCAAGTTGCTTATCCTCGTAAATAATAATCAAACTCCACCAAACCACAATGTGGACTTGTTGTCGTTTCTTATATTCAATTATTTGTTCAAAGCTCCACCAAACGACAATGTTATATATTCGGCATTTACAATAACTTTTTCGCATGCCCTTCCAATACTCCACCGGTAGGTAAAATATGATGAAACAAGAGTTAAAAGATAAAGTATAATACTTCCCAGTATATTAATTAATAAGTTTTCGTTTTCTAAAATCCTTAGTAATACCAATTCGGTTAATTAAAACTGATAATTAATTTAGAACATGAATTATCATCTTGAGAAAAAAATATAGTACATGTCTACCTCGAAAATCATTAGGTAAGACAATTTCACCAACTATATAATTGTAAAAAACTCGAAAAAATCATTATTGTAAAGAGATTATTCAATTGTGCGCGGGAAATCATCTACCTCTCTTGGTTTGTTCTAATTTATTACATGCAGTACATACATAATTGCTTACCGTTACGTCTAATTTAATGGTGTAACTAAGAAGTAGAAGCACATGGCTAAACAGAATACAATCGATTTGAAATTGTTGTTGTACATGGAGAGATCGTGTCGATGATAGATGTCTTGGAGTGTGTGATTAAATAAATAGTGTGATTAAGAAGTAGTTGCTTACCGTTACGTCTAATTTAATGGTGTAACTAAGAAGTAGAAGCACATGGCTAAACAGAATACAATCGATTTGAAATTGTTGTTGTACATGGAGAGATCGTGTCGATGATAGATGTCTTGGAGTGTGTGATTAAATAAATAGTGTGATTAAGAAGTAGTTGCTTACCGTTACGTCTAATTTAATGGTGTAACTAAGAAGTAGAAGCACATGGCTAAACAGAATACAATCGATTTGAAATTGTTGTTGTACATGGAGAGATCGTGTCGATGATAGATGTCTTGGAGTGTGTGATTAAATAAATAGTGTGATTAAGAAGTAGTTGCCATTTGATATTTTAAAACTGTAAGTTTGCAAGGTTTATATACTTTCTTTTTCCAACAATAAGTTTGCAAGAGTTTATGTACAAGAGAGGTTTATATATTGCGGTTATAATCCAAAAAGAAGTCAAAAATTCGTTGCTGAATGCGGAGGGTCCGTTTCTCGAATGCTCAAGCTTGATACATAACTAAAACAGTATAATGAAAATATACTTGTTAATTGTTATGATATAATCATTATATATATATATATATATATATATATATATATATGGCTTTTAGAGGCCAGCTAGAAAACATAACAAAATAATCAGTCAAAGGGAAGCGAGGAAGAATCGCAGAACGTCTAGCTTTCCGTGATTTTCAACGGTGCACTTGACGGCCGGCGTTCTCTACTTCCGTCTCCTTCGTTATATCGCAACGGTAAAAACTGGCTCTGTCCTTCCCGATGGAAACGGCGCCGTTTTGGCCAAGCTCTTCTTGTACGTATGACCACCTTAGCTCCATGGCTCGTGAATAACCTAGCCGATTCCGCTCCAATCCCGCTTGCTCCGCCTGTTATAATTACGATCTTGCCATCCAATCTGCTGTGAAAGATTAATGATGAACATTTGTATCATGTATGTGTTTTTTTTTTATAAAGGTATCATGTATGTGTTAATGCATGCATGCATGCATGAAGAATTGAACTGTCAGTAATGAAGCACTTGCCTGAGTTCCGACATTTTTTTGTTTTTCTTTTTTTTTAACACAGCTTTGAGAATTTATTCACGGATGATGAACACAACTCTTAGTATTTATTAACTTGTAAAGGCATCTCTAAAAGGACTTCATTTTTTAGATTGGCCAAACTAAATTTGAGGTTTCAGAGTGTTTATCTCTAAAAGCACATGTAACTGAATAACAATGGATTAGTATATTCAAATCTTTAATTAATTGAATAAAGGAAAAAATTGTAAATACAAGAATCAATAAAACTTGATTTCAAAATCATTAGTTGGAGATATTTTAAATACAAAAACTTATGATACTAAAGTTTAATAAATGATTTAAAATCAATCATTGAATACCAATGGATTTTAGAACACATATAATTAATTAGCTTCAAATCATTGTATTGCTAACTCTACATATTAGTTAAGTTTACTCTTGTGTTCCTCTACATATAGGATCCTTGACTTGAGCTGGATCAAGAGATAACAAACTAAATATGAGCCTAAGTTTCGATCTTAACGATCTGGAGGAGCTAACATTGAATGCAAAGCAAATACAAGAGAATGTATTGGAGGAGATACTCACACTTAACGCCAACACAGAATATCTCCGACAGTTTCTCCATGGAAGCATTGATAAAGAGTTATTCAAGAAGAACGTACCGGTGGTGAGCTATGATGATATTAAGCCTTATATTGAACGTGTAGCGAATGGGGAGCCTTCATATGTCATTTCGGGAAAGCCCATTACCCGATTTTTCTTGAGGTATACATCGTTCAGTTTGTTAATCAAATTTATCTTATGATTATAGATCGTATAACCCACATGTGATAAACTTGTGACGTTGTTGGTGTGTGTAGCTCTGGAACTTCTGGAGGGAAGCCAAAGATCTTCCCTGTTAACGACGAGTTCTTTGAGGACCAGACATTCATCTCTTCCCTATCCTCGTCCATTATATCAAAGTAACTCTTCGAGTTTTTTTTTTCTCTTCATAGTCTTTGTAACCTCAAACACGAACACCAATCTCTTGGATTCCGGTTTCAGGCATATAAAGGATGTTGAACAAGGAAAGGCGTTGACGTTTAATTTTGTTAGAACACAATCTTCAACCCCCTCCGGTTTGCAAGTTTCTGCCGGAATTACAAGCTATTTACTAAGTGACTGTTTCAAGAACCGGCCTTCAAATTCTTTTACAAGCCCTGACGAAGTGACCTTGTGTCCAGATAACAAGCAGGCTATGTACTGCCATCTTCTTTGTGGTCTTGTTCAGAGAGACAAAGTGGTAAGTGTGGCTGCTCCTTTTGCTTCTGCATTAGTTAATGCAATCACTTTTCTCGAAAATTATTGGAAAGAATTATGTAGCAATATCCGATATGGCCATGTTAGCGAGTGGATCACCGACCTTAGTTGCCGAGACGCTGTTACCAACATCCTAGGAGGAGGTAATTCCGCATTGGCAGATCTTGTTGAAGAAGAATGCAACACAAAATCTTGGAAAGGTATAATCACACGTCTTTGGCCTAAAACAAAATCCGTTCAAAGCATTGTTACTGGACAATATGCACAATACATTCCAATGTTAGAGTTTTACTCCAACAAAGTGTCTTTGATCTCTCCGGTTTACGCATCTTCTGAAACTATGTTTGGAGTAAATGTCAATCCCTTATGCAAGCCACAAGATGTATCCTACACTTTTATGCCCAACATCTCCTACTTTGAGTTCCTACTTGTTGATGAAGGAGATAAGGTTGAAATTGTTGATCTTGTGGATGTCCATATTGGGTGCTACTACGAGGCATTGGTCACAAATTACTTTGGTAAGTTATCAGTATGATCTTATCAATATATAATTTTTTTTCTGAAACAATGAATATAATTTTTCTTTTATTGTTGTTATTAGGTTTACGCAGGTATAGAATGGGAGATATTCTACAAGTGACTGGATTTTACAACAATGCACCTCAATTTAGGTTTGTACGTAGGAAAAATATGGTTCTAAGCATTAGCCTTGAAGCGACAACTGAAGAAGACATTTTGAAGGCGTTGAATCATGCAACACCCATTCTTAAATCTTCAGATCTATTACTGATGGGATTCACATCTTATGCTGATATCTCCACTCATCCAGGCCACTACGTTTTTTACTGGGAACTCAAAGCCAAAAACAATAATGAAATTATTAAACTGCATAACAAAATATTAGTGGAATGCTGCTGTGTAATAGAAGAATCATTTAATTCTATTTATCGACAATTGAGGAGCAAAGATGGATATATTGGAGCTCTAGAGATAAGGGTAGTGCAGCAAGGAACATTCAATTCTCTCATGGAGATTTTCATCTCTCAAGGTGCTTCACCATCTCAGTACAAGACACCTATGTGCATCAACTCTTCTGAAGCCTTAGAAGTTCTTGATAACAATGTTCTTGCTCGCTTTATCAGTGACAGGTCCCCTCCTTTCTAATCAGAAACTCATAACATTAAGCTTAATAAAAGAATATAAAATATTAAAATCAACCATTCATGGACATAAATTTTAAAACCCAGATAAGTAACTTTCAATCCATAATTTATATTCTTGTATGAGTTGTATTTAGTTTGTATTTGGGGTGATTTGTATCCTATATTGTTGATCTTGTGATTTTCAAATGTAATTTAAAATCCACTATTATTGGAAATATTTTTAATATTGGATTTTATGAGATATTTTAACATGGTTTGATGGAGTTTCATAGCTAAAGTATGAAAATCCAAATCCAGTGTTATTAGATTGGATTAAAGAGTATTTTAATAAATTTATAGCAATTTCCTAATTCAACCTATATCATCTAAAAATTCACCAAACCATTGGATTTTATAACATAGAGAATTAACTTGAAAATCTTTGTATTTCTTTACATATTAGTCAAGTTTAATCTTGTGTTCCTCTACATATAGGATCCTTGACTTGAGCTGGATCAAGAGATAAGAAACCAAATATGACTATAAGCTTCAATCTCAACGATCTGGAGGAGCTAACATTGAAAACGAAGCAAATACAAGAGAATGTATTGGAGGAGATCCTCACACTTAACGCCAACACAGAATATCTCCGACAGTTTCTCCATGGAAGCACTGATAAAGAGTTATTCAAGAAGAACGTACCAGTGGTGAGCTATGATGATGTTAAGCCTTATATTGAACGTGTAGCGAATGGAGAGCCTTCAGATGTCATTTCGGGAAAGCCCATTACCCGATTTTTCTTGAGGTATACACATCATCCATTTTTTGAAACAAATTTAATCAAATGATCTAAATATATCGTATATATATATTTTAAATAAAACCCCTATGTGATACACTTGTGACATTGTTTGTGTGTTAGCTCTGGCACTTCTGGAGGGAAGCCAAAGATCTTCCCTGTTAACAACAAGTTCTATGAGGACATGTCATTCATCTTTGCGCAATCCTCCTCCATTATATCGACGTAACTTTTCAAACTTTCTTATGTTTATTGTATTTGTAACCTCAAACACGAACACACATCTCTTTCTTTCTGATTTCTAGGCATATAAAGAGTGTCCAACAAGGAAAGTCGATGACGTTTAATTTTGTCAGAGCGCAATCTTCAACCCTCTCTGGTTTGCCAGTTTCCACCGGAACTACGAGCTTTTTATCAAGTGAATGTTTCAAGAACCGGCCTTCAAATGTTTTTACAAGCCCTGACGAAGTGACCTTGTGTCAAGATAACAAGCAGGCTATGTACTGCCATCTTCTTTGTGGTCTTGTTCAGAGAGACGAAGTGGTAAGTGTGGCTGCTCCCTTTGCTTCTACATTAGTTAATGCCATCACTTTTCTCGAGAACTACTGGAAAGAAATGTGTAGCAATATCCGATCTGGCCATGTTAGCGACTGGATCACCGACCTTAGTTGCCGAGACGCTGTTACCAACATCCTAGGAGGAGGTCATTCCGAATTGGCAGATCTTGTTGAAGAAGAATGCAACCAAAAATCTTGGAAAGGTATAATCGCTCGTCTTTGGCCCAAAGCAAAATTTGTTCAAAGCATTATTACAGGACAAAATGCACAATACATTCCAATGTTAGAGTTTTACTCCAACAAGTTGCCTTTGACCTCCCCGCTTTACGCATCATCAGAAACATTGTTTGGAGTAAATGTGAATCCCTTATGCAAGCCACACGATGTATCCTACACTTTTCTGCCCAATTTTTCCTACTTTGAGTTCCTACTTGCTGATGAGGGAAACAAGGGTGAAATTGTAGATCTTGTGGATGTCAAGATTGGGTCCTACTATGAGCCATTGATCACAAATTACTTCGGTAAGTTATATACATATATACATATATGCATAAGTTTATAGATTTATTTATTTATGATATGATTAGGACTATATATTTACATAGATATTTTTCAAAATTTTCAAGTTCTTGTATGCATGGTATCACTATTTAGTATATAATTTTCTCAAAATAATGAATATTTTTTTCTTTGATTGCTGTTATTAGGTTTACACAGATACAGAATGGGGGATATTTTACAAGTGACTGGATTTTACAATAGTGCACCTCAGTTTAGGTTTGTAAGCAGGAAAAATACGGTTCTAAGCATTAGCCTTGAAGCAACAACCGAAGAAGATATTTTGAAGGCGTTGAATCATGCAACACTCATTCTTGAACATTCAGATATGTTACTGATGGGATTCACATCTTATGCTGATATCTCCACTCATCCAGGCCACTACGTTTTCTACTGGGAACTCAAGGCCAAAAACAACAATGACACTGTTAAACTAGATAACAAAGTCTTGGTGGAATGTTGTTGCGTAATTGAGGAATCATTAAACGCTATTTATCGACAGTTGAGGAGCAAAGATGGATATATCGGTGCTCTAGAGATAAGGGTGGTGCAACAAGGAACATTCAATTCTCTCATGGAGATTTTCATCTCTCGTGGTGCTTCGGCGTCTCAATACAAGACACCTATGTGTGTTAACACTTCTGAAGCCTTGGAAGTTCTCGAAAGCAATGTTCTTGCTCGCTTTTTCAGTGATAGGTCTCCTCCTTTCTGATTAGATATAACCTCACAAAAACAATCACATAACTGAAGAATAATAAAGGGATAAAAATGTAATAAGTGAGATAGACTAATGCTTAGTGGAGATATTTGTGGATTTGTGTGTATGTTTTGTATTTGACTACACAACAAGATATTATTGAAAAATGAAAAAGAGTAACGGAATCTTATTTTCTTATCGTGAGACGGATGAGGCCATTGCATCAGAACATACGAGGACGAGGTTCGTTGGTTATCGTTATCCCCAAAAAATGACGGCCAAACCTGTCACTGCCACGTGTCAATCCGATCTCTCTCTCTCTCTTCTCTTCTCCTTGGCTTCGCTTGGTCGTTCGATTTAGCACCGGTCACGTCTTTATCTCATCATCTTCCTCGAAACGTGCAGCACACAAAATAGGGTTTAAAAGATTGCAGATTCAATCTCTTCAAAATATCTGATCAAAAAACGCATTTCGGTAGAAGCTGGAGAGAGAGAGAGAGAGAGAGAGAGAGAGACAGTGAAGCAAAGATGGATCACGAAGCAGATGCTTACCGTACGGATTTGATGACCATCACAAGATTCGTGTTGAATGAGCAATCAAAATATCCAGAATCTCGCGGGGATTTCACGATTTTGCTCAGCAACATCGTTCTGGGTTGCAAATTCGTCTGCAGTGCTGTCAATAAGGTGAAATCTCGTCACTTTTTCAAATTGGGTCAAGAGAAAGAAGAAAAAAAAATGTCGCTTTCGATTTGGGTTTTAAGCTTTAAATACTGTTGATGATCTGGAATCCATATTAGATCGTGAGATGTCTCAATCGTCTTTTGAGGGTTTAAGCTGGCCCATTGAGTCAAAATGATAACTTTATTGGTGTTGCAGGCTGGTCTTGCCAAGCTAATTGGACTTGCAGGGGAGACAAATATCCAGGCAAGTTGATATCTTTTGTAAAAAATGAAGCTTTCTTGTTTTTTATTCTTTCTGTCTCTGAGATTTAGCATTTTTCTGTTTGATAGGGGGAAGAGCAAAAGAAACTTGATGTGCTCTCTAATGACGTCTTTGTCAAAGCTTTGGTTAGCAGTGGCAGAACTGTAAGTAAACTTGACATTTCTATGAAATTGAGAGAACTTAAATTCATTTGTCTCTAACAACGATTTGGGGGCAGTCTGTTCTTGTCTCTGAAGAAGATGAGGAAGCTACGTTTGTGGAGTCATCCAAGCGTGGAAAGTAAGTTTATTGTCGATTTGGTAAATCAAAATGTAACTTGTGTATTGTCAATGGTCATCTATATAATGGAGTCTTTTCGATATATGAAATAGGTACTGTGTTGTTTTTGATCCACTTGATGGATCTTCAAACATTGACTGTGGTGTCTCCATTGGAACAGTATGTCTCTCTCTGACCCCAAGTTTTCTTAAGGGAGCTCAAGAAAAGTATATCATGTTAAAGTTTTCTTTTTTTGCATTTCGGTTTCGTGCGTAGATCTTTGGAATTTACACAATGAACCACACTGATGAGCCATCTACTGAAGATGTTCTGAAACCTGGGAATGAAATGGTCGCAGCTGGTTATTGTATGTATGGAAGCTCTTGCATGGTAATGAAATTGAAATCCACAAAATGCAACATAGTATCAATCAGTCTGATTAGTATATTTCTCTGTTTTTAAAGAATTTTGATTTGGGGACTCTCGCAGCTTGTGTTGAGCACTGGAACGGGTGTCCATGGATTTACTCTAGACCCGTCTCTAGGAGAGTTCATACTAACTCACCCGGACATCAAGGTAATGAGAACCAAGAAACATGAATCTTTCTCTCTTCTTAAGTTTTGGTCAAACACATGATCTTTCACTCTTTTTTATGAATTTCTCAAGTTTCATTAGTTCCTTCTTGTGCACAGATTCCGACAAAGGGGAACATCTATTCAGTGAATGAAGGCAATGCACAGAACTGGGATGGTCCGACTACAAAGTATGTAGAGAAACAAGTTAATCTGATTCAAGTTATCAGCTCAAATGATTGATGCATATTCTTGGTTTCTCTCTGTTGGTGTAGGTATGTAGAGAATTGCAAGTTTCCTAAAGACGGCTCTCCTGCAAAGTCTCTGAGATATGTTGGAAGGTATTGTAAAGGAACCTTCTCTCTTTCAAAGCTCAGGTCATAGAAAATAGCCTTTGATTGTGCTCCCTTTTGGTTAATCTCATCGTCTTTAACAGTATGGTTGCTGATGTTCATCGCACGCTGCTCTATGGAGGAATCTTCTTGTACCCTGCTGACAAGAAGAGCCCCAATGGGAAATTGCGGTAAGCTTTGGATAAGGAGCCAATGAATCTTGATCTTGATAGTTTTGAGAGCTAGCATAAAGAGCTAATCTTGGTTTGGATTTACATATGTGAACAGTGTTCTCTATGAAGTATTTCCGATGTCGTTCTTGATGGAGCAAGCAGGAGGTCAGGCCTTCACTGGCAAGCAAAGGGTAAGTTTATCGTCTTACCCTTCAAAATACAATCTTTTTGTGTGATCTTTGTGATATTGCATTTTTGTTGGTTTCGGTTTACGGGTCAAGTAGTTTAACCTGAAATGTTCTTGATGCAGGCGCTGGACCTTGTCCCGGAGAAGATCCATGAACGTTCTCCAATATTTCTAGGTAGCTACGACGATGTAGAGGAGATCAAGGCTCTGTATGCTGCGGAGGAGAAGAAGAACTAAGCTTCTCGTTCTCTTCTTATTCTGTTCTTGTTCTCTCACTGTCTCTCTTCTATATAGCTGCTTCTTCAGATGAGACGAACCAAAATAACTCATTTATACAAAGAAGTCTTTTTCTCAACGCACATAACAATAATTCTTGTCATAGACTCTTGTTGTTCTGAAGAAGAAGAGTCGCCAATTACAATAAGATTACGCTTCACTGGTTTTTATGGATCTAAAAGTGGTGAACAAATAAAGGCATTTTACAGATTCAACACACAGAAACTAGGCATCAGTGGTAGGACCAGGATAAGCAGGAAGAGTCATGATCCGCTTGTCTAAAACCGGACCTCCTACAGTGAAATGGTACAGACTCTGAAAGCTCGAGTCCTTAAACCCCAAAACCTCGTGCACTGGATCATCAAAATAGCACCCGATTCCAGTTGCTGAGATGCCCATTGCATGTGCTTCCAAGTACAAAACCTGCCCGATAACACCCGTCTCCCAGAAGAGTCTAGGATACATCCATGAGCCCTTCTCCCGTAGAGCTGTATCAAACCGAGCTACCATCCCTAGGCTGAAACATCCATCCCCTGCAATGTCCTGCATCAACCAAACAACTCATGATTTCAGTTTTTATATTTCAAGTGATATATGTAATCATAACTCTTACCTGATGGCATGATAGTCCTTTAGCCAGCTTCTTGCAATCACCCTGAACGAGCTTATACAGAGGAAGATCATCCGGACACCCATCTGGTCTCTCCCACTCGAAATCGGACCTCGTAGACCTCTTGAGATCACTGAGATGATCCTCATTTCTGACTAGAAAGTACAAACCTTTCGGCAAACCCGAAACTCTATGCACAAAGATAGCAAGATGAACCTCAGCAGCATCCCAAGGAAGAGCTCGAAACGGCAATGCAAGTTGCCGTTTCTGCGTCTCGGAACCACCACCGGAAGGAAGACAATGCATCAACATCTGATAAAACAGAGACTTGTCTATGAAAGTAACACCGTCCATATCAACAGCACTTCTTCTACTCCTCACAACTTCCCTAACCGTTAACTTCTTATCATACGAACTCTGGCTAAACACACCACTGCTTCTGAAGGAAGCATCGATTGAAAAAGACGAGCTTGATACCAAAGGAGGAGGCTTTTCGACAGCTTGAGCTGTGGTGTAGATGATATCCCAACGACGATGCTCTTTACTCAAAGCATTAGCCTTTCCTTTCCACTCAAGAGTAGAGAATTCACTAGAGATTGCAGAGCATAATCCATGGTAGTCTATGTTGATATCTCTAGTTCCGTCGGGGAAAACAAGTAGTAAGCAATCAGGATGCTCGGATTCGACCTCCGGGACTGAGGAAACGTTGAGTCCCATTAGCTTCTTGAGATCTTCCGCTCCGAGACCGTCGAGAAGCTTCAAGTCCCAGCCCAGCTCTGCAGCTGCGAGGGAGAGAGCGGCGATGGCGTGACCGACGTCGTGGTTGCAGTACCTAAACGCTCGTTCTCCGTACTTCCAGGCTTCACGCCAGAAAATTGAAGAGACTCCGATGAGGAAAGAGTTTTCCGGGAAGAATTTGGGGAAGAATGTGGGAGGGATGTGTGCTCTGACTTCTAAAGAATGTTCCTTTGGAGCGTAGTGTGCGACGAAAGCAGAGTCGGAGAGTGAATCGATGAGAGGAGCAATGAGGTAAGCCTCGGTGGGGTGTAAGTTTCCGCTGCTGGGGTTAACGCGGAGAGGCCAGGTGGAGGTTCCGATGGTTTTCCAGGCGGAGAGAGCGAGGGAATGGTAGAAGAGTTGAGAGATTGTGGAGAGAGAGATGGGTTTGGGAGGAGGAAGAGAATCGAAGAGAGAAGAATAGAGAGGAGATGATTCGTCGGAGGAGGAGGGTTCATTGAGAGGAAGGAGAGGAGCAGAGAGGAAACGGCGAAATGGATTAGGTTGATTGGCCCAGTCGAGACCTCGAGGACCTTTGGCGTAAGCGGTGAAGGAGTGTTTCGTCTGGTTATGGTACTTGAGAACCAATCGAAGCTTTTCTTCTTCGTCTTCGTCTTTTTCCTTAAAGGTAGGGATTTTGGAAGAAGAAGAGGAAGAGAAGGCCATGGCGGAGATGATGGCGCTTGTGTGAGGGATTGAGAGAAGAGAGGCTGATGTGAACCTGGAAGAAATCGGATTCATACTTCCACTACTGACTATCTTCTTCTTCCTCAATCAGACTCTTTCATGATCCACATGTTTCTGGAATCAGGAAGCTTTCTTCAAAGACATCTCTCAAGGGTCAAAACGATTAACCATGATCGGTTGTACCGGAGCTGTTTAAACCGGTTAAGAAGGGGTCAAGAATCAAGGCTACACGTGTCTCTGTGACTCTGTCTGTCTTTCTCTTTGAATTTAGCCGTCCAATGTCTAAAGTCTAAACCAGAGATGTTACTTGGAAGTTTGGAACAACTCCACTGTATTTATAAGTCGTTGACTGGTCTTGAAGCTTTTTTTCTTGTGGAAAAACGAGAAGTCTCTAGCTCTAGCGTCTAGTGAGTGTCTCGTAGTCGGCCAAAGTCATAACTACAAGTTGGCTTTTGTTGAAACTATGGCCTCAAAACTCATTCTACTTCATTTGCATGTTAAATATTGTTTCCGTATGGAGAAACAGCCAAGGGAGGCATAAATCAGGCTCATACGACATACGTACAAAATCCGCTTCAAAGCTCGGTTTAGCATTTTTTATATCTACAAACGTGTAAAAGTCTTGACCTCTACAAAACACTTAATGAAATTATTAGAAAACATAAGTAAAAACGGTAAATACACGTGTATATCAATGAGAAATGTACATTTCTCTCTATTTTACGGTTTTTACCAATACTGTTATAAATTTTACCAAATTTCTTACAGTTGTAAATGTTTGTATTGTTAGTTGTTACTCGTCGACAAATTTTATTACTACACAAAATGTTGATATTTTCGTGAACTCTCAGCATCCTGACCAATAGTTTTATGTTTAACTAACATTTTTGCCAAAAAAGACAACTCTTAAAATGTTATCTTGTGAACATCTTATTGAGTTATTGTTGGACGTTAATTTTGCATATTTTTGGGGTTAATAGGGGTTACATACCAAGAGCCCATAACTTAATATTTTTGGTTAGAGTAATTTTCCATATCTTTATCCCTCACCAGTTTATTTACCCTAAAATCTTTGAAATAAAAAAGCGAACCCCTTCGCTTTATTCCTCGATGCCAAACCAAAATTGGAAATTTTACCTCCTGCGCGTATAGAAAATCCATTACCATTATCCTTTTGGAGCTCCTTGTATTTATTGATTTACCACTGACCAGATTCGTCTTGGGTTTCTCCCTGATTGCGCTAAATCGGATCCTTCAAATTTCAATTTCACTTATTTATGATCTTGCGGAAACATCAAATTCTGCTTTCTCTCTCGTTGCCCAAATCGTAACGGAAGTCTTTAATTCTTCCGCTCGCCCAAATTTGCGATCTTTTGGATCCGGGCAATTTTCCTCTGTTCCAATGGCGGATCATCAAGAGGACGAAGATTTGAAATTGGCTCTTCAGATGAGTATGCAACACAATCCTCCGGAGCCCAAACGGAGCAAACCAATTGAAGAAACCGGATCCGGATCTCAGTTCGGTGGTCCTTCCGGTGAATCGCCGGAAGCAAAAAGCCGGCGATTGCAGCGTGAGCTCATGGCTGCTGCGGCGGAGAAACGAATGGTTCTGTTTCCCAAAAGCCCTCCACCTCGAGCTAAGCCCAGAGCTCTGGCTTCGCCAATTACGGTTGCTGATAAAGATAGCCAAGTTGTGAGGATCGGTAAAGAGTTGGGATCCGGTGACGGTGATGGTTCTTCCGGGAAGGAGTTGTCGCCGGAAGAATCCAATCAGTTGTTTACAATGGTGTTTAGTAATGAGGTCTCGAAAAGTGTACTTGCACAGTGGACTAATCAAGGCATAAGGTACGAGCATTAGCAGTTGTGTTTTTTGTTCTTTCTATATGCTTTGTTCATAGATTGATTCAATTGTGTGTGCTTTTACCAGTGAAATTGATTGAAATTTGTGTGCTTATACGGATGAAAGTTCTTTGCTTTTTTCCCTCTCTTCATAAGTTGATTGAAATTTGGGTGCTTTTGAAATAGCATAAGTTCGTTAGTGTATATAATATCGAAATATCATAAGTTCTTTTGTGTCAGGCATGTCATATAGTCTGATAACATTTCTTCAATGCGATACGCTTCTTCACTGAGTTAGAAATTTCTATTTGTATCCTAAATGCTCAGTAATTTCTCCAGATGTGGTAACTGTATCAGTGAAATTATCTTATGTCCCATTATTGTGTGTGTTGCTTTTAACAGTACTTTTAAATATCATTCGTAGTTAATTTAGAGCTCACGGTTTGACTAATGTTTTTGTCTACATTTTTATAGGTTTAGCCCTGATCCTGAAACTACTATAGGCTTAGTGCAGCATGAAGGTGGGCCTTGCGGTGTTTTAGCAGCACTACAAGTAATTCTCTTGCCTTTCTTGTTCTGATTAAATGTGTTGTTCATTGGTTGTGTGGAGCATGTGAACATTGTTGCAGTTGATACTGACTGTTCGATTTTCTGTGTAGGCATTTGTTCTTAAATACCTTCTTTACTTTCCGGATGAAATAGGTAAAGCTTCCCCAAGTCTAGGTGTCAGGTCATTATCAAAAACTCGTTATGTTGCATCAGGCTCTTTCTCTTCTGTACCAGAAGAAGCAAAAACAAGGTAATTTGTTCTCTGAAGTTTTGCTAGACTTATTATGATTCACGTCAAAATTTCGATTATCATGCTTAGTTCTCAGCATCTGTCATTGAATTTCCCATGATTTTCCAGGGCTCTTGTGAGAAGTATGTGTGAGATTCTATTCATGTGTGGAAACAATAACCGCGCTGTAATAGCGAGTTTCCCTAATCTTGAGGATACCAATACAAATCAGAAAGATGAGGTTAGTAGAAAAAACTTGAGGAGTTCTTCATATTTGGTGCAAGTATTGGTTTTGCTTTCACTATTCCGTATTAAATGATTAATTTCCTCTTGTTGCAGGCAATGGCTGGTCCTCTCCCCATTGAGTCTGCTTCAGATTTGCAGAAGATCTTGAGATTCGAGACATTCACAACTCAATCAAGTGCACTTAATAAGCTAGAAGGCACAATAACTGCTTTCCAAAGCCGCATGGGTGCTTTGCTATTCCTGATTTCTGCTTTACTCTCCCGTGGACTGGTATCGACTCAAAACCTTGATCCTGATTACTCTTTTTGTTTGTTAACATTTGAACTAGGAGGCATAGCTGAAAATGATAGTTAAAGGGATTGAATTGACATTTCAACCACACAGTAGTGTTCAGTAATGATGTTTAGGTTTCTAGATTAGTTTTCGATTCTGTATCTAGATTAGTATTAAGTTGCAGACTGGATCATTGTGGTAGATTTTGTATATAGTCCGATCGAAGGATCCTCATTGTTCCTTACGGGTCTGTTACTGCGTAAAATAGTTAGAATCGTTCTCTTATAATTGAATTTGTAGTGTTGTAGCTGTAACTGAGTATTTTTTGTTCATGAACAGGATACAGTTCAAAGCGACAGGGATGATCCAAGCCTCCCTCTAGTAACTGCACCGTTTGGACATGCCTCTCAGGTAGTAGAACCAACACATTTCATAATCTAGACTGATCCTAACTTTTTTTCTTTACTTGAGTGTTGCTGATTTTTCCTCAATGTGCCCTTTAGGAAATTGTGAACCTGCTGTTGTGTGGAGAAGCGGTTCCCAATGTGTTTGATGGAAGAATGGATCTTGGAGGCGGTATGTTTCTAAAAGGCATATCTAAGACAGTGGAGGTTGGCTTCCTCACGTTGCTCGAGTCTCTCAATTACTGCAAAGTCGGTCAGAATCTGAAATGTCCCAAATGGCCAATATGGGTTATTGGCAGCGAGTCACATTACACTGTCCTGTTTGCACTCGAACCATCGGTACAAGAAGAGAACGAGCTTGAGCTGAGAGAATGTCAGATAAGAAGAGCCTTCGACGCAAGAGACCAGAGTGGAGGAGGAGGTTTCATCAGCGTGGAGGCCTTCCACCAAGTTGTTCAAGAAACAAACATCAGACTCCCAATCGAGAAAGTCAACGATATCTGCGCGACAGGGTTCATCGTGTGGAGCGAGCTATGGCAAGTGATCTTGGAGTTAGACCGGAACTTAGGAGGGATCAAAGATTCAACAGGGTTGATGGGAAAGAAAGTGTTTGACATCTATCACTTCAACGGGATAGCGAAGTCGGATATAAACGGTGGTGGTCAAGCGATGGCTGTTGAAGGCGGGACGGTTCCTATGCAGAGGCCACGGCTGACGAAGCTAAACGTCTCTGTTCCTCCTAAATGGACGCCGGAGGAGTTCATGACATGCGCATTGCCGAGCAGCTCGGAGAAAGAGCCGGAAGTGAATCAGCCTAAACCGGTGCAGCATGCGCCGTTGGTCGATTGTATAAGAACTCGGTGGTCGCGAGCTACGTGTAGCTGGGCTGGAGATCCTCCAAGTATAGTCTGAAGAATGATGTTGTATTATGAGGGAAGAAACGGGAAACTGCTGATTTGATTTGGCGGTTTTAAGACGCGTTTGAACTTTTCTTTGGCGTTGTCCTGTTTTTTTCTTCTCTTTTGTGTTGTGTATTGATGTAGAATTTTTTGTTATTTGTTGAGACTGAACATTATTTGAAACAAATGAATAATTTCAATTGTTTGATGAAAATTGCGTTCACTAAACATCTAATATTGCGTTCACTAAACAAATGATTTTTTGATCTCTAATTAAAAATAAGGATAATACAATTTTGTTGAATATGCATTATCTCATGTGGACAGTGATGAAGTTCTGCATATGGCTTGTGGAATGTGATTTTTTTGCAGATGATTTATGCATGTTATGAAATCGATCTAGTTGTCAAAGAGTTGATTAAGAGCTAAAGACAAAACTACGGAAAAAAAACCTGATTTTTGGACACAAAAACCTTGGGAAGGAAGAGTAAGACCGTGATTTCTCTATTTGTTTCACTAAGAAACGCCATTTTAGAATGGCTTCATTGTTCTTAAAGTGGAGGACAATCATGTCAAGATGAAACTCATCAAAGAGTAAAAGGCTTGTTTTACTGGAAATGTTTGTACATACAATCATATATTTAAAGCTGCAACGAGTGTCAACAATGAAAATATGACACAACTCCTTCACCTAAATTGATTCAACCATTGTCTATCTTTAATCGAGTTTAGACTTATATTTTCAATGGAGTTTCATAGATGGATTAACACATTCTTATGCAAAATTGGTCATTTTTGTGGTTGATCATAGGTTGACTTAAGTTGTCTGTTTCATGGCTATTTCTCATCCATATTCAGTAGCCTGTGTAGGCCAAGCTTTTTTGGATAATTTTTTTAATTAGTGTAACAATATTCTAGAAATGCAAACTTTAACATTGGATCAATGGCAACGTCAATTGCAACTATATCACTTAATTCTTCCCAATTTCTATCAAATTTCTCCTTATAGCCTCCACTATTTCATGAATGATCAGATCATCAAATTCCTCATGAGCTCTCAACCAACTTTTAATTTTTCAAATTTGCATAAAATAGAGGTTTTATGTGGAATAAGATGAATTATAATTAAATCAACTTTATCATTTCCAGCAACCGGTGTTAAGAACTCACATATGAATTCTTCTTTTATTCACTATAAATCATTCTATAGCTATGTTTTACCTCTGATGAATGAAATTTCAACAAGTTGAGACATCTAAAACCAGACATGCATCAACATGAATTTTAAATGTTTCTAAATAGTTTTTGAAACATGCATGTTTTTTCTACACGAGATCCTTCACAAACATGACAATATCCACTATTTTCTCGAAAGCTTTGCTGATCCCATTATCACATTTATTTCATCTTGCACGCACAGGACGCCTGTGCATGAAAAAAATTTCTCCATTCACAAAAATATATATTTGTAGCTTTCTCTTTGAACTACAATGCATAGTATCATTAGCAGAAGAACCCTTCTCCAATATTAGCGAAAACACTTTCTTCTCTAATCTTCAATCATTCAACAACTCAATAAACTTCATTGTTATAACAAAACCAATACTCCAATAGCAATACAAAGTGGTTTGGTTTTTGTGTTTTGGTGTGCTGATTTTCTCAGTTTCACACTTTTTATTTTATCTTAAATCCTTGCAGGTTTGAGTCATTGAAAATTGTTGTTTGTATTGTAATCTTTGTACTGATTAGATTTCAGTTCTTTAGTTTCACAAGAGATTCATTGGTAAGTGTCATAATCTCAAAAGCTAAAAACTTGATCATTCGTTTCTTTTGGCTGAATGCGTCGTTGATTAAAAAAAATTCATATGAATTGAGCTGAGCTGAGATGTAGTTAAACTGAGATGTTGTTTCATACAATGTTTTGTTTTGTTGCTACATGGATGTGGATTATGATTTTAATGGCTCTAGGCTCATGTATATATGTCAATATATGTGTGTGTTTGTTCTTGGCTGATATATATGTTTTAGTGAATCACATAAATTAATATAGAAAAAAAGTTTTCTCTTTGCCTCTAGATTTATGAAATCGTTGTGCCGGGCTCTGTGTATACTTATGCATTCCTAACGTGCTTGTAAAATGTTTACATTAGTGTTTCAGTTATTCAAGCGGTCTGATTGATTAATTGAAACATGTAAACATGAAAATTTGTCAAAGAAAAAGAGAGAATCTTTGTTGTGTGATAACTTAAATATAAGATTATCTATTTTATTCATTTAAAGAAGTATTTTCGTGGTAACTTTCGAGAGAATATAGGTTTTTCAGACAGAATGTCATATTTGGCCCTACTTACTCCTCTTTGACAAAAACTCTTCTCTGCTTCTGTCATTTCGTCTTCAAGACTTCTCTGCATCGGTAGGTAGTTTCAAATAGTAACCCCAAACCTCGCCGTCATCGCGAAAAAAATCCGGATTCGATGGAGTCTTCCTCCCTGAGAGACACCCAAACAATTCTCAGCGAAATAGAGCGCATGCCAGAAGCCCCGCCACGTCAGCGTATCTCTCATCACCGCCGAGCTCGCTCCGACACTTTCTTCTCCGGCGAATCCATTGACGATCTCCTCCTTTTCGATCCTTCCGATGTAGATTTCTCTTCCCTCGACTTCCTCAACGCCCCAACACCACAACCACCACCACCACCGCCACAGCCACAAACACAACCGTCTCCGATGTCCGTCGATTCTCCTTCCGAAGAAACCTCATCCAACGGTGCTCTTCCCCCGAAGCCCGAGGGCCGATTCGGCCGCCACGTCCGCAGCTTCTCAGTCGATTCCGAGTCCGATTTCTTCGACGATCTAGCCGTCGCTGAGGATATCCAATTCGCCGGGAAATCCGGTGAAAGGAAAGGTCACCATCATAGGAGTAATTCGATGGACGGAGCTACAAGTTCGGGGTCGTTTAACCTCGAATCGATTCTCGCCGCCGTGAATTGCAAAGACGGTGCTAAGAAGAATATGGGTATGGCTAGTGAGAGACTCGCCGAGCTTGCTTTGCTTGATCCCAAAAGAGCTAAACGGTAAAAAAATTAGTTTTTTTTTGTTCATTTTCTACCAAATGAAGTCACATCTTAATCAAATAGTCTTTGTGATGGTGATGATGATTATTCTTGATTAGGATTCTGGCGAATAGACAATCTGCTGCGAGGTCAAAAGAGAGGAAGATTAGGTACACTGGTGAGCTGGAGAGGAAAGTACAGACACTTCAGAACGAAGCTACCACACTGTCTGCTCAAGTCACTATGTTGCAGGTAAAATCTTATGACATGACTTTGTCAACCGACACGGTATCTTTAAGACATTGTTGTTTATCCATCTGATGTCTTAACTAAGTTAAAAACTTCCTGCTTTCTTGATTTGAGTTATGTTTAATGAGAAATGGTGATGCTTTGGTTAGTTTCATGTAGCTTATAACTTGTAATTGAGGCCTAGTGTGTTAAAGAGATGTATACAACAAATTTCTAGGGTGTGTTCTTGATTGTAATAATATATGTTGTTCCTCTATTGTGCAGAGAGGAACGTCAGATCTGAACATAGAAAACAAACACCTCAAAATGCGTCTGCAAGCTTTAGAGCAACAAGCTGAACTTAGAGATGGTAAGCCTAAGCCATTTCCATTGCATCGGTGAAGTATCTGATTTCCAAATTTGATATTTGTCATTCGGTGTTAACTTGCAGCTTTGAACGAAGCGCTGCGGGAAGAACTGAACCGACTCAAAATAGCCGCTGGAGAGATCCCTCAGGGAAACGGAAATTCATACAACCGACCTCAGTTCTCATCTCAGCATCAGTTTGGGAACAACAACAACAAGAACCAGCAGATGAGCACCAACGGGCAGCCACCGCAGCAGCAGCGTCCAAGCTTCATGGATTTCACCAAGAGAGGCTAAAGTTCGTTCATTCGTTTCACCTCTGGGGTTATATATATATAAACACTTGAATATTCATTTCGGGCTACAATATTGGATGTACGTATGTATGTAATATATGGCTTTTGTATTAGTTTGTTTTGTATGTCTCATGGCTATATCGGTTTATATTTTTATATGTAGTAACTTATGTAATACTTATATCTATATAACAAACACTTCTACAGTTCTACGCATCATCTAAAACGTATTTTAGCACTTCAAAACCATGGCTTGTGCATACATAACAGAAACTAACAAAATTTGAAGCTGAAAAAACCAAATCCGGGATTACATCGGAGGGAATCAAACCATAAAGGCTTACGACAACATAGCAATGCAAACATATGGAGGAAATTGCACGGTCGGTCACTTATGAGCCGGACAGATGCAGTTGTTAGCTCCAACATCCTTAACAAGACACGGTGGTAGAGATCCATCCTCGTACCAAACCGACCGATGTTCGTCAAGATCCTTCAGAAAATGATCAAGCTTCTCAATAGTAACACTCGGCATAACCACCACATGAGCTATATCGCCTTGACAAGCGAGCTGCCACCTCCTAACAAACTCCTCATCTTTAGGCCGTTCAAAGACCACAGTGCTGCTAAGCTCGTTGAGCATCGCGCTGATCCCGGCTTCGCGGAGCTTGTCTTTGAGGTAATGCGCGTTCCTCAAACATTTCTGAACTTCTTTCTGAAACCCTTTGTAGCCTTTCCTGTTCAGAGTGTACCATAGGAACAACGGAGCGTGCCCGTTCCTGCTTCCCATGATCGTCGCGTCCCTCGAGGCGAGATACTCGACGTTGCTTGAGAGGACTTTGATGTGCTCCATTCTCGTTATCTGAACACCACAAGGCATCGGACATCCGACGAACTTGTGTCCTGACACACTCACACTTCCTATCGGTTTATTAAACGTCACTTTCGGTGCCTGTAGAGCACAATAAAGGTTAATAATCTCTACCACAATGACTTGATTAAAAGACTATAATAACACTTACACGTTTGACGAAAGGCATCATGAGTCCAAACAAAGCTCCATCGCAGTGAATGTAAAACCTGTCGTGTGAAAATCCACACTCTTCAAGAGTCTTGATCACAAGATCAAGATCATCCACAGCTCCTTTCACAGTTGTTCCTGCAGAAACAAAACAAAACCATCAGCGAAAATTCCTAAACACAAAACAAACTGGTCAAGAAACACACACACAGTCACCGACCTATGTTAACATTAAGAATCGCTGGTTTATCTTTGTTCGCCATCAGTTTCCGTCTGAAATCATCACAGTCAATCTCTCCAGAGATGAGCGTATCAACCTTCTCGCACTCCATTCGATACATCCGAGCTGCCTTGAAGATAGAGTAATGCGACTCACTCGACGCGTACAAGATCCCATCAGGAAACATCTCACGCCTACAAAAAGAATCAAAAACAAATATAAAAAAAAAACCGAAGCTTTGCAATACAAAACGAATCAAAAAGATCGATTTTTTTAACGAACCCGACTAAGATCCCGTGAAGGTTTCCTTCTGTGCCACAGTTTGTGATGTAACCCCAATAGTCATCTCTCTCAATCTCCCAAAGACGAGCGAACCAATCCAACACGCCGACTTCGAACGGCCTTGAGTGCACACCATAGTTGCTTTCGATAAACGGATCTCCGAGATTGTTGATCGAGAAATGCTGCAACTGCCCAAGCGCACCGTAATCGAAATCCAAATTGTATGGATAACCTAAAACACAAACAATCACAGATTCTTATAAAAAAATGGCAAAAACGAAATTTTTATCCCAAATGATGAATTTTTTTTAATTACCGAGATGGAATTTGGTTCGTTCGACCAGAGTTTTACGGTAACGAGCGAGGACGCTAGCCATGTAAGCTTCCTTGTCGCCGGTGAATTCGTCGTTGGATTCAGGCTCAGTGACGGCGAGAGACGTCGTGTGTATGTTCCTGCCGAGGACCATTTCTCTCTCGCCTCCTCCTCCGTTGATGACCTTCGTCTTTATCGGAGTCTCTTCTTCCTCGTGATCTGCAACGGTTCCGTTAGTTAACGGAGAAGGTAACGGTTCGGTGACGACGGCGGTTGGATCGAAGTCGTCAGTGAGGATCTCGATTTTCTCGTTCAAGGACGCCATTATGTGATCGGATTCCAGAGCTCCAACCATTATTGGAATATAAAGGTGCGAGAGAAGGAAGGAGAATCTGTAGCTGAGAAGCAGATCTGAGAGGAGAGAGAGACAAGTGATTGGAGGAGAAGCGGTGGGAGATGTCGAGAGAGACGCAGCGTCGTTAATTTATAAGTAGACGAAATTGATTCTTTCTTTTGCCCTTTCGTCGGCACTTGTCTTGTGTTGAGTGTACTCGTGAGATTTTGATTTATTATTTTTTAAAATGGTTTTAATATTTTTTTAAAAGGTTTGCCATGAGATTCCTCTTTATTTTTTTGTTTTTTTTTTATTTAAAAAATTGAAGGATTATAAAAAGGTAAGGTTTACCAACTTGCCATGAGGTTATGAGATTCATGTTGACTATATTAAAATAGATTCAACAAGAGGTACGAAAATGAAATCATTTGAAATGTTGGTGTTAATTTTCAAGATTCTCTCATTTAAAGTACTTCAGTTTTTGTTTGAATAGCATAACATAGCTAACGGTATTATACAGAACAAATATGGTAAGTGAGAAGAAAACAGTATACAAGTAGTAAATAAAAAAAAGATTTGTATAGTGATCATGTTAAGCATAGTTGAAATATATTAATATATATTTTTAAGATTATAGTATTTTCTAACTTTAAAATACAAAGAAAGGCAAATGTAAATTTTTAACTTTCACATGACAAAAAAAATGCAAGACTAACCTAGATCTAAAAAAAGTAAAATGAACTTCAAAGTAACAAAAATACAAATTGTAATATCAGTTTTGATCTTAGAAAATTGCAAACTAAATCTTTATCATATTAAATTTTTTTAACAATACTGTTCTTGTGACGAAATTTAATGTTTCAATGTTTCGGTTAAATGTCTCAGTTATGTAATCTCGTTAATATTTTTTTTTTCTGTTTTGAATTGTTGGCTCTAGGATTATATCAGCTAAGAGCTAAACGTCAACTTTATATGAAATTTTAGTTAAACAATATTAAAAAAAAAAATCATGATCACTTTTAAAACCTTTTCTTTCTCTTGACTACAAGTGCCCACGAAAGGGCAAAAAGCAAATAAACAATATTGTGTACTTATAAATTAAAAGCTACATCTAATTATTTGATAAGGAAAATAAAAGCTTGCCAATTTGCCATGAATCATATGTTTTCTTTTTGCTTGTTATTTTATCGATTTAGCAAGAAGGAAAAACAAAACAAAAATTAGGTTGTTAATTTACACTTTTATTCTTATACAAACAATACGAAGGTTTACACATGGCTGTGTTTATTTTTATACCAATCCAAAAGGTTGCCAACTTGCCATGAGATTATGAAAATCACATGGCTTTTGTTTAATTGTTACTAAATCATTTCAACAAGAAAACAAACTGATTTACAGTATTGAAGTAAAATCGTTTTAAGTTTGGTGTAAATTTCAAAAATAAGAGAAGACTGCCCATCAAAGCAATTATTTTAGTTTTGCTCTGAGTATGAGCGTTTAGGATATTGATAGCAATTCAAACAGTTTGTAATGAACAAGAAAAGAAGTAAAAAAGGGGGAAAACAGATGGAACAAGTAGAACTTAGTATAGTTCGTGTTGCTTTGAACGTGTATGTTTTAGATTTCACACACTTATTATATGCAATACTATATTTAAAAAATGGGTGTGTTCGGAGGGAGGAGTAGTTTTTAAACAGAAATGTGATCCATTTGGAGAGGATAAGATCGATTAGTTGATTTTGAGTGTGACTAGACTACACATAACACAATAATACATGGGTGTCAATGACTGAACGTAACAGTGATTTTGTAGATAATCGATCTACCTAAGGACAAACCAAGTTGGAACTCGTTTATTTGTTTAAATAACAAAACCAAATAAAACTCAATCATCATTATTTCTGATTTATGCATGCTTTCTAAATGACTAAATGACCATGTTTATCTAATGGTTACACACAGATGATATCGGAAACTTGTGTGGCATGGTGAAGAAGTTACATCGTCAATAGGCAGCAGGATGCAGCCATTGACTCAAGAAACACAATAACACATTGCACAATTATTATGATTCAAGATTAATTTTCATGGCGTGATCTCTCTGATAAGGCTTCTGTATAGTGATACTAATGCTACTATTGAAAGCGAATTTTGTTTTGATGATTTTAAAAGCTCCACATAGGTACAAATTTCTGGTGGATTATGAGAAACTTTTGGTATACAGAAATCACATCAAGAATCTTGTGGCTATGTATATATTCTACAAAACTTGCTTTTATATCATCATCACATGATTCGAAAATGATAGCATTAATATCACCAACACATGCTACAAAAAGAAAGTGTTATATTTAAGTAATTTGGGCCGAACATCTTAGCCCAAGTGAGATATCTATGGTCGGTTCTAAAAGGTGTTTGAACATGAATCGCTAACACAGGGGTTATGCCCAAACAATTTTTAAGTCTTTTATGATCAAAAGATTTAAAAACTTAAAGTAATCACGAAAGAAGCTTAAAAGCCAACAAGGCAACAACAGAATTGAGGAAAAAAGTTTCGAAATTTCACTGGGAACATGCATGTGTGACAGACAGATGGTCGTAAAGAGAGAGACGCGTAAGATCGCCGAAATTGATTCACTGCATTGAACAACCAGAGATTTCGAAATTCAGGCGACTTTCTAAAACCCTAATCAAAATCCCCAACAAAACCAATTAATCAAAACCCTAACCCCTTGAAACTGCGTCGAATCCTCTCGCTTTTGGACACTCTTCGTGTTGCTTAGGATCAGTAGAAGAAGAATCTGACCTTTGAAAAATTTCTCAGTAAATATGGTAAAATTTCTCACTCGCTCTTCTCTCCTTTTCGACATGGATTGTTATTTTGGTGATTGGGTTTCGCTAATTGCAATTTCGAATGTACTGTTTGGAAAATTTCCGATGGTTGATTTCTCGTTACTCTCATGCTAAATTTCACACTGGGCTCGTATGATATAGCTTTGAATATTGATTCAAAACTGATTTTGATTTTTTATCTATCCGCTTAAAATCCGAAGTTTCTGTGTTCTTTTTCAGGCGACTGTTTGTCAGATTTGTGGGGACAGTGGTTTCGAAGTAGCACTTGTTTATTGCGACTCTTGTAAGATTGCAGCTATGCACTGGTGAGTTTTTTTTTTTTGAATTGAAATGAATTTTGTTTGGCTCATTTGTGTTAAATTTATTGGTGTTGTTGCTTATTCATCTTTGCTCTCTGTTTCTGAAGCTATTGTTTGGGCATAACGCCGGTTCCTTTTGAGGAATATATAACTTGGTTCTGTGAGGAGTGTGATGTGAGTGACTGTGGCTCTGATGGCGGAGAAGTTGATATGACCACTAAGCTTAGAGATATCTTGAAGAAGAAGAAGAGCAGCAGTCAAGCCTCGCCGGTTAAAGCTGCTGAGGAGGTGTTTTCTTCACCAACGATTGTAGAAACAATGAAGGAGTCTGAGGGAAGGGAGAGATTGGATAATGGAAAGTCTGATGAATTGAACGGTTTAGTAAGAAATGAAGCAACTGTCTCGGAGAAGGTGGTGAAAGAAAAGAGGAAGAAGAAGAAGAAGAAACGAAAGAGCATTGATCAGTCCCTGCCGGCTTTACCTCTTGAGGACCATGAGCTCCCTGATGCCATTGATGTTGAGCCTGTGTTAGTAAGTAATGAAGGAACTGTCTTGGAGGCCGGAGATGGAACAACTGTTTTGGGGGAGGGAGAGAAAGAAAAGAAGAAGAAGAAGAAGAAACGGAAGAGCATTGATCACACCTTGCCGGTTGAGGATCATGCCATTGCCACCAATGTTGAGCCTGTGGAGGTGTCTACGAAGCAACAAAGCTCTGAAGAATTGAATGGTTTAGTAAGAAATGAAGGAACTGTCTTGGAGGCCGGAGATGGAGCATCTGCCTCTGAGAAAGAAAAGAAGAAGAAGAAGAAAAGAAGGAGCATTGATCACTCTCTGCCGGCTTTACCTGTTGAGGACCAACAGCTCCCGGTTGCCACCAATGTTGAGCCTGGGGAGGTGTCTGAGAAGCGACAAAGCTCTGAGGTATCGAACGGTTTAGTAGGAAACGAAGCAACTGTCTTGGAGGCCGGAGATGGAGCAACTGTTTTGGGGGAGGGAGAGAAAGAGAAAAAGAAGAAGAAGAAGAAAAGAAAGAGCATTGACCACACCTTGCCAGTTTCACCTGTTGACGATCATGTCCTCCTGGATGCCACCATTGTTGAGCCAGTGGAGGTGTCTAAGAAGCGAAAAAGCTCTGAGGAATTGAGAAATGAAGCATCTACCTCAAAGAAGGGTGAGAAAGGAAAGAAGAAGAAAAAAAGAAAGAGCACTAATCACTCTCTACCGGTTTTACCTGTTGAAGACAATGAGCTCCCGGATGACACCAATGCTGAGCCTATGGAGGTGTCTAAAAAGAGAAAAAGCTCTGAAGAACTGAACGATTTAGAAAGAAATGAAGCATCTGTCTTGGAGATGATTGAGAAAAAGAAGAAGAAGAAGAACGGAGAGAGCAGCAAGAACACCTTGCCGGTTTTAGCTGTTGAGGACCATGAGCTCCAGGCTACCAATAAAGGAACAACTCATGACTCTGAGAGACGGGAACACAACAATGGAAAATCTCATGAATTGTCTGGTTTAGCTAAAAGTGCAGCATCATATGTCTCTGAGGCTGGGAATTCATCTACTGTGCCAGATTACAGTTCTTGTACCAGCAAAAAGAGGAAGTTAAGTTCTGGCAACATAAGGGTTACTAGTGCAAACACACAGTTAGATGCTGAGGAAAACACTTGCAGAGAAGCTGAATCAAATATGCCTCAAACGTCAGAGAAGTTGACAGCTACGGATTACAACTCTCCGGTACTCTATAATGACAGAGCGCAACCAATCTTGGAACCGACATGGAGGTAAAAGGAAATACAAAGCTTTCTTTTATCGTTCTGCTTCTCATCATTTGAATTCTGAACCAGTTTTTGTCAAATTTCTAGGGGATCGATATCGATAAAGAACAGAAACGTTTGCAACATTGATGGCCTTGTAGCTCATTTATCAAGCTTAGCCTGCTATCAAGTCCACGAAAAGGCGAGTTCGTTGCACGGTCGCCTCTATGCTGAAATGGTTCCTAGGTTGGATATATGGCCGAAAAGCTTTCTCAACAATGGAGGACCTATGGATGATAGTATCGCTTTTTATTTCTTCCCTTCAAGTGAAAGTGACAGGTATATATATCAAACATGTTAAACCACCAGTCTCACTGACATCTATTTTTTTTTTGTAAAAGTGTCAAAACCATTTTCTTGTTTTATGGTTTTTCAGTAATCAAGAAGCGGTTTTCTATTCGCTTGTTCGTGAAATGAAGAAGGATGATTCGGCGATGAGATGCGTTCTTGACAATGTAGAACTTATACTCTTCACCTCTTATCAGTTACCTCTGCATTGTTGGAGTAAGTCGAATAGATCTTTTTCCTCTGTAATATGATCATTCGTTATTCGCATGAATCGTTAAAGCTAAGAAGGCCGAGTTTTTTCCGTTTGCAGCTTTTTATTCAAAGGAGTACCTGTGGGGTGCCTTCAGGCCTAGAAAGACTTCTCGACATTAGTCACTAGACTCACCAACTTTGACAGTTTCTGGATATGAGCAATGATAACACATCTCAAGTATGACTTGCAGACTTCTCCTAATATATTTAGTTCTGTTTCGGGTTTAACTCTTTTACTGATTTTTGGTTGCGAGTTGTTTGATAGTTAGCAAGATTATGTATAGATTTTGAGGCTCTTTTTGGTGGATTTGTGCAACCGATCATTCAAATCAGTGATAACTTTGGTATCTTCTTGATTGTAGAACTTGATATTGATCCAATATCTTCCTAGACAGAAAATGTCATGTGTTCAATTATGGACAACAATAGAGAGTAGACAGAGAAGAAAAAATAATTGAGGGAGTTGGATTTTGCTACTTCAATTTTTTATACACATGCTTCAATTATTGGCCAGGGAATAATATTATTAAAAAAACGACAATATACAATACAGACAAATCTCAAACTCTGATTGATCATTTAAGATTAAAGGGAGTCTTTCACCGCACATTGTGTGCAAGATTTGGAACATTCTTGATAAACAAAACTTCAGATTCGATGTAATAATTCTCACATACTTACAAAGAAACTCGATTGAAGTGAGCAACAATGGCGGATTCATCGGCACCATTGTTGACTTATATTGAAGATGAAGAAGACACTTCTCCGCCTCTGAATTTCGACAAGATCTTCGAGCAGAGCTTAACTGATTTCGGTGTCTCACAGTTCTTACAGATAATCATTGTCGGGCTTGCCTTAACCTTCGATTCGCATCAGATATTCATCACCGTCTTCACAGACGCATATCCCACTTGGCACTGTCTCGACCACACCATCTGCAACACGGCAACCACCGACGTCTGTGAGATACTGAGATTCCACGGTCAGCATGGGACTGGGACGGCGGAACCAAGGCTAAATCCGTCATTTCGGAGTTCGATCTCGAGTGCTCGAGCTCCTTCCTCAGAGGTCTTCCCACATCAGCTTTCTATGTTGGCTCTATCGTTGGAGGGGTTTTCATGGCGATGATCCCAGACGGTTTCTTGGGACGGAAGCAACTTCTTTTCCTCTCCACGTTAGCTATGTCACTCTCTGGAATCTCTTTATCTTTCTCTTCCAACATATGGATCTACGCTTTCTTGAAGTTTGTTATCGGATTCGCCGTTCTCAGACTGGTACTTACGCTTTGAACCTGATAAGCGAACGAGTGTCAACCAAATGGAGACCGAGAGCTACTATGATCCCGTTCACTCTCTTTGTGTTAGGGCTCATGTCGCTCTCTGGAATAGCCTACCTTGTTCGACACGCTTCCTGGAGGGTTCTCTATCTCTGCACATCCGTTCCAGCAGCTATCCACACTTCCACAGTATCTGCCTCTATTTCTTCGCCTTGGAGTCTCCTCGTTGGCTTCATCTGCAAGGTAAGAACGAAGAAGCCATTCAAGTGCTCAAAAAGATCTCACCTGCGAAAAGAGGTTACTTGGAATCAGTATCTTATAAGCTATCTCGAAAAGAAACCCTAGAACAAGCTCCAAACAGCTCGATCAAGGACTTGTTTACCAGGAAATGGGCTTTCGAAGAATCGTAGTTGTTATGATCATAATGTTTGGGTTGGGAATGATGTATTACGGAGTTCCATTAGCGGTTAGAGACATAAAAGTGAACATCTATTTGAGCGAAGCCCTAAACGCAATGGTGGAGTTACCTACGTTTGTTATCACTCCAATATTGCTGGAGAAGTTCAACAGAAGAAGCTCTGTGCTTGTGAATTGCTTACTCGGAGGAGGATTAGGAGTGCTCTGTTTCGTCCTGACCATTTTCGGGAGAACAAACGTGGCTTTTGCCCTAGAACTCGGTTCTTTCTTCTGCGCGAGGATCGGGTTTAACTTGATGGCGGTTTATATGATTGAGATGTTCCCAACATGCGTGAGGAACTTGGCGACAATGATGCTGAGACAAGCGCTTGTAGTTGGAGGAGCTTGTTGTCCAATCATTGCTTCAGTTGGAAGAAATGTTCCGTCGCTGTCTTTCGCGGTTTTTGGGTTTGCAGTGTCGGGTCTAGGGTTATTTGCTTTGCTCCTTCCTGAGACCAAAGGGTCAAACCTTTGTGATACAATGGAAGAACAAGAGCTCTTAGAGGCCAAGCCTTGAAGAATAGCCTTTAGTTCCTAAAAATTTAGTTATATAAATATTTGGTTCTTATATAGTATTGCGCTGAATTGCCTATAAGAAAATGGCATGTGCTACACAATGAACGTTTTACTCTGGAAACAAGTAAGATGCTTGTACTGAATATTCCAATGGTTTCACATGTGTTTCTACAGTGTAAAGATCACACAGGTATAGTTTGCATACAAATTGTGTGCTCGGAGACTTTATAGGTCTTGTTCCGTCTTTGCTCACGATCACGGTGGTGCTAATCTTAACGACCTCCATGATTGCTGAATATGACCTAAACCTGTACAAGAACATGTACTGTCCACTAATGCAGAACGTATTAGGTTATTATAATAAACTTTTGCAACTATTTTTTACTAGATAAAATATCTGAAAACTTTGTCCCATAAACATGATCATAAATCATGTTCTGATACTACCATTTGTAACATCACTAATTCGATTTAGGACTAGACGGACCAAAAATGCTATGCTGATAGCTGGAAGCAGTTCGACCAAGTTACTAGATAACCTTGATGGTTTGACTTAGGCTTTAGAATAGCAATTTATAGGATTAAAAATCCTCTTTCGTAACATTCCGCTTTAAACCTAACGATCAATTTAACACTTTACCAACAAAACAAAACATAAAAAAAAAAAAAAAAAAACTAACGATCTTGTTACGGTATGTTCTTTTTTAGAAAAGCTCGTCTTATATTGATAGATTTTGCTCTAATCAATATAATTCTTTGGGTACCGAAAAAATAATAAAAAATAAGTGAAAAGCCAACGATCTTGCAAAGGCTGAAAAGCCAACGATCTTATCAACCTAGAAATCAACATGAACCTGCAGAATATAACCAAACAAACGCAATATATATAAATATAATACAAGTCCACATGCGCTTCTAGTATTATCCTATCTGTAAATTTTGTTTCCCAAGGAAGCTTTAACTTCATTGCTTCTTATTGGGAGGTCTATCGATCAGTTGTAGCTCTGTAACCCATTTAGCCAATCACCGCCTACGTTACGTTTAACTGAGTTTTTCTACATACGTCACTAAACTTCTGTGAGTAAATAGTATATACTTATTATTAACAAAATTTAAGATAACATTTTATACAGTCTGAGATTTTGCTGAGGTTTTTGGAACCGCCAACGACGTATCCAATAAACGAATTAACAGTAGAAGAAAAAAATAACTACAAAAGACTCTGGAGGTATGGCCGTATGGTATGGGCATGGCGTGTCAAAGGTGTTTTTGCAGCTTTCGCCGCAACTCCTCCAAACATTTCATATTTCGTAACCAGTATCCGACACACACGAATATGTTTGAACTTTAAATCTCCTCCAATGTTGTCGATTTATTTACGAAATTTCTTAAATTGTGATTTTATCTCACATTTTTACTAAACTGAACAACCAATTTTCACATTTGATGCAGTTATGAGTTATTTGGGAAGCTTCGTTTTGTATAGTTATAGCTACCTTAACGGAACCAATAGATTTGTGTATTGGAATTTTGTAAAGAGGATCAAACGTTTTGTAGCTGGAACAAGACATTTTGAAACAAAATAATTACATTTTGGTCTATGCAAACCATAGACATCGCAAAATCAACACGTGCAGGTTCAATAAATGTGACCACCTCTTGTGTTTATTTTACTTACTCGTCCGCTCTGTTCATTGCTTTGCTTAGTTTGGTAACCGAAAGCTTTAAGTTTAAAATTTTAGTATATTTACTAGAAAATATCAATGAAAAGTAAGCATATTTTGAAAAGGTTCGTTGGTAGGTCATACTTTCATACAAAGAAACCGTTTAATAATCGAGAAACGGTTGGAAAAGAAAACCTACAATAAAAGCAGCGCCGCAAAAACAGCCATTAACGTAAAACTTGTATAGAAAAACACTAGCTTAGTCGACAAAGAAAACACCAACTTGCAAGTGATAGGAAAAAAAAACAATTATTAAAATATCCATTCAATTTTTCTATTTTTTAGTATGTTAATCACATCATGGTTATGACACAAAAAATGTGATATACACACTGACAACACTTTAACTAATTAACTTAGAAACTTCAATTTTTAGGCAAATAACTTTACGAGTGAATGTCACTTTATCAGTCACATTCATAATTACACTTAGGCTGAAAATCTATGGGGTAAAAAAGAGTAAAACATTTAGTGGGTAAAAAAATTGTGTATATATACAGAGCTAACACATCTGCACTAAGCACAGAAACAAGAGCAGAAGTTCACACACAGTCACATTAGAGTGATACCAAAAAAAGGAGAGAAAAATGGCGAGTGGTAAGACGAGGTTCTTGGAGGTGGCACTAATGGTGATGTTGGTGCAGTGGTGGGGGTATAATGGTAACTTAGCTGAGGGATATCCAGAAGAAGATTTGGTGACGAAGCTGCCTGGACAACCGGACGTGGCATTTCGACAATTCGCTGGTTATGTCGACGTCGACGTCAAAGCTGGTCGAAGCCTCTTCTATTACTTCGTAGAAGCTGAGAAGCAACCACACACTAAACCCTTAACCCTTTGGCTCAATGGAGGTTTGCTCTCTCTGTCTCTTGCTTCTTTCTTCTTTGTAACCAACCTCTTTAGATTTTAGTTTTTTGGAGAAAAATATAGAGTTGTTGTAGTGTATAATATTTAACGGTTTGGCTTTTTTTCTCTTTTAAGTTTTGGTTTATAATATAAAGTTGTTCTCATGCAGGACCAGGATGTTCTTCCATTGGAGGAGGAGCTTTCACAGAGTTGGGTCCATTTTACCCAACCGGAAATGGTCGTGGCCTCCGCATAAACTCCAAATCTTGGAACAAAGGTTTCTCTCACTCTTTTCTTATTATACATATTTTTTAACAAAAGAAAAAGTTTGTTAACTATAAATTATTGTGATGTAGCCTCGAATCTACTGTTTGTTGATTCACCGGCTGGAGTAGGATGGTCTTACTCGAACAGAACTTCCGATTACACCACTGGCGATGAAACCACGGGTATTACAATAATATTTGTCATTATCCATGCTTAATAAAGTTTCTTGAAAAGACTGTTCTTGACTCTTGACTCTTGAATGATGCTTTGTTAATAACAGCCAAGGATATGTTGGTGTTCATGTTAAGATGGTTAGAGAAGTTTCCAGAATTCAAGACTCGAGACCTTTTTCTCGCCGGCGAAAGCTACGCAGGACACTATATACCTCAACTAGCTGATGTAATACTCGAATACAACGCACGACGCTCTAACAGATTCAAGTTAAAGCTCAAAGGCATTGCAGTAAGTAACAAGAACTATATACTAATAAAAAAAGAAGGTTTTTTAAAAAGCCTCTGTTTTTCTGCTCTGTTTTTGATTGATTCCTCTGTTTTTGATCAGATTGGGAATCCGCTTCTGAAGCTTGACCGGGATGTTCCAGCCACGTTTGAGTTCTTTTGGTCACATGGGATGATCTCTGACGAACTTGGCCTCACTATCATGAACGAATGCGACTTTGAAGATTACGGACACAACACAAGCAAATCTTGCGAAGACGCAATGAATGAAGCTGGAACAGTCATCACTCAATACGTCAATTACTACGACGTCCTCCTTGATGTCTGCTACCCGACCCTCGTCGAGCAAGAGCTCAGGCTCAAGAAAATGGTAAGGAGAAAAAGTCGATTTTTCACCATTTGTTTGCCTTAACGTTCACGTAAATGATATTTTTTTTTAAAGGTGTCCACTTTTTTTAGTATCCTGAACAAATTTTGTTTTTTTCAGATTAAAAACCATAGAAGTAAATGTAAAAAGCAGCTTTGTTAGCGTTGAGACTCATTAATTTATTTGTCAATATATAGTTGACAAAAGATTGCTTTATAAATGGTTTATAGGGCACAAAGATGAGTGTTGGGGTGGACGTGTGCATGAGCTATGAAGAGCAAGTGTATTTAACTCTTCCTGAGGTTCAAAAGGCTCTTCATGCTAACCGGACCAATCTGCCATATTCATGGTCTATGTGCAGCGGGTAATCTATAACTTGAGCCGTCTCTGATCTCAATCTCAAGGAGAAAAAATCATTTTTTGTTAATTTTTAATTTTTTTTGACTATTTCTCTCTTTGTGCATGTCAACTTTACACTATGGTTATGTTTCACCTTCACAGCCTCTTGAAATACAATGATACTGATATGAACACGAACATACTTCCGATTCTTAAGAAAATTGTGAAGAGAAAAATCCCTATTTGGGTCTTCAGGTAAATCTGTTGTTCCGTTATTTAAACACGCAACGTTTTTTTCTATTCTCTTGCTATCGTAATGTGTAGTTTGAACACACAATGTTCTTTTTCAAAATCGAAATTTGCAGTGGGGATGAAGATTCCGTGATTCCACTTCTAGGTTCAAGAACTCTAGTAAAAGAACTTGCGGAAGAGCTCAATTTCAACACCACAGTTCCCTATGGAGCTTGGTTCCACAAAGGACAGGTTTGTTCCACAGAAATTCTTAACTATTGCCTTTACTTTTGAGCATTCGTTATACTTTTTTTTTCGTTATACAAGTAGTCATAGAGAAGATATATATGAAAATAACATCTTGAGTATTATTAAATTTTAAACTAAGTCAAATATTTTTAGTGTAATGAAGTTTATTTTCAGCATGCATTTTAGCTTATGTACTCACTTTTTTTTATCAATTATGTAAAATGTGATGTAAAACAATTACTAATTTACTACCATTGTTTCTTCTTTTTATATACATACATGTCTGGTTCGGTTTCGATTTTAAGAGTTTGTTCGGTTCGTACTTACGTCTACCCCTTATTGACGTGAGTTAGGTCGGCGGATGGGTAACAGAGTATGGGAATCTACTGACGTTTGCAACGGTTAGAGGAGCGGCTCATATGGTGCCTTACGCGCAGCCTTCACGAGCTTTGCATTTGTTCACCAGCTTTGTGCTTGGCCGGAGACTGCCACACAAATCGCCTCCTGCTCTCCATGATTGAAGGGGAAAGCGGCTTCCATTTTCTTACTTTCGGTGTTCAAAATGATGGTTTAAGTCTATGGACAATGTAGTGGAGGCTTTGTCATTTCTTATAATGTGCTTTACTTTAGATATCGGTTCGTTGTTGTAGTTGTTCTTTTCTTTATGTGTTTTACTTTAAAGATTGGTTTCGTGTTCCGATTGAACGAAATTATTGAATAACATTTTAAAATATGGTGTAGTGTTATCACTGCAAAAAAAGAGAGTTTGCAACGGCTACATTCATTACTAAATCTTAACTACGGTGAGCTTCTCAATTTGACACCACCGTAAGCTCCAAGGAAGAAGTGCTTAAACAGTAAAACAAAACGCAAAAGGAAAAACCGAAAAAGGAAAAAATTATTCAATGTCACCTGCATTACATTCGTATCTGAACAAAACAGGACCTATGGAAACTACGCTTGTGGTGTCCGCTGAAACTTGGTCTCACTTTGAAGCCTAAATCAACAAAAAGAAGAAGAAAAAAGGAGAGACCAAAAACTAAAAAAAAAAACAAAAACAATATCAGTTCATAGTCTATGAAATTTTAATTCACCAAAAAGATGCCAGCAGCGAGGAAACTAATATTTTAAGAGGTACAATATAGTAAAAAAGGTAAAACCCTTCGCCATGGTGTTCCAGTTCCACCACTCAGACTCTTCGTATCTATCGACAAACAAGACTTTCACACCGGCCATGCAAGTGTACTGCTTGAGTGTCTCTGCAGTTGCTTTCGTCACAAAGACAGAATTACCTATCTTTACACGGCGAGAGTTAGCTCCGGTTTGAATCTTTTCACAAAGACCAAACCAATCTTTATTAATTGGTATGATCAGATTTAGGCAATCTTGGAGAGGCTCAGCCACGTAAACCACTCCCGTTTCGACCACTTGAAACACTCCGATTTCCACCGTAGTCTCATCAGCTTGAAACACAAGGCAACGAATTTAACAAGTATATATACCAATACCACTCATTCAAAATCCTTTACAACATAACGGAGAAAAATAACAAACTGATAGTAGATTTGGAGATCATTATTTCGAAAAAAAAAACTCACAAAAAATTACCTTGGACGAGGTGAAAAGAGCGAGTGAAATTGGGCCCGATCAAAATCATAGTCATAGAGATTGAACCTGCATAAGAAACAGAGAACATGCGTAACTGTAGGAGGATGATCAGAGCAAGAAATTTCACCATCTCCTTCTTCTTGAATCCAAATAATAACAACTTGGGGTTTTGCCAAAAGTGAAAGAGAGAGAGTTTGGAGAACTTTATTTTTTTACTATTTGTTTTATATATATATCTGGATGAGGCGGCGTGAGAGTTTTGATTTTTTATTTCATGAGATGCGAGAGGGTTAGGAAAGGAGAGAGACAATTTGATAGATGGAGAAAAAACAAAAAAAAAAAAAATTGGGGAAGAAAGTGAGCCAAACCGAACTCTAATTATGTGATTCAATCTGCTTTCGGTTTGATTTCGGTCAACAACTGTTCGGTTCGCATTTTTAAAAGGCTTTCGATGTTGGTTCAGTCTGGTTATTTTAAACCAAACGCGTTTTATTGGTTTAAAATATGTTGGTTAGCAAAATATTGCCACCATTGGCCCCTTTACGACTCTAATCTATCCTTTTATTTTTAAAAAATCTAAAGCAAATCTTCATTTTAAATCAGATATGAAATATAAAATCTAAAATAATCAGAATGCAAATATTCATCTTTATCAGAAAAGGCAAAAAAAAAATCAAAATGCACTAAACACAAGGAATTACGAGGTGAAGACAGATGTGTTCATCAATAACCAGTAAAAAGTTTACAGAGAAACAGAATTAGGAGGTGAAGATAGATGTTTCCAATATCCAAAGAAACAGTAAAAAAGTCTATAGAAACATACAAATCCAGAAAACAAGCAGAAGACCTAAAGAGCCATGATGAGGTTCAAGAAGACCATTGTCTTGCACAGTGCGAGGGCAATGACAACCACTTCGACCCACTCCAGTGATCGAATGATCACAAGGACCTGCACTGCCATAGTATAGAACCACATCCTCAAATCAACAATTATTGGTACCTTAATGAGGAACCTCATGATCACAATGGTCCGCATAACCCAGGTTACTTCCACGAAGACCAGCCATGGGACTCGAAAGACTCTCATCATCGCAACTGTTGAATAGGATAAGGCTAGGGATAAGAGGGCAAACTTGGCTAATATATGGCTCTCTCTGCTGTGTCTTTGTAGCCTGAGAATTATTGCCCAAATGGCACAGATGGACATCACCCACATCTCCAGTTGATGTACTTTATCCAATCTCCACAGATAATGCGCCACTCTCATATCAAAGTCTGGTTTTGGGATTAGCCAATTCATGGCATTTACCCTGATGATGTGGAACAGCGTGTAAATGGCTGCAAGATTGATTCGAAACTGTCCTTGGAGATAAGCCATCTGGTGAAATTCATCATCTGGTGACAGAGAAAAACAATGTAAACGGGTGTTTATGCAAATACATTTGTCAAGGGCGTGCAGAACAATGTAAGAACAATGAACACCTTCGTCATTTGTCAGGGGCATGAAGAGTACTCCATAAATGAGCTCCGCAGATAGAAACACCACAAGTACAGTAAATCCATGGCCTATCACAGTGAATAATGAGCACTGAGGAACATCTGGTAAGCCAACACCGCATAGTCCTATGTTTTCAGAAACACTAGAACAAAAGGCATAAAGTTAGCTTGTTAACTGGACAGCCTTAAAGTCTCCATTCATTAAAACAATGCAGAGTTAGAAGTAAACGTACTCATAGGTTCCATTACGCAGTTTAATTGAATACACCTCCGTAGGTACTATCCCCACAAGGAGATTTTTCGTTAAGTTCCTGCAAGAACAAAAGATTAGAGTAAATGATTTCTCTCATCAAGTAATTCACAAGCGACAGAAGGTTAAACTCAAAAGAATATAATTCAAAAGCATATACAGTACTTACAAAGACGTCAAATTATGGAGTAATGTAATATTTTGGATGATAGATCCTGCTAATCCCTTGTTCGCAAGGTAACTGCAAAATTTACAAAAAAGAACAGTCAGTCACAATTTGTGCCACCCATAATGTGTGTCGCTTACAACTTACATTTGATCTATGACTAAGCAAGACTCTTGTGGGTCAGGCACGCATTTTACTCCTTCCCAGCCAGTAGGAAGGCAGGGATCACCATTCCAGTCCATTGCATCTGGAATTCCCAAAGATTCCTTCAATGCTTCCATAGCGTAGCCTTCAAAAAGTAGGCCAAAAACACACACGACTACATGAGACACTTGAACAATTCTCTTTCTATTGGATAAGCTTTTGTAATTTGGTACCTTGTTCCTGACAGGTGACACACGTGGCTATATCCGCAGGGCCACTGTAAAAGAAGGGCAAAAAAAAAATGTGAATCAAAATTTGTACGTTAAAGTATATCACTAGTGGCATCGTTTCCCCTTTCATAATCGATCTCCACTACCGAATCTTCCTAACACAAACAATTTCACGGGACCTCAAATTTAGTTTTGCATCTATATCCAATCAGAACTAGTCTTCGCCAGAATCCATGAAAGCGAATTGAAGCTCTCGATGAAGAGAGCTCACCGCACCAATTTCAGTGGAGATTTTTTTTTAGAGATCTACAAACTCTCCGTCTCTCCCACAGACCTCAAAAAGACTATAAAACAGTAGCGAACGTGAATGTAAACAGTAGAGAGTAGACAACAAAATACCTGTTAGCCTTATCGGAAAAGTGATGGACACGGTGAGGCTCGGATACAGCGCAGGTGCGATCACGAAGCGAAGTGGATACGACGGTGCCATTAGAAAACAAATCGGAGCTAGAACCATCACCTAGAGAAGCAGAGTAAGAAGAAGGTAAGAAACTCAGATTCATGGTTCTCCAGAATCAAAACGGAAGAGAGAGGGAGAGAGAGACGTACTCATCGACGGAGAGGAGAGAGACGTACTCATCGACGGAGAGGAGAGCGACGTACTCATCGACAGAGAGGAGAGAGACGTACTCATCGACGGAGAGGAGAGAGACGTACTCATCGACGGAGAGGAGAGAGAGACGACGAGGAGGAAGATTATCCATGCGAGAGAGAGGAAGCAGTTAGTTAGACTCTGCATTGTGGTGAATTTTTTTAATCCGAGTAAACAAAAGCATGAGTATGTAGTGTGTACATATATATAGGTTGTTTGTTAAAAGAAAGACGAAGAAGAAATGCATACTGTTTGTTGCTCACAGTTTGTTGCATACAGTTAGTTTGTTAAGAGAAGGAGGAAGAAGAAGATGACGAGGCACGAAAATGATGACATGGAATAAAAGTGTTTAAATACATATTAGATGTTAATACATATTAAATATTAAATGTTAATACCTTTAATACAAAGCTACGTTGCACGGAAACTCTCATGAGGGTGCGTTTCGCGTTTCGAAACGTTTCAGAAACGGAATCGCGACGGAAACGCGTTTCTTGAAATTCTCCATTTGGAAACGTGGTGGAAGCGTCCGATTCCAAAACGGAAACGCGACGGAAACTTGTTTTCGTTCTGTTCAAAAATCTGGTCTCTGCAGCCGCCAAGCCTTAGATCAACAAACAAACCGAAACTTTTTGAAGAACTTGAGTTTTATTCGATATTTTAGTTTGTGATAGATTAATATTTGTTAGATTCACAAATCTATGAAGAAAACTACTTAAAAACGCAGAAAAAAATGATGCATGATGCGAAAATTGTTGATGGTGGCCGCCACATTAGGGTTGCAGAAGATGGAGAAAAGAGTCGGGGAAGAAGACATTATGGAAATTACAATTATATCCTTTAGTTATTAAATACTGAAAACGACCAAAATGTGGACATCCCACGATTCGAACAACAAATTTTTAAATGAAAATGTAAAGCTGGTCTTTGAGAACGAAAAAAACTGAGTTAATTTGCTTCGAAAACAAAGCACAAAAGCGATTAGTAATCGTCTCTCACTGGGTTGTAAAATTAAAATCGTTTGCTTCAAAACAAAGCACAAAAGCGATTAAAATCGTTAATAAGAAAATAAAATTTCGATCAGAACTGAGGATGAGAGAATTAACGGAGCTTAATATAAGGCGGAAAGATAATCTGCGATCGAAGAAATGGGAGAGAGAGAGAGTAAGAAAGGAAGAGAAACGACGACTCTTTTACTGGAAAATGACTAAATGCCAATGGTACTGGAGTGGTGTTGTGAGAGAAGGCGATAGGAGCGTGGTATTCACGCGGAGGAAAACGACACTATTGTCTCATAATTAATTTTCATTTTATAGTTTTTCATCTTTTGCAACCAAAATAATAAAACGGCTTGACCAATTGCCTGCCTGTTGGATTTTAATATCGGGGATGTTATCGGATCATTGGCTGAATTACATGTGTCATCGATGACTGTATTTCCGATCCGTTAAACTGGAAATTTGGTCCATCTCCACGAAGAAATCAAATCAGGATCCGTTTATAGTTCAAGGAATTAAAAGAACGTCTTGCAATATCCATTTTATAGAGATGAGAGACTAAGCTCTGACATGCTTTAATATAAAAGAAAAACCAAAATAGAGATGAGATTACTCGCTCTGTACCAAATTTTCAACTTTTTAAGAAGGCTTTGATCCAAAACAAAAATTTATTATTTATTTAAAAGGCTTTTTTTTGTTTTAATATCATAAGACTTGAAATCCACAAGTCTGTATACAGTCTTAAAACTTAGATAAGATTCACATTTTCTAAATAATTTTTAAAAAAATTCCACTTGATTCCCTCTCATTCCTTCTTTTTTTAAGAGCAGGAATTATAGGAATTATCCATCAAATATGATAATGAAGTCAATGAACAATAGTTTATCATTCATTTATTCCAATTTATTCATTTCCTCTTCATTCTTATTGTTCCTCTAATGGTTACTATTCACACCTTATGTTCCCCAACATTTTCTAAAACCCACAACTCAAGAACGATTGCTTCGCCTCCAATCAGTCTGTAAACCGAAGTGCACCTAATTAAGTATAAATTACGATTAAGAATTTTTACCAGAAAATTGGGATGTGGGATTCAACCAGAAAAACTAGATATAGTAGTTGTAAATATGTTTTCCTTCTCTCTTATTCTCCCTTTAATTGTTTTGTGTTTCCTAGGTTAGCTTGAAAAAAATACAAAGCTATATATTTTAGAAGTGTTTTGTAATCCAAACAAAACCTTAGGATGTGAGCCAAGTCATTAGAAACTTAGCAGCAACCTACTGCTCTCAATCTTCCTTACAAATAAGGCACTTGAATCTTCATCTTCCTCATACCATCCACCTCAAGAAATAATTCCTCAGCCTCATACATCAAACACATCAATGGCCTCTAATAACGCAGTTAACCGCCCAGCACCAACTCCAGACAATAACACGACTGTCGTAGTGGTGGTCTTTGTCTCTCTTGGTTGCGTCATGTTCCTAGCGTTTGTTATCTGTTTCCTGATCAAGAAGAGATCAAAGAAGAATAGTGAGAAAAGTGTGGCGGTTCGTGTTGATGAGCACTTTAAGATGAAGGAAAATATAGTTGAGGGACCTCATGGACGAGAGGCTGTAGTGTTATCAGTTGAGGATGATCTTCATATCGAAGACTTGGTCAAGAAAGGTGAGAAGGTGGAAGTGGGGAAGAATGCTGCAGGTGGATCATCTCACTTCATCCGTTCGTAAATGATCATTCATTCATAATATTGCCAATATATATTATAATTGTGTTTGTATGTATCATTTGATTGTTTGGTGAAATAAAAAAGCATACAATATTTAATGTACATTAACTCTTTGGACGATTATAGTTCGTCTAACTTGGGTTTGGTGAATGGTGTTACGTACATAATCCGTCCTATGACACGTACTTGATGGTTAAATCGTCCAAACGTGTATAACAAACAAAGATAAATGAATGGTAAAATCGTCGAAACGTGTATAACAAAGAAGAAACATACAATATGTTTTTTTGCATTGCGGTTTTCATAATTTGCACCCAAATGTTTTTCATTAGGTGCACTTTTAAATAAAAATCGTTCACACATATATATTTCTGTTAAGTGACATCTAAAAGATTGTGATAATAACTCCAAAGACCACAACATTACAAGATTTAATCAATAGTGGACTCGAGTTTTAACAAGGCATGGTTAATGTTGAAGGTATTATTCATTGCATTGAAGAATGACTAAATACTTGGAAAGACAATAACATGACTTCCAAGACTGCATTATATATAATCGTAATTTTTTTAACATAACATCGTAGAATTATTAAAAACAATAAAAATCAACTCAAAACGTAAAAAGGACATAATTATTTTAAATTAAATTTTAATTCTATTTTGAGATAGGAGGAACTGCGCCAGCAACTCTTGTACATTGTTCCTTTAGCATTGGAGGAAAAAATGGATTGAATGGAACTTTTGGCAAACAGTTTGCTTCACCCTCTAAAAATGCCTTGCAACAAGCATGACCTATAGTACCGAATTGTCCGGTGAGTATGGACTGAGATATCTCTACAATGCATCCTGGAATATTCATCACTGATGACCAGCATTTTGCAATGTCAGGTAAACCTAACATACCGGGAATTGGTTGGAATGGAAATGGAATTGGAAAATGTGGCAATTGAGCGTTTACAGAAACTATGATGGATACAACCACCAAGAATGAAATCACATTTTTGATAGACATAATGAGCTATTGAGAAAGAAAAAGATAGATTTAGTATTGCCAAATATATCCTTAACGCTCGATTTTGTTTTTGGTTGATGAACCACAATACGATCCTTGCTTATATATATGGAAGGAAACGAAACAGTGGTATTAGTTATCTTGATAAACGTCAGTGTCTTTGTTTAGGTATTTAATTAACCGTTTGTAAAACTTAAACAAAGTCGAAACCCCCAAAGTGTGAAACGAGCGACATTAAGTAAGACTGATTGACTATCAAGAGGAACAGAGGATATCAATGTATGACCAATAATCCGGTTTGTACTTTTGTAGTCCTATGATTTTATAATTGATCTTCTTTAGGTTTGTTTTGTAAAAGTTCCATGCTCTTACAAGCAATTCTTTCAACTAATTTTTGTGATACTCTTTAAAACTAACCTATCAAAAAGTTTCGATTTAATGAAATAAATTAAATCTGAAAATGCAAACAAAATCCACAGTATCTCAAATGGTTTGAGTCAAACCCGTTAGCACCCCTTGTTTTTCACCCCACGGTTTGTTTAACAAATACTTACCAACCCTCAAAATTACTATTACACCCTCATCAGCCCACCACTCGCCAATATTTAGGCCACACTCTCCACGGTCGTCGTCACTCACTGAAGTCTCAACGAACTCAAAGTAAAGTCTTCTCTCCTCCACCATCCCAAAATGCAGACGCACAAATCTCTTCTCTCCCACACCACCCAATGGGCTACACTAATACCATCTCCATCTACCTTTCTCGCCTCTCGATCCCACCGACCCGCAAAGATCTCTGCTGTGGCAGCACCAATTAGGCCCGCACTGAAACACCAGAACAAGATCCATTCAATGCCGCCGGAGAAAATAGAGATTTTCAAATCTTTAGACGGATGGGCCACCGATCAAATCTTGCCTCTTCTCAAACCCGTCGACCAATGTTGGCAACCCGCTTCCTTCTTACCCGACCCGGCCCAACCCTTCTCTGAGTTCACTGATCAGGTACCCATAACTAAATAATCAAAACACGTAGCTTTGTGTAAAATTGCATTTTTTTTGTTATATCCGTTATTGTTATCAACGATCTTTTTATGTAATGTGTTTGTAAACTCTGTTTTTTCAAGATAATGTTATAATGTTTATAATCGTAGGTGCATGAGCTGAGAGAACGAACGGCGTCATTGCCGGACGAATACTTCATTGTGTTGGTCGGAGATATGATAACGGAAGACGCATTGCCTACTTACCAGACAATGATCAACACACTTGACGGAGTAAGAGACGAGACTGGCGCGAGTGAGAGCGCGTGGGCCAAGTGGACACGCGCGTGGACGGCAGAGGAGAATCGTCACGGTGACTTGTTACGGACTTACTTGTACTTATCCGGTCGCGTGGATATGCTTATGGTCGAACGTACCGTCCAGCATCTCATCAGCTCCGGCATGGTCAGATTTTTAATTTTTAATTAATTATGATTAATCAATCCATAAACATAATTCGGTTTAAACATTTTAATTTGGATTAAGTTCAATAGACTAAACGACGACGTATTTGCAATTATAGGATCCAGGAACAGAGAACAACCCGTACTTGGGTTTCGTCTACACATCGTTCCAAGAACGAGCCACCTTCGTGTCTCACGGCAACACGGCGAGGCTTGCAAAAGAAGCCGGAGATCCAGTCCTCGCTAAAATCTGCGGCACAATCGCAGCCGACGAAAAGCGCCACGAAAACGCCTACGTCCGCATAGTCGAGAAGCTACTCGAAATCGACCCAAACGGCGCAATCTCCGCCGTCGCCGACATGATGCGGAAAAAGATCACAATGCCGGCGCATTTGATGACCGACGGAAGAGATCCGATGCTCTTCGAGCATTTCTCCGCCGTGGCTCAACGGCTAGGAGTGTACACGGCGGAGGATTATGCGGACATTTTGGAGTTTTTGGTTGGACGGTGGAGATTAGAGAAGATGGACGGATTGACGGCTGAGGGACAGCGTGCACAAGAGTTTGTGTGTGGGTTTGCGCAGAGGATAAGACGTCTTCAAGAGCGTGCAGACGAGAGAGCGAAGAAGGTTAAGAAGTCACATGAGGTCTGCTTTAGCTGGATCTTTGATAAACAGATTAGGCTGTAATGATAAAATCTTGAAAACAATAAATCTTTCCTTTGCTGAAAACAAATAAAATGAAACTTTCCTTTTTTACGTGATTGCTTCTCGTAATTTAATTAAGTTTCTACTTTTGTTAACTGTTTTGGACTTACAATTTGTATGATTTTTTACATGACTTGGAGCTTAAATTAAGTGTTTTACGCCAAATTTTAGAAAGAACAGAACGTCACTTCTTTTAAACTTTAAAGTAGAAGACATATTAGTATTAACTTAATACTATTAAGCTAGTATTTTAGCTTGCCAAGAAGCATAATTAGGATTTAGTAAAAGAATATCTGAGTATATCATTAACCCAACTAATATTATGATCTCAATAAAAGGAAAATTACAATCCAAGAAATAAGTAATCACAAAGAGAGGCAGAGATAAACAGAAAACCCTAATAATCTGTTTCCTTCGTGCCCAAGTAACAGTTTCTCTCCATACGTATTAGCGATCTACTGGTTCGTCGGATGGAATTGGATCATTCGAAGGGTACAATATATTCAGCAATACTGTCAAAACTCCTCTTAACTCATTATTATTCTTCAAGAAAGGCAGATCAGAGACGGTCGAAATCATGTCGTTAAGTATAACTTCAGCATCATTATCCTCTTCGATTCCAGCTTCTATAAGGAAATAATAAAGTTTTTCATAGTTTAGAGATTTGTCTTCGTTGAATAGTTCGTGCGACGTGAAGGAGAATGAGCTGTTTTTGGAATCACTCTCTTGTCCGGCTCGGATTATCTCTGTCTCGACGTTGATGGTCAAGTCTTCTGCATCCGGTTGTTCCTCGAGACGGTGATCAATCATGTAGCTAAGAAGAGGGCCTACACTGGTCATCATTGTTTTGGTGAATTTATCAACTTGTTTCTGAATTTGATGTGATCGTGAGAGACCCTAGGCTTCAATTTATAGTTGTGCGAAGATCGTTTATTTTTCTTTTTTTCCTTTTCCTAATGTTATATTATTTCCTTTTCTGAGTCTTGCCTTTTTTATTATTTGCCTTTCTCTCCGTTATTAATTAACACTCAAGCCCTTCTTTAACAATATGCCATTTCATTAAACGTGTCTCAATCCTTAAGTGATTACATTCTCTAAGCATGTAGTTGAACATGTTTAGGCATCACATTTAGTCTCACAAATGACTGAGACCAATCAAAACCCCATAAGGACGCTACATTTGCTTAGAGAAATCATATCTATTTTGTGTCAAATCTTGATAAGGTGTTGCATATGCTTTGGATCAAGTGAGACAATGCCTCTAAAAACATGAAACAAACATTCATCAAAGTCACATAAAGAAAAGAAAAACAAAATAAAATTATATCATGACATGTCAATCTTCATCAAACAATAGCAGAAACAACATTCACAACCAACGAGTCATGTGACTTGGGGACTCTAAGAACAACATCACACCACTCAACCTTTCCCCACATCTCAATCTCATCTCCAACGCGCTTTTCAAGTGAAATCTCCGCACACCGAATCACCTTTTCTTGATCGCCATCACACTCGTCCCACAAAATCACCATATTTCCACCGGACTCCGCCACTTTACAACGGTCACCGCAGCAGGAAATACACAAATCTTCTAAACCTCTAACTCTACTCCACCATCTTCCCTTCGGGTCAAGCCAATGTACCTCTTTGTCGTAATTAAATATGTAAAAGAGGTTGCCTATCACACAATTTGCCGAACTCGCAAATCGTAAACGGTTCCATCTACCTTCCATGGGACTGTAAGCCACAGGCAGAACCCTGGGATTATACCCAAACAAGTAGAACTTTCCTTCAAACCCTACGCTTTCGGGTGAATCATCATTGCGTACTTCCGCGCTAGGTCTTGGTAGAGAGCTCCAGGTTCGAGTCTCTGGATCAAAGACTTCGAACCAGTTAGAACTACGATCTTCGCAACCTCCTGCGACATATATCTTACCGTCAACTGAGCTAGCTGTGGAGGATTTGGTTCGGCACACCGGCATGCTTGGAGCATAGTCCCCACCAATTTTGGACATACAATCCAGGACAAAGACCATATCAGAAGAGAACACATCCCCACCAATTTTGTAGATACTCGAACCAACCGCGACGATATTCGACGACACTTGCGGATAAGGAGATGGTATTGGGACCAGAATATTGCCACTTGAATTCTTCTTTGTACGGTCAGGTACACGGCAGAGAGTGTACCAGTTGGGGGTAGGGTACCCTATGCACACATAGAGACAACGTTCCGTGTGCCCTAGGAGGGATCGTGTCTTGTAAAGCTCCGGTGAGGCTATAAGAGATCGAAGGCTCTTGGAGACAAGGGAAAGAGTTGGGTAGCACGATCTTGAGACGCGAGAGCGATGCAGCTCAATATCAAATCATCAGAAAGTGTCGGATTTGGTGTCGATTCTTTCGTCGGCATCTACACTAAAAACCGGTTAATCAAACTTTGACTGCACAGAACAAAGCCAGAGGGAAATTTAAGGGTTTTGACTTTAAGACTTTACAATTTCTCTCGAAGCGAAACTGACTAAAAATATTCTATTTGCCAAAAGAAAACAAATATATATTATCCCACAATATTAATACTTGACCAACAAGTTTCGCAAGGTTTACTTCCAAATTTTCTTTATCAGTCCAACACGAACGATATATAGTTAGAAATAATAAAAAATACAAGCAGTACAAGATCTAGAGAGTTGACAAGAAAGGAAGAAGACGATGCAAGACTTCAAACATCTGCATGTCTTTCACGCTGTAAGTCCCAAAGGATTTGCCTTACGACCCAATTTCACATTTTCACTCATCTTCAACAAAAGGGGCATGTAACTTCATTTACAAGCTTTCCAAAGAATTCAAAAGCATGATATTGCAATGTATCACGTTCAAATTCGTAGCAATCCCTTTCTCTTAAAACCATTCGTTAATCCTTTAGATTAAACTTTCCTCTACTTGTTTTGCAAGTTGATGTAATATTTTGGGTTAAACCAATAATCTTTTAATCTTTCACGTACACTTTGTGTTCTGTTTTCCAAACTTTCTTAAAAGTTCATCATATGCACATAAAGAACCTCAAGAAAAGCTAATCGGATACTGCAATCTCTACTTTTAACCTCCAATTCCGTTACACATAATGAAAAAAAAAAGAATGAAAAAAACATAGCAATGAGCAAAAGATTAGATCAACAAACTAATAACAAACTCTAAAACCCAGATCTTCGACATATGCAGCCAATCCAATCCCATGGTGTTGAAATCAGTCATCTTACTATTGAGATTCTTTAAACCAGAAAACGCTCGCCGAAATTAGAAACCCATAACCAGAAACGCTTGCCGAATTGGAGACCCAAAAGAAGAACCGGAGGAGAAACCGGTACACATACAATTCCCCAGAATCCGAACAAGCTCATGAGGAAGAACACCATGGCGAAGAAACCGTGTATCATAGCCAAATCTACCCCAAGCCTTTGGAAGACTGAATCGTACACAGCAGTTCTTACAACGCAGCTAATAAACTGAGAATAACAAGCAGACGCCATCGTCGTACCCAAAAACCACATCGTACCACGGAAAGTTAATTTCGATATCTCGAGGTTACCGATAGCGATGAACACAGGTTCTCCTCCCTCTCGAGAAAGCATCAACAGAGGAATCAGCGTCGCGACGAGGAGGATGCTGAATTTGATCGCGAATTTGTTGAAATCTGCGTCGGATGCTATCCATCTGTAAGTAAGTCCCACTTGTTGCTTCATCGTTTTAGCAGAGAGAGAAGAGAAAGATCTTGAAGAAAGCGAAGATTGGTTTGTTGAAGAAGCAGAGTGATTTTGGAGAAGATGAGTTTGTTTGTTAGATCAATCCTAATTTAGAAAACGCTGAGATATTTATATAACGCGATCAATAGATAGAGAAATCCTATCCGTTGATGAACTTTGAAATCGACGGTTAATAGAAAACATCCCCCTTGGTATCGGTTTTGATTTTAACTCCGTTGACTTGATTTGACCCGGTTCAACCGGTTACCCAATTCCCTGTGTTCCGATTTAATTAGTCAACTAAACCAGTTTGACTATTGATTAGGATGAACAATATGATATACGGTTTGGTTTTGGTGGGATTATTAATTACATTGTATATATAAGGGTCTTGAATAATTATCTTTTGTAAAAATCAAATATTAAAATTTTCTAAATTCTTAGGCATGATGTAATTTATAAAACTGTTTGTAATGTGATTCGGATTACTTTGATTAATTAGCGGATATTCAAAAAAATTGAAGCAAATCAAAGAAATTAGCTAATTTACACGGCCATATAAATATGTCAAACCAATATTTTTTTGGAATTGGGAGGAGTACAATTTTTTTCCTAGAAGAATAAATTGGCTAGGAGGAACATACAACTAAAAAGGAACAAATAATGATTGTCGCAAAGTTAAAAAATGTTGAGAAAATATTTTTAGGGCATGTCATTGACTTCATTTCAAGGAGGAAGAGAGGAAGAGAGGAGAGAGAGAAAGACTGAAAAAAAGAAAAAGTAAGAAAGGGAATGAAATAAATCCGATCGAATACAATTTTGACGTCCGCAAGGACACTATTCTCTCTCTTCATCTTCTTCTCTCTCTAAAAGATACAGCGAAGAACAGGACACAATACTCTGAGCTAAAAAAGGTATAATTTAATAAACCCAGAAGCAATTTTGTAGGCGGCAGAGAATTGTTTTTGGTTCCTTTTGTTTTTTTTTTTTCGGGTTATCCCAAACGCACAAAAAAACCCTAGAAGAAGAAGAAGACGAACAAGTTCCTTCTCTCTAGCTTCCTACTGATTTTTCTCTTCTCTCAAAGATTTCTAATTCCTAATTGAGACTTTACATAAACGAAGTTGATTCCTCTGTATTTCTGCGATTCTCTTTGATTTGAGGCTTATCGGAGAAATATTCTCCAATTCAAGCTCCTGGGTAAGATAAAGCTTGTGTTTTTTTTTCTTCACTACTATCTCTGTTTCTCTCAATTTAGGGTTTTGATCGAGCTTCTTCTCCTTCTTCCTTTTTTTTATGGGTCCTTCTTAACTTTTGCGATTCTGATTCTGGGTTTCAGGTGCTGAGTTCTCGAATGGAGTAGATTTGCTTAATTCGGATCTGAAATTTCTCATTTTCTATCACCACAAAAGATTCGGAGCTCTGCGACTTCCATTTTGAAGACAGTGTTTTGGGTCTAGAATGTTCGATACGGAATCTCACCTCACAGATTCAGCTCCTTTCGTGTGTTTTACGACTCTGAAGCTCATCATTGGCCAGAAAGAACACGTTTCAACTTCATTAATCATCGAAGAAGACATCTTTGCTCCAACACAGAGCTGAGATTATACTTATCTACGCCGTCAATTATTTTGCTTGTTGAGTGATTCTACGAGTATGGTACCAACAGAGCCGCCTAATCCAGTTGGCAGTGGAGATAATGCTCAGCCGTCGATATTAGGAGGACAAGGAGGAGCTCCTCTTCCTTCTCAACCAGCATTTCCTTCACTTGTCTCTCCGCGTACTCAGTTTGGCAACAACATGTCCATGAGTATGCTCGGGAACGCGCCCAACATATCTTCACTCCTCAACAATCAGTCCTTTGTAAATGGCATTCCCGGTTCAGTGATCTCCATGGACAACAGTGGAGCCGAGACGGACCCTTTGTCGAATGTAGGGTTTGGTGGTCTTTCCTCTTTCAACGCGCCGAGTATGGTGTCTCCGCGCTCGTCAGGTCAACTTCAAGGTCAGCAGCAATTCGCAAACGTTTCGTCTAACCAGTTGCTGGCGGAGCAACAACGGAACAAGAAAATGGAGCCTCAGAATTTTCAACATGGTCAACAACAACAGCAGCAGCAGCAGCAGTTTTCGACAGTGCGTGGAGGAGGGTTAGGTGGTGTAGGACCTGTCAAGATGGAGCCTGGTCAGGTTTCAAACGACCAACAACAGGCGCAACAGAAGATGTTGAGAAACTTAGGGTCAGTGAAGTTGGAACCGCAGCAACTTCAGGCCATGAGAAACTTGGCACAGGTGAAAATGGAACCTCAACATTCAGAGCAGTCGTTGTTTCTCCAACAGCAGCAGAGGCAGCAACAGCAGCAACAACAACAACAACAGCAACAGCAGCAGTTTCTTCAAATGCCGGGGCAATCTCCGCAAGCTCAAATGAACATATTTCACCAGCAGAGACTTATGCAACTTCAACAACAACAACTCCTGAAATCAATGCCTCAGCAACGTCCTCAATTACCGCAGCAGTTTCAACAGCAGAGTTTACCTCTTAGGGCACCTCTGAAACCTGTGTATGAGCCTGGCATGGGTGCTCAGCGTCTGACACAGTATATGTACCGCCAACAACATAGACCTGAAGTAAATCTTCTTGCCTATATATGAATATTTAGTTTCAGCGTATTGCTTTTTTCTTGGTGAGTAACAGTTGTGCTTGCTATTAATCGCAGGACAATAACATCGAGTTCTGGAGAAAATTTGTAGCTGAGTACTTTGCTCCTAATGCCAAGAAGAGATGGTGCGTTTCTATGTATGGCAGTGGCCGGCAAACAACTGGCGTCTTCCCTCAGGTTTACTAAACAATAAACTTGCTCTTGTTTGTATTACGATTGTGAAAGAGATTGTCCCATCTTCTTTACATGATTCACAAACATTGCAGGATGTGTGGCACTGTGAGATATGTAACAGAAAGCCTGGACGTGGATTTGGTATGTTATGATCGCTGCTGTTGCTGAGAATTGTTCTTATGGAATTTTCATCCCTTACTCATCCTTTGTGTGCTTTGCCTCTTTTAATTGTTTAGAGGCAACTGCTGAAGTCCTCCCGAGGCTTTTTAAGATAAAGTATGAAAGTGGGACTTTGGAAGAACTTTTATATGTCGATATGCCAAGGGAGTCTCAGAATTCATCTGGTCAAATTGTCTTGGAGTATGCAAAAGCAACACAAGAGAGTGTATTTGAGCATCTTCGAGTCGTTCGTGATGGCCAACTTCGAATAGTTTTCTCTCCAGATCTTAAGGTTCTTCAAACTACTTTCTTTCTCTCTCTCTCTTGCGAAACTACTATACCATTACGCTCCTCTCTGAGCCCTTTATTCTTGTATGTTCCTTCTCAGATATTCTCTTGGGAGTTTTGTGCTCGGCGGCATGAAGAGCTTATTCCACGAAGGCTTTTGATACCACAGGTAACATATCAAGAATGATTAACCATTTTTATTCTGTTTACTTAACTGAAACTGCTTTCTATCAGGTTATGTTTCTGACGAAACTGATCAACCATAATATGTTGTGATAGGAAGTTGTTACTCTCAAAATTGGATTGATGGCTTAACATTACTCTAGTGTGCTTTTACTTTCGTTTTAGGCTTTGTTGTAACTATAGGAGTAAAATATTATCTCTAAATCATCAAAGGCTGCTTAGCTAATAAGCTGTTTCTGTGTTTCACGCACAGGTTAGTCAACTTGGATCGGCAGCTCAAAAATACCAACAAGCCGCTCAAAATGCAACAACAGATTCCGCTCTTCCGGAATTGCAGAACAATTGCAACATGTAAACTTCCTCTCTCTTGTTGTTAGTTTTCTGTAACAAATCATGTTGTTCGAGTTTCTTTTGGTGATCTCTTGCCTCTGTTCTACAGGTTCGTTGCATCTGCTAGACAGTTGGCAAAGGCCCTGGAAGTACCACTCGTCAATGATTTGGGATACACAAAGAGATACGTCCGGTGTTTGCAGGTATCTACATAATGTCTCAATTGCCACTGCTACTGTGTAATACATTTGTAGCAAGTACTCTGTCCCTGTGACCATGTTTGCTAACGCACGTTGATCTTTTGCAATACTGTAGATCTCAGAGGTGGTAAATAGTATGAAAGACTTGATAGATTATAGCAGAGAAACAAGAACAGGACCAATCGGTAAGTTAATGTGATCACCTTTTCAAAGAAAATGGTCTTCTTCATCACTATTATGTTCGTAACAGCTGATTTTGTCTTTTTAACATGTGACTGATAAATATCTCGTGTCAATCTTTCTTGGTACAGAGAGTTTAGCCAAGTTTCCTCGGAGAACAGGACCTTCATCTGCACTGCCTGGTCCTTCTCCTCAGCAACCGAGTGAACAGTTAAGGCATTCGCAGCAGCAAGTTGCGCAAATTGCAAACAACGATCAGAGTTCGGGGCCAAGTTCAGTAAACTATGCCTTCAACGCAGCTTCTGCATCCACCTCCCAAAGCAGCATCGCAGGGCTCATCCACCAGAATTCGATGAAGCAAAGGCATCAAAACGCTGCTTACAATCCTCCAAACAGTCCCTATGGTCAAATGCAGTCACCTAGTTCATCCGGTACCATGGCGCCATCATCCCAGCAACAACAGCAACAACAACAACAACAACAGCAGCAACAACAGCAACAACAACACAACCTGCCATCGTTTCAGTCTCCAACTTGCTCATCTAACAACAACAACAATAACAATCCCTCTCAAAACGGGATAACATCTGTCAATCACATGGGTTCCACAAACTCACCAGCGATTCAACAGGCTGCGGCTGATGAAGCAAACGAGTCAAGCTCGGTACAGAAGATACTGAACGAGATCCTGATGAACAACCAAGCTCATAATAGCTCATCAGGAGGAGGAAGTATGGTTGGAGGGCATGGATCTTTCGGGAACGATGGGAAGTCGGGTAACAATGTAAATAGCTCTGGTGTTCTGCTGATGAACGGTCAAGTGAACAACAATAACAACAGCAACACAAGTATTGGAGGTCCGGGCGGGTTTGGTGGCGGCGGGATGGGTCAGTCCATGGGAGCTAACGGGATGAGTATTAACGGTAACAATGGTCTTATGAATGGAAGAGTTGGCATGATGGTGAGAGACCCGAACGTGCAACAAGATCTCGGAAACCAACTCTTAGGAGCAGTCAATGGTTTCAACAATTTTCAGTGTGATTGGAACGGATGATGAAGAAGGGAACAAGAACAGGTCTCTCACAAAAACTCAGGATCAAGGATTTAGGCCATAAAGCCGCGCAACAACGCGATACTGTGCTTAAGAATGGGAAAAGGGTTAAAAAGATCTTTGTACAACAACAAACAACTGGTTTCTTCTCCTCCACGATCACAAATACCATCTCTTGAGTTTGCTTTTTTCCTTCATGTTATAATCTTTGGGGAGTTTTCTTTATGCTTTTTCTATAGCTTATAATGTACATCTTTCTACGGGGGTGTTACATCATCAAGGAGGCAAATGAATCATCAGGCTGTATCATCTTTTCATTTATCTTTGTCTTTGATGTGTCAACGAAACTTTCCTCAATTCTGACAACAACCTTAAATACGTAATGCCTTCTCTCAATGCAATGATTATGTTAGATGTGCATGGTTTGGTAATAACCGACCTATCAAAACTCCATGACACTTGCAAATTCGCATATGACTACAAGATTCAGCATTAACATCAACCTGACATTAACAAAGATTACCCAGAATCCAAAGTCTCAAGCATCACAAGTTTGTGTATTCATATACTCACATACGATTACGAGTTTCAGTATTTGAAATTAAACCTGACAAAATTAAAGGCACTGAAATGCGAAAATCCGTGGATTTCAGAAATTGTAGTCTTTCATATCTGCTCTGGAGTCGTCCATGTCGATCTCAGCAGAGCATTCTTCAGCAGAAATAGGAGGGAGTTTACGAGTCTTACGCTTCAGGTTGTGTTTGTGCCAGTCACTTTTACAATGCTCTCTGTATTGCTTAGCTTCCCCGACGAACGTGTTGCAAGTGCTGCACTTGGTTCCCTTTGCTTCTCCTCCTTGATTTGTGTTGTTACCTGTACCGATCTCTTGCTTCTGCATCTGCTTGCTAAGTTCAGCGACGGGATTGATCTTCTCAGTCTCGATAGGTAACAATGGCTTGTTCGTCTGCAAAGCCATATCATCATGCTCGTCGTAATGATCCATGCTTGAGTCACCTTCCGCGTGAACTGATACAGCAAGAATTTCTAGCCTCCCTTGCATTTTCCTCACAAGCGAATCACACTCCCGGAAAAGTCCAGGTTCCATCTCGCATACCTGCACAAAGAATGTATCACCACCACAATCAGAGAGGACTAGAGAGAACAAAAACAAAAGTTGAAATGCTTAAAGCAATAGAATCATTACAGTGGACATCTGAGTTCCAGATTCGTCTTTGGAGACAACAGAAGCGTCCCATTCTTTTAGCTTCTCCAGAAGCGAAGGGAAGTTCTGAACAGGAACGGTGAGACGAAGCCTCATCGGAGAACGCTTTATAGGGAAATGCTTCTGCAGCTCACGAATGACATCAAGGGCCTGCCAATAGTTTTTAACAAATCAGAATGAAGCTTTACATAAAAAGCTTACACAACCTGGTTCAACGTTAAGCATATATCACTAACCTGCTTCTTGGAATTGCTATGAGGATCAACAGCAAAATGAATCTCATGCATTAGACGCTCTACCATGCTGATCGTGTAAGGCCGTTGGGTTTCAGGGTTGATGGTTTTCTGCATCACAATCGTTGCAATATCTCGAAACTGGCTTGAGAACTGTGATTCTCTCTCTTTCCCAGCAACTTGAAGCTCACCTTTATCCAAAATCTGAACATGAACATATATAAGACAAGTTTTTGAGGATCCACAACTTCAAAAGAAATCTAAGAAAGCGAAACAAGTTTGATGCATATAAACAATGAAGGTAAATCCATAAACAGACCTCCAAGCATATTTTCGTATGGTCATCTGATCCAAAAGACTTGATCAAGTCTTTTGATTTAGCAAGAACTCCTTTGGAAACATTTGTATACACAGTGTGTGATTGAAGCACTTCATCTATATCCTTCTCCCTGCATAAACATTTCATCTTGCATCTCATTAGTTTTTCTATATCCCAAGCCAATATAGACAAGTTCCATGAATAGCTATACAAATTTCTTCATCAAAACAAAGCAGAATACACAAAATTTAGAGATGAAACTAACCTAAATCAGAAATCTGGGCGCTAATACTCGTTTTTCATCAGATTAAGCAAACAGTGATCAATTTTAACTCTACAATCACACCAAATTCATTATACTAACAATAAAAATACGGCTTTAAGGTCCCACATCAGAATCGAATCGCCAAATTGGGGGAAAATCAATATAAGAACAGTGAAGAACGATTGATAACAACAAAACGCAAACGATGATTGATGATTGCGATTCTAAGTCTATGTAGCAAGAGATTTGGATTGAAAAAAAGTGGGAGTAAGTGGTGAGAAGAAAGCTTACACGCCGGACCGCCATGAGAGGACCTTATTCTTGTAGCAAGCGATCTCGAAGCGGTTGCCTTGCTTCTTCAGTCGAACCACTGCGACGTTCGTTAACCTCTTCTGACCTACCGGCTGCACCAGCGTCTTCGACATGTCTCTCTTTCTCGCTAAGCTCTTTTCTCTCTCTCTGTGGAAATTGGGTGTTTGCTTTTTTTTTTACCTTCTCTCGCCGCTAAAAGGGTTTTGTAAAGTGATTGGTCTCCCAAATTTTTAACTTTACATAAATCAAAAATTTAACATACACTGTTATAATTATAGGAAAATGTCAATAATACAAAATTTGAGGTACCATTTTTCAAATTTTCAAAACTACCATAAAAAGTTGGTAATTTTCAAATACTGTTTACTATGGTATGATGTAGATAATAATAATATTTTAAACCAATTTAACGATAGCCAAAACTTAATAATCACAATCAAATATGCCATAAATGAAAATGATGCCAACAACAATAGTGGGCCGTATACAACCCCATAGAAACTGGGCTTATTGCTCTTAACTCTTAAGTCCACACCTCTACCAAGTGTACTGCTTAATAATTCCGGCCGACGTCAAATAAATCCCGGTTAGTGATCCAACGGCTAGGAAAAAAAGAAGACGAACATCAATCAAATCCACCGTAAGACAAACCGTAGATGATTATGACCGTGGGCCCGCATGTGTGGAATCTAGAAGCGAGTCGGTGAAAATAAAAAAAAGGCATCTTTCTCTTTCTCTTTCTCTTTCTCGACGTTATACAATTTCGAGATTTCTTCGCCTTTTTGCGACCTCTCCGCCTTTTGCTCTGTTTCTGTGTCTTCGTGTCACTCTTCTCGCAGATCTCGTAGAGACACCTTAAGTTTCTCATCGTTTCCGCTGGTAAAAAAAAACTTTTTTAAAAACTGATCCTTTTTAGTCAAAATTTAATCTCTCCCCCAAAGTTTCGTGTTTTGATTTTTGTTTTTGTTATTGACGATTTTCCAGAAATTGAGGTTATTCGCGTTCGATTTCGATGGGTTCTTCGTCGGGGCAACCCGAATTTGATTACTTGTTCAAAGTTCTATTGATCGGAGATTCTGGTGTTGGGAAGAGCTCTCTGTTGTTGAGTTTCACATCCAATACGTTTGATGATCTTTCTCCAACAATCGGTGAGTTTTTAATTAATCGTGATCGAGCTTAGTACTGTTTTGGGTTTTCGTCGTTTTTGGTTTTGATTTGGTTTTGCTGGATCTGTTTCTTCTAGGTGTGGATTTTAAGGTTAAGTATCTTACAATCGGAGAGAAGAAACTGAAGCTTGCGATTTGGGATACAGGTGAGAGAGATCAAATATTGTTGTGTATTAGTATCCTCAGCAATTTGCTTGAAATTTGTGTAAATGTCAAATCTTGTGGTTTCATTTTAGATGTTCAGGGGAAACTCACCTGACTTTGTGGTATATTGAAATCATTAAATCAATCCAGACTTTGGATTTGAGTATGAGAATAGACACCACAATAATGCAGAATATAATACATTTACTTTGTAATTGACTTCCATGTTTTGTGTCAGTCACTATCCACTGTGACCTAAGCTCGTGTAGATTGAAGAATATGAGTCTTTTATTTAGAATAGTTTAGAGATTAGTCCCTTGTATTTATAATTAGCAAGACATTAGTCTCTTGTATTTAGATTAGTTAATACTTAGAAATTAGTCTCTTGTAATCAGAATGGTTAAGGCATTAGTCTCTTGTATTTAGAATAGCTTAGAGACTAGTCTCCTGTGTTTAGAATAGTTAAGAAATTAGTCTCTTGTGCTTTGAATGGTTAAGAGATTAATCTCTTGTATTTGAGAATTGTTAATGGAGTAGTCACTTGTATATTCTCCAGTTTTTGATGTTATCTCTGATCAGTTTTTTCGTGTGTTTTTCTGATCAATCAGCTGGGCAAGAGAGATTTAGGACGCTAACAAGTTCCTACTACAGAGGAGCTCAGGGTATAATTATGGGTATGTCTCTCTAAATGAACATAGTTGTTTTTGTTTACCCTTTGATCTACTAGGCTACACTTTGTTTTTCTCTGTAAGTGACATTTTGGAATTTCTACATTTGTAGTATATGATGTGACACGGAGAGATACATTCACAAATCTGTCAGATATATGGGCTAAAGAAATCGATCTCTACTCGACTAATCAGGATTGCATCAAGATGCTTGTTGGGAACAAAGTCGACAAGGTAGAGATCTCTCTCTTCCTTTTTGTCCTCCATGTCTAAGTATATCTATATAGTATTGCAAACTCTGTTGACCTTTAAAATGTCATCTTCCAGGAAAGTGAAAGAGCTGTTACTAAAAAAGAAGGCATAGACTTTGCTCGTGAGTACGGGTGCTTGTTTCTGGAGTGTAGTGCAAAGACTCGGGTTAATGTTGAGCAATGTTTTGAAGAGCTTGTTCTTAAGGTTTGTAAAATCTCCAAAATCTGCACCTTGTTCAAGTGCTGAGGATGATGATGAGTATGTCTTAAAAGACTTGAACCTTTTCTTTTTCTTTTAATGTGCAGATTTTGGAAACGCCGAGTCTTACTGCTGAAGGTTCGTCTGGAGGGAAGAAGAACATCTTCAAACAAAACCCAACACAGACAAGCAGTGCTTCGTCGAGCTACTGTTGCTCGTCTTAGACGGCTTTATGGTTTATGACACAAATACACTCTTGTTTGTCTTAAGTGTTGTTGCTGGTCTCTTTGTTTCCCAAAAAAAAAAACTGCATCATCTCTTGGATGTAAATCTTAACCCTGATTTCAAAGTTGTGTTCACTGGTTTTTCTAATCTGGGATCATTCCATCTTATTAAAAAAAAGTAGTTACTTTCACCTGATCAATCTGAAGAATTTTAATTTTTTTTTTTAAAAGAACAAAAAACAGAATCTGAAGAACTTGCGGACCAAACATCATGTGTGAATGTGTGATCGTGTCTTTAAAATTTTTAAACATTTTCTAAATTCATTTTTGTGCAAAAATTATTTAAACTGAAAGGTAAAAAAAATAATTACTTATTTAAACGTGATAAAGTCAAATGTGACAAAGTTGTAATTATCTCCAACTCTTTATAAAACTCTCTAACCCTTTACAAAACCTCATCCTCATCTTCCTTCTTCGCCAAAACAATGGCGTTTCTCTATACTAGTGTCCCTTTTGCATCCGAAGTTTTCTCTATATGCTCATCTTTATCTGCAATCAAGCTGGTTTTCCGTACAACCCTCAACGAGATTGTGCCTCAGAAATACCAAGTATACATCGCTTCGAAACTTGAGGAGTTCTTCTCTACTTACATTAACTCGTCGAGTTTCACGTTTGAGATAGAGGACAAGTGGGAGTATGTCGAGAACCAGACTTTCCGTGCAGCCGAAGTTTACTTACCAACGCGTCTCGCCGGACTCTCCACCCAAAAACTCCTCGTGGGTTCGAGCGATCTTAAGAATCCATCAGCTAAGCTAAAACTTGGAATCCCAGTCAACACAAAGATCATCGATGAGTTTGAAGGGATTCATCTCGTGTGGACTCTACAAGTTGCTGAAACTAAGAAAACTCCTTTCGAGAGACGGTACACTATGTTTAATAGTTTCTCTCCTCTTTTACCCTAACCCTAATATCTTTTTTGTTCTTACTATGTGGATGTTTTTTTAGGTATTTTACCTTGACATGCAAGAAGGAGTTTCGTGAGGAGGTAATGACAGATTACTTGACACACTTGTTGAAATCAGCGGAGAAGATAATGAGCCATCGCGAGAAACTCTATATCTTTACTTATACCCAACCACATTCAACCTGGAGACAGGCCATCTTCCAGCATCACACCACCTTCGAAACCCTAGCCATCGAGCCAAAACTCAAAACTACCATGATCGATGATCTTGACGCTTTCTCTAAAGGAAAAGACTTCTTCAAGAGCGTGGGACGAGCTTGGAAACGTGGTTATCTTCTTTACGGTCCACCGGGTACGGGAAAATCCTCTATGGTGGCTGCAATTGCTAACTACATGAATTACCATATCTATGATCTCCAGCTTCAAAGCATTAGTGACGATGCTGAGCTGCGGAAGATTCTCACCACAACCCAAAACCGGTCAATTATTCTCATTGAAGACATTGATTGTGGAACTGATGCTTCTAGTAAACGCAAGACCAGCAAAACTGCGGAAGTTTTTGACCCTAGAAAGGGCAAGAAGGCTGACGTTGGGGTAAGTTTGAAAAACATATTTGTTTTGTATTTTGTTATATATATATATATAGCATCTGTTCTCTAAATGTGATGAATCTCCATGCTGGATAGATATCGTTGTCGGGTCTATTGAACTTTGTGGACGGGCTTTGGTCGAGCTGTGGAGAAGAAAAGATCATAATTTTTACAACAAATCACAAGGAGAAGCTCGACCCGGCGTTGCTGAGGCCAGGAAGGATGGATATTCACATTCTCATGGACTATTGCACTCCCTTTGTGTTCAAGAAGCTTGTGGCTATGTACCTCAAGATTGATGAATATCATGTCCTATTTGATCCCATTGAGAAACTTGTCCTTGAGGTGAGTGCAACTCCAGCTGAAGTCACGCAGCAGCTTATGGCGAGTAAAAACGCTGATATTGCGCTTCAAGGTCTTCTTGAATTCCTAGAAACCAAGAAGATGAGAAAGGAAGAAGGTACTAAGGTGGAGTAACATAAGCAGACATGTCGCAGCTCAACATATCTATCTTAGGGTTTTGTAGAACACTAATTATTGGCGTTTCGTGTTCGACAAGTTATTATTGGCTTTAATGTAGGAATTTTCTTTCGTTAGGTAAAAGTTGTACCGTACAACTAGGTTGAGGCTCGCTTGAGACCGTCTTTGTTTATAGTTTAAATATAGTTTGGTAGAGACTTTGTCATTCATTCTTTTGTTTTTGAAATCAATAAAAGCCAAAAAAGGGAATTCTAGATTCTCATAAAGCGTTCACTTGAAGGAAATGAGAAGTTTATTCATTCCTTGTCGTTGTAACTGATCTTATAACTTCCGCTCTCCATAGAAAAACACAAGTGGATCTCTAGTGCAATCGATTGACTTGGAGACTAATTAGAAATATTAACTCTATCTTCAGTACTTTTTGGCTATAAAATCATTTCCTCGGACAAGATAAGACAAATTGTAGCTGTGAACATTCCCCGTATATATACTTCTTGAACAACTTCATGTGTTAAATTCTTTAACTAGGAATGTTTTGGCTAGGGAGGTGGAAGATGCATTCTGCTAGTTCTTACCGTTGGTAAATACTAAAACCATAAATCTCTAAGGATTCACCACCACAACATCATCTGATTAGCATCCATTTAGTTTGAACCCAATTTGTAAACATAAAGATATGACTTTTGTCCTAAAAGAAACAAATGTTGTGACTTGACACTTGACAGTAAAAAAGTCATTGTCGGGAAAAAAAAAAAGTGGATGATTGATTAATTAATAAATAAAGAAAAACAAAATGAGAAAATTAGAATTGGTGCTTGCTTTGCTCTTATTGAATGTGTCCACCTAAAAACCAAACCCACTCTTCTTTCTTCTTCTCCCTCGAGGTTTCTTCCTCTCCTCCGAAACAATTTCTTCCTCCACCGTCTTCTTCTTTCTCCTCTGTTTACTCTTTCCGATTTCCCAAACACCAAACCTGACAGACCCATCTTCTCCACAACCCTCTCCCTCCGTCGCTCCCCTTCGTGGGGATGCCGAATCTTCTTCACCGGCCACCACCTCCAATCCACCACCGCCTGATTCTATGATTTCTTCCAGAGATCCAGACGCTCTCTTCAGCGGCGGCGGAATCAGGTTTTCCCACTCTTCACCTAAAATTCGAAAATCTCTCTTACCCAATTCGTCAAATTTGATTCTCAATTGAGTCTTTTGATTGTTAAATTCTGTAGCTTTCTAGCTGGAACTAGTCCTGTGAAGTTTAGTTATGGCTACTCAAGTCTTAAAGGTAAAAGAGCAACAATGGAAGATTACTTCGAAACTCGAATTTCTGATGTTGATGGACAAATGGTTGCTTTCTTCGGTGTCTTCGATGGTATGTCCTAATCTCTCTTTGGTAACACATTACTCTGTATGTATGTATGATTACACTATCTGATGCCAGTTTTGTTGCTTTTAGGTCACGGTGGTGCAAGAACAGCAGAATATCTAAAAAACAATCTTTTCAAGAATTTAGTTACTCATGACGATTTTATCTCAGACACTAAGAAAGCTATTGGTATGTATGAAATGAGGGAAAAAGTTTGAGGCTTTCTTTAGTAGCTTTCCTCTTTTCAAGTAAAGACTTTGGCTTTTTTTGTTTGGCAGTGGAAGGGTTTAAGCAGACGGATGAGGAGTATCTAATTGAAGAGAGAGGACAGCCTAAGAATGCTGGCTCAACCGCATCCACTGCATTGCTTATAGGGGATAAGTTGATTGTTGCCAATGTCGGTGATTCCAGAGTTGTAGCGTCTAGGAATGGTTCAGGTTTTTTGCTCTCTGCACACACTTAAACTGATTAGCTTCCTTGTTAAAGCTTTGTTTTTTGTGTATGTGATGATGATCATTTGCTTGTAATGTAGCTGTTCCACTCTCTAATGATCATAAACCTGATAGATCAGATGAGCGTCAAAGGATTGAAGATGCTGGTGGTTTCATAATTTGGGCTGGTAATAAGTTTCTCATAGTCCTTCCTGTTTATGTGTGTGTTAAGTTCATAATCATGAATAAGAGTGTAGGTGAAATCAGTACTTTTTAGACGCAGTTTTGGTACTTGACATGGAATTTAGAGATGTTTGATACTACGCTGTTTCGAAGTAGTTTGTGGTTTGGTTCCTTGACATGGAATTTAGAGATTTGTGATACTACATTGTACTGAAGTGATTTATTGTTTGGCACGTTATACTTATTCCTTGGAATACACCAGGAACGTGGCGAGTTGGTGGAATTCTTGCGGTCTCTCGGGCGTTTGGGGATAAGCAACTTAAGCCGTATGTGATTGCAGAGCCAGAGATTCAGGTACTTCGATCGATGACTCTCTTCTTGCATTGCATAGTCGTCGAGCTATAAAGTATAAGGATCTTGTATATGTGTGTTTCACGTCACATTTCTAATTAGGTTACAAAATGTGTTGCATTTCTGATTGATATGCGCTTGTGCTCATACTTATACTCAGTACTCTTATATCTTCTTAGGAGGAGGATATAAGCACGTTGGAGTTTATTGTTATTGCTAGCGATGGACTGTGGAATGTGTTGTCAAACAAGGTTAGTTTTGAAAATGCAACATTATCTCTTGATGAGACTTACTTTGGAAACGTTCTCTAGATCCATTAAAATACAAGGAATTTAGTACCTACTCTCAGAACTACTTTGCTTTCAGGATGCTGTGGCAATAGCACGAGACATTGCAGATGCGGAAACAGCATCAAGAAAGCTGGTTCAAGAAGCATACTCGAGAGGTAGCTGCGACAATATCACTTGCATTGTTGTTCGATTCGAAGTTTCTTCTTGAGAAAGAAGAAAACCAAAAAAGTCATATATTGGTTTTGCTGGTTATATAAATGGAAAAAACAAGATTATAATTATGAGACCATGCCCCCTAATTTTTCATACAGAACATGTAGTTTCAGGCTTGCAGCTACATATTTGTCTCAAGAAACAGATTTTTATTTGTAAAAGGAACTGAAAAATACATAGTTACTTTGTTATTAGTTTAGAGATCTCTACTTATGTTTCTGCTTCTTCAATCTCTCCCTCATCCTCCACTTTGGCATCGTCTTCCTTTCTCATCTTCTTGGTTTCCAAGAGCTCAAGGAGACCCTTGAGCGCAACATCAGCATTCTTACTTACCATGAGCTGCTGAGTAACTTCAGCCGGAGTTACACTCACCTCAAGGACAAGCTCCTCAATGGGATCAATTAGGGCATGGTCGTCAATCTTGAGGTACATAGCCACAAGCTTCTTGAACACAAAGGTCGTGCAATAGTCCATGAGAATGTGAATGTCCATTCTCCCTGGCCTCAGCAACGCCGGATCGAGCTTCTCCTTGTGATTGGTTGTGAAAATTATGATTCTTTCTTCTGCGCAGCACGACCAAAGCCCGTCTACAAAGTTCAACAGACCAGACAAAGATATCTGTCCAGAAGAAGACAAGATTCATAAAGCTTGAGAAACAGCGTTTACTTAAAACAGAGGACTTTTGTTTCAACTTACCCCTTCGGAGGTAGAGGAAACTTGTTCCTTTCCCTTGGTCTTGCGTATACTAGAAGCATCAGATCCACAATCAATGTCTTCAATGAGAATAATCGACCGGTTTTGTGTTGTGGTGAGAATCTTCCGCAACTGGCCATCGTTGCTAACGCTCTGAAGCTGGAGATCATAAATATGGTAATTCATGTAGTTAGCAATCGCAGCCACCATAGAGGACTTCCCGGTTCCCGGTGGACCGTAAAGAAGGTAACCACGTTTCCAAGCTCGTCCCACGCTCTTGAAGAAGTCTTTTCCTTTGGAGAATGCGTCAAGATCATCGATCATGGTGGTTTTGAGTTTTGGCTCGATGGCTAGGGTCTCGAAGGTCGCGTGGTGCTCGAAAATGGCGGGTTCCCAATAGGAATGTTGTTGGTTGTACGTGTAGATATTGAGATTCTCGCGATGGCTCATTCTCTTCTGTGCTGATTTCACAAAGTGTGTGAAGCAATCTGTCATTATCTTCTCACGAAACTTCTTCTTGCATGTCAGATGAAAGTAGCTGAAAACATGAAAACACCCACAAAACCAACATTGTGAGAACAATAAAAAGAGTTTTATGATATTTTTACAAAATAGTACGGATGAAAAAATAACAGTAGTGATGGTATGAAAACTAAAACATTAAACCCAAAATACTAAATCCAAATATTTTAAATTACAAACTCTTAAAAATTCATTTTAAAGTTTATGTTATATCAGGAAAAATGATACAGATGGAAAAATAAAACTAGTGATCGTATGAGATAAATAAAAACTTATTTGTGTGGTATTGAATGTATTTTTTCATATGAAGTGTACCGTTTCTCGTAGGGATAAGTCTCCATTACAGTAGAGTGTAGAGTCCACTCAAGATGAATCCCTTCAAACTCATCAATGATCTTTGTGTCGACTGGGACTCCGAGTTTGAGCTGACCCGCTGGATTCCAAGTTGGAGCTGATCCGCTGGATCCCCTGTTTGAGTTGGAGCTGATCTGATCTGATGGATTCTTCAGATTGCAACCCACGACGAGTTTTTCCGTGGAGAGTCCGGCAAGACATGTTGGTAAGTAAGCTTCGGCGGCACGAAAGGTCTGGTTGTCCACGGACCCCCACTTTTGCTCGATCACAAACGTAAAGCTCGACTCAAACTGAAAGTAAGAGGAGAAGAAATCTACAAATCTCACAGTGATGTAATCTCGGATTCCCTTAGGGACAATCTCGTTGATGACTGTACGGAAAAGCATCATGATTGCAGAGAAAGATGCGTATAAAGAGAAAACTGCAGACACAGAAGGGACTTGGTTATAGAGAGACGCCATTTTCTGTAAGGAAGATGATGAAGAGCTTTGGTAATTAGAGACACAGAATGAGAGAGAGAGAGGGTATGTGCTTATAAAGAGTTAGAAAGAGTGGTCAACAAGAAAGTTAGCATTTTCAACATTTAAATGCAAGCTATAAAAGATTTTTGGGGGTGTTTTCATTTAATAATAAAAAATATATAAATGAAAAGTGATTATATACAGCCCAAAATAGTATTTTTTTCTTATAGTTTTGAATATTTATTAACTTTTCTGTATTTTAAATATAATAAAATTAAAAATCTGACAGACAATAAGATAGTTTGAGAAATTGGCAAAGAACAGAAATATTGACATTTTTTTTGTTTTCTAAAATAATGTATTTAATATTTTTAAGAAAATTTATAATATTTATTAACTTTATAAATATATACAGAAAATTTTTTAATCTTTCATCAAATCTTCTTTTTAATATTTTTCTAAGAAATTTAGTGAAAATTGAAAAAAAAAATGAGAAAATTAGAATGTTGTCAGAAACAGAAATCACCTTTTCAGAACATTTCAAAATGAAACAAACTACAAAATCTACTGATGTCTATATGTGATATATTTCTAAACATTGTTGTTTAATCAATCTTTCATTTGATTAGTGTACAGTGAGAAAATCTAATGTGTCACACAGTCACACTAACCTTTAGTGCAATTTAGTGTCACATAGATATGCGACGTGACAGTTTTCCTTGAGAATAGATAGATGTTCTGCTTAGTTGTGTTAGAATTACCCCAAGAAATATAAACTTCTGTTTAATCATATAGCATTTTAATGTCACAAAGATATGCTACTCTTATATCTTTTTTTGTGGAATTTATTGCTATTGCTAGCGATGGACTGTGGAAATTGGAATGTGTTAGTTTTTAAGATAATTCTCTTCTGAATAAAAAATCAGCTTTCTTGATGCAATGGACACATGCACCTTTCTCTTCACGAGACATTTCAGCCTCAAGAAATTATTTTTATTGCCAAAAGGAACTGAAATACATAGTTACTTCAAATTAGTCTTCAAGTCTTCAAGATATACGCAATAGCACTAGAGATCTACTTATTTTTCTGCATCTGCTTCGGCTTCTTTAGTCTCATCATCTTCAATCTCTCCCTCATCCTCCACTTTGGTATCATCTTCCTTCTTCAACTTCTTGGTTTCAAGAAATTCAAGAAGACCCTTGAGAGCAATGTCAGCGTTCTTACTCGCCATGAGCTGCTGCGTGACTTCAGCCGGAGTAGCTCTCACCTCAAGGACAAGCTTCTCAATGGGATCAAACAGGACATGTTCATCAGTCTTGAGGTACATAGCCACAAGCTTCTTGAACACAAAAGGTGTGCAATTGTCCATGAGAATGTGAACATCCATCCTTCCAGGCCTCAACAACGCCGGGTCAAGCTTCTCCTTGTGATTGGTTGTGAAAATTATGATCTTTTCTTCTCCGCAGCTCGACCAAAGTCCGTCCACAAAGTTCAACAGACCAGACAAAGATATCTGTCCAAAAAAAAAAACAAGATTTCATAAAGCTCAAGAAACAGAGGATTAATCATCTAAAAACAGAGGACTCTGTTTTTTTTTTCAACTCTCTTACCCCTTCAAACTTCTTCTTGCGCTTTTGGGGCTCACCATCATCTTCACCACCATCTTCTTCCTTTTTCTTCTTCTGTCGTCTACGAGAAGCATCAGCTCCACAATCAATGTCTTCAATGAGAAGAATCGACCTGTTCTTGGTTGACGTAAGAATCTCACGCAGCTCACCATCATCTCTAACGCTCTGTATCTGAAGATCATAGATATGGTACTTCATGTGATTAGCAATCGCAGCCACCATAGAGGACTTCCCGGTTCCCGGCGGGCCGTAAAGAAGGTAACCACGTTTCCAAGCTCGTCCCACGCTCTTGAAGAAGTCTTTTCCTTTGGAAAAACCGTCAAGATCGTCGATCAAAGTGTTCTTGAGCTTCGGCTCCACGGCTAAGGTCTCGAACGTAGTGTGGTGCTCGAAGATGGCTGATTCCCATTTTGACCTGTCTTGGTTGTAAGTGTAGATCTTGAGATTCTCGCGATGGCTCATTATCTTCTCTGCTGATTTCGCCAAGTATGTGAAGTAGTCTGTCATTATCTTCTCACGAAACTCCTTCTTACATGTCAAATGAAAGTACCTGAAAACATGAAACTTTATCCATAAGAACAAAACAGAGTAAAGATTAGAGCCAAAGAGAGTGAAGAGTGTACCGTTTCTCAGGGAGATACTTCTTGGTCTCAACAGAGTGAAGAGTCCACTCAAGATGGATCCCTTCAAACTCATCTATGATCTTTGTGTTGACTGGGATTCCGAGTTTTGGCTCAGCCGCCGGATTCTTGAGATTGCTCGAACCCACCAAGAGTTTTCCGGTGGAGAGTCCGGCGAGACGGGTAGGTAAGTAAACTTCAGCCGCACGGAAAGTTTGATTCTCGACAAACTCCCATCTCTGCTCGATCACAAACGTGAAGTTTGACTGAAAGTAAGAGGAGAAGAAGTCCACAACTTTGAGAGTGATGTATTCTCGGATTCTCTTAGGCACAATCTCGTTGAGGATTGTGCGGAAGAGCATGGTGATTGCTGAGAAAGATGTGTAGAGAGAGAACACTGCTGATACAGAAGGGACTTGATTGTAGAGAGTCGCCATATTTTTTTTTGTAGATGATGATGATGATGAAGAGCTTTGGTAAAGAGTGAGAGAGCTGTGTTGTTATTTATAAAAAATGGTAAGAGTGGTGACCAAGAAAGTTTGCATTTTCAACATTTTAATTAATAAAAGTTTCGATTTTTGATCTTCTAATGAAGAAAGAAAAAGCAAAAAGAGGTTTTCAGGGAAAGTGCAGGAAACTTAGTGGGAAAGCTCCGAGCATAGATGAGAAAGTGGAAGACGTCATTTAGGTCAAGAGTAAAAGACAACGCGAGTCACATCACACTTTAAGAAAAGAGATGATGAACAAATTTCTTAGCCAATCAAAGAAAATAAAACAGCAATAAACATCTTAAAATGCATTTTGTTATCTGTGACTATAATTGTTTAAAAAAACTAATTGACAATGAATGACGCAGCCATACAAGTCATTAGGTTGATGGCGTGCATATATATTAAGCTTTTGTGATAAAAGTATGATGGATAATTCTTTTTAGAGGGTTTCCAAAAAACAAAATTCTCTGTCATTACCAAACCAAATATATACCATTTGTAAGCTGATATATACCAAAATATATATACAATGAGTATTCATATAAAATGTATAGGATGAGTTTTCACCAATATTTACCGTATCTTGATGGTTAGAGTTTGAAGGTAAGAAAGTATAGTTAGTTGTGACAAGAAAACGTTCCACACCATTTGTAAGTTGATATACCAATATATAAGGTGAGTTTTCTCCAAGATATGTTTGTTTGCTTATTTTGTACTAGTGTTTCTGGATTTAAACTTCTAGAACAAATGAAGATGGAAATAAGGCAATCTATATAAGATGAGTTTCAGTTTAGACCGATTTAGCTAAATCAGGAGTTTTGTAGTTAACCATCCTGATTGAGCGTAGTCTAATATAAGTAGACAGAAGACAACAAATAAATTGACAATTTAACCAAAAAAACCAAAAAAATTGGCATGTGGGAATTAAAACAAAATGAATATGATAAATGTATGTAAATAATGACACGCAAGGAAAATAAGTGGAAGCTGACATGTGAATGAAACTTACGTACAACAAACGAGACTGGTCGGTCTATTTCAAAGAAACGAAAAAGGGAAAAATAAATAAACGAGAAAGGACTTGTTGGCTAAGTTACAAAGATTCTGAATGGAGGGTCGTAATTTGTTTGATTCTTGTCTTATTTTGTTCATCATTATTTCGAAAGACCAATCACCAATTTAAAGATGGTCCTGCCAGATGGCAACATAGTTAAATAATAACGTTTTGCCATATTGTAACATGAATCTAGTCAATAACAAAAATGTCTTTGTCCTCAGTTTTTACTATTAATAGTGCTAAGTGTAGTTTACCTAAAAAGTAATTATAGCGTTCGATTTAACGATTATGCTACAAAGATACTTTCATGTTATTAAATTGATTTCTCGTTACATACAGTGCAATACTATTAACTAGTGGGATGAAAAAATTGAAAATTAGATCGAGTTTCACGATTAATTATTACATCCTGAGGTTAGATTAGATGAAAAAAAACCACTTACTAATTGAGTAAATGGAACTTATGAGTTCTTGAAAATAAGAAAATCTTGTTAGTAAAAATGTTCTGCAGACCGTTGAGTTCTCTGATCATCAGAATCCCAAGACAGTAATTCCAATGTTTCGCAAGTATCATAACCTCCGTGAATCTGCAACTGGTCCGCCTCAAATCTATACACACTGCTCTTCGAACCGATCTTGCTCGATCCTTGAGCGCATTTCAGCTTATGTTTATTCATGGCGTACCTTATCCTCACTGACTTCTCCCATCGCCAATTCATCTCGTATAACATTCTACTTATTATTTTAAACCCAATTGTTGCAATTATTTTCAATTTATACGATTTCAGATAAATGAGTGCCGAGTGCCGAGAGATACAAAATTGCATTATTCATATATCTTTATTTATTGCACTGCAATTTTAAATTGTGAAATGGATATAAAATATTCCCTATAATGCACTGCCACTACAAAAAACAAGGGTTTTAACGTCAGTTTTAAACGATAGCCTGAAGACAATATGATCCATTTTTTCAACATGAGATTATTAGTTGCCAATGGAGGAGGATTCCTTCGTTCTCTGCACAAAAAATTTCCATGTGCCGATATTTTATGTGTCGGTCCTAGTGCTTTGGAGTTTTGTACCCTCAAATTTCCAATGCTCTTTGAAACAATTGTTGGATGAAGATAAGTTACAAGTATTTGATACATGTTTAAAGACGCATGCATTTATCACATGTTTGTCTTATATATTTTCGCATGAATATAGTTTTGTAACCACACGACAAAAAGAAATATAGTTTTGTAACCTACAAATGTGGGCAGTGGCGGAGCTAGAGTTATATTTTAGTGGGGGCATTAAGCTTAAATTTTCAATTTTTCGGGCCTAGTTCAAAATATATTCAAGTAATTAACATGGTAAATCAAAATTTGATGGCAACTGCCCCATGCTGGTGTATGTGGTGTCGCCACCGGATGTGGGCCATGTGGTGGACGTATGTTATAAGGGACTGTGTCATGTGCCACATACTCTTTCCAACTGTTTTCTATAAAATTTTATTTTGATATGTATTCTATGAGTGAAATATAAACTCTCTATCAATTTGTTATATTTTGTTGGAAATAGATTGTTCAATTTTCTAACATATAATTATATTTTAATGTCTATCTGTCAAGCATATTAAAATCATATTATAGAATCACGTGTATCAGAAAAAAATATTTAAAACATAAAAAATATTTGCTCATCTTTTGCTAAATTAGGTCTAAACTAACTATAAACAATTGCTTGTCTTTTGCTAAGCTAAACTAGATCTAAACTAATACTAAATTTTAATAAAATATTATATTTTTATCACTTAATATTTCTTTTATCTTGTTTTTTATTTTTCTGGGACCTTTTTTGGTCGTCAACTCTTTTTTTAGTACTATTATTATTTAAATAATTGGTTATTAGGTGAAGAATTTAAAATGTGCCTGATTAAATATTTCCTGGATTCGCCACTGGCCAGATGCATCACAAACAGCGGGGGGGGGGACTTAATATTTGCGTTATGGAATTGTTCAGCATGTTGCTACCGTCGTGATAATTCCGTTGGCACTATACTTTGACAAGTATTCTCTATATCCCTTCATTCATGTAGCAACAGCGTGACGGTAGTCAGAAAGAATGAACGTGCTGCGGAGTTTGCAAAGTTTTTACTTTGACACAGAATTAGGAACCAATATGAATGAATTATGTTCAGTTCTGCGGAGTACGTATTTTACAAGATTTTTGATGTTCATAATAAAATGTATTCTCAACTATAGTGGTAGAATTGCAGTAATATACTCCATGAAAGCATATTAAAATCATATTATAGAATCACGTGTATCAGTAATATACAAGATTTTTGATGTTCATAATAAAATGTATTCTCTACTATAGTGGTAGAATTGCAGTAAAAAGTGATTATAGCGTTCGATTTAAATATTATGCTACAAAAATACTTTCTTGTTATTAAGTTGATTTCTCGTTACATACACTGCAATACTATTAACAATCTTTAGTGGGATGATAAAACTGAAAATTAGATCGAGTTTCACGATTAATTATTACATCCTGAGGTTAGATTAGATGAAAAAAGCCACTTACTAATTGAGTAAATGGAACGTATGCGTTCTTGATAATAAGAGACTCTTGTTAGTAAACATGTTCTGCAGACCATTGAGTTCTCTGATCATCAGAATCCCAAGACAGTAATTCCAAGGTTTCGCAAGTATCATAACCTCCATGAATCTGCAACTGGTCCGCCTCAAATCTATACACACTGCTCTTCAAACCGATCTTGCTCGATCCTTGAGCGCATTTCAGCTTATGTTCATTCATGGCGTACCTTATCCTCACTGACTTCTCCCATCGCCAAGTCATCTCGTATATCTTAATCAGAACAAGATAAGGAAACGTCGACTTTGGCTCACATTCCAACATTCTTTCAGCTACTCTCTCAGCGAGTCTTGTGTCTCCAAGATCCAGAGATGCACAGAGAATCGGTTCCCAAACATGAGAGCTTGGCTCAAAAGGCATATTTTCGGCAATGTCCTTTGCTTCATTGACCATACCGCCTCTGCAAAGTAGCTCAACTAGACAGGCGTAATGCTCGTTCCCAGGGTTAACTCCATGACACTTTTCCATTGAGGAGAATATCTGAATTCCTTCGTTAACAAAGCCACCATGACAACAAGCTACCAAGCTCCCTATAAACGTCACTCTATCCGGTTTCAGACCTCGGTGCATCAGCAATTGGTTAAAAACGGTTAAGGACTCAGCTGCTCTGCCTGTTCTTGCCAAGCCAGTAATCACAGTGTTCCAAAAGATCAAATCTTTTTCATCAGTTGTGTCAAACACTCCCATTGCTGAATCAACCAACCCGGTTTTGAAGTACATCTCCATGAGTGAGGTGGCTACTGCAGTGTCCTGATCAAATCCTAACTTGATAGCCAAAGAATGAACTTAATCACAGTGTTCCAAAAGATCAAATCTTTTTCATCAGTTGTGTCAAACACTCCCATTGCTGAATCAACCAACCCGGTTTTGAAGTACATCTCCATGAGTGAGGTGGCTACTGCAGTGTCCTGATCAAATCCTAACTTGATAGCCAAAGAATGAACTTGACCTCCTTGATCAAGCATCACGACGTTCATCGAGCTCAGGACGCTACTGAAGGCAAACTCATCCGGCCTAACGCTCTGCCTCATGAAGATGATAAAGAAGCTAAGAGCATCTTCTCCAAAACCATGCCAAGAATAGCTAGCGACTAAAGAGTTGCACAACACTGAATCCCATTTCCCCAACTGCTGGAAAACCTTAACCGAATCCTCCAATCTGTTGCATTTGGAAAACATGTCAATCGCAGCTCCTGAAACAATGGTGTTAGAGAGAAACCCCATCTTGATGCAGAGAGCAATAGCCTGCTTACCCTTGCACAAGTCTCGCAAACCGGAGCAGATAGATACAACTATTGAGAACGTGTACTCGTCAGGTTGATTCCCTAATTCCATCATTAGACGAAACTGATCCAAAGCCACTTCTTTGTTGCCAAAATCAGAACAGCACAAAATCAAAGTGTTCCACGAGATAACATCTCTATCCTCCATGGCTAAAAACACAGATAAAGCATAATCATAAACTCCTAACCTTCTGTACATATCCGTAACCGAGTTCCACACCACCGAATCAGATAAACTCACGCCGCTGCAAATAACATTACCATGAACCTGTTCCCCATGACGAACGCAAGTAACAAGAGAAGCTAGAATCGAAAAAGTGAAACTTGTTGGCCGGATAACAAAACTCTGCATATCCAAGAAAGCTCTAATCGCAGATTCTGGAAACCCACAAGAAGCAAACCCTGAGATCATTGTGTTCCAGCTAACAATATCTCTCTCAGGCATTTCGTCGAACAGGTCAAGTGCGTGATCGAGATAACCATTTTTTATAAGCCCTTTCAAGCAGAGGTTCCAGGAGATTGTGTTTCTATCGTAAATCTCGTCAAACAACTTGAAAGCATCGACGACGGCGCCGGATTTGAAGTAGAGCTGGAGACAGCGATTCCCCCAAAAGGTATTGGGTAGCAATCCGACTTTGACGAGCTGGGCATGGACGTTTGTGGCTAAAGTCGGGCACTTTGAGAGTAAAGAGCGGTCCACGAGACGCAGAAAGTAGGAAGACGACGGCATGCAACGTCCATGAGCTCGCCGGAGCAATGAGAACATACATGTGTGGAGTTTTTTCTTCTTCCTTTTTTTTTTTGTATCTATAGTTTGAATTATAAAATTTCCCAACTCCCCCAAGTAATATAACTTGACTTAATCGGACCGGTATAGATACTAACCGATCAATGATCCGGTTTTAATTTGTTACTAAAACTTGGTAATTTTAAAAATCAGTTGTGATTAATTAATTTATCAGAAGTGAAAAGGCTCAGATAATGTTGTAAAAAAATTGTATAATTTAGACATCGTTCTGCTTACAGCCAATCTAGATATGTGACGGTTTATGACCGGTTTAGATGGAATTATGAACAAGTGGGTGAAGATGTTTGAGAACAAGAGTCTCATTGCCGAGTATGAACAATTGAATGTTTGGCAGAACACACAACTTGTGTCATATCCTCATCAATAAATCTACATCATTTGCCAAAAAAGAAACAATGTACAACAATTTTGTCTCACAGAAGAAACGTAAATAAGGTATGAAAAATAGACTTAGGCTGCATCAATTTCCTTGAAGAAGAACTCAACAAGCCTTGATGATTGCCTTTCTGTTTCCCCTTCACCACCAAAAGAAAACACACAAAGAACAAGAGATTTCACATTTCTTGCATTTGTATGAACACGAAAAACATAACAAGAAGCGGTTCGAAATTTAGACTATATTATATACCTTTGAAGCATCCTTGAGAGGTCCCCAACACTCGATCCGGTTGTATTTAGGTGAGCTTGAATGGAAATAAACCCATACATACGCATCCATTAGCTCAGGGTTTTCTCTAAACATAACTGAATCTCCATTGATCACAGCTTTTAGCACCTATTATTCAACCAAATTGCCAAAAAGAGTTAGATCTCTCTCATTTTCTTGCACATTTCTTTAAGAAACTAAAAGGAAGAGAGGGATTGACTAAACTAACCAAAGGAAGTTCCTTGGAGAAGATGTGATATCTAAGTTCAGCAGCCACATCTTGCAACAAACTCGGGCCGCTAACACAACAGTGAATGTGCAATCTCAGCTCGTCTTTCACCTTCTTCCACTCAGCAACCACGTCGTCTTTCTTGTACCATCCTTCTAGCTGATCGAGGTTGATGACGTTTGAGATGGTTAAGGTTAAGTTAGCGGTGAAGTCACAGTGGGAAAGTATATATGTCCGTGGGGTAATAATCTTGCTGCTATTGCTAGTCTTCTTCTCCAGTAAATCCCCCAAGAATTCAACTTTGAGCTTTGAGGAATCGAAGTTTGCTTGTGGCACCAAAAGCCTCACAGCCTAATTCACAATATACACATCATTAACATTCACAAACATGAAATAACTCCACTACATAAACATGTAATTAAACAAGTATAAATGTACTAATCGAACATTTGAACATCGAATTCACCAAAATATTGAGCTAAAAAGTCTAAAAACAGGACTAAAAGTGTCACAGAACTCAATTTGAAGACCTAAAATGCATATTTTGTTTTTGCTCCGTTTGAATATGAAGCTCAATTTGAAACTATAGTCAGATCCGATTCGACAATTACTCGATTGAGATCAGATTTCTCGCAAATCTCATCACATTCAGTGAAAATTTAACTGTATAGAAACGAAATTGCGGAGAAGATATCTGACCTCGGAGACTAAGGTATTGTAATTGACACCACCGTCGCTAATGGCGGAGCTTCGAGGAACCATGAGTCTTGTTGTCTTCAAGAGCTTGCCGCCGCAAAATCGGTGGCGATGATGAGTTATGAATTTTCTGCTGAGACGACGAGACGAGACGGGATTGTAGTGATAAGGAACGATGTAACAGGCCATGGGAGGAACATAACAGCAGGGTTAATGATAATGCATGAAGAACAACAACAATACTTCTTCTTCATTGTTCATCTTCCACCATTTTTTTTTTTGTCTGAGAGAGATGTGGAAGAATGTTATTCAGAGAAATACGTTAGCCACAAATTTCAGTTTCTCTGCGCTGATCTTTCTTTCTCCACACAAATTTTATTTTGGTAACCACGTAAGCATTGTTATGATTGGTGGAAACTGAGTGAAGCGTTGTTCCACGTAAGCATATCTCTAGATAACCTCTTTTTTTTGTTTTAATAGTTTAATAGACTTTTTATGCCAAAATATATGTCGAAACTCATCTTTTATGATTTTCTTTGTGATTTAGAAACTCTAGTTTATAATTAGTCTCAACTCTCAAGTATCAAGACCATCAACCACGAATCCACGATCATCTAAATTAATCCAAAAAAATTCAGAAATTTATAATCATCTGATTTAGTTGCTTCTACAAATTCTTATTAATCGGTGAGATTTTTATAAACTCTTTTTTTTTTCTTTGATAAAAGTTATAGCAAGTTCTTATATAACTTCGTTTAGTTAGCTAATCCAAAAATTTCCGGGTTTTACTTTTTGTTTTTGTCTTTGGTTGAGAAAACTTTAAACTAAAATGGTTCACCATAAGTTGTAAAACAATGAGAAAATCGCTAAAAAAACTTAGAAAAGAAAGAAAATGGATGGAGAAACAATAAAGAAGTCGCTAGTTGATATGAAAAAGAGGGGAAGTACAAATCAAGTCGATTTCTTGGCGGCGACTTAGTTCTTGGCGGAGTCAGAGGCGAGCCAAGAAGAGAAGTTCTGGATAGTGTTGTTGTCGACTCGATAGCCAGACTGGGTGAATCTCTTGAGCTGAGCCCAAGTGAAGTCAGGGTAGTTTCTAGAAGCTTCTTCGCCTTCTACAAGTTCAGGAGGAGGAACAATGAGCTTGTCTTCTCTAGGACAAGAGAAGTACACCAACGATCTTCTCACTTTCTCCACGTTAACCACTGCCCTGTGGAAACAGCTCTTGTAGTTCCCGTTTGACAATGCCTAACACATCAAATCCAAGATAAAACATTACTTTAACTAAAATTACATGATTATTGATCAAATAACATAAACATGTAAATTGTATTTCAAAATCAGTATACCGAAAATTATATATCTAACAACTTATTTGAGTACGATATATTGTAAAAGTGCGTATTTGATTTTGGTTGTGACTAGTGGGAAGTGCAGCATAAAAAAGGTGGAAAAATCATTTTCATCTTAATGATACATACCAATCAATTTAGAGAAATGGAATAAAAAAAATATTTGTCCAAATTATTTTATGGGAATACCAAAACATAAGAACAAAACAAAAGGGAAAATCTCCACTAGTTTATACATGCGAAAAAGGTTTACTCCAACCATCGTTTCCATTTTTTACTATTTTATTCCTCTTTGTTTTCTTTTCATTGTAACACCAGTCACAACGAAAGAAGAAAATATCATTTCTACTTTGAATTAGTGATTTATCTTTCCACCAGAAAATGTCGAGTTAACATCCCTATTTTTGACTAAAAAAAAAGTTTAAGCAATCTTTCACGAAAAAGTTGTATCTATTATTTTTGTAACTGTTGAGAAAATTTTGGTTGCCTTATTCATTAAAAAGAAACGTACCATGAAGGTGTCTCCAACGTTGACGACAAGAGCCCCGGGACGAGGGCGCACGGTCTGCCACTTACCTCCGGCAAAGACGTCCAAACCCACAACATCGTCTTGCAGTAAAACGGTTATAGCCGTTGGGTCATTATGGGGACCAACACCAAGGGCTTTTTCCGGCTGCTTGCACGGCGGATAGTAGTTGCACCTGAAAATGGCATTCCCGTCTTCGAAGAATCTCCGGTAATATGTCCGGTCTTTTAAACCCATACTTATTCCCAGTAGCTCCATCAACTCCATAGTCAAACCGTTCATTGCCTCACAAAACTCTTGAAACACTTGACTGAAACAAAACAATTTTTTTTTTAGGGTAACCAAGAACTTCAAACGAATCATACTTATCTCATTTGTTCCAACACTACGACTCAAAAACTACAAAACGTTTAATTGTGCAAAGATCTTGATTTTTGAATGTAAATCTAATCTTTTAACTACTCTCATTTTTGTAAGCCGATAAATCAGAAAAACAAATAATATAATTAAAGTGTATGTATGCAATTGGTTTACCCGATCTCTTGGTGATCGTTGCCTAGCCTTGATGTTAAAAATTCTTCAATGACCTGAGGTGGACCGTTCTTGAAAGCCAAAGTCAAAGTCTCATTCCATGGAAGATTGGAGGAGAATCTCTGGCTATGACCAGCGGTATAGCCAGAGATATTCCCAGGGATCCTGTGAGCCTTTCGCTTCTCATCATTGGATAGCCCAAAGAACAAACTCGAGGTCTCAAGCGCTTTCTCGGCCAAGCCGGACTTGAAGCCATGATTGATTACTAGAAACGTACCGTGAGCCATGCACGCTTCTCTCACAGCCTTAGCTGCAAGCTGTGTCTTCGCCTCATCGCCATTCAGGAACCCACTTAGGTCGATGATTGGGAGGTCGAGGTCGCCTTCTGAAGGGGCCACATCTTTCTCCGGCCAGAAGAATTCGGCCGGAACATTTTGTTGGCTTTGTAGTTGTGAGAAGTTGACGTCTGAGGAAGTCATTTGGTTTTCTGTAAGTCCTTTAACTTCACCATTTTGAAGGGATTTAAATAGAGATGTATGTGTATCAAGTTAATAAGGGCAGATTCATATCTATATTTACAGATTTTCTTACCATTTCCTTTTATTTATCCTTATCGTTTTTTTTTTTGTTTCTATCTTATATTGCCACTATTGTTTTTAGAATCATACATTGCATTTGTTAGACAAACGAAAACGGCAATGCAATCTCTGAATTTCTGTATTTTAGCATTCTCTAAAATGTAAATACAAACACATATAGAAGCTTCAAACACGAATCAAATTTTCCTTTACTTTTTATATTTCGTGTCTTTCAGTTAAACAATTTACTTTCATGTTCTCACTCACATATACAGATTTCTTTATTTCTATATATTTAATTCCAGCACAACTAACACATTTGGCACGTCACCTTATTTATCAAGATAAGAATAAAAGTTGCCTGATATATAAACATTATGGCCTGATTGGTTGTGGTTGTAGCTTTATTTTTTTTGCTGTAGAATTAATATGTAGAAATTTTGGCTGTAATTATAGATTTTAGTGCTGTAAGATTTTTTATTGTAGATTGTGTCATTAAATATAGCATTAAAACAAAAAAGTTAAGATATAGAAATAATAAATTAAAAAATAAATGTTGAAAGATTAATAAAGAAAGAGAAGAGAGAAAATTCTAAGAGCACTTAATTTGGTGCTCTAGAAAAATTGCTTTCCAAAGCCACGGAACTTCCATAAATAAAAAAATTGCTCTGTGTTTCAAAAATGAAAAGAAATAGAATGAGAGCTGGTAATTTTGTATTGTTGTAGAGAGATTTAGGGCTGTGCAGAGCAACCACAGCCCCTACCAATCATCCCCTATGACTACCATTTACAGAAAATGATAATTGACCATATATAATGCCACTGTAGTATACAGTCAATGAGTCAAATACTCTTTTTATTCCTTTACATTAAAATTTTTTGTTTACCTTATTTGATATATTTAATGGTAAATAGAAAAGTAATATGTCCATTTCTTAAAATATGAATGTAAATTGATTGAGTTTTGTTAGATATTGGTTTTACTATATTGTTACCCTATATCACAAGCAGAACAAAATTCTATAGTGTACCCAATAAAAAAAGCCCAAAAAGTATAACCAATATTGATTGATTAATAGTGATTGGTGATTGTGAATGCCTCAAGTGACTGAAGAAGTTGTTGATCGGTTTTGGCAGGAACGTTCATAATTTATAATGTTCTTAGATCTTCATGATACGCCATTATTGAATTCGTTGAAAGTTATATGAACAAGAATACGAACTCAACACAATGAAGAAAAAGATTTTAATATTGAACACTTTTTTTTTATTGAACACTTATGCAAGAGTTAAATTAAACTAACTTAAAGATAACGTTACAACAATTTCTAATTGCATTCCCTATCGCAGGAGTTTATTTTCTTTCCTTTCGTAAGACGCTCAGAAATTCGTCGAGAAAGGTTTGTAAGTCTTGAGATCAGTGATAATGCCAACTATGGATCCAGCAGCAGCAGCTAGAGACACAATGAGACAAGCCAAACTCAAGACTTGAAGACAAACCCATTTCGTGCTCCATCTCGGCACCTCCTTCTGTACAATATACATCTCCACCGGGAAATAAACCGTCAGTGGCCAGAAACCGATTGCCCCCAAAAGACCGAGCACGTCGTTGAAGAAAGGCATCAGCATCGAGATCAAAGTCGTTGTCATGACGAAGATCGTCCTCCACACTAGCCTAAAGAGATTCAAGTTGAATGGCTTCTTGGCTCCAGGAAAGAGCTTGATCTTGATATCTTTCGTAACGAACTTGCTCTCTGGATACCTCTTAGCAGCTTCTTTCTCGACAAAGGCGAAGAGAGGTTGGCAGTAGACTTGGTAAGCCCCGACTAGATGGATCACAATGGCGACATTCGCTATGTCAAGAAGCCAATACGGGTTTCTGAAACCTCCAGCAGCTAGGAGATTCCCCGGAGCGGAGTCTCCGAACGCTGCATACCCTACGCAGCCGCAGAGCATGTAGAAGACTGTCGTGACCCCCACGCTAATGAGAGTCGCTTTCCTCATCGTGTTCTCTTCTTTCGGCGGCGACTTCAACGTGTCCTGCACCATCAAGAAACATTCTTGTTAATAACCATTTCTTGAAACAAACTCTCTTACATACGTATTCAAGTTGTAAATACCTGAATCTCGATGAGGATCATGGAGTAAGCGTACGCGAACGCGATGTTCCCGAGAGACTGAAACGTTCTCCATACTTTATCCGTAGCTGTCACTGTCCCAATGGTAACACCAGTGATAGTGCCTTTGATTTCTTTGTTCTCCACAACTCTGGAGATGCCGAGACCAAGACCAATAGTGGAGTAACCAAAAGACATGACTGCAGCAACAGCTGAGAGCCACCACAACTGATCAAAATCCGGAATCTGTGAGAATATGATTTGTACTAAACCGAACCCGATCATGTAAGGATTGCCGTTGACATGACATGGAGCATTCACTCCATTCATCTGTTGACAACTCGTCCTTTGGATTGCTCTGTTTATTAAAAGTCATAATTTAGCAACAAAACAAACAATAATTTTAAGAGAATCTGAAACGGTAGTGACAGCGTTTTAGAGCCGTGTACTTTAAAGAATCTTGGAAAAAAGCTGTTTCGGATTATTTTTTTAATAGACTTATTTAATTAGGCGATATTGACTTTGACAGTGCATTATTGAGCTTGAATTAAATGACTGGACCGTATTGGAAAAGCAAAGTGGGACACGCATCTGCTTTTTGGTCGAATTTTGTGACAAGACTTGTAAAAAACAAAGTTTGAACTTAAACTTACATCAGGCTGATTGCTGATGCGATTGTGTATCCAATTGCTGTACCAAAGAGATTCACATATTGCACAACTCCACATACTGTCACCTTAATCCCTCCTGATTAACAAAAAAAAAAAAATCACAAAGCAAATCCATACTCAGTTTCAATACTGTAAAAAGTGATGGTGAAAATAAAATTTTGAAGAGATGGTGAAAATGAGTTTTTACCGAGGTTGGAATGAATAGCATCCATGTAAGTGTAGTTTCTCTTGCCGGTGACAGAGTCGCCGGAGCGGTAGCAAGAACAGAGAAGACTGGCAGTGTAGTAAGTGACGAGAGAGAAGAGGATCATCACCGTTGGACCACCCACCCAACCAATCTGAGCAATGGCCCATGCCAGTGACAACACTCCTGACCCAATTACTGCAGTTATTATATGTGCACTTGCTGTCCACACCGTCCCTGCAAACCAATCCAAATTTTAACCCAACCGAATTTAAAATCAAGAACACAGAACCAACAAAAAAAAAAAACACAATCTTGCTTGGTTTATAATTCAGAAATGAATTCACAATTGCACATAAGAATCAGCTACAGTGCCATGTTTGTTTTGTTAAGCTATAAAAATTCAAAATTTTGCTCAATTGCAAATAAGAATTGCTATTGTGCAAAGTTTGATTCTACTGTGTGTAGACTATTTGCATGGGACACTTTAACTTAGGTTTGTTACTTTAATTTCACCTGTAGTGAGTTTGCCGGTAAGTCACCGGATTCGACCCGGAGATTAGTCGGGCAAAACCCGATGCTAAATCCGAAAAATTCCACTGAGAAATTCGTCTACAGAGTTCATATATTCCAGATAAAATTGTGAAGAGGCTAATTTGATGTTTACTCTGATTCTGGTTTTGAAGAAAGTCAGTAATAATTCAGGTTTCGTTTTCAATGGTGACCAATTTAGTAAGAATAAAGCGTAGTTTTAGCGACAATATAGAAACAAAAAATTGTAAAAAGCAAAAATCAAAATCGAAAAATCGAAAATTTTACCGGTTCGCTTGGGACGGCCATCGTCATCGAATAAATCAGAGCTATTTCGAGGAAGAACATCACCATTTTTTAACGCCTCGACCATCTTCTTCTTAATTGAACAGAAACCCAATTCCAATTTTTTCTTTCCGACAGAAAATGTTTGAAGGTTTTTGGGTGTTTCTCGTTTAGATCTCGAAAATCTTTAGGGAGAGAGAGAGAGGGAAGGGAAAGGAATCAAAGAGAGATTTTGATTTCCTTTTTCTAACTAAAAATCAACAGGTCAGCAGAGACGGATGTTTTCTGATTTTCTCTGGACTGAAGATTCTGTAATTGGGAGAGAAGGAGACATGGAAATTGTGAAAGAGAGGTCGTGTGACTGTAAATGCATGATGATAAAACTCAGTGAAGCTCTCTCGTATTCATTAAATATATAAGAAGTCTCATGGGAAGACAGGGACATCTAACCTGTTTGCAGGAAGAAGCAGAGGAAACCGCATGTGCCTTTTTTTGTTTTTCTTCTATATATTTCTCTTCTTTTTAAGAGAAAAGTAAGACAATTATCTTTTTAATTCGATGTTAAAATGTATTCTTTTTTTTTGTCAACGATGTTTAAATTATTATTCAAAGTTCAAACTATAAAATTTAAAGCTGTCGGATTACAAAAAGGAAAAGAAAACTAAAATTTAAATATTGCCTTTTTGGAACATACAAAAGTTTTGGGTCCGTGCTATATAATGCAGTCCTTATTTATACGAGTAATAATTTTGTTTTTGTTTTAGTAATAGCTATAATATATACTAGAGTTTGATCCGCGTCTTGTACGGGGTGATATTTTCTCAATTTGATTTTATTAAAAGATGTCTATTTACATACTCCCTCTGTTTCAGTTTATAAGGGGTTTTAGGGAAAAAAATTTGTTGCAGAATAATTGTCTCTCACGATAATCTAGACTAAAATTGCCACTACTTCACATTTTTATCCTTCCCTTATTCAATGTGGAGAAAACTTTTTAGTGGTATAATATTGAAATAAGTAATAGAAGATGAGGTTATAAGAGGTATTTTAGTTGCTTCCTTAATTATTATGAAAAAACCTAAAACCCCTTATAAACTGAAACAGAGGGAGTACAATTTTAGGAACATATAGTGTTAGATAATTAAAAAAATGTCAATTTACATTAGACGAAATTTTGAGTGATGCATATTTTTAGCCTGGTTTGATTTTTGTCATCGTTTACAGTGTGGTAATCTAACATTTGCTTTAACAACAGTTTCTCCCTTTCCGAACCCACATATATATTAAATTTTAATACATTTAAAATAATTTTATATTTTGATAAATATAAAATGGCATATATATTTTATGTTTTTATCAATTTTAAATAACTAAAATAATTTATTATTATAAGAATTTATTACGTTTAAAATTTTGATCAAACCAAAATATTTAAAAATACGATTTAATTATTTAATTCAATTAAAGAATCAAATTAAATCGAATAAAAGAAATTTTAAAGATTTCCAAACATGGTAAATTTTTCTTTCCTATTTGTGATTATGGTTGATCATTATTTGGATCCTATTTTATAATAGGTTTTTGAACTATTATCCCAAAATATAATCATGTGGGACATTTAACATTTTTAGAGATTTGCTTCATTTTTAAAAATTCAAACCATAGCATATGTAGAAAAAAAAATTTTTTTAAAATATTTTGATGTGATGATATAATTTATTCTTGAAAGTAAAGCTAAACAAAAATGATAGATGAATAAATTAATTTTTAAACAATTAATATAATACAATTGAATAAAACTTTCCATATTTTACTGATTGATTGACTAATAAATAAATTTTCGTCATTACCAAATAAGGAAACTGAAAGAAAATAATTTTCATTAATAATTATTTTTCTGACTAAATTAATCATATATATTTCATTCTCTAACCAAATATGAATGGCATAACATGTAATTAGTCTAGTAATGTTTGTCTTAATTAAAACTAACCTTGAAAGTGAACCTGGTGTTGACACATCAGCATGACATTTCTGTTAATAACACATGAGACAAAGGTTTATTTTATAGTGTTTTCTCTTTTAATATATTAGGGATTTATATATAAAATAAAAAAATTATGTCTTCATATACGTATGAGTATGAAGCATTAACAGCTGTGAAATTTATAAAATACTGATAATATTAGTGTAAATAAAATGAATAAATGGATCATTAACGAATAATGAACAATAATGCTTGCATGTAAAATATTACTTTATCTTTTATATAACTTCACGGAGTAATTGTTATTCTAGAGATGTATTTAATTTAAAACATATCCAAATATATTATAATAACAACTAATATGAAATGGATGAAGTATCCTTTATTGATGATGTTAAGATAAGATTCTTTATTTTTTTGAATAAACGTAAGGTAAGATTCTTAGATTCAAGTTTTAGAGGCTGAAACTATCGATACAGACAATAAACTGATCACTAATAAATAATGAACAATAATGTTTGCAGCAAAATATTACTCATTTCGTTTTATAATAGCGGTTATTTTAGAGATGTATTTTACTCAAAACATATCCAAATATATTTCTAGAATAAAATTATTATGAAACGGATGAAGTATGTTTTATTGATGATGCTAGGAAAAGATTCTTTATATTTTGGAATAAACCTAAGGTAAGATTCTTAGTTTCAAGTTATAGAGGCTATTGAAGTTTGGATTCTTTACTCAATTAATGCTGAAACTATAAAGAACGGACAACATGAAAATATCACTGTCTCAATTATCAATCAATACTTTCAACTTGTAACGTACCAAAGTCTGCGTTAAAAACAAAGAAAACGTACCAAACCTCAAACATCTTACGCATTAGTTTGGCTAAATACGCAAGTACCAAGAACAAAAATGTTCATATGCTTATTACCGACAACAAAACTCAAAACATAATGAATGTGTTTTAGGGTCTCTATGTTTTATCCATAACCATAAGTAACCTTACAAACCCGTCGATAGGCTCAGTAAAAGCGATTATAGGACAAGTCCGATATATATAGGTCTTTGCAATTTTGCTTAATTCTTTCTTTCATCATGTTGTAAATTTAATGTTTCCATAGAAAGAAGATGAAGCCCGCCAAAAAAATCAGCATGATCCCCGAGAAATCCAAAGTGAAAATCTTTTATATATTCTCCTTATGTGAGATTCCTTCTAACCCCATCTTTGGTCTCTTCTAATGCATGCCAGTATGCCACAAATCATGTTCTCATTGTTTCGATCATGATTTTATGGTTATTTCATGAGTCCCTACGAAGCTGTTATAACTTTTCAGTTTTTTTTTTTTGGGGCAATCAATTAATGCATTTGTAAAAATCATGCTGTACTATGATTTATTCCTAAAAGTCTACGAAAATAACGTAAAACATTTCTTCAAGGACTAGTAAATGGCTACAATGACTCAATACTAAAGTCAGTTTAAAGTGGACTCTTTATATTTTTTGTTGGGATAGTTTTTCTCTGAAAAAAATTGAATGTCAAATGTGGTGCTATTTATCAGCAACTACAAAAGGTCGATGTCAATCCGATATTAGAGTATATAATAGGGGAAATATAAAGTATAAAAATAGACAGAGCTGTGCAGTTTATAAAGATTACATTAAATTGATATTTTTTTGGTAAGAGAGGTTAAATGGGGGACGTAGGACCATCGAAAGTTGGTCGGTAAAGCCCCTTTGAATAATGCAAACTCTCATGCCGGGAGCTCTAAACAGTTGACCTTTTTACTTCTACCACTGAAAACAAGTCAAAGTTGGAAAAGATTCTGCACACACACAACTCATATAATAATATTCCAACCGAAGAGCAAGTTGATAGTTAAATAATGTGCAAAACGTTTATTTCTCAAACTTTAAGTCATACTCCATCTCTAATTTTAACATCAGATTACCGGGCAAAGACAATTTAATTTATGTAGTATCCGTCAGTCAAATTTTGTTTTCTCCTTTTTTTACGAGATGTTTTAGAGAATTTTTGTTTCTTTGTTGTTATTTTAAGTGATGTTTTCAACATATTGAATTGTTGCGAAGCGTATAATTTTACTGATAAAGAATTAAAGACTATAACATTTTTTTTTTTTCATGGACTTCCAATTTACTGAAACACATTAACAAAAGACACGCTATGTCTGACATGTACTATTCTTTTTTCGTTTGTTGATAGCAACTTAACAAACTGCCAATTAGCCAAATTCTGTTAAAAACAAAAGGTAGGTCTCAAACGAAAAAAATCGTGGTCCATTAAATAATAATTGTAATAAAAAAGAAAAGAAAAGAAAGAAGTTATTCGAGCCTGGGATATATATCGGAGAATTGATAGGAATTATCTAGGAACGTATAATGCAATTAGGTAGACTCGAATTGATCGAATAATAAGATGTTTTTATGTAACTTAATCTATTGGATGTTTAGTTCTTATCCGTGGGCAAGTCACTTGCCGCAAATGGCATCAAGTTCCATATACTCAATAAAACACTTACGAAAAAAATAAAGAACGGAATCATCACTTGGATCCAAACTATATTTTTTTCTACGTATTTAAATGTATTTTAAACTTGTTAATCTCACTAAGAGCATCTCCAATGGTCATCCTTAAAATAAAGGGAACACACCTTTAAAATAAGGGGTTTGTAAGTTTTGTTCTAATGGGAGACTCTTATCCTTGCCCCTTAAAAAAAATATTTTTGCATTATAGTCCTTAAAAGTAACTAGAATCAATTATAATACTAAAACTTTCATAAAATGCAATAAAAACACTTTAATAAAATATTACACAATATTATTAATTAAAACATTACATAATAATACAAAATTACATTAAAACATAAAATTATATATAAAAATATTAAACTAAAATTACAATATTGTTTCCATAATTTTCCAATCAATGAATGTTTTTATTTGATTTTATGTGGTGGTAATTATTTTTTTTATTAGAGAGAGTAAATGTTAAAAAAAAATTATAATTTTAGACTAAACTATTCATAAAAAGTATTATAAATGTTATTTGTAAGATTGTATAATTACAAGGACTAAAATGTAAAATCAAAATATTTTTAGGGGGGTGAACAGTAACCCCTTATATTTAAGGGTGCACTATTCATCCCTTAAAAATACAAAGAGATAAGGGTCCATTGGAATGCAAAAGCACTTATATTATAAAGGAATAATGGTCCATTGGAGATGCTCTAATATCATATTTTAATATAGGATTAGTTCTAAAATGTCAAACATATCTAAAACTGTATTTGTAAATTTAAATGATTACTGTTGCCAAATTATCATCCGAATTCGTTATATGGTATAAACGTGCTGTATGAGTTCAATAGTTTTCTCGCCTATTGGATCACCACTTGAGCCATCTCTTCATAGGTCAAGGTTAACAGGTGTGCCCGACAACAAAATTATGTAAATCAACAATTTTTTATTTAATTTTAAGACATTGTAATGGAGTGATTGATCATCGATAGATACATTGATGGCCATCCATTTGAACCATCCATATCAAGAAGAGACAAATGTTCTACTCGGTCGAGGACCATCCAAAGAAAATTCTTCTATTTGCTTCTTCCATATAAACAAATCTTAATAATAACCATTCATATTCGTATGCGGCTGCACTGCATGCAAGTGTACACACATCCACTAGTTTTTAAAAGATATGCTATTCACTTTATACGGCATATATTACTATTAATTAGCTAGTGTTCGGCAATGTATGCCAGAATCATTAAAACTTTCAAAATAAGAAACAAATCGAAAAGTTTGATATTATGCTTTAGAGATTAGTATAGTTTGTTTTTCTTGACTCTGATTTATAATGTCTTTCTATACATATTGACTAACACATATCGCATTACTTTATCATATCTTAGATATTATGCATGTCATGCGCAAGAAAATACTTGTTTTCTTTTTTCTAAATATACGTTGATCTTCGTGTGTTTGAATCATACAGGGATATGATATAATAAATAATTTTGAATTTAGAGTGATGAATATGGTTATACCATTTCTCACGTTTCCATAACAACAAATATTTCGATATTTTTGTCATTCAAATTTACACAATTCAATTCCACTATTCAACTGAACATATTAATTAGTCAAGTTCTCTCTCTATACACAAACAAGATCACAAGTTAGATTCCTGGTTTACTTTCTAATATTACTGGTTACCTGAATTTCAACCACAATTGTACCGATTAAACCCTATAAGGCCAATATATACCAAAGAAAAATGCATATCCCACTTTAAAGTTTGCATTAGTAGATGAATCACAAAATTTAAGTAAGATTGATATTAATTGCACCAATAAAGCAAGAGCGACATTGACTTTCCCATTTTTACTGATCTAACACAAAATTCAACTAATCATATAAACCTTCTACTAATCCATTTTGCAAATTTCAGCAATTTCACTAATTCAAGAATTTTCGTAGCGAGATCATAAGACAACTAAATTTATATCAAATGGCCAAAACAACAGCAGAATCATATACAATCAGTCAATCCAACGCAACATTGGAACAGAGTTTAATTGAAGATTTTAGCTGTTGTTGAAGAAATCTAGTGGGATTATAGATGGACAAAACTTCTTTGCCACAAACTTGTACTGCAAAAAAAAAAAACACACAACAAATCATTAATAAACATAAGACAACATCAATAATCATTCTTCTTCTCACAATCAAAAAGCCACAAAACTTACTTTGTGTTGACTGTACTTCTCTCTCACAGCAGGCAAAGTAGAGACATGAGCGTTACTACACAATCTTTGAAGCTCCTTAACACATCCTCTCAACTCCATCGCTTTATACTGCGTATAGTGTTGCAACGTCGAATTCTGTATTCACCAAGAAACAGCAAAAACCCATTTTACTACATTGATTCTTCAATGTAAAGAACACTCCAGAAAAAAGTAAAGAAACATACCCATGGTCTTCTTGTTGGATCAAGAATGTACTTAGCCAAGAAAATGGAGGAAGCAGCCACTAATGAAGGTGCATAAGAGAGCATTGTGTACTCCAAGAGAGATAACTCCGCAATGTAGTTGGACATACATTCTAGCTGCATCAATGGTGCCTCATGAACCTCATGAGCAGCTCGAACAAAGCGTCTGAATATCACGTTTTAGGATTTAAAAGAAGTTAGTACAATTGTATGTGATGTGATAGAAGTCTAAAAAATCAAGGATCTGTTTTGTATAATGATGACAATAAAATCAAATCTTGCTAACCTTAGAAAGCATTTCGCTGTTGGAGCTGACATTTCAAACTTCAAGTAATTCAAAACAGCAGATTCCATGTCAAGAACCTGTAGAAGAGCCAAAAGAAACACAGATACAACCAAAATCAGTAACTTTTATTAGTGAAATATGATCTCATTTATCAAATTATGTCCCTAACACATACCTCATCCTTGAGATATGTATTGTCAGTAATGTAGCAGAACTCCTCAACTTGTGGTGCACAAATCTCTTCATATTTACTGCAACATTCCAGACATTTTTAGCATAATAAGATCTTGCCTAACACACAATCAAGAAGATAAGGAAAAACTCGATTCTTACGCTGCTATCATCATACAAGCCACCCCAAGCAACTGAAGTCTCTGCCTACTAAGCACATTCCCAGATAGATATCTGTCAATGTAGTTCACTGTCAAGAACAACGTCTCCGGTATAAGCCTATACTCTTCAGAAACCTGAAACAAACCGAAAACTTCAATCATACAATTGGCAAGATTGAGCACAAAGCAATCACATTTCTGAATTTTTCTTAACTATATAATTCACCTCAACAAGCCAATCAACTAAGATTCCACGCATACTCGAGTTCACATCTTTCTGAACTCTCTCCATGAAGTCAACCGCAGGGCGCTTCTTCGCCTAGAGAACATAACATTGACAGTTTGAGAACTTGAAAACACATAAAGCTACTTGATGAATCAAAATTGAAAGGGTTATTATATACCTCAGCGGCACGAAGATGTTTGTAAATGTCACAAGCATACGTTGCACAAAGCTGCGGATCCTTATCGTTGTTGTCAATGTTGACGAACTTCTCCTTATCCGTTTTCATCTCTGACAATAAATCTCTTTTGCAATAGTTACCTGCAATCCAAGAAATTGGTCAAAATACAATATAAGAACAAATCTTGATTAAACATTTGCAGAGAAAAAGAAAAGTAACCTGTTGTCTCTGGATTCGGCGTGATGTAGAGATTACTCAACGCTTTCCTCTCGATTGAAACCACAGCAGAGACTTCTTCGTTGTCAATGTACTCAACTTGAGGGCTCTTGTTGTATGAATCAGATGAAGACATTGTCTCGTCCATTGATACTGATTCGTCATCAGATTTCGTAGGAGAAGGAGAAGAAGACGCTTTGTGTTCATAAGTAACTTTGGCAGGAGCTATGACGCTTGGCTTTACACTTTGCTGCAGAGGTAAAGCATTGCTCGAGAATCCGCCATTGATGCAAGCAGCTTGTGTTTGTGCTAACTTCAATTTCGCAGACTTGTTTGTGCAATGTGCCTGATAATCAGAATCGAAAACTCAATTCGTTAAGCGAATTTCACAAATTCAATCGAAGAAACAGTGAATCCTTAGTGAATAACAGTAAACGATTCTTCAAATCAAACGAAATTGAGCATAGAAACCAATCCAAAGAAGTAAAATCCCCAGAAATGTAGATAGAAAATTGAAGTACCCACCAGATCAGAAGATGGATTTGGGATTCGAGAATTGTTCTTCAGATTGGTGATGTTACCAAGTGGTGCTCGTTTCTTCGTTAATCTCGGATCCGCCATAACCGCAATGTTAGAGCTTGGTTTCACGGAGTTTTCCGACGAGGAAGACGGTGCGTGACGCTTTGCGATTGACGATTTCGTCGACGAGGAAAACGAAGGTCGCCGAGTTTGATTAGTGTTCGACATTTTTGTTGTTTGTTTAGGGTAAAAGTTTCAAATCTCTCCGAGAAAAGGAAAAGGAAAATTGAGTTTTAATGGCGAGAAAGAGAGAGAGAGAGACTTTAAATACAGAGTGAAAACGAAGTGACTTTTTGTTGGTTTTTAAATAAATAATCCAAAATGATGTTTGAATTTTAAGAAAGGGAACGATCCTGACCGTTTGATTTGACGGGTGAGATTCTTCCTGGAGCGTAGACGAATTTAAGTGCGTGTCGTTTGTTTTTAAAATGAATCACGAACCTATCATAATATGACACGTCATGATTTTGGCGTCCTCGTGGTACACAAACTTTTTTAAACTTTGATACTGTGTCACTACCGGTTGGGTTTGTTTTTTGAATTCGAATTTCAAACCGCGAGAAAATGATAAAATACTTAATTCGAATTTCAAACGGTCACTTTGTGTGCTCCTTTTGGAAAAAAAATACTTACTCGGGAGACATAAAAAGGAAAAAAATCATACATCGAAATCAGGGGCTGTATTTTTCCTTTTCAAAATTTTGCTTCCACGAAACATAAGTGAAACTATGTACTGTGAATATGATGTGATTCGAATAATCTTTGTCCTATTATGCATACAAATTTCAAAAGGTTGAAATGTAGAGATTATTATAACTAAAATATTTGATATATATATTGAGTGTTGAGTAGCAGCAACTAGCAAAGAGGAGAACTAGTTATAACAATTTGAAATCTAAGAGGTCAACTCAACGGTGGATTTATATCACAAAGAAAAACAATATGAAGTTATGAACCATTATAAATTTTAGGATGTCAACTCAATTCTATGGTAGATTTACTATGTTTCGAGTTAAATACATCTATATAACGACAACTAATATGAAATGAAAGTAATAATTAATACAAAGATACAAATTTGAGAAGAAAAGTCAAATGTACGTTTGATTAAGAAACCTAAGTAGGGTCTCAGATACCAATTGATGTTTAGGATCAAACTTTGATAAATGTTTATGATGACGATCAAATATGTAGAGAAATCTATGGTGTACTCAACTTAATGAAGGAGATGTCCTTGTGATAGTCTTTATAACGCCCCGACCGCCCTTCCCGGTGAGTCACCACGCCTCTCTCTGGGCCCGCAGGCCCATCTCGGCCCGTGGGCCTCACCCCTGTCCGACGGCCGGTCCGTTATTTTTGAGAGGCTCTAATGACTTGTTTACTATCCCTGCAATCAACACCCGACCTTTCCCCGTGTTTTGGCCTCACTCACACGGTTTCGGAAACCACTTCCCGAAAGGTCACCCATCCTTCAACTACTCCAGCCCAAGCACGCTTAACTGGAGTTACTTATAGACCTTTGACCGAAAAGGTAAGTGCACTTTGTTGACATAGGTAGCCAAATCAATTCTCTTAAGCCTCTCCTCATTTATCACAAACCGGGATGTTACAACTCACCCCCACTAACTGCACGCAACGTCCTCGTTGCGCACCTGGATCGTCACCCCCTGACGGTGTGAGTCAAGGCCACTTCAACTTGACTCCACACTCTCGTCTGGGTTTGGCTCTGATACCAAATTATAACGCCCCGACCGCCCCTCCCGGTGAGTCACCCACGCCCTCTCTCTGGGCCCGCAGCCCATCTCGGCCCGTGGGCCTCACCCCTGTCCGACGGCCGGTCCGTTATTTTTGAGAGGCTCTAATGACTTGTTTACTATCCCTGCAATCAACACCCGACCTTTCCCCGTGTTTTGGCCTCACTCACACGGTTTCGGAAACCACTTCCCGAAAGGTCACCCATCCTTCAACTACTCCAGCCCAAGCACGCTTAACTGGAGTTACTTATAGACCTTTGACCGAAAAGGTAAGTGCACTTTGTTGACATAGGTAGCCAAATCAATTCTCTTAAGCCTCTCCTCATTTATCACAAACCGGGATGTTACAGTCTTTGTCTTAAAAAAGTTCTTTTGTGAATCGGCAAGCAAATCTGGTGCATATGGACACTTCCTAAAAAAAACAAACATGAAGGCGGCGTTATAAACATCTAATGTCAGGAATGCGAATGAAAATTGAAAGAGAAATATTTGTTTTGCCGACGATACTTGATGCACCGGATAATAACTATTATTAAAATAATTAGGGGTTCATGATTGTTTAGGTTATCTTATAGTAGAGTTATGGGTTTATTCAGTTGTTATTCCTTTTTTTTTTACAACATTCAGTTGTTATTCACATTGAGATTTTTTATATATAGTAGTTTTTAAAGATCTCAACGACTTGCAAGAAGCTAGTTATTCTCAAGTATTTTACAATTAAATAAAGTCATTGTATTTATCGAGCATTCGTTACATCATTGATATACTTGTATATCTATACTATTATTTGTCAATTGATTCTATAAAAAAGAAAATTATAATTAGATATATATTTCGATAATTTCGATTTAGAGTAAAATAATCTTCATTGCTTTTTTGAACTTTCAAAGACTATAAATTTTTGAAGGTTATTTTATTATATATGGTTTCGTAAGACAAAGAATATGATAAATATGCATTTTTCTTTTTTTTTTCCGTTAGAATATGTAATTTCTTTTGTTGGCATGCAAAAATATTTTTTTCCGTTAGAATATGGAACATTTTTTTTTGTTATAATATGGAACATTTTCTGTTAAAATATGGATGTTCGTTTTTTAGCGGCTTTTTAATTAGTTTTTCTTTTTCTTTGTAAGACACACATCAAGATCTTAATAAAAGTAAAATTAAAAGATCACACATGATAGCAAGTTATAATTATCGTGCGTGTTGCAATCGCATCGCAGTCATCCAGGTTTATACAATGAAATTTGTGAAGTGATTTTGAGGAATATAATAAATAGAGATGTAATTGTACTAGGGTTTTAGTTATTGGATATATCATGTATGTATGAATTAAAACAACGGAAAGAAGATACATTTAACCCAAAAAGTACTAGATAATTTAATTTTTTTTTCAAGATAATGAACTTACTTTTTATCAGATATGAGGTGTATTTTGTTCCTGAAATTGAAAAATTTAATTTTGTGACTGAATTAATAAAACAAAAGTTTGATTTTTGGGGTAAAAAAATACCTATATGTCAAAAGGAATTAAATATTCGGTCAATCTATAAAAAAGGAAATATATATTAAAATCTTTAAAAAAGAACGATTACATATCACCAGATTTTTTTTATGATTTATGACTGAATTAAGAAAACAAAAAGAAGTTTTCTTAGGTCCAAGAAGACTAAAAAAAAAGAGAAACACATATACTTCAAAAGGAATGAAATCTTTGGTCAATCTAAAGAAAAGGAAAATAACCATTAGAATCCTAAAAAGATAAGAATTACATGTTGCCATCGGCTATATAAATACTTAAATACTGTAGGTAAGGTATGCACTCCACTCCAAATAATCTCTGTGATCTCATCTTCTTTGGTTGTCTCACGAGGGGAAATTATTCTTGAGTTTCTTCTTCTCTTCCCTTTTCTTTCCTCCGGTTTCTTCGTCTTCTTATTAATGGGCTTCTGTTGTGAAGCAGGTCCAGGCTCTGAATGCTTGTGGTGGGGAACTTTGTATACTTCCATAACTTTCTCTGAATCATGCATTCATGCAGAAAATGTATATGGAAATGATACAAATGTCCCATCGGTATGCAGATTCTGAACTTGCTTCATAACAAAGGCCCATGAAGAAGAAGAAGAAGAAACCCGAAGGAACAAAAGTGAAACGTGAAACGAAGTAGAAACTAAAAAATGATTCCATGTCCCCCCGAGTCAACCAAAGAACAGAAATTTGGATTCACTCTTTGATATCTCCAAACTTTTTTTTGTTCCGTTTCAATTTGTTAATTTTTCTTCTTTTTGATCATGGCCACAACAGCAATAATGAAGATCAACTCCATGATCTTCGGCATCTTTCTCATGACAATAACCTTCACGATTCTCTTGGGTTGTTTCTCCTCTACGGTCTTCAACTATATGTTATCTGTTATTCCCTTTTCATTTATTGTAAAAATTGGGATCTTTGTTGTATGGTTTCAAGATAAGGTTGATTGTATAAACTAGATACATTTCCACAAACTAGTACTTATGTTACCTATATACTTGCAGCCCCCAAACATCTAACCTGTCTCTTGTCATGTAATATCTCTTGAGTCCCTGTGTAAAAATGTTGCCGCTTGTTACAATGTCACGACTGACGACCAATACTCGTTGAACGTGAACACATAACGTTGAGTCTCTCTGTATTATCAGTTCCAAGTTTTAGCCTTTTCTTTTTGCCTCTTCGCAAAAACGGTGGAGGGAATTCAAATCATATCACAAAACATCGCGCTTGTTCAAGATATATACACAACGTCTCTTTACTAAAAAATTATCATATCAAAATGGTTGAATCTTTTGTAACGTGAGATTTTTTTAAATCTTCTTACGCATTTGAGAAGTCTAACATACAAATGATAACTAACTAAGCTTCGTATTTTTTGACTTGGCATGAAAGCAAGAAAGTTGCCATGGCATTCTTATTGCATGATCGATATTTTCAGCAGCACTATACATATGTCTTTAGTGAGTAATCAGATTGGAATTTTGTTGTGAACAGAACTCCTTGTTTATGGCCATTTGTTCTTTTTTTTTTTTTTTTTTTTTTTCGGAAAGCTAAGGTTTCATTGATCTCTTGCTTGAGTACGAGACTCAAAATATTTTGTTTATGAATCCACCAAACAACTCATTACTAAATTGTACGAATGAAACCAAATCTGCACAAATATGTCTTGAACACCTGATAATTTTCAAAGCCCATATAAGAGCTTCCATCTCCTAATGAAAAGGTAATAATCTCCTCCAATGACATTTGCACCCGCAAGCCCAACTGATAACCATCTATAGGGATTTTTCATCCCTTACCTCTGAGACTGATAAAACTTATAACCCGACAAACTGATCATCAAGAGATATTTGAGCTTCATTCCATGTCAAAAATCTGCTTAGCGCATGATTGATGATTATGGAAGGCTTAGGTCCAAAAACAAAACAAAAAAACGTTATGCTTCGAAAGGAATTAAATCTTGGGTCAATCTAGAAAAAAAGAAACATATATGAAAATCTTAAAAAGAGACATATCACCAAAAAAATGTTTCTGACTGAATTAAGAAAACAAAAAGAAGTTTTGTAAGGTCCAAAAAGACAAAAAAAAAGAAACACATATATTTCAAAAGGAATTAAATCTTGGGTCAATCTAAAGAAAAGGAAATTAACCATTAGAATCCTAAAAAGATAAGGATTACATGTCACCATCAGCTATATAAATAGTTAGGGTATGCACTCTTGCTCCTTTCAACACCCACTCCAAATAATCTCTCTGATCTCTCTTCTTTGGTTGTCTTAGGAGGGGGAATTATTCTTGATTTTTTTCTTCTCCTCCTTTTCTTTCCTTAGGTTTCTTCTTCTTCTTCATCACATAGCCTTTGTGAAGAACCAGCTCCAGATTCTAACTTGTGGGGAACTTTGTATACAGTACTTCCATAACTTTCTTTGTTCTGAATCAGGCATTCAAGCAGAAAAAGGGTATGGAAAGGATGCAAATTTCCACCCTTATGGTGAATCTGGACTTGCTTCTGAACAAAGGTTCCATGAAGAAAAGATAAATCCCGAGGAAAGAAAAGGGAAGAAGTAGAAACTCAAAAATGATTCCATGTCCTGAGTCAACCAAAGAACAGAAATTTGGATTCACTCTATGTTTTTCAGTCTTCGATATCTCCAAATTTTTTTTGTTCCGTTTCAATTTGTTCATTAATTTTTCTCTTTTTGATCATGGCCACAACAGCAATAATGAAGATCAATTCTTTCTCATTACAACAACCTTCACAATTCTCTTGGGTTGTTTCTCGGTTACGGTCTTCAATTTCTGTTATCTATTATTCCCTTTTCATTTATTAAGCACATTTATTGTAAAAATTTGAATCTTTGTTGCATGGTTTCAAGATATTTAAGGTCGATTGTATAAACTAGATATATTTCCACAAATTAGTACTTATCAATCTCGATTATTTTCTATAGCAAATATACACGATTCCTCTTGATAAATGTTACAGAGATCTACGTAAGAAAAACATCTAACTTGTCTCTTGTCATGTAATGTCTGTTTATATTAGCTATATAATCGCAGCCCCCAAAAACTCTACAGTCTCAATTTTAAATAATCAATTTCATGCATATAACTGTTGAGTCTCTCTGTAAAAATGTTGCCCCTTGTTACAATGTCACGACCAATACCCGTTGAACGTAAAAACATATACTTTGCCCCCGAGTATCTCTTTATCATCACTAGGAACAAACCCGCGCGTCAACGCGCGGGAATCAATTTCTTTATTACTTGTTGTATTTCTTGATATAATTTCACTTCATTCATATACTCACTAAATAATTTAATAAAATAAATTAAGAATATTTTATGCCAAGTTTTAATAATATGTATAAAAATTTTATAATTAAATTGTTTCTGTACTTGTAATCTGTATTTATAAAATACATCATATATGATATTTTTTTTTATATTTACATGATTTAAGTAATTATACTATGAGTTATATGGTTTATTCTTGGTTAACTTACACTAGTAGAGTACCCGCACGTTTGTGCGGTGTGACGTTGTTGTTTTGTGTAGAAAATTTAAACCCTAAATCCGAACCCGACAAAAAACCCTAATCAAAAAATTTAAAAACCCAAACTTTTTTAATAGGTCTAAACATGAAAATCCGAAATAAAAAAAATCCCGAAAACCCTGACTGAACAAAAAAATCTGGAAACTTTTTCACCCGGAACCCGACCC